AACTCGGATGCCGACGACTTACTCCCAGCCTGCCATATCTCAAAGCCATCCAGGAACCCAACGTGAATGTAATCCGAACAGGTATTCGCAGAATCACAGAAAAGGGAATTGAGACGGATGATGGTGAAGTCCATGAAGTCGATACTCTTATCTGTGCGACTGGGTTCAACACTTCTTTCTCTTCCAGATTCAACATCGTTGGTCGAAATGGTGTGAGTCTACGTACTATGTGGAAGACTAGAGGTCCAGAGGCATACCTAGGAATGGCTATTGCGGGACTGCCCAATTACTTCAGTAGGCTACAATGAGCATGTCATTCGGAGAGACATGCTGACGACCAATAGCTTTGCTAGGACCTAACTGTCCTATCGCGAATGGGTCTCTCATCCCTTGTATCGAGTCGAGGTATGTTTCTATCTTCTCTCTGCAAGATCTCGTACTGACAGGGCCTTGAACAGCGCCAAGTACATCGTGCAAGCGATCACGAAGATCCAAACAGACCAGATTCGATCACTAGACGTAAAGCAGCCGATCCAAGACGCGTTCAATGACTACGTACAAGAAGTTCATAAAGACCTCGTCTGGACAGGATCTTGCCAGAGCTGGTGTATATACCTCCAACCCTACGACCCGACGATCTCAGCTGATCCGTGATTTGTGTAGATAAGGACCGAAAGTCAGGTAGGGTCGTTGCAGTCTGGCCGGGATCAAGCATTCATTTCATGGAGATGATTGCTAACCCACGATGGGAAGACTTCGAAATTAAGTACATTAACGTGAGTAAGATGATTTCTCAGGTGATAATGACTGACAAAAGAACTAGTCGAATCCGTTTTCGTTCATGGGCAATGGAATTTCTCAGCGCGAGGCGAAGGGTGAAGATCTGACATTTTGTAAGTACCCCAAACCGTCGCTAGAAAGGCATGGGCTTACAATCTTAGATCTTGACGATGTGGTGCCGGACACCAAGGCCTGATTTGGATGGAGTTCAGGAGGCTTTCACGCCGATGTGTTGAGCAACGAGTTGATAACATTGGAGCTGAACTAGCCATATTCACTTTAGTAATCCTAGATTGGATTGGCCTTCAATGGAACTTGTGCCAACTGGAATTAGACCAAATAGCTCTAGTCACCTTATCTATGATCATCTCACACTGCTGAGTGTAGACTTATCATGATGGTTTCTGTCTCCGCGATCTTATGTGTTTAGCAAGCACCCGTGGTCCCCTGAGCCTGGTGATTTACCTAACTGAGTGACCCGCTGCAGGCTTGGATTGCTCGAGTCAGCTTGCTATGTCATCATTGCCAGACTCTTGAGTATAAGTGTCCGAACCTGCCCAGCTCGCATTATCCCAATGACCAGCAAAACTTTCTTGCACATCCATCAATCACCATGGCATCCCAAAGCTCAGAGAAAGCATTCAGCCGCGGCGTTGCAGTGATAACAGGAGCCGGAGGAGGTTTGGGTTCCGGTCTCGCCCGGCACATCGCTTCATTCGGAATGACAGTCATTATCGCCGACATCGATCTCAAACGTGCCGAGGAAGTTGCCTCAGATATCAGAACCTCCAGTGGAAAGGCCGAGGCGAGGGCTGTCGACGTATCTCGACCAGAGGAGCTGGATGCACTGGCCCAATACGTTCACACGCACTACGGAGATGTCCAACTACTCATCAACAACGCGGCAATCGAGACACTGGGTCCGCTATGGGAATTATCGTCCTCGCGATGGGAGATGACTTTGAACGTCAATATCCATGGTGTCATTCATGGCGTTCGGGCCTTTCTCCCCCGCATGATTTCTTCGGCAAAGGAATGCTACATCGCCAACGTTTCGAGTGTCGGGGCGTTCACCACCATCCCAGGCCAATCAGCATATGCCGTCACAAAGCACGCCGTACAAGCTTTCACCGAGTCACTTCATGTGGAGTTGAGGTCTCAAAAGACGCCCATACATGTTAGCTCTGTGATTCCGGGACTGTTGAATACTGGAATCTTCGACCATGCTCAGCACGATAACTCTACGGCTGATCAAGCTTGGGAGAAACATCGAAGGTCAATGGCTGAGTTGGCACGGGAGAAGGGAATGGGCATCGATGAGGCGAGTCGTATCATCGTGGAACAGATCGCGGCTGGGAAACTTTGGGTTTGTACCCATCCCGCTATCATGACTGAGATATTGCAACAGAGGATTCAGTACTATGAGGGCCAGGGAGAGCCTAACATTCCGCCAGCATAGAGACCTTAGTGATCATCAAATGAATTACATCCATCATAGCATCACTCAAGCACCTGGCATCGCGGCATGACTATAAATCAACTTGTCTTCATCCGATTCTTGGGCCTACTTCTAAGATAAGAAAATTCTTGAGGCTTATAACAATCCAGTCTGTAATGTATTGATGAGTGACCCTCCAAATAGCAAGAGCGTAGATATCAGGATTATCCATGCAAGAGATTCTTGGGCCTACTTCTAAGATAAGAAAATTCTTGAGGCTTATAACAATCCAGTCTGTAATGTATTGATGAGTGACCCTCCAAATAGCAAGAGCGTAGATATCAGGATTATCCATGCAAGAGAATGGAAGACAACTTCCTGCCTTGTCCTATATAATTTACAGCTTCGCTCTCTGCGACTCCATCTTTTCTTTCCATGACGCCTTCAACACCCGACGCAGAATCTTGCCAGAAGGACTCTTTGGAATCTGATCCATAAACTCGACACCCCCACTCAAGCGTTTATGCTTCGCCTTCCTCGCCGCAACAAACTCCTGTAACTCCTTCACAACTTCTGGCCCCCCATGGACCCCGCCTGCAAGTACTACAAAGGCTCTGGGTGTCTCACCAGAGTAGTCATCAGGGATGCCAATTATGGCAGCGTCCTTGACTTTGGGATGGCCATGAAGCAGATCCTCGAGCTCGGCTGGAGCTACGGCATGTCCCCGTACCTAGATCATTCAGTTCAGCTTATCGAACTTTGTGTAGCAGTAGGCAAAACTTACTTTTATCATCTCCTTGATCCGGTCGTGGATTGTAATGAATCCTTCGTTGTCGATCGAGCCAAGGTCACCGGTCTTGAAGAAGCCATCTTCTAGATATGATGCTGCAGTTTCTTCAGGACGATCCAGGTAACCCATCGTAACTTGAGGGCCCTTCGCCCATATCTACCAAAAAAGCAGTCAGTACTAACACCTGTCATAATGGTGGGTCTCTCACCTCTCCAACATTTCCAGCTGGTACATCCTCTCCTGTGTCGGGGTCTACAACACGTATTTCGGTACCTGGAACTAACTTGCCAACCTTTGAGGCGTTGCTCCAGGTGCTCAAATTTGGCGGAGTCACCGTCAAGCAGGACGTTGTCTCTGTCATGCCCCAGGCTTGTCGGACAGCAACACTCGGGAACTTTCTCGCAAGCTGAGCGATCACTTGATCGGCCAATGGGGCTGCGCCCGTGTTGAATTGTTTGACAAATGATAAGTCGTATCCTTGAGCCGATTTGTCATTCAACAATCGGATCAACAGAGCTAGGTAAGTCAGTTCAAGGTTCCTTTTGACAGATAACAAGGCTGACTTACGAGGCACAAGCCACAGCTCATCACATTTGAATCTCACAACGGTCTCCATCATCTGCTTCATATCGAACTTGGCCATTATAACCATTTGCTGCTCGAGAACAATGGGCAGATGAAGTAAATGGACCAGGCCGGTGACTAGTCTTGTCAATTAAGGGCATCTAGAGAGACCGCTTAACTTACTATGATAAAAGGGCAGAACACCCAGTACTGTCCGCCGTCGGTTGGGTGGAGTGAGGGCGCTGATCTGACGGAGTTGGCTGATGATGTTGGCGTGAGATATCTGGACCTGATGACCACCAAGATTAGCATCATCTCGTCTGGTGTCCATAGGCTTTAGCGGAAGGGTCTGACTTACAGCTTTAGGCTTTCCAGTAGTGCCAGAGCTCCAAGAAAGAAACGCACATGGCGACGCCTCGTAGTATTTGGGCTCCCAGGATTTCGTGTAGGATGAAGGGTAGAGTGACTCTCCTCGTTGCCGCAGGTTCTGGAGGCTGTTTGTCTCATCCTTGGACCCATCAAATCTTAGAATATTCTTTGCTGATAATCCGATTGCTTTGCAAGCGGCTGTGACTTCATCAACGGTGCCCTCGTCAGTAAACACAAGCGCCGTCTTTGACGTTCCAAGGAAGTACATCAGATCATCTCGCATAGAGCCTGGGGGTAATAGTGTAACTACAGCACCTAGCCGACTAGCAGCTAGCATTGCAACAGGATACCAGATGGAATTCTGCCCAATGATGGCAATCTTTTGCCCAGGTCTGACATCATATTCTCGATGAAGAATTGTAGAGACGATGGTAGCAATCGACTTTAGGTCATGAAACGAAAGGAATTCGCTCGTGGCGCTGTCATGAAATCCGCGAGTTTGTGATAGTGCTGGATCCGCTGAAGTAGATTGGCCTAATAGGAGCTCATCACCCTCGAAGATCCATTGCCATATGGAGGGGTTCCCGATTACTGGCCATATTGGGTTAGCGTCTATTTGTGGCTTCTTCGTGTAGGGTAGGGTGACCTACGGGGTTCTAATTGCGGCCCGGAAAACGACATTGTTCACAGATGGGAAATAAACAACTACAGTCAGTGTTTCCAATACCTCCTATCAGCATCAAGTTTTATTGCCTCTCTGCAGGCAGTGTGTTATGGATAGTCACTGGATGACATAGCATGGTATGGCCATATGACTCGGGTGGAGACCACTGACTAGCCAAGTTGACTCGATGTACAACTACGTGCATCGGTAACTGCTAGCTCGGACCGAAATCGGATTTTCCGTCAAACTGCATCAAAGATTTAGATTATTACCTTTAAACCACCCATGAAAACAACCAAAGGCATAACCGGTCTTATAACTCGGTTGAAGCATCGGTCTTCGGGTACCCAGCCGTACAGTTTCCCATCCATCCAACCCCACATTGTATCTCCAAAATGGAAGCTGCACCAATAACAGTGGCTGTTGTTCATACTCCATACTGGAATATTTCAGATGTCGCTTTCCTCAGAGACGGACCGCACAACGTCTTGGTACCAGCACTTCTTTACCTCCGAGCCTCCAACATTGAAACGACACGTTCTTCACCTCGATCGTCGCACCGCCCCGGCGAACGAAAAAGAAAACGACCTCACAGTAGTCATCGCGACTCATCTGAGCAGCCTGTTCACCAGTCTTCCCGCGACTCAGAGGCAGAGCTTTCAAACGCATCGCCCTGCTCAGTGGGCTCCGACGATTCATCCTGCCAGCATGATAGAGATCCCTCAAACATTCTTCACAAACTGAATATGACGGAGCACGAGCGCCTACTACTCCATGATCTTGAGAACGAGATAAGGCAAGACGAGTATTACGGCTCGGCGCGATCAACACCCAGTTTTACACTCGCATCCAAGAGAAGGAGACATGATGGCGAGGCCCTGAGAGTGAGGGAACAGAAGTCGCCAGAAGAAGAGAAGGATGAATATGAGCGGTGGGTAATGGGTTCATGGGATAATTTGTTCTCAAGAGCATCTGTCTATCCTGAATAAGATGCAGAGAAAAGTATGCGTAGTTTCTGCGTTTTTAAAATTGCATCCAAGTACCATAATTGTAAGTCACCCTCTTCTCTTCGCTGAAGTTTAGCTGATGCGACATATAGCCGTTCACAACAGGCTCAACAACCCGCGCGGATCCCCCATCACAGTCCGAGGAGCTCATCCAAGGTCGGTCACCCTGATCATCGACAATGTACAGGGAGAATACCAAACCCAAGCTTTACCCCGCCAAGATTGTAAGAAAGACTGGGTTGACTTTGCCGAACTCGAAGGCCCTAATCTTGAAGGGGACGAGACTACGATTCATCCTAATGACATCCAGGATAGTCAGTTCATTCGCTTACAGTGGTTGAAGGAAAGGAAAGGAACAGTCATCTGAGACTGGAATAACAAGCAACGATTAATGAGAGGGGTGATGTTCTTTTACAGACGGCCTGGGTTTAAGTGAATGGTGCAGCCTCTTGCGGATGAGTGAGATGTTGTTCAGGGAAAAGTTGACCGCGGACAGTTGCCATTAAGGATGGCTTTGTGCTGGGAGACTGATAGTTTACGAGAGCAATTACCGGATTTCCAGTCAGATCAATTGTCCAACTGCCTTGAACCGTGACTCTTGGGCTTTAATCATTACAGCAGATCCACATCTTCATCGATTTCTGTCGGCTTCTGTTCTTGGCCATGATCAGGTTCTACCTGTGAAGAGATGACAGAACGGACGCTAGGAAAAGGCCTGTGAATAGTCCAAGCTGGGACAAACCAATCCATTCACATATTATTGGGCCTTGAGAGAGGATGGCTAGTGATGATTTTCTTCTTCTCAAGGGCTATCTCCATATGCAACAACAGAGCCTCAAACTACCACATACGACCATACCTATCAGAGAACTCGGGATCCCGTCCGCTCTCCCATAGATAAGCTGGTAAGGGGCGGATTAGTAGTTGGGTCGGTGACGACCAGCGAATCCCCGCTGTTGTATGTTTTTTAGTGTTCTCCCTCATGCCTTTTTGGCTGATGTTCTCGTTGAATCCACTGTTGGGGTCCATTCGTGGTGTTGTATGGTGGCACATATCAAGCCCGCCCGGCTGCTTGTCGGAGCCACAAGTAGGGCCAGAGGAAGGGAGAGAGTGCAAATTTTAAAGGCCGATGCCGCAAGGACGATAGACATGCCGTCGGGGATTAAGAGAACGATGTGACAGGCCGGGTAAAGGTCGGCGACGGGCAACGATCGAACTCTATCACTAACTCAATCAAGGTCACATTGCCGGCGAGCGCATAATTCTGGGGTAAATGCAGCCAAGCTTAACCCCAAACCAGAAAGGCGGAGGTGGAGAAAACTGGGGAGATGGTCTGTCTAACCCACAAACCTGGTAAATGAAAAGTCGGGGAAACCAATGTCAGGCGACGACATAGACCCCACAGTCCCAGTGACTTGTTAAAAGGCCCGAATATCCTCGACGTTTTTCTGTAAAAGTAACGCTATTGCCGAGTTTCCTGCCCATTTGAAAGCATTGCGTAAAGGCTAGAGACCAAGATCCATTATTCAGAATCAACATGTTATTTGCTAAGTTCCCCGATGGTGTTGGGATGAGTGACCAGAGGAGCCGAAGTGTTTGCCGATGGGTGGGGGATTGATGGCCGAGTCGTGTTGTTTCTACATGCTGTGAGGTCGAAATTGGAGTATATAAAGAGCGCAGATCCTGAACGTAAGTGCAGTATGTCCAGGCATCGAGACAAGCAATCGAGTCGCAATGTTCCCTACTTCCATATCTTGTTTGGTGGCCCTGTCTCTGATGAGCCAGGGTCTGCTAGCTCAGAAGCAACTGGAAAATGTCATCACCGATGATACTTACTTCTACGGTCAATCGCCAGCGGTTTATCCTACACGTGAGCAGTCTCCCTGCATTTCCATGAGCCATACTGATCTCTTGATAAGCGGAACAGGTAGACACCGGATCATGGGCCGCGGCCGTAGCCAAGGCCAAGAACTTGGTGTCCCAGTTGACTCTTGAAGAGAAAGTCAACTTGACAGCAGGAGGCCAGACAACTACCGGCTGCTCTGGCTTCATCCCTGGCATTCCTCGTGTAGGCTTTCCCGGACTGTGCTTAGCAGACGCTGGCAACGGTGTCCGCAACACAGATTATGTGAGCTCGTTTCCTTCAGGAATTCATGTCGGCGCAAGCTGGAACCCGGAATTGACTTACAGCCGGAGTTACTACATGGGTGCTGAGGCGAAGGCCAAAGGTGTCAACATTCTTCTTGGACCCGTGTTCGGACCTTTGGGGCGAGTTGTTGAGGGAGGTCGCAATTGGGAGGGCTTTTCCAATGATCCTTACCTAGCAGGTAAGTTGGGGCATGAGGCTGTCGCTGGTATCCAGGATGCCGGAGTTGTTGCATGCGGTAAACACTTTCTTGCCCAAGAGCAAGAAACTCATAGACTTGCCGCGTCAATCACAGGGGCCGACGCCATCTCATCCAATGTCGATGACAAGACCCTACATGAGCTATACTTATGGTAAGTGCACAGAACCGTAACAGCACCGATAGGCTGGACTGACTGCTCAACAGGCCTTTCGCTGATGCAGTCCACGCCGGACTCGCCAGTGTGATGTGCAGCTACAACAGAGCAAACAACTCACACGCCTGCCAAAACTCGAAGCTTCTCAACGGTCTCCTCAAAGGTGAACTGGGCTTCCAGGGTTTTGTTGTTTCAGACTGGGGTGCACAACAGTCCGGTATGGCTTCAGCATTAGCTGGCCTGGACATCGCGATGCCTAGCTCGATCCTGTGGGGTGCCAACCTTACCCTTGGTGTGAACAACGGAACTGTTCCCGAGTCACAGGTCGACAATATGGTTACGAGGTATGGACATAATTCAACCCGATTCGCTTGTTTGTTCTCACTGACAATCACGTAGGATTCTGGCGACATGGTATCAGTTGAATCAGGACCAAGATACTGAAGCCCCCGGTCACGGACTAGCTGCCAATCTTTGGGACCCCCATCCGGTAGTCGATGCTCGGAATGCAAGCTCCAAGCCTACTCTCTGGGATGGTGCTGTTGAAGGCCATGTTCTTGTCAAGAACACCGACAATGCACTGCCATTCAAGTCCAACATGAAACTCGTCTCTTTGTTCGGATATTCTCACAAGGCCCCAGACAAGAACACCCCAGAGCCCGCCCAAGCCATGTTCTCCCCTTGGTCCGTCGGTGTCCAATCCGCCAACCTCACTGAGCTGAACACCGGTTTTCTTGGAAACCTGAGCCTCACATACTCCGCCATTGCGCCCAACGGAACCCTCATTTCTGGTGGAGGTTCTGGTGCTAACGGATGGAGTTCGTTCAGCTCGCCTTTCGATGCTTTCGTTACCCGCGCAAGGAAAGATGGCACTACTCTTTTCTGGGATTTTGAGAGCTGGGATCCTTCTGTGAACCCTACTTCCGAAACCTGCATTGTTGCTGGTAATGCATGGGCCAGCGAGGGCTGGGACAGACCTGCTACTTATGATGCGTATACTGATGAGCTCATCAACAACGTCGCCGACAAGTGCGCCAACACTATTGTGGTTCTTCATAACGCTGGAACGCGTCTGGTGGACGGCTTCTTTAGCCACCCCAACGTCACTGCTATTATCTACGCTCATCTTCCGGGTCAGGATAGTGGAGATGCTCTTGTTTCATTGCTTTATGGCGATGAGAACCCATCAGGTCGTCTCCCGTACACTGTTGCCCGCAACGAGACGGACTATGGTCACCTGCTGAAGCCAGACTTGACTCTCGCCCCCAACCAGTTCCAACAATTCCCCCAGTCCGACTTCTCTGAGGGTATCTTCATTGACTATCGACATTTCGATGCCAAGAACATCACTCCTCGCTTCGAGTTTGGTTTCGGCTTGAGCTACACAACCTTTGAGTACGCTGATCTCCAAGTCTCAAACTCCCAGGCCCAGACTCAGGATTACCCAGCTGGTGCTCTCACCGAGGGAGGCCGTTCAGATTTGTGGGATGTAGTTGCTACTGTGACAGCAAATGTCAGCAATACTGGATCTATTGACGGCAAGGAGGTTGCACAGCTGTACGTTGGTATTCCCGGTGATGGTCCTGTGAGACAGCTGCGTGGCTTTACGAAGCCAGCTATCAAGGCTGGAGAGACGGCTACCGTGACCTTTGAGCTCACCCGTCGGGACTTGAGTGTCTGGGATGTTAGTGCGCAGGAGTGGCAACTTCAGCAGGGTGACTATGCTATCTTTGTCGGGCGAAGTAGTCGAGATCTACCTCTACAAGGTACCCTGAGTATTTAGTTACGATTCCAGAAGGATGTCTCTCTATAGTTAGTTTAGTCTATATTTTAATGCTTAGCATAAGATCAGGCAGATACGATTAGTTGGCGACCCTAAGTGTTTGGTACAATACTTCTATTGCAACTAGTTGAGCATCGTGGCCCGTTTTCTCATCTACTTATGACGTGCGACATTTTGAAGGTCAAATATCATGGCTGAACATCAGTTCTGTTAGAAGACACAATATACAAGAGGGAGATCATAAAGCTCAGTGTAAGAGCAAAGTCAATTCACTTATTTAGTACTGGTACCTGACAGACTATAATTCAGTCCCTCGCAACTCCGTTGCTCGTTCCAAGACCGGCTACAAAGCCGATACCTCAGCATCTTACTCCTCCTCCTCCTCCTCCTCCTCCTCCTCCTCGTCTTCCTCCTCCAGTTCCTCCAGAAGCTTTTCAAGTTGAGCCTCAACCTTCTCGGCTCGTGCCAAGTAACGAGCAGCCTTCCCCTGAGCAGCCTTCTTCTCCTCATTGGCCTCTTTCAATAGCTCCTTGAGCCGCTTATTAAGCAGCTCAAGGTAAGCTATCTGAGCCTTATCACCATTACCCCCGATGAAAGTTGGTGCAGTTGTAATCTCTTTGGCCTTGCGACGGAAGCTTCCAAGGGTGAAAGAAAGGGATTTGGCCATTTTTTCCCACTGCTCGGGATACTCTTTCTCACCCTCATCACAGTCTTCAAGGCGCCAGACTGGAGCGAGGGACTTGGCGAGCTCGATGTCGGATGCGGTAATGTTAGCCGCGTACGGGAGGGGGCCTTCGTCTTGGTGCTTGTTGTAAAAACGGAGGAGCTGACGCGCTCGGAGGCGAGTGTTATCTTCGGATGACGCCCAAGTCATGATGGATGTTTGAGAGTAGGATTGGTATTTTTTTTGTTGAAGATGGTGACGCAGCTTTACCGAATGAAGTTGTTGTTTTGTTGTTGGTAGACGGAAAGCAAGTCCAGGTGTTGAGGAGGAAGTTAAGTATAAATATTTACAGATTGTCCCATTAAGTTTGCAAGGCCCAATTGAGAGTCCAAATGTTCTACAAAGCTTGCCACTGGCACTTTGCATGTTCGTAAGAATAGCATATGCTACGGTGACATTGTTGACCAGTGCCTTGCACTGGATTCCTTTGTCACATGCTTCATGTTCACCGAAAGCATATTATGCTTTGTTCCCAATTCAAGGCCATGCTACGAACACACAGGAACACAAGGCTCGGGCTGACAGTTCTAGTTCGTTCATGGGGTAGTACAAAGAACAGCTCGTGGAGAACAACGAGAGCAATTGTCTTTCTAGGATTCATGACATACCACTAACACATAGTTATTTTAAATGCCTGAGGTGAAACTTGGAGAATAGCTGAGTGGTCACTGTAGAACAGAAGAGGTATGATGAACATAGGTAGCGACAAGTCAATTCTTTGTTTATCACCATTCATGCCAACAACTATGAGCGCCACGGCTCGGTAATCTATATAGCCCAGAGACTAAAAGTAGTACAATAAGCATTGAATCTGTGTGTGCATTCTCATTTTTCTAGTCTGCAATAGCAAGAGGCCTTAACAGGAACATCAGTACCTGCCAGTGCTTTTTGCAAATGGCCTTCAATCTCCTTCGTCTCTAGATCTCTCCCCAATCTCGACAAGCTTTCGTGAAGACCGTGCAGTGCCCACACGTTATTAGGGTGCCTCAAAGCTCGGGGGAGTTTATCATTGAGTCCCAAGTCTGTCTTATAAACCTCAACCGCATCCTCGAGGTATCCTTGCTCCATCAGCAACGCACCATAGGCATGGCGGGTAGGCTGCATCCATCCCCAGGGTTCATCGTATGGAAGGCTATCTTCCCGACGAATAGCCTCACGAAGGTGCTCAAAGGCGACATCATAATCCTTTCTCCGGTATTCCAGTTCGCCATCGAGCATAGCTTCAGCGACTTGAAGAATATCAAGACAAGTGTTGTTGAAAAGAGTGCGTGAGGTTGGAACTCTCTTTAAGGACTCTTGGAATAGTCCTCGGTGGTGTTCCGATTCTGACACTCTCCCAGTGGCAGCAAAAGCTACACTCTTCGCATACAAGACGATTGACGTGGTCATACAGTATAATTCCTGGTCTTCAGGTAGCTTCATATCAATCAGATCCTGCCATTTTCCGAACCTGACTAGGATATGAGCACGTAGACTCAGGAACGCTTCGAGCCAGTCAGCCATAGGCGGAGACTCGATTTGAAGAAGGTCCTTTGGGATAGTAGACTCTAGCTGACTCGCAGTGTTGATGCAAACTTTGTACTGCCCCGCGAGCATGGCGGCATAAACCCGAAAATGAAGATCGTGGCATCGGTACAGAGAATAAAAGTTCAGGGGTCCAGCTTTAGATAGATACTTATCGTCAGCTTTGATCGCCTCCGAGTTGGAGTCAATGGCTGCTTGGTAATGTCCACAGAGCACGTCCAGGTGAGTCGGCATGTGGTGTAAATGTCCTCCGTCAGGTACGAGCCCACGAAGGTGGTTGGCCGTTGGAAGAGCAGCTTCTGGTGTAGGAGACATTTCCATTAGATGGATATACAGATGGAGTAAGCCAGGATGCTTCAGAGATCCATTGAGCCTGAGGCCATTATCAAGTAATGACTTGATCTTCAGTGTATGAGCTCCGGCAATAGGTTCTCCTGTCTTAAGATCCCAGAGATTCCATGGATTCAAATTCATCAAAGCGTCTGCATATAGTGTAATGACATCCAAATCGTCCGGAAAGTCCCTATGCACCACACCCATTGCATCAGCAAAGCCTTGGTTCCAAGAAGAACAATTCGAAGGTCTCTCTTGCGGATAGCGATGCTGAAGTGCTTTGATAAGGGCTTGCTCAATTGGAGTACAGGTCGACATCTTAGCTATGGCCGTACGTGCAGCATTGTTGCCGCGCCGAACTGCATCGGCCAGGTCTTTGTCATCAAAGAACGACCATGGCTTATTGTAGTTTGGCCCCAGGCTATATGCCAAACCCCAGTAGGCCATTGCGCAGTCAGGGTCGGAAATGGCGGCCTGCTCGAAGCACAAGACAGATTCCTCATGATTAAATGCATACGCCCATATGAGTCCACGGTCGAACCAAGCCTGGCTTTCGGGGGAGGTAGTCGAGATAGTTCGCTTATACAAGCCAAGATTAAAATGGTATATGGATGACATTTCAATCAGCGGTGACTTTTCAGGTAGATAGGGTCAGAACTATAACGATGAGTAATATCAAAAGCTGCCCTGCTTTTCTAAGCATGAGTTATTTTTCTTTTGTTAAGTACGTATCCCCCTCATCCAGTCATGGGACCAATCACACGCTTGGGCTTCAGCCATCCAAGCTCCTAGAAATTGTGAGTATAGGGTATAGGGTAGTGTGGATTCTCAAGGTTACAGGACTAGGAGATGTCTCTGAAAGGTTAAAGGTGAAAGATTGAAGCAACTATACGGAACAAAGGACGTAACTTAGGCGCAATCATTAAGCCCGGCTCGCTGAGGTTAAGAGATTAGGTGTCGCTGAGGAAGAAGCTGCATGAAAGTGGTAAGCCATAACTGGAAAGTTTGTACAAGAGTCGAAGCCATGACACACATAAAACCCATTGAATACAGCATTCATTTACGTCAGTCGCTAAGATTATGCCTGAAGATAATTAAAAAATTGCACTCATGAATTAAAATCTAGCAAATGTTTTATCACCGGTGGCAGGGAATAGCAGGGTCCCTGGAGGGCTTGTGCTTTATCCAATGGGCATTGTTTGTACTTGGGGTAATGCCGCCTTATATGCCATCTCAGTAATTCACTCCTGGGTAGAATGGGTGAGGTGATTTAGTGGGTGAGATGGATGAAACTTGGAGTAACACATGACTGGTCCAACACACTGTTTTTCACGTTCATTGCAAGTCGGGCTCATCGTGTCTAGTATATTCACTACCGTATTACTAACCCCTTCCATTCTTCTAACTCTACAGCATGGAAGCAAAGTCCAGATACTCCTTGGGCGTGACGTGATCATGGTCGTCCCGATCTGTAGCATAGCTAACATCTTTCCACTCATTCAGCACCTTGAGTTGCTCCTCACACTTCTGTTCTCCGCAATCGAAGGCATCAGACCCAATAGCAATACTAACCGCCCATGGCTTTCCAGCCGCAATCCCCTCACCCTTCATAATATCCACCATAGCCACGGCGACCTTGTCCAGTTCACCTGTCCTCTGAGCAAATGCCTTGGCAAACATGAGCCCAAGTTCGCCCATGAGCTTTTCATAGTCTGCAATGGCAGGTCCTTGGCTTGCGAATTCTGGTTCACCTTCTTCCCTTGGGTGGCCAAGGTTGGTAGGAAAGCTACCGCACATGAATCCGACGCAAGAAATGCCAAAAGGCCGGACCTCCTTGTGAAGGCTCTCGATGTAAGTGCTAAGAGCAGCCTTGGACGCTGCATAGTGGGACATGAAGGGCAGAGAACCCCACGAGCTGGCGGACGAAGTGAAGCCAATGCGACCATGGCCCTGGGCACGGAATCGCGGGAGTATAGCGCGAGTAACATTCATGTGCCCAAAGAGATTAACTTGGAAGAGGTTTTTGACATATGCATCTCTATCACTCCTTATTAGCTCGCTTCTTGATCAAAGGGTTCATAGGGTCTTTACTCAGCTTCTTCTGCGCACCTCAAGGCAGAAGCACCAGCATTATTTAACAGAAGGTCAATATGTCCAAAGATGGCCCAGGCCTCGTTAACCGTAGCCTGCACCACAGCCCATGGGGACGTTATGTCTAGTTCCAAGATGGCTACATTGTCTGACTTGAGGTGGTCGAGTTTCTGGTTTGCTTTGCGACCAGAGGCAATGACTTTGTCCCCGCGGGCAACGATTTCATTTACCAACGCAGCGCCAATACCAGATGTGGTACCAGTGACAAGCCAGACAAGAGGAGCCATGATAAACTAGTTGATGCTTTTGAAGGGAGTACAAGAGTTGGATATGTGACAATAGATTGATTGTGAATTGTTGTGTAAGTATGCTATTGAGGGTGAGTCAAAGGTGGGAAGCCTTCCATCTTCTTATAGTTTAGTTTTCCATGATAAAGCTTCAGCTCGACAGCGAAAATCCGAAGTTGGCTATATTTTTCACATGAAACCCATGAACGGACGGAGATACGATCAATTACGGGCTCATGTCACGTGATACGGACCAAACTCGTCCGTCTCACCATGAACTGTCTCGCTAGCCCATCATCGCTTACGCATCGTTTCACTCAATTCGACAGCCCTAATCAACTGGAACGAAGAAGATTTCGGCCGAACAAGACCCTACTCACGTGAATCTACCCGGTGTGCCAGGCATACCATGTCCGCCACGCCTGCAGCTCCAAGGGCAATGTCACAGTCCGTCACAGCTAGACGGAAGATGAGAAAGGGGACGCATAGCTGTAGTGAATGTGAGTCACCATACTAATTTGGATTCAATATGGAACTGGTGCTTGCAGGTAAATATTTCGAACGTCGTGTAGGTCGGCAGGATGTATCTAGCAAGTTACTTCTATGTGCTGCAAGACAATCGTCAATCAGTGAATCAGCATGTTATGCAGTTCCAGGCTAACCATTACCTTAGGTCGAAGGAGAAAAATAAAATGCAAATTTCAACCTGGAACTGCATCTCCTTGTATCCCATGTGCTGCCCGTGGGTCTCGTTGTCTCGATCAGCGAGATGTGGCTCCAGTGAACGAGAGCAATATTAATACCGAAAGTATAAGCTTGCGAGAAAGGGTCGCTGTTCTCGAAACGATGGCGAGACATCACGCTCTAACGCATGAGCCAGCCCTAAGCCATGAAGGGTTTGATCTTGAAGACGAGCCAGTCGAGGCAGATGAAAGGGCGCCCTTTGTGTCCATGCTTAACAAAGCCGAGGTATGTTGGAAGGTGATGCTCGATTATGATGGTTTGCTGATTGTTTTCAAGGGATCGATGGAAAGTCATCTTCAAATAACCCGGCCTGTTCAGGAAATTACATCTCACAAAAGTCCGTCAATCTACACGCAAAGCTCAAGTGACGCGTGCTTGAAACTTCGCTCGGTTCTACCAGAATATGATCTCTTAATTTCTACCTTGTCTAAGAATGGGGCCTGGTGGAGCAGTTTCCGTCACAAGACTGAGGTCATTTGCCAGGGATCTTACGAGGGCCTGGCCGCATTTGCTGCGCGTGCCTACACGAGCAGTGACCCTGCCGAACTTGGCATGCTTGTTGTTGCCTATGCACGGAGCACGGGGCATCATCATCACCTATACGGGGTTGTTGATAGACTTGCCATCCCCGATTCTGACCACTCTTACTCTGCAGAGGCAATGGAGCTTCTCCTGTTGTTGGCTAAAGCCTACAGTGATATTGGGCAACCCCGGCAGTCTTGGCTTATGTATCGGAAAGGTCTTGCTATTTCAGAAGTCATGGTAATTTTATCTCATATATAATTAGTCTTAATAATGCTAACCTCGTCACAGGGCTTGTATAGACGGGAAATGGTTTCTCCTCGTCTGAAGAGTATCTGGTGGGCTTTTTACCACGGAGATCGCTTTTCAAGTCTTCTTCTTGGCCTTCCATATGGATTCAACGACGCTCATCTTGGTCCAACCGTCGAACCTCACAATGTGCCTACATACCCAGAGCAGCGGTTCGTTCTGCGGTGTGCTTCCATTGCAGGAAAGATCATTGACCGGAATATGATGCCCGGGAAGCCATCTTCTGCAGGTTCAATGCTTCTTGACGAACAAATGGATACTATCGCTTCCTCTATGCACTTGAGCTGGTGGGACCTACCCGACTCACTTCCAAACTCCCATGCCGAAACGGACGAGCTGAGAAACCATCTACTATTGCATTTCTACTTCTTTCATGTCCGAATCAACCTACATCTGCCATTCATCGCCGGCTCAGAGTTGACATCTCCTCGAGGGTCTCACAGACTGGCATGTTTGGAAGCTTCTCGGCAACTGCTTAAACGTTTTACCCTTTTGCGTACTCAAATTCAGGGGTTTAGTATCTTTGACTGTAAAACAAGCGACTTTGTCGGATTCATGGCTTCTGTGTCTCTAATCCTATGTCTGTCGCAACCAAGGTCAAACGAGATCATCGTTCCGGTTCCAGACGAGGATCAAAACCTGATTGCACAAGTTAAATGCATATTTGAAAGAGAAGAGAAGGCGGGATGTAAGATTGCTTGTCAATGTCGAAGGATGCTTGACATATTATCGGGTATTCCCCTTCACAGTGACGAAAGCTCATCTAGCAAACTACCAAGTAAAATTGCAATCCCCCACTTTGGATATATCCGGCGGGATTTAGTACAACAGGCTGGATTTCAAGTCACAACAGGGGTCCCAGTGGCATGCCCGGATGAGCAAATTATGACAGCAGTTCCAAGCATCTCAAGCGATGGTCTGGGTGGGCTAGGAACTGAGTCTGGAAGTAACAGTTGGCCAGAAACATTGGATAGTGGAACGTGTTGGGAGTTTGGTGGACTTGAACATTTTCAAGTTGATGATCTGTCATCGTGGCTTGATACTGCGATGCTGGATGTGAATCTAGAATGGGACATGCCATCAGGTGGATTCTTTCCTAACAACCCGTTTCTGTAGGGATATAGGCTATGTTCCGTAGAGTGGATTCTAATAAAGTACCTATTACTAGAAATCAGTAGTCCGTCCTGCTTTCATTTTCGCTAGAGGTAGATATTTAAGCGAAAATAACACCAACAATCATAAAGGCCGCACCTTATTTAGGGGAATGATGACTAGCTCTTTATGGGGAGGGGTGAGATTAGATACACTTAAGTGAATGGAAGTTTCGGAATGCGCCTTCTCTTTGGGAGAAGGAGAAGTAAGACTCCCATTAAGCTACGCGCCAAGCTTGAGGGATTCACGGCCTGTTTTCTCTCGTCCTTTCACGCCTTGATCCCGCCTCTTATGCAATTCAACGAAGCACTGAGTATGACATGCATGATACGAGATGAGCATCACCTTGCTTCCTTCAATACCTGGCCTGTGAGACGTATCTCAGCAGAAGCCGCACTATACCGAAGATGAACGGGCCTTGGAAGGGTTGTATCTCAAGTTTGCTCAGCTATGGGCTGGTGATGAGGGAGCCTTGACGAGAATACAGTTAATTGCACGAGATGGCAGAGAAAGTCCACCCAGAGGATATTGTGTAGGTGAGAAGCCTGTTAGATTGCCGCTCCAGTAGCAGAAGAAGAATCGTGGGGCGGGGCTCAAGGTATTTGTCGATGTGATGGATCGGGGTGTTACGCGTGATGATTGCGTGGTAGTCGGTATTCAGCTGATTGGGTTTAGCAAAGATCAGATGCTGCATATAATACCGACTGTAGTCACCCTGTCCAATCTAGGAAGATGTCTGTTACTGCCAACCAGACCTATATATATATAGGAAGAGGATATTAGATTCAGCTCTTTCGTTTTCCAAGCCGCTCGATCTTCTGGTCCACCCAGATAGGATACTTGTTAAGACTCTCATACCATTGGATTACGCTACCAATCTGCAATCGTGTGTCAGTAACATGTCATCCAAGCACTGTCTTACTGACCAGAAATGCCCATGAACCTATAAATGTCGAAAGTGTAAGCGCATACTCAACACCCGGATGCGTGATGCCAAAGCCCAGCGCACCACAGAGAGTAAAGCCAATAGCGCCAATCAAGTTCCATAGTCCGATATGCCATCCCAGTACCCCCGGCGCTGGAATGTACCATCGAGGCTGAACTTCGACCATGAACAGGGTACTTGAGACGATGAAGCCCGTGCCGCCAATCACTTGAGGGAGCCAATAGACGCCGTTCTCAGCTGGTGTAGAGAGGTTGTTGAGTATAGGCGGCAAGGCTGTAAAGCCAGAGATCCAGAATACCGTGGCGCCGAATGTTTGTGAAGAACAGGCCAAGAAGCCAATGTCGAAGAAATAATGTGATCTGAGTTCATACCACGTCGGCCACCAGGACCACATCCGATCATTCCCCGCTGATTCCGTTGTGTTATTATCCAGTGTTTTAGAGCTTTGCTTTACAAAAGTCCCCTTATGCGCGTGTGCATGCTTGCAGTTATCCGCATGAGTGAGATGAAGCATCCCATCTATACTTTCCTCGACAGCCCAACCAAAACAATCCGCCCGATTCTCGTTGACGGCTTCAAGCATGAGTAGGATTGAGCCAAATTCGAAGACCGTAGCGCCGATGAAAGCTGTCAATCCGCCGGCCCAGTCAGAGAATTTCGTTGAGGGGTTGAGAACGGGGAGCCATGAGAAAAAGCCATTAATTACCCAGATAATCGACCCTTTCAATAATTAGCTGTTGCTTTGTGTGATGAGGTGGTGAGTACCTATTGTGAAGACGATGGCGACATCGTACGATACATCCCAGACTGGGTATCTGACAAACATCTTCAAGATACCGCGGAGAGTCTGGTGATACGAATTCGACGGCCTTGGAGCTTTTGTTGCATCATGCTTTCTTGGATCGACGCTGATGACCAGCGCATGCCGTCCTTTTCTGTTATCACGACTCCTCCAGACATAAGCAACCCCAGGACTCTCAGCGCTCGGTCGCGACTCCTTTCCAGCGTCAGACTCAGCATGGAGTGGCTTCCTGTCGGCGATTAGATATCGCTTCGTTGGATTGAGCGACTTGACAGGGCCAGTTGCGCGCTCAGCGTGGTAATGACGACCGTGGAAATGGTCGTGAGCTCTTGGCATTGTTATGGTGGAAATGGGCTGCTGATCCTGGATAAACAAGAAAAGGGCGCTGTGCTGTATTTAAAGTTGGCAATTGATTGGATGACGTGGCTGTGTTTTAAATTGGATTAGCGCTGAGGTAGCCTCAAATGGTACACCGTGACGCTCTAATGATGCGCGCTGATTGCTAAGGACTAGTGAGGCATTGATGATGCTATGTCAGCATTCTAAATCTTGGGTAATATACAGTGGGATGCAAAAAGTATTCGCAGGTGTGTAGAGAGATTTGTTGCTCGGAAGCTAGTTAGGTGTAGCTTGTCAGGTTCTCAGTACCCTATATTACACCGAGATCAGCGGGATAATCTAGTCTCGAGTACATAAGCTAAGTTAAGCTACTAACTAGCGCAGCTGACACAACTTACACACCTGCAAATACTTTTTGCATCCCACTGTAGATAATGTCAGGAAGAAGATGACATTAACAAGTAAGTTGTCGGCACTGACACGCCCAGTGTCGGTTCGCGGAAAGAATTACATGCTAGCGCTCGCGGCGCTTGTCTCTCACAACCAACATTTTTCTAATATCTGTGAAGAGTGTACGAAACTGTATCATTTACTTAAACTTGATGAAATAATAACCTCCTAGCGTTACCAGAAGAAAAAGCCTCAACCTCGTCAGCATCAAGAATCCCTTCCCTCCGAATCGTTTCCAAGTACTCTATGCCAAGCTTGTTATCACTGAAGGGATAGTCAACACTAAACATGACTCGTTCAAGGGGCATGTTTCCCAAAAGACATCGCAAAGATTGCACGTCAAACATTCCTGAAGTCGTGATACAGATGTTACTATGCATCACCTCGACATACCCACGTTTCATGCCGAAGAATGAGGTGGCCTTGTTTATACGGTAAAATATGTATGGTATGAGCTCTCCAGAATGACCAATGATGATTTTGAGTTTAGGATGACGGTCGAATGTATTGCTCGCCATTAGCCGCAAGATGGTGTTCGCAATGCTGGCATGCCATCCAAATGCAAAGGCGCCAAGTGCAGTCGCCGAGGTTTTGTCTGACTGCCACATTTGAAGATATTGACGTCGGTTCATGAAGCGGTCTAAATAGTTTTCCCAAAGGTGCCGTTTAGGCCGTGCTGAGTTTTGCCCTAATGCTCAACGTTTCTGCAACAGCCTCGTCACTGCAAAAGAAGAAAAGGAAGGAGAATGGAAGAAAGAAAGAGCGGGCAGTCAAAGAGAACGCCCAGGGTTCTTCCTGGATCACGTGACATCTAGCATTTGGCATATACCCAGTCCAGATTCTTCGATGGTATTGTAGTCTTCACATTCTTCAGATCCAGATATATCCAATTGTCTGTCTCATAACTTAGGGCTGCTGTGCGGGATCTGTTGACGAACTGTTCTTGCTTTTCGTGGCCTATGTTTATGGCCGCTTGTCCCCATTCTGTCGGGTCTTCCAATCGTATTGCGAAGGCCTCAGCCAGACAATTTTCATTATATATATAATCAGCTTTCGTTAAGCTAAAGCCACTAATAATCATAGTCATACCTCTATCCCAGAAGATCCTAGTCCTCAAACACATCATTCTTGACCTGATTGACTATCTGAAACTCCGGAAGCTATTTGGACATCAAGGTTAGCTTTTGTCAATACAATCGACTTTTAACCATAATACGCAATATAATGCTTAACTTCATCAAAACCACCAAATAGACAATACCACTATATATTCATCTATAAGCTCTACTGGCTCTCTATTTGCATTCTATACCGGTATTGTCCGTTTTTTCCTTGCGGAGCCTATATATCGCCTAAACCCCGTTTCTAAAATGCACTTACTACCCTTATTCGTAAACTGAGGGTGGTTATCAAGGAGTGACAGTATGATGACAAAGTATAAAGGAATGAAAGTTAAACAGTCAGAAAACAACTGAAATCAAAAGCGGTACATCGTACCAATCTAAGTCCCCTCTTTAAGCCAATCGGAAGACCGGTACAATCCCATGGACAACAAGCCCATTAACAGAATTGTCTGCCGTTCTGGTCCTGGACCATGAAGCCAGACACGCCGAACTTGTCGGGGATCGTTCCAGCCGCGTCCAGGAAAGTCAATGGCGCAGGGGCTCCAGCTTGCGGGTTATTCGTAGCCTGCAACAGGTTGAAGCCCTTGCTGTTCGCCAAGTCGTACTTAAGCGTCACGTCAGTCGGCAGGTTCGGACTGCTATACAGAGTGCACGACCGCTTGCCACCATCCTCCGGCATAAAGGTATGCTTCCACACCCAGTTCGTGCACTTATTGGGTTCCTCTAAACACTTGGCGGCGCAGTCGCAAGCGGTCTTGAAGCCGTCCTTGAAGAAGAAGTGTTGTTCTGTGACGACGCCTGTCATGTCGATACCCTGATAGTACCGGATGCAGCCGCCCTCACGATTAGGAGCCTGAAGGTTGGGGAAGCGGTCCTTGGTGATCTTTCCCTTGCAGATCGCCCAGTCTGAGTAGCGGTGAAAGCTTGGGAAGATGTTGGTGTCTGGGTTGTCGTAAGGAGTGGAGTTGAGGGGAACGGCCGAGACAGCGGAGGCGAGGAGGGCAGAAAGGGCAGCGGTGGTGAAATGCATTTTATAGAGATGCTTAAGTTGACAAGTGAAGATAGATGTGGTTAAGTTGTTTGATTGTTAAGTAAGTGATTGATAGTAGTGATGCTGGTGAGAATTGGGACTTTTGCTAGGACCTTGATGATCATTATATACACTTCTGAATTCACGAATAAATGTGACTAGAGTATTTTTATCTCAAGAACGTCACTTACACCTCTAGCAACAATATGACAACTAGACCCGGAGGCTCCAAGATCCGACTATATGGGACCTGTGCGGCTATGTGCTAGCCTATCAGAGAGAGAGGATGACATTGACAAGATGCCTCAGACATACTAGTTAGCCCAGATTCTTGATAGAGGGGACATATATTTCAATCAAGCTATGCTCTTCATGGAATAGCCTGGTGAGGCTCAACCCTTCTGCGGCTTTACCCTGCTTTTAATAGCCCGGTGGCTTGGCGGTACACCCTTTCAATACTCGATAGGGCTGTATAGCATCGATGTGGCTCAGTATTGAAAACCCTAAAAATAGGGACCAACGTTCTAGATCTCAAGCCGCGGCGCCTTCTTATAACGGGATTCAGATACGTCCACGTCACCCCCGAATAATTGCATCACTATGATTAGCCTATGTCAAGCTCCAACACAGCACTAGGTATCATGGCGAACCATTGTTGTATCTTAGCATTGGCACCCAAATCCTGCTTAAACAGGCGGTTCAGCAGCTCTACGAGATGTCAGAACACAGTCGCCTCTACCTTCTCGTTGCCGCACTGTCGGCTAATATGCAGCGGCCGATCGCTGTCCTCCTGACTTTCCACCTGCTGCCAGTTCTCGGTCGGCTAGTCTTTCGAATGTCTGAATTATCACTTGCAGCATGGGTTAGTCTACCTGAATAAGGGCTTTTACAGGGTGCAAGTCTTTCTTCGCCTTAAATTACCCCAAGTGCTTAGTCTAACCCATACTCTCCGCTTATGCGTTCAACTCTTCCCTTTTGTTAGTAACTTTGATACCCCCCTCTTCTGCCGTGCTGAATCTCTCAACTTGTTCTCGGTGAATCCTTTATGATGGTACAATGAATCGAATCGACTTAACCGTCAGCGGCTGGAGCTGAAATATATTCAATTTGTGCTAGCCTCCACTGGAAAGAGAGCTGGGATGACTCACAGACGTGATTATCTTAGTAGAGCATATTGGGTGGTCTTATACTGGCTGTGTGACGCGGTATGTGCAATTAAACTGATACCTTATGAATTAGACTTACTCTTACGAACCGAGGTGAGGATTTTTATTTAGCTATTACCGGTAACTAGGAGGCTTACGTACTTATACATCAACCATCGTTTCATCAGTGCCGTCGTTAAAGGCAAGCCCGGAACATGGAGTATTCGAGGCGGAGATGCTACATCAGGTGGACTGTCAACTTTCTACAATGGCGCGTATCCTGACGGCGGATACAACCCCATGAAGAAAGATGGGCTGAGTCATCTGTGTGTCTCCTCTTCATATACTATCCTTTCGATTCTCCCACAGAACGGCGTTTTCCATTTCCACTTACTGGGGCAATGAAGTAATCGGGTGACTGCTATCATATGCCTCGCATAAACCCCCGGTTGTATCTAACTAGCCACAGCCACTGCTATTGCTTAGTCCTTCATAGCATGTAGATTGTTCCCATCAGCTTGATAGGCGAGAAACGCAATGACGGTGCATTGTCTGGATCGTTCAGTCGGGCTAATGGTTTGAGAGGAAGAGAGTTGATGTAATCTATCCTAGGCCAAGTTCAATGCTGAGAACCATGCTCTTCGTTGAGCTGTATTTTGGGAAGTGACATCCAATACAGCATATCTTGCTGTTAGGGAATACCAAATAACCAAATCACAAGTCGTTATGTATTGCACTAACGCCCCTAGATATTTTTAGAACGGGGTCAGATGTGTAGTGCGGTGGCGTGTTGGAAAAGTAAATGACCTGCACAAAATACTGCACACTTGTGATAACAAGTATGCATCGAAACCTATCTGCTTGTTAAAAGCCACTAGTTTAAGTCTTTATCTATACTAGATATTTTAAGGATAATTCTGACTGTGATTGCGGTTATATTAGATGCGACCGTAGCTGCGCTTATGGCTGTGGCTGTGGTGGTTGTTGCGCGATGACGGCTAAGCGTCGAATCTACCACCGGTGTATGTGGCACCAACCTGCCATATCTTGACACTAACTAAAGTGAGCTTCCCAACAGGAGCTGCAGCAGTGACTGTGCCCCCAATCGAATTCAGAGGCGCAGTTGATATGCGATAGAAGAACCAACCCGTAGGACAGAGCATGTTATCCCCTGCAAGGCTGATAGAGTCTATCTGTCGGACAAATCTTGGGAGAACAGTGCTTGATGTCCTTGAGCTAGGATCGATCTTAGTCACAGAATCGGCCACTGTAGGGTGGTATATAACTCAATTCTTGGTCACAATCGGACCCAATCTGACATCAGCTGCAATAATGCCCTGTGGTCTAGAACCTGAGCAAAAATAATTTTAGTATTCATGTCGGGTGAGGTTGAACTGATTCAGTCGATCAGCATCTTGACAGTGCCACTAGCATCGTAAACTTGACAGGATGAGGCTATCGGGCTTGGTTGAAACCAATCTTTAACTTAGCGACTCTGATAGTCTTGGTCAATTTGCCTGATAAACGAGAGTATTAAAGTCGCTTGCCATCTCGAAGTGTTGCCCTCTCGTTACTCCCTCTGCATAAACATCCAAAGTCGATTACACAGCCAAATCGGATTTTCATCGTCGCCAGCACTCTCTTTCGCTATGTTACCACTTCTCTCTTTTCTGTTTCTGGGTATACCGCTCGTGGTAGCTTCATCTTCCCCTGAGCCCTGTGCTCTTATCACAAAACAAATTCGCGAACATCAAAAGTACAACAACTCCGAATCCGTGCAATTTCCTGGCCAACTCGCCGAGGATTGTCTCCAGTCCATGCCTTTCTACCCTGATCTTGCCGATCCCTTTCTCGAAGAACTTGGTAAATACGTCCAGTGGCAGTCCACCCTCGAGACTCTCAAAAGCCCTCCTGATGCCTACATGTCCTCGCCTACTGACATACTGGACGGCCTTGAGATGATCCGCAACACCAAATACTCAAGCCAGTGGCAGTTTGATCAGGCAATCAAGGCCCTTATCAACAGTGCCAATGATGGCCACTTCTACGTGGAACTATGCTCCTTTACTCCCTTCACTTTTATGCGCAACACGGCTTTGGTGTCTGTCTCGACGGACGGCATTGAGGCACCTGAACTATACACGATTACGGACGCCGAGCTTCTCAACAGAGCGGAAGCTGAAGTCTCTCCCGTCGTGTCAATCGATGGCCGAGATGCTAGCTCGTACCTGAAGGAGATCGAAGATCAAGTGCTGAGTCAAGATCCTGATGCGCGATACAATACGCTTTTCTTTTCCTTCTCTGGCAATCCCGGTGGTGTTCTTGATGGACGTAATGTGTATCCTGGCTCAAATATCACTACGCTCGAGTTCCGCAATGGGTCTACCCTTGAGGTGAAGAACATGGCCGAACTTAACGACCCTGGCTTCGAGGCTAGGAACGGCAAGGACGTCTTTAATATGTACTGTCGACCAACACCATCAAATTCACCAGACAACTCGAGCACCTCGGAACCGGATGTTAAGCCTCCTCTGAAATCAGGCCCTGTCGGTTACCCCGAACCACTGATCCGCGACCCCTACAACCAAATAAACGGTTATTATCTGGACGATGATACTGTAGTCATGATGATCCCTTCTTTTGATGGAGATGGACTGCCCCCGAATCAATCGCTTACATTTGGCCATTACGCAACTAACATTGTATCAAAGGCCCTGGCAGATGGCCGTACGAAGCTAATCATCGACGTCTCCGGCAACCCGGGTGGGGATGTTGACAGAGCCTTTAACCTTTTCAAGCTGTTTTTCCCTTCCGAATTCCCCTATTCGGCCAACAGATTCCGACGTCACGAGGTCTCTGAGGGTCTCGTTAAGATCTTTTCAGCCGCCAACAGATCGGCAGCCTTGGAGAACGTCCCTAACAACGTCAACTTTATGTCATATTCCGTAGCGGTGACCCCAGACCAGGAGGCCGGCTTCGAGTCATACGAGGATTTACTTGGCGATACCACGGAGTTGGGCACCCCGGTCAGCTCACTCTTCGCCAGCTTCAATTTCACCGAGGCATCTGGCAACAGCGACACTCCTATTCGTGGGTACGCTGGCCGACCCCTCAACAGGACGCAGCCATTCAAGGCGGGGAACATTCTCATCATTGGCGACGGATTGTGCGCTTCGACCTGCTCTATTTTTGTCAACTTGATGACAAATATCGGCGGTGTTCGGGCATTGCCCTTTGGAGGCCATCCTAATGGACAGCCTATGCAGATCATGGGAGGTGTTCGTGGTTCACAGACCTTGACATTCGACGATATTGCAACGGTGGTGAGCGCCGCTAAAGCGGTATATCGGGAGACGCCTGAGACGCTGGAATTTATAACAAAGGAAGAAAACGAGCGACTCATGAAGGTGGCTCCTCGGCCGTTAGAGGAGTTTCCGATTAAACTCGGAGCAGGACAAGTCAACTTCCTGAATGCCTACCAGGACGGGGACGATGATCTCCCTCTTCAGTTCCAGTACCAGGCCGGTGACTGTCGTCTTTACTATACCGCTGAGAACATCTATCATCCGGAAACCAGATGGAAGTCGGCCAAAGAGGCCATCTGGGGTAATAGGTCTTGTGTCAAGGGCTCGACCGGCGGCACAGGCTCCCTTGAGGGCAGGAAGAAGGGCAAGAAGAACGAGTCGGAGGGTGGTTAGGAGGGCATGGAAGAGCAGAAGAAGGCCCCCTAGAGCGGAGCAGATATAGAACTAGAAATAAGCCGTCTAGATCTAGAAAGTTCAACGAGTATAGGAGGGGCTTAAGGCCATGCCAACCAGACCTAGCAATGCCATGCCTTTTGCCTGGATGCTCTGATATATGTTCAAGACTCGGAGCAAAACTGCATTTAGTATATATAATAGCTACTACAGGCAAATTATAATAAAGGCTAAGACTCTCGAGCTTCTATAGCTTTGCTAGGGGTAAAGTAGGATAGCAATGTTATTTATGGACAGAGGAGCGGGCCATTATGACTAAGTATATATATATATAATAGACGGGGTCGAATAGCAGACATAAAGTAGATACTATATAAAGATAATAAATACATAAGTTTCATTAGATAATGGTAATAAATATCGTTATTTAAGTCTGTAGTTAAGTTGTTGAACTTAACAAGGGTCAGCCGACGGAAACGCGACGCGTTTTATGTTTTAGGTTTTCTGATTTCATTAGTGCAGTACGAGAAACGCAGTGCGTTTCCATTTGTGAAAATATGGGGCGAAAGTACTAGACAGTGATTGGTCAAAAACAGGAAACGCCATGCGTTTCTGCTGATAATTCTTGAGTGGGGTTGTTTGACATAGAACAAATGAATTCTACGTAGAATTGATTTTGGCATGGTGCACTTAAACTTCAGCTTGGTCGGGAAGGAAATGAAAGTCAACGTTGTCTGATGATGGAGAATTAATAGGGGTTCCAATTACCGCCCGAGTATAAAGCCGCTTTCGCCTTTTGACGGGGCCACGCAGGATGTATGTAGATTGGTACGTCGAGCTCCACAGCTTTTGGCCAGAAGATTCCATACCCAATGCCATCGAAATAATTGCCGCTGGAATGGTTGTCTATCAGCGCTCCGACAAACCCATGCTCTTTGATACATCTTTCAAGCTCATGCGTTGTTGCGACGGGATCACTCATTTGCAGAGCGGCAAAGCCAGCGAAGCGAGGCTTATTCGCTCGTATTGCCGCCGCAAGCTCATCGTTACAAGCTGTTATAGTCTCGGCTGTGAGAAAATTCGTGGGAGTGTGAGAAAGGACTTGAATCGCTACGTTGTTCTCATCCATGCTCTTTATTCGTTCATCATCGAGGTCGACGAGCTTGTTGATGATACTGGTAGGAAACCCATGGATTGGGTCGTCTGTAGCTACCTCTGACGAGTGTGCTGCCTGAGAGAGAAAGTGCTCCTCAAGTGTAATACTCATTGTAGTGATGTATTGCTTGCTAACGTCTTGAAGGTCAAGGAACTTAAAGGTGGAATGGAATCGCGCAAAGGATGTAAGCATACAACTTCTAAAACTGTTACCGGGACGAAAAGAAAAATACCTGGTGTCATATGCCTAATATAATTGTACGCTCTTCGGAGATCTTGGATTAAACGTCATCGCCATACAATATATAGACTGGCTGCTGCAGTGCATCTCGGTGCCGATTCGGCAAACCAAGACTGCAATAATATATCACTCCTATATGAGACCGACTTACATGTATTCAATGCAGTGTCTTCGAGTTGAGATACACAGCATAGTGAGGCACCCTGGGCTCCCGCCAGCCTCGTTTTGGGAGATCACAGTTTTGGCTTGAGACCATTCTGATACTCTACTCTGCTCTCAACAATAGATATCTCATATACATGAGAAATAGGGAGAACCCTCGATATCCGTTCCATTGTGCTTCTGCTCTCAGAATCTGATCAATCTCTAACCATTACCATACCACCTTTCCAATCATGCAATCCTTCAACCTCCATCTTCGTCACCTCAGCAAACCCATATCTTGCATAAAGCGTCTCCAGACCAGCTAGACTAACAAGCCAAGCCACCGAGTCTTCATCATCTACCTTCTCAAGTCCATCTTCAAGCAGCATCTTGCCAAGACCCTCTCCTTGCAGAACAGGGTCGACACCCAGCAGAGAAAGGTAGTGCGCTTTTTGCCTTTGTGGGGTGTCCAGCACATGCGGCTCAACAGCAGAAAATGCTTGCTCAAAGATTTTCATGTTGTTCTTGTTGAGACCTTGGACTGGGAAGAGATATTCTTGAAGGTCGATAAAAGCGTTGACGACTGAACCGATCCAGAACGCTGATAAAATTAGCAGGGATTCGAAAGAGACCAACTACACAAACTTACAGGGAGAGAGGAGCTTTTGAATAAGTGTTAGAGGCTGAGTTGGTCGCTTCCACCACGATAGGCCGACGGGATGATCATGCTTATCAGCCACGACAGTCAGTGAATACCCAGGCGTCCAATACCGGCGCTGAAATCTCCAACAAGACCAGGTATAGAAAGACAAAGGGTCTTGCCGCCGGGTAGGGAAGAAGAAGTCGATTAATGGTTCGTTGCCAAATGATGCAGCATAAATCCGTGTTGTGGCTGGAACATCAAAGAAGGTTCCGGGCCGGATGCGGTATTTCGGCGCGGGATCTGAAGATTCGGACATGATGACACGATGCTGCCAGTTTTTGTTCCTTTGAAGTTTTGGTGATAGAGAACTGAGGTTCAGACAAAGAATAAAGAGATAGCCTGCTCGACATTGGGCAGCATGGAGTTGATACCTAGCTGTCCGGTTCCGAGGCCAGGATGACTCAAATTTTCTCCACGGGATCAACAGTCGGAACTGATCCGACTAGCTTGATAAATGCTCCACTTCATTTGCCAGATCATGAAGATTTCGGTCGAAGCGGTCAAAAAGACCTGTGACAAGCCTATACTATACATGACGCATTTTCTTGTGATCAAGGGTAATCCAGTTGCTTATTTACTCTATCGAGGCAGGTGGTATCAAAGGATCTCAGAAGGATCATGGTAAGCTCAGTGTTCTAGACCGCCGTGGTCGCTTATCAAAGCTCCACTTGGGCTTGACGGGCCTCATAAAACCCGCATGACCAAGCACCTTGGTCTCTCACCACGTATCATCAGAAAAGCGTTGATAATGTCACAAGAATTTGTTCTCCCGCGCCCAGGGGCGCGTTACAAGCCTCAGCCGCCAGTTCCGGGGCCGACAGAGGCCGCTTTCGTTGAAACATTCGGAGCGCTACTGCCAGCTGTTCAATTCCTTCAGACTCCCCGCGGCAAGGCTGCTTATTACGAGATCACACCTTCATCATCCAAGGGTGATACCACCAAAATTGATAAAGTGCTGTTCATCCATGGTGTTCAGACCCCAGCGCTAGGCATGCTGCCCCTTGCCCGCGATCTTGAGAAGTCGTTCCCGGCTGCGCATATGGTTCTGATCGATCTCTGGGGCCACGGACTGAGCGATACACCTGTTGTTCCGCACGAACCATCTCTATTCCACCAGCTGATTGACGATCTACTGGATCATCTGAGCTGGCCGTCTGCTCATCTCGTGGGCTTTTCCTTTGGCGGAGCCACTACTGTCAGCTACGTTGCCTCCAGGCCCTCACGTGTCAAGAGCTTCACTCTCGTCGCGCCCGCAGGCCTCTTACAACTATCCATGTTCACGCCCGATGAGCAAGCCTGTCTGCAAGGAGACGACGAACATGCTGCAAAGAAGTGCGTGTTGAACATTCTCGAAGGCGGTGACCTCGTTGTGCCAGCAGATTGGAAACAAAGGGTCGCCAAGGGTGAGGTCGTCGCGGAGGCAGTGCGCGAATGGCAGATGCGCGAGCACCCGGGACATACAGCTTCTGTCGTCGCGATTTTCAGAGACGGCGGTGTAATGGGCTCGCATGCTCACTTTGATGAGGCGGCGAAGACGGGAATTCCATCACTCGCTGTGCTTGGCGAGCTGGATAGCTTGTGCAGCAAGGATCAGCTGAATGAGCATGGATTTGAGAATGTTTTTGTTGTTCCAAAGGCTGTGCATAGTGTTGTGAGGGATCAGGCTGAGGATGTTGCTAACCTCATTGGGGATTTCTGGAAGAAACTAGAGAAACAATAAAAGGAAACAGAGGCAATAGTGTCACAGAACAACATCGGAGCAACTCTCTGCATCCCCAAGCCTCCGGGCACTTGCCTCCCCTATTGAAGCCACTCTATAGTTAGACTTTGTTTGACTATATGATGTTCAACCAACCCCATGATCTACCGCTGTGAAGTCTGGGATCTAGATCCCAAAACTCACACCACTTTGAAGCCCCTTCGTCAATATTGCCATTTATAGTTCACCTACTTTACCAGCCGCATGGTAATGCCATGCTGATAGGCTAGCATAAGTTAGTACGCATGACAACATTCCAGTTGAAGGGTCGTAATGGTTCTCGAAGATTCAGCGCTTTAACATCCGATTGGACAACAAAGTATTTCGACTTCACATGTCTCGTATCAATGGTTGCTGAAACTAGTTATAATCTCCAAGTTTCTCGTCCCCGATGCTGCTGTCAAATATCCCGAACTATTTATCTCTATTGTCATTCAATCCGGGCCAAACCAAACCCCGCAATGCCTGTCACTGAGATCAAAAGCCAAGATGACTATGAAAAACTCCTTAAGAAGTACAAAGTCGTCATCATCAATGCATATGCTTCATGGGCTGGTCCCTGCAAGGCCATGAGCCCTATCTACGAGAGGCTCTCCAACCAATCCCTTACAACCCGGAATACTTCGCCATCACCAAACTCGGCATCGACAAAGTATCCGATCTTGCTGAAAAGCTTGATGTTCCAGGTATCCCGTTTTATTTGGCTTACGAGGATGGAAAGAGGAAGGATAATATCTTAATGCCTGGCCTGAGTACACTCCAGAAGTTTCTTATTTCGTGGTCTGATAAGGCTCATGAGTTGGGAAAGGAGCCAGAAAAGAGGTGATTTCACAATTTGCAGGATATCCTTTCAGAAAGAACGAAGTTGAGGCCTCTTGGAGACTTTAAGTTACTCAACTACATTGGTAGGAAGAAACAATTCTTATGGTGGTCGTTGTTTTAGATTCCGTCAAGCTTGGAGTTATTTATTTTGTGTTGGAAATTGATAGAGAACGAGTATAAACCCAAGGTATCTCGCTTCAGATTAAATATTAGTATTGCGTTTTTCTTTTCTCATCCCGCGTTTGTTGTTTGTTTGCGGCTATGTCTTCGGTTATCTAAGTTGAGGTTACCGACACCTTATCTTATCGTTTCGCAACTGTCGGCCCAGCATTGGAAATTGTCGTACCGAAACCAATTACCACCAAAAAGAAAGCCGACGTCAAAAATGCACAGAAAAGGACGTTATCTGTCATGTCGCGAACTTGACAGCCGTCTTACGAACGCTTCATTTACAGCTTCGCAATATCCTCAAAACTTCAAATTCCCGTGATTAATCTGAGACTCTAATTCTAACCCCCAACCTGCAAGACAGGGATGGAAACTTGAGCTCTCCACCAGCTGAAGAACCGCATCAACAGTCTCCTCAGCCGCAGTAGCAAAAAAAGCATGGCTCGCCTTCTCAACTGTCACTTTCCTGTCGATCCCCCCTACAGCCGCATACATCTCCTGTCCCGCCGGGGGCACAACACGATCAGCCCCGCAGATAACATAACCTGCCTTTCCCTTATAATTCTCATCTGTAAGCGGAGAATAAGAAATCGGCGTGTTCATACTATTCAACGCTTGGTCTTTTAGCAAAGAGATATAATACTTTGCTTCTGTGTCGGAGATGTCGTGATACATTGTTTCTTTTGCCCCTGTGAATTTGACCCAGCCCGTTGTCTCCTGTGATGATTAGAGTTTGTTAGTCTGTGGGGTTGCCCTGCGGCACAGGGCGGGGATGTTGAATCACGTACGTTGTATTCAACCCACGGAGGAAGATTCTTTGCGTCTGTGCCCATCATGTCCAAGGTTGTTTTCCCTTCAACGGGTGTGACAGCCGAGACGTAGATCAGGGCGATTACACCACCTTTTTTACCCGCTTGTTCCCGCTCTTTCTTGCTTAAGCCTCGAACAGCCTGTGAACCATACATTCCGCCGTAAGAATGCATCAACACCACGATATCCTTGCCATCCTCAACAAGCGGGAGTAGGACTTTCGTCCGTAGTGATTCAGCATCGTCTTGACAAGTGGCGTTTGCATCATGTAATCCTGGTGCATTTTGGCTGACGAATTGGTATCCCTTTTGCGTGAAGATTTTCTTTATGGGCTCGAATGACTCGACGGTATGCCATGCACCCGGTACAGCCAAGATAGTTGGAGACATGATAAAAAGCAAAAAGGGTGAGTGACAACGCAACCGCACAGATGATGTGTTGGTGGCGCAACGCAGATTTATAGTCACTCGTTCAAGAATCAGTAGATCAAGTCCCCTTTCGTATGCATGCCAATAATTAGCCTGGCTCTCACGAATCCGCGCTCTGACAGAGATACCGAGACTCATGCAATCTCAGGGTGTTTCCACAAATAGTATACCGACATCAACCTCGCGACCGAGTCATGCACCCCACAATACCCTAGCTTCCGACCGACTCATGCCAATCTTGATACCCAATTAAATTGGGGAATACCCCCGATGATCATCAAACTGGCTATGCCATATCTACTCCAAGGGCCTTCTAGCTAAATGTTAGTCCCTCTTCAATGGTTTCCTCTTCGTATGAGCTAGCAATATGGCTGTCGATGGAGGTAATGTTACCTACGATGAGGCTTTTCTCAATGAGAGTCGGCAGAATGAGGTTTATGCGAGGCACATTGCCTTTTTCGCTCTGATGATGATTATTGTGCCGTGTCGGTTCTTTTCATCGAGGTTGACGAAGAAGACGCTTTCTTGGGACGATTGGCTTGCGTATTTCGCAGCGGTAAGCCACTCGGCTCTCCGAATTTGACGTGTCTGACATTTCTTATAGTTCAATACTGTTGGGGTATTCATCACAAGTATGCTATGGCTTCGATTCGGCCTGGGGAGGCATCTTGCTTGGGTGATGCAGGACAATCCGAAGAACATCGAAAACTTCTTCAAGGCCATCGTTGCAAATGAGATCATGTACACGACGGCTTTGGCCTGTGCGAGATTATCCCTTGTGGCGTTCTTCTACCATATTTTCGGTGTATCAAGCATGAGATATTTTCTCCACGGATTTGTCGCCTTTATCATTGCATGGGCCATCTCGACGGCAAGGCTCACCACCAAAAAGCTCTGCGGCCAATGCTGACATGGCGTAGTACGTTCCCTCGATTCGAACATGCTGGCCTATCTCGAGCTTCTGGGATGGCACGAACCAGAATTGCATCGATCTTTCCAAATTCTATGTTGGAGTCGCCATTGGTGGTATCATCACTGACATTGGTCTGATGATTATTCCTCTGCCGTATATCTGGGCTTTGAAGGTACCCTTATACCATAAGATCTTGATCGCAATCATGTTGGTCTTTGGTAGTTTGTGAGTACCTCTCCCCCAAATAGCGATTGTCATGCTCACAAACGAAGTGCTTGTTTCGTCACCATCATCCGCCTCACCAAGGTCATCACCGTTGATCTGACCGATCCAACTTGGGGTACTGTCGATCTGATGATCTGGACCGGCATGGAAGTCTACAGGTAATGTATTTTCCTCTGAAACAGCTGTGAAACCAATACTGACTGATCAGCGCTGTGATTTGTTGCTGCCTCCCAACCATGCGTCCGCTGATCAAACTTTTCTGGAAGAAGCTCGGCTTAAAGCAACTGAGTTCAACTGGGAATACCGATCCCTCAAAACCTGTATCGAACGGTACCGGCATGTGGGGAAATAAGTCTCGTCAGAATTCACGACATTTAACAGATGGTGTTCTTGCATCAAATGCAGACGAGATGGAGCTGACGAAGCATGCTTACTATGAGCTGCATTCAGATAATGCTCACGGTCGATCGCAAGACTCCATCACGGTGCATCAGCAAGTTTGAACATAGAGCCACTCTTTAAAAAAGAGGCTGAAATCGGTAGACAGTACGAAGTGTAGTTTTAGAATAAGCATAAACTGAGCATTCATTCTCAAAGGGTTTTCGGTGGAAATATGGATCACCCGAAGCCGGACTGTCTAGATCCCGAGAAGTGGGGCACCGGTCCCGAACCAACTGCGCCGTCCCGTCCCTAGCCCGATGTCAACGTCGGACCCGAAGCTTGCCTTTTCGGGCCTTGATCAGCACTGTTGATCGGGACTATATATGTTCCCTTCTCGCCATCAAAATACCGGTCATTCTATCTACAATTTTATCTTTTGTTCAAACGACATGGCTACTACACAAGAAACTTCAGTCGTCATCGTCGGCGGTAGCCTCGTCGGCCTCTCAACAGCCCTCTTCCTCTCCCATCTCAACATCCCCACAATTCTCATTGAGCGTCATCCTAGTAGCTCCCTTCACCCTCGTGCCATTGGCTACACTGCCCGAACAATTGAACTCTTCCGTACCGTTGGCGTAGAGTCGAAACTCAAAGGCATTCAATGGTCAGGCGGTCCACCCCGGCGTATCGTTGTTGAGAGTCTTGCCGGCAAGTGGACGAAGGAGCAAGGCTGGACGCAGAGACCCAAAGGTGGACCGCCTGTTTCGTTTGCGGAGTATTCTCCTACTGAAGGTGTTGCTATCGCTCAAGATGTCATTGAACCTGTTTTGAGAGATCGCGCGAGGGAGCTTGGTGCGGATCTTAGACTGGGCTTCACTGTTACGGGCTGGAGCCGAGATGGTGCAGGTGTTACAGTCAATGCTACGGGAAGTGACGGTGAAGAAATCCATGTCAAGGCAAGTTACATGATCGCATGCGATGGCAACCGCAGCCGTGTTCGAGAAAGTCTCGGTATCCAACGTCATGGCGTTGGTCTTCTTCGCAAGCTCCAGAGCATCATGTTCAGATGCGAGCCTCTTCAACATTTCCTCGACCACGGCTACAGTCAATTCCAGATTGAAGGTCGCGAAGATGGTTTCGAGGCTTTTATGACCACTTATGGCGGCGGGCGATGGATGCTGGCTTGGAACCAAGAGGTCGACGACCCTGCAGCTGTTCTAGATGGCACGACCCAGCGCGACATGGTCCGCAAGGCTTCTGGTGTACAGGATCTTCGCGATGAGGATATTAAACTTATTACCACTGGTAAATGGGACATAGGTGGTCTCATTGCGGATAAGTTCTCTTCTGGTCGTATCTTCCTTGCTGGCGATGCAGCTCATGCCCTCCCTCCAAACCGTGGCGGTTACGGAGCAAACACCGGCATAGCCGATGCACATAACCTTGCATGGAAGCTCGCATCAGTGCTTCGCGGCGAATCATCGTCAGAGCTTCTTGATACGTATGACGTTGAGAGACGACCTGTCGCAGATGTCCGGCATGACCAGATCTTTGCAAGGGAGGACTACAAGCGATACGTCGTCGACAAGGAATGGCCTGGAAAGAATGTCGAGGTCATGGATGATGCCGCGATGGAGTTCGGCTATTTCTACAACTCAAAGAGCATCATAGGTGGTCCTGATGGATCTGTTCCCGTGAAGAGACCAGATGAGTGGAACGGACAACCAGGTACTCGAGCACCTCATGTCGCTTTGCAGGGAGATCATGTTTCAACGCTAGACTTTTTCGGTACATCCTGGGTCGTTATCTCAAAGGACAAGAACTGGCGCCAGCTTGTCACAGAGGCATCTAAAGCGACCGACGTAAAGATCACGTTTGTGCATATTGGAAGCAGTGTTACCGAGAAGAATGAGGGAGACTTCGATACGTTGTTTGGCTTGGAGGCCAGCGGCGCTTCTTTGGTTCGACCCGATGGCTTCATTGCTTGGAGAACGAAGAACCGGCAGGCTGAACCACAGGACGACTTGACGCAGGCGGTGGTCCAGATTTCATTCTCACCGAAGCACACGAGGGGGTTACAGTGAAGGTTCGTGGTTTTAGTTCGAAACTTTATGCTTAAGCTTAGTTTTTTAGGGCAAAGTGTAATAGTAGGTCAATTGTTATAGATAGAATTCCTGATTCCTGACTATGCGCAAGGACACTCCACGTCCGAAAGAACAAGACGGATCCAAAGGGACAGCTCCTGTGGCGCTTGATAGATACCATATTCAATTGCCGACTCAACAATTCTAGATTCAAGAATTAGTCTAATTATGCGAGCATTGCCTGAGCCAATAGCCAGCCGGGGTGTATGGCCAGAGTATACACAGCCACTATGGCACATAGGTATCCCAACCACTAATTAAAAGGCCGGCAGTAGTAGACGGTCTCAACAGTCCAGCCATCCACGGTGTACAACACAACAGGCTTACCAACAGGCCCAGTGCGCTTCCAGCAGTTATACGTATGGTACCCGTTGGTGCCCGTGCCAGCCCAGGCATTATCATGCTTGCTAGCCGCGTCCGCAAAGATGTTTGACGTGAAGGACACGCCAGTGCCAAAGGTACCTTGGTTTCCAGTCAGCTTCTTGCTTTTCAAGGGTAGAAGGAACAAGAACTTACCCTTTACGGCTTGACCTTCCCAAATGATGTGGCTTCCGTGGGTGACATCGACGTAGTCATCGGGACGAGAGCCTCCGGTTCCGCCGGTTGCATCATGTCCGTCGGCATAGTATGCCATTCCGCTGGAGATCTCATTGCCTTTCCAGGAGTTTACGAGGTAGAGTGTGTCGGCGGCCGAGGCAGCGCCAACGAGGATGGCAGTGAGAAAAGCGGTGATCTTCATGGTGATGGTGATGAGGCTGGATGGTTGGGTTGTGATATCTCTTGGCGAAAACACCGCATATTTATATAATACGAGAATGCACGTTTTCGCAAAAGGACCAAGCTGTGAACCAATACCTAGCGGCTGGACAGTCAGCTTGGGACGTGATATCCATCTTGTGTGCAGCTTTGTTTCATTTACCCGATTACAAGCGCTTACATCAGCGGCCGTCACTGAATCGAGAAGCTGCTCCACTGAGCTGAAAATTCTTTGGCTATTAGTTGGCCGACCCCTGGTATCATTAGAACTCCTGCCCTGCGAGTAATACCGACCTAAACAGAATATGGTGGCAATTCTCGAGGCTCGGGCCGCCGTTTCATGCCTACTTTGCCTGATTAGGCAGGACTCTCACAGCGATTGGTGTTTATCTTCAGTTCGTGGTAATTTGCCTGTGATTCACAACAAGGAACTCCATGCTTCCATGATATAGTACTTGTTTTTCTCATGCAACTAAACGGGCGCGATTGGAAGGACCGCAAAGTAATGTCTGTACTTGGCCAAGTCAAGTCCATGGCGGTGTGCCCAAATATAGAGTCTTGTCAGCTGTTGATGCGTTTAGTCGCCGTTGGTGGATGACCAGATGATAAGTAGGGTCACGCTGAGAGAAAAATGCAACCCGAAAGGGCAATTCAGATCTTTGGGTTTTGATACCCAAGATTCTAAACACATGATAGCATATGGCCAAGATAATGCTCTCAAGAGTCTTTCAGCCGAGTGCAAATTTAATTGCAGGACCAATTATGGACAGACACGATTCTAGTTCAAATCCTGTTTGTTTGTCGACTCCTGCATCGGTGCCAAGCCATGTGACATGAATTTTTGAAACTGGAGAGGAAGCTTTACTATAAGGATTAGTAACAAAACCTATGCCATAAGGAAAGGTGATTATTTTGGGTAATACACATAAAATCCTTCGAATCTTATTTTTTAACTACAGTTTCCTTTACTAGTTTATGCTTATAAGATGAATTTAAGGTATTATCTTATACACCACGGCGAGTATATTATTAGTACATGTATATCTTAGTGCTGTTATCTTTTTTAGAAACTAAGGTAATTAAGAACTATTAAATCTTCTTTTTAGTTATATAATATGTATTGATTTTGGTTCTATAAAAGGGTTAAGCCTAGTATTTCTAGTTAGTACCTTATGCTAATGCTCTATGGGTATACTCTAGGTATTAGTAAAATAAGATATAAACCTAAGATCTGTAGATTTATAAGATTCAACTATTCTTTATTATAGTTCTTTAAATAGAACCCTAATGGAGGACGTTCTATACTTCGTTTATTATAATATAATGCTACCTGTGGATCTCTGTAATATAGATAGGGAGATAGCATTGGACTATGCTGTTGAGATGGGACAGCAGGATTATAGCCCAGACCGTTTTGACCGAGGCCGATGGGCTAGGGCGGAGGGGCAAATTCGCGGTGTAGAAAAGGATATACAGTTTGGATGTCTACCAACCCTACTAAGTGAGCCCTAAGCCGTTGTCTTTACTTTCGTTGGCAAACATCATCGCATATCACCACAACTACCGAAGAACTACATCAAGCCTTTTAAATAAAAAAAGAAAACAGCAGTTGAAAATGGAGCAAACATGCTTATCTCGCAATGCTAATCAGAAGAGGGAGGAGACTTTGGCCACATTTCCCACTCTATCACATCCTCCCATCGAAGGATCTCATCATCCTCGTCGTCGAGAACAGGCGCTGAGTAATACATGTTCCTCCTTTTATTTCGCCTGCGCTCCGCTCGTTTCGCTTTTTCAGCCATGTGCTTCTTGCGTGCCCTCTTTGCCCACTGCTTTAACTTGTCAGGGTAGCATATGCACCACAACGCAACCTCTCGTGCCGCCATAGCGTCTTCCATGGCATCATGAGTGTCGGAACCCTGTCGAATACTCAATTTCAACAAATCTCCACAGAGGGATTGAAGACTCCATCGATGACCAAAGGGAGTACCTGTTCCAAACACCGCTTCTGCTGTAAGAATAGCAGTATCGAAAATCTTTTCATGTGATACTCGTAGCCTTCTTAAATCTTGCTGGAGAGATTGTCCAACCATTGCTGTTTCTGTGTTGATATGCTTGAGTAGCTCTTGTCGCGCTGCTTCCCAACCATAGAGAATTTGTCCTTGGGATGCAGCTATAGCGAGTGTCGCCGGCCTTATACCATGTATGTTGGTACGCCAGTCAATGATGGGCTCGAGAGGTTTGACAAGAGAATTGATCAAAACTTCGCCAGTGAAAAAGTCGATCGCGCAGATGGATATGATTTCACTCTCACCATTTACGACTCCTGCCATTTCGCAATCTAGAGCGATTGCCTTTCTTTTGGGCTCGAGAGAGCTCGGGTAAGAAGCCATAACGGTTTGCTTCGTGATAGCGGCCTGTCTAGCGTTCTCGCGAGTTTCCTTCCCCAAGACATAGCCCTCCTTTCTAAGGCGCTCAGAAGAATGGCATTTGAGAATGAGACGGTCGTATATAATTCCCATATCTAGTAGTGGTAGTCTTTTGTAGTTTTGGTCTTGGAAGTGAAATTGCTGTGGAGGTTGAGGCGTTGAGACGGTTAACACTTGGTTCTGAGATGGCACAACCGCCGGTAACTTCCCATGTTTTGCTTCGTTATGCTGAGACAAGGCTTCTGTGCTGCAAAACCATCTGATGCAGTGCTCACAACACTGATTGCCTTCATGGTCTGCATCTAAACAATGTTTCGCCAATTGGGAATGAGTTTTGAAAGGAGCAGAGCATACTTTACAGCATGGCTTTCTATTCTTGTTGACTTTGACTTTGACCATTGTAGATATGTTTGAAAGGAAGTGCTCAGTAAAATGAAAGAGGAGAAGTTGGAGGCGACATGAGTTATTTGTTTACGAGTTGCATGTTGGGCCTCAGCGCTTGGCAGGCCTCCTGAGTCAATTGTGTGTTGGCAGTGCGAATGCAGGATGGTGGCGCGATCACGCGATCCAGGCAGTGCGCCTCGGCCGAGTTGAGTAGCCAAGTCCACATCTGTAGTAACACGAATCGGAGCCTATTGGTTAATTTGACTGATATATTCGTATCTATGTGAAAGATTACAGCCTTGCAGGCATGTCCCCTAATAAAGTGAAGGTCAGGTAGTGGGCTGGCATCGTGAAATAAATTGATGTCAACGGCCAAGCAGGAAGGTGACAGCTATCGGTCACACAAAGGTTCATCAGTTTGATCCGTCCATGGAAATGTAAGATAAGCGCTGTAATAAGTGTTATCTAGTGCGGGGTTTAAAATGCATCCTCAAGCTGAACCAACAAGCTCTGCCATGTCTTGACAATTTACTTTTTCAAAGGCCCGCTATGCATGCAGGAGGCCGACCTCTCTGTCATCCAGTCAGGTTTATCCGGCTGCAGTGGCCAGAATATTGCCACATACATGAGACGTAGGACTTGAATATCAGCACATTTGGAAGAGGACTTCACTTGTGACGTTGGTCTCCTCTTGACAATAAGAAGGGGGCTCTTCCCGTGGATTCCACTCATTTTGACCCTCTGACCATTCCTACCACCAAAGCTCCCAGCCTTCTGCATCCTACAAATCACTTTTCGTCATCTTAGATATGTCATCCTTCCAAAAGGTCCAATCAGACATTCATGCTAGTCAAAGTCAGCTGCCGCATCCTATCCATGCCATTGCCAAGCACATCCCGAGGCTCTCGGAGCTTTCTTGGTTTGGGTGCAATGATGAACTCTCGGAACCAAGTATATCTGCAGAGTGCATAACTGATATTCTTGCCAACAATTTCAATCAAATGCATCAGCAAATCGAAGACTTGCAAGGCACGATAAACGATCTTTTAGACGAAAACAAGGACCTAAAGGTTCAGATGTCGACAAAGATTGAAGAATCAATATCCCTGCTACAGAAAATCTGCAAAATGAATATTGATATACAAACAAGTCTCAACGAAAAAAGGGCAATGGCAGATGAAGTTGACAAGCTGCGAGCGCAGATTGCCGGGCGTCCGCTAGGAATGCTTGAAACAACACAAAGAGGCATCATCATCAGCAAACTACTATCTAGATCACAGTCTATCTACGAGAGTTACAACGCAATCCAAGAGGAGGGATTACTTAATTCCAAAATTGAGAATGCGGCGTCTGATGTAAAGAGCCCTTTGGACAGTATCCTCAGTGCTGATGAGGCTCGAAGGCTGTTTCATTCCTTTCAAGATTGGTTTGACGAGCAAGATCTGGATTCAATATCATTGCGCCGTTGCTCAGTTTGTCACAAGATGAGGTTCGAACAAGCCACGCCCAATATTTCATACCCTTTAGTCGACGAATTTTCCACAAGTCTCCGACGGCCTATCACCTGCAGGACTTCTGTCTGCTTGGTCTGCTATCTTGAATCTGTTCTCAAGTCTATACAGGGACTACCTGAAACTTGGTGGGAAATGTCGGGGTCAACAGTTCTGATACCATGTCCGTGCGGTGCCTGTTCGGCTGATATCACTTTCCAGGATCGTGGGACTTTACAGAGGCTACTTAGACTCACGAAAGTCCAGGATGCAGACAAAAAACTGAGAATGTAGGCATATACAGAGTGACCTGGCTTCAAATTGTTAACCTTCCCCAAATAGATATGATACAGCACAGCATCTTGTGTCAGTACTCGACAGCCTTGATCCGCAGCCAACTTTAGAAGCACGTCAAGTAGCCAAGCGCCTACATCAACACCTTACTTCGAATGGTATTATGAAACCACTGCTTGATCTTGCGATCTCAGAACTACATACTCTGGAAGAGGGTGTACCACACGACGTGAACTCCAGCCTCGTTCAGCTCCTCGAGCTGGATGGCACTTACGAGGTATTGCGTGTTCCCATCTTCACACAGCTTCTGCAACGAGCACAGTCTCCGGTTGAATGTTCTATATGCACTGAACCTGTCTATGATTTAGTTGGCGAAGCCTTGAACAAGTGGGATACTATTTGCAGTGATTACGATGGGGACTGGAAGTGGAAGGTTCTTCCTTTCCCTCGCAAGCTTGAACAGAGGTGCTCTCATACTGTTGACTTCTGCACGGAGTGCTTAGAGAACTACATTGAAGCCCAGCTTGATCAACATGGAAGAGCTGGATGCCATCTACTTACTTGCCCTTCTTCCGATTGCGGTCGGCGACTTGAATACGACGAAGTGAAACTATATGCGCGACAAGAGACATTTTCGAAGTAAGTACTGTTTCTAGTATTTATCAGCAAAACGAGATTCTAACACGCTTAAAGATACGATAAATACTTGACACTAGAGGCTTTGAGCAATTTGCCTTCTTTTCGATGGTGTCTTGCCGAAAATTGTTCCTATGGTCAGATACATGACCTAATCGAGAGTAACCACGTCTCATGCGAGGAATGTGGCTACGAGATGTGCTTTGAGCACCAAATTAAATGGCATGATGATCTGACCTGCGGAGAGTTTGATAGCATGGAGAAGAATGGAGACCCTCGGTTCCGTGAAACTCGAGACTGGGTAAATGCCAACACCAAGCAGTGCCCTTCATGCGGAGTCAATACACAGAAAGGCCCAGGTTGCTTTCACATGACTTGTGAGTTACATCGCCAGAAGTCCCACTTGATTTGTTCTGACTTCAATGACAGGTACGCTATGCCGCCACGAGTTCTGCTGGGAATGTCTTGCGAGCTGGAGCGATATCATGCCGAGACCGGGACAGTACAATCAATCAGCTCATCGAGATGGCTGTTACTTCAGGTCCAGTAATCGACAACCTACACAGGTTACTGGGGAGCATATACCTATTAGGTAATGGGACAGGTATATATCAAGTCTGGAACACTGAGACTTAGGTACACTCATTTCTCAGAGGTGAAAAGCTCATCATGCTTTATACTATGTTAAGGTCTGTTGAATATTTGCGTATACCTAGGACTAGATCGCTATTATCAGACAATCTCAGTCCAGGCATGACTGTAATCACTATTAGTCCACAGCCTCCATTTATCGGCAATCAGGAAAACCCTGGATCCACAGGGACGAGATTGCGTTAGATCTGAGGTTTATGTGTATTTTTTAATATTTAGATCCTATATCGCCCTTTCGAGCTTGTAGGTGCTTAAAGTTTAGTTCTCCGGGCTCATCATGTATCATCTCAATCCACGGCAATTCACCAACCATTTTTCGCGCAGTTTCCCAAGAGAGGTCTGGTTCAACAGAAGATCTCCATACTGAAAATGATATCGAGCTCGATGTGTCGATAGTAGAGATATACCCCATCAACATCAGCCAAAGAAGCAATGGCATGTAGGAATTTTGTTCTTGTTTCATAGCCAAATAGCACTCCTCAAGCTGTGAGGTAAATATTGGTAGGTGAGATTTCCGTACCGGACTACGCGAGAGTGTGGACAAAAAGGCAAGCATGCCAAGTCGCAGAGCTTCGGATACGACAGGGAGATGACCGTCTCCCAGACCGATCAACAGAGTTTGACTCGTGCTAACCTGAGACTGGAAGTCCAACCAATTGAGAATTCTTTTCGACTTTGAGGATTGACATCGGTTCGCATGATTTGACAAAGCTTGCAATGTCTGGTAGCAACTCATCAACGCGGGATGCACCATCAACCAGGGCAAAGTACTTGACAGGCTAATGACGCTGGCAGGTTGTTGGCAGTATGAATAGTCGAAAGGAAAGCACAATGGCTGACCCGTCGCCAACGACATCCTAAGATCGACCTGCTGGATCTTGAACAATAGTTTAGAGTCCGACGGCACCGGCTTTGTCTCACGCAATTCCAACAACCTCCTCAGTCCGTCGAGGTGTGTTGAAACAGCATCAAAATCTTGAAACGACTCAGCTGCAAAGAGCAGAATCAATATGATAAGTATGGTGGAGTAGGATTGTTGCGCTGAAGCATTGCGAAGACTGCTATTCAAAGACGAGAGGATGGTGCAGAGTAGTCGCTGCGATCGAAGTGATAGCTTGGTTCCAGAACATAAATCATCCACGGCATATGTAGCCAGGAATATCGACTCAAGTAGAGTCTTGTTCTCATTCAGCAATGTCAAGTCGTCGGTCATTCTATGTCCTTGGACGTCTGTGTTCTCGAGGTATATCTCAAGAGGATATGCCGCATCCAGCAAGGCATTGTACTTGACGACTACAATCTCCCGTTAGTACTGACGACCGACTTTCTGGTGCGGATCTACAATACATACCTAATCGCAACACAGTAAATGGCAAGCGAGATGAGTCAAAACCAAGCTCGTCAGTTCGGATCTGTAGTGACTTTACAAGAGGCCCGCAACTTGTTAATTGATAAGAAGACGTAACCTCTAGGAATTCAGTACTCTTCCCGAGACTTTCAGTTGCGGCGACTGTCTCGGATTCCTTACGCGCCTTTCTTCTGGATCGACGCGAGCCTTGGCGAACATTGACGCCCTTCATGCACCGACTCCGAATCGAGACTCGACTACCGGGTTCGAGTGGGCGCCCATGGCCATCAACGGTCAGAAACGTAAACTCAGTGGCTGCCATTGGATCAGATGATTGCCGATGATGAGTGAGTGATGTTGACCGTTCCGAAAAAGGGTCTCAATCTGGCCCAAATCTCGCATCCGCTAAGCCTCAATCCTTCATGATGGACCCAGGCTTGCATTAATCAGCTGAACTCCACCACCTTGACCAGACTGATACCTCAATTGGGCCTAGCGTGATTATCGAGAACTGTTGACCCGCCTCCACTCAATTCGGATTTTAGAATGCTCCGAGCTAACGCAGATCTTATCTTCTGTACTAACCGCGTTGGGACAGCAATCTGGTTGTATATCTAGGTCGATCCGAAAACTTCGGAGGAGTATGCGAGGCATTACCACAAGACACAGAAGCTAAAGCAAAAGTCTGATAACGCGCATTAGTAAAGCACGTTCTAGATGCGAAGACCACATCGTTATCCAAGCTGGGTTATATCGCACGTCGATCACGACAAAATGGTATACGGGAAACGCCGACTCCATCTGAACATTCAAACCAAAGGGCTACCTATAAAGGGAAAGCTGTGTCTGCTGAGATCGATATCATAAAAATTCATGATTGCTCTACTTTGAGCTTCTTCCTTCCCAAAGAAACATTCTGAATATTCACCATGGCTATTCAGTTATATCCCTTCCAAAGTGCATCTTCACAGATGCCTGCACTTACCCTATCCCCTGGCCAACTTTTCATTCAATCCCAACTTTGCACCAAACCACAGTATCCACCCAAGGATCTCGAACTCACCGGCCGAACAGCCATTATCACTGGAGCAAATAACGGCATTGGTTTCGCATGTACCAAACTCCTCCTTCAACATAAGTTGAGCCATCTTATCATCGCGGTTCGTTCTGAAGAGAAGGGCAGCGCTGCTGCTGAGCAACTCCGTCGCACGTTACCTTCCAGCAGTCCTCAGATTGATGTCTGGAAGCTTGATATGGCAAGTTATAGCTCTATTGAAGACTTTGCAAAGCGTTGCGAGACTCTACCAAGGATAGACTTTGTCTTTCTCAACGCTGGTATGGGCGGTACAACCTTTAACCTGAATAAGGCCACGGGCCATGAAGAGACTATGCAGGTTAACTTCTTGTCTACCATGTACCTTTCTGTTCTTCTCTTGCCGGTACTCACGAGCAAGGCTCCAGCCCCGAAGCCAAGCCGTCTCACAATTGTCAGCTCTGGAACGGCCATGCACTGCGAATTGCCCGAAGCCAAGGCAGACCATATCATATCTGCTCTTGATTTAGAAGCCAACTTTGATGGCATGGGGCACTATGCCAAGTCCAAGCTCCTCGGTCAACTCTTCATCGACAGACTATCTCAACTCGTTGACCCAAGCGATGTTGTCATCAACCTTGTTGACCCAGGCTTGACCAAGGGCACAGGACTGATGGATAAAAGCTCTGGTCTCATGAAGATCGTTATGGCCATGGGAACTAGGGTAGTCGGCCGTACACAGGAGCAGGCTGCCTCAGCCTACGTTGATGCAGCGATTGTCAAGGGAGAGGAATCACATGGGTCGTATATCATGGACTGGAAGATCTGCCCGTAAGTACTTAGGCGACGCATTTTCCTACAGTCGCTAACAGATCCTAGATTCGGCTCATACTACTACTCTGAAGAGGGCAAGAGTGTTCAGGATAGAATATGGATGGAGGTGATGGATGAATTCGCGTTTGGTCGTATAGAAGAGATTATAGGTTCTTTAACGAGATAGACTACTCAGTGGTACAATGTAGACGGGGACCTTTAGTTATTTTCGGACTCGGATTCGGGATAACATGTAATGTGAGACAAGCATGGAAAATCTCCTTTTGCAGACGATTATGCGACAACATAAGCACTAGTGATCCGCTTGCATGAAAGCGGCACAGTATCAACTCTTATCATCTATCACACCTTTTCCGTATAAATAATGTTGATTTGCTCCTTTTTGTAAATTTTGACTAGTCTATCATACCATAAAGTATTATATCACGTTCGCCGCCCCCCGCACTTTATCTGACAGGCCATCTCCTCATCTCATCTTCATCATGAACAAAGTCATATCCGGCTCCAACGCTCTGGTAGTCGGCGGCACCAGCGGCATTGGCTACGCAATAGCCAAACGTCTAGCAACATCTTCCAATTACCAGTTCTCATCAATCACTATCCTCGGCCGGACAAAGCCGCAGGTCATGCCAGCTGAAAAGGTCTCCTTTCGCTCCGTTGACGCAACGTCCATGCACGCTTTGAAAGAGTTTGCGCAAGAGTTTCGAAGCAATAGTCAGAACACTCCTCTTGACCTTCTCGTGATGACGCAGGGAATCATGTCATTCGCTGGACGGACGGAAACACCTGAGGGGATTGACAGGAAAATGGCGTTGCACTACTATGGTCGTCAGCTCTTGATTAGAGAACTCAGCCCCATTCTTAGCCATAATGCGAAAGTTCTTCTCGTTCTGGATGGACTCAACGGTAGTCCTGAGAAGCTGAACTGGGATGATCTCGACCTCAAAGGAACCTTCAGCCTCGCTCACGCAGCAAACCACTGCATCTGCATGAATGACACAATGATACAGTATCACGCGCTTCAAAACCAAGGTACCAAACAGTTCTTCGCGCACGGTTATCCTGGAGTTGTAAACACAGCGACGCCGAAGAACTCAGCTTGGTATTTCCGAGCTGTGTCAAAGGTTGCTTCGAGATTGGTTGGTCTGCAGCCTGAGCAGTGTGCTGAAAGACAACTTGATGGACTGTACCAAGCTGCGGATGAGTTGCAATCGAAGGATATGTCCTGGGCTTGTATCGATAACCATGGAAAGGTGATTGGAGGGAAGAAAGAGTGGAGTGAGGAGGAGAGAAGGAAGATTGCTGACCATACTTGGGCTCTTGTTGATCGGACATGAGACATAAGAAGCGATGGGTAGAACACTTTAATGAGAATGATATGTTCAAGCGATTCCATATTCAGATACTCACAATTCACTCCAAAGACATCGATACCTCGAGAACTGGTGAGATCTGGTTGATCTGAACTTTCTACCTCTTACGCCGCCCCCATCTCGCGCAGTACCTTCTCAACAGCCTTGCCCTCACAATCAACCGCATAATCTAAAGGTGTCTTTGAAGACTTTGCTTTCGCATGAATGTCTGCTCCCGCATCGATCAAAAGCTTTGCCTTCGTACCCGAATCACGTCCGCTTCTGAGAGAAGGGTTCCCCGCCACAATATGCAGAACCGTCTCGCCATCATTGTTGGTCGCCTTGACATTTGCTCCTCTCTCGATTATGATCTGCATTGATGCGGTTTCTCCCCATGCTGCAGCACAATGGAGAGCTGTTGCTCCTTCGTCGTTGGTTGCCTCAAGGTCAGCACCCCCTTTGACCAAGTCTCGCACTAGGTCAGATGAGCTCTGCGCAGCGCGATGCAGAAGTGTATCACCACCTTCGCCTTTGAGGTGGATATTTGCTCCATGATCGATAAGAAACTTGACACATTCTGGTCCGTCGCTCATTGCATGATGCAGCACTGGATCCCCATTGTTATTTACGGCGTTAACGTCAGCGCCGGCGTCAAGAAGAGCTTTAACAATCCCGATATTCTCGTGGGATGCAGAAATATGCAAAGCCGTGTTTCCATAGCAGTCCTTTGCCGAGACATCCGCCCCAGTGTCTATGAGGAGCTTTGCGATTTGTGTCTCCCCAAATAATGACACGACATGGAGAGGCGTTTCTTCATCGATGTTGCGACTGTCAACATTCGCTCCCGCCTTCAAGAGCATTTCGGTGATTCTCACATTGCCACCAGCAGACGTGTTGTGTAAAGGCGTGATGCCATCATAGCTTCCTGCAGAGACGTTTGAGCCAGCGTCAATGAGTAGCTGCACGCTCTTTTCGTCGCCGAATTGAACAGCATAGTGAAGCGGTGTGAAGTCGCGAGGTGTTTGCGTTGCCGATACATCAGCATTGTCTTGTAGGAGCTCTTCTAGTCGTTGGTTGTTTTGGTGAAAAGCTGCTTGGTGCAGAGTTGTAATTTCTGCGGGATCGTCGCCTGGAGCGTGGCATGGACAGGTCTGCATCAGTGGAGCAGACATTATGAATAGTTGAGAAATGCTGCAAGGGGGGATTCAAGTCGGCTCAGGAAATCTGTTACATATATGAAAAGTGTTTCATGAAACGTGAACTTCCATTTGGAGCTATCCAGGCAGCAAGTCTGCCATTGTCCTTTTGAGGTCGTGGACCAAGCTGAAGCTAGCTGAAACCTAGGCTCGAATTGGAAGGTATCACAAGAACTTCACGGCAACATCCGTCCAGCATGCTTCAACTAGAGCTGGATCTTAAGATAATGAGTTTCATGACAACTCGCTGGTAGTATCTTCAAGCGTTTGCAAAGTGGTACTGCCAAACTCTTGAATTCCTTTTGGAGGAATCACCAAATCAGCTCTTGTAACCTTTTTGATCTCGCCTAATATTCTATTGCTTTCTCGCCCGCAATCCATCATTAGTCCCAGAGCAAGACCCTGGCATGCGCTACAGGTATCCCAAATCCTTAAACGCCCTCTGCAGAATCTCACGAATGACGTTCTGCTTCCTATTATTATACTCCATAACATCCTCCCCGTTCTCAGCACTCGCCTTCGCAGCCTCCCTCTTGATATTCTCATAAGCTTTCCTATCGTCCTCATTCTTGCTCAGCCAATCTGCAAAGATCTTGTGTCTCACCACCTCGGGGCATCCAGGACCCCAAACATGCAGATTCGTCGGCACGGGTTCGTAGTCGCAGAAGAAGCGGTGTCCATGCCATCCGGGTTCTCTTACAAGAAAATGGAAGCCAGCATTCTCAAGTGCATTTGCGTAGGACGCTTCGTCGTTGATGTCTTTGACGGTTAGGTCAATGTCGATTACAGCTTTTGCTGGCAGACCTGGGACGCTGGTAGAGCCAACGTGGTTGATTGACACTGCTGTATCGCCGATGGCGGATTCGATGCGCGCTTTTGCACGGGCGAAATGCTCTGGCCATTTTGGATCGGGTTCAACAATGGCGATAGGTTGTTTGTGTTTGCGAAATGCAATCCTGTCGATGAGGGAAGGATCAAAGTCGTATTCCTTTAGTAGTTCTTCAATTGTTGGTGTCATGATGAGATATGAGAAGGGAAAATGGCTGTATATTTTATTGACGCCTTTCTGCAGTGTATATAGAGAGAGACAACGCGAGGCATGGCACGAGTTAGCGCAGGTTATAAATGGTGTTGGAGGTTCAGATTCACTGCAATTTTGCTGATCAGGCTGTATTAGGTCAGTCGTGTTCCCCGCACCCAACAAGCCTTCCCCATTTGTCGTGGCTCGGTGACTCATTCACCGACGGTTTCCGGGATAAGCTGCCGTGGATCACTAATGCGACTGGTCTACGTTGTTTGTTCCTTGTCATGCCGAAACCGACCTTGAACTTGATTAAATTCCTCTTGGGGATCGAGCATACGTTATGAGATACTCATGCATAGTGATCAAGAATGACAAGAGGTTACGGTCGAAGCCAGGAGATTGGGAATATTACCATGCCCATAATAGACTTCCTCGTCTTCACATATCCATAAGGTATCATTCACCATCAGTGGACTCTTGAGAATGTCGAAACTTTGCATCCCACAGTTATCGGGTGACCCAATCCCTGCAAAAATCAGCAGAGCGCCGCCAAATGTAATCCTGACCTATTACTAACGTGTCAGATATGCATTGATGGTCAAGGATGTCGAAGGACTTTTGCAATGCTTATGTGTCCAGACAGATAAGCAACCCCACTCTTCAATGCACTGAAGCCGGCCTTGTTGCGGATTGCAAATTACAATCATCATGCCTTCAAGTGCAGACAAAGTGAACGGCATCATATAATCGAACGAGCCGTTGCCGCTCACGGTCGATGAGCTTACGAAGCATTGGTTCACTTAGATTCTCAACAAGCATGTCCAAAATGTTGAAATCATCGAGACGATCCATGGAACGGCATCCGAAATCTCAATCAAATTAACGTTCGAGAATGATACCGATGACAGCGCCAGTAATGTTTGCGTCAAAGGCGGTTTCAATACCGACAATCGAGAGTCTCTGCCTTTCCTCTACGCCATTTACCGGCTTGAAGCCGAGTTCTACTACTACCTTGCCCCAAGGCTCAAGATCCCTCTTCCACCGGTATCGTATGCTGGCACAGATACTGTGAATGGACAGGGCATTGTTATAATGAACGATCTCAAAGCTCAGGGCTACACATTTGGTAGCCCCCTTGAGACATGGCCAGTTGAGAGGGCGAGGATGAGTGTCGAGCAGCTAGCTACCCTCCATGCCAGCACCTGGGGGGATACAGATGAAGGGATTCCCTCTGTGAGCGAAATTGTTTCAATCAGAGATGCAGTCGTGGGATTGTTGGCGCCAGAAGAATGGGACAGACGATTTGCTCCAGGTGCGAGACCTCCAGTTCCTAAGTTTATGGAGGATCGGGAGCGCATGACGGCGGCATTCAAGGCTCTTTGGGCATCAGACTCCAAAATGAAGGGCATCGTTCATGGCGATGCACATATTGGAAACACGTTCATATCACCCACTGGAGAACCTGGCTTCCTTGACTGGCAGGTCATTCACGCTACTTCAGCCCTGCATGATGTTGCTTACTTCATCGGCGGCTCAATGTTAATTCAAGATCGCCACGCTCATGAGAAAGACCTCTTGCAGTCTTACCTCAGCGCCCTGAAGCACACGGGCGGCCCGAAACTTGGGATTGAGGATGTTTCGGAAGAGTACCGACGATAAACCTTTCACGGATTTGCGTGGGCCCTTGCTGGACCGCTGATGCAGAGCCGCGAAATTGTCGATGCCATGGTGGAACGACACTGCGCGGCGATTGTAGATCACAAGAGTATAGAATTACTCGAGGGCCAGGAGGTATAAAAGGAGCTAATAATGTTGCATAAGAATAAGATACTATTTACAACATAGGCGGATTACCAAAGGTCCCTTTGATTCCGTAACGCAACGTAATCACCACCACCGGGCAGACATGTCTCGAATTGAGTTGGTGCCACAATGAACTCCCCCTTGATCCTCATGATGACTATCCCAGTCATCGATAAACTTGATCTTCATCCCAACCATGGCATACGTGTCGCTAATTACCTTAGCAAGGACATCCTTGCCCTCGACAACTGGACCCCATGGGTTAGGTGCAACGCAAGTGTTGTAACCAGTAAGAACGAGGTTGTTTATGACAGCAGGGTAGAATGCCCCGACTTCGAGTTTCGAGCCATCACCTTCAGAGGAGTCGTCTCTATTGAACAAAGCTGGAATGCGAATGATGTCCTCATCAGCAAGTCCAACTTCCCGCCTCAGAGTCTCGATGTTGCCGTCGATTCGCTGAGCGCACTCTCTGTTCAGCTTCATAAACCCCATACTGCCCAATAATTGGGTGATGGTAGGTATATCGTAGTCAATATCGTCCTTGCGTGAAATAGCGGGGAGCGATCCATGCCTGGCCTTTTGCTCGTCTTCAAGAAGCTTGATAGCTAATCGAGGATCACTGATGACTGCAACCCAACCTCGCTTGTTCTTAGCGGGAATGAACTGGAGGAACTCATCGACATGACCGACTGAGAGCCAGGCAGTATCGAGCAGAAGGGGCTTCTGTGTCTCTTGAGCTTCAAGGTAAGAAAGAATATGGTGCTTTTCGGTGTCATCCTTGCCATGGACGAGACGCCCAGCTGGCCAACTCTTGCCCTTGAAGGTGTAGGGAGGAATGGCTTCGATGTTGCCACCGGCATCGATATTAGAGACGTCTTTACCGAGATGCTGGACTGCACCAACTCCAGCCTTTCGGAAATACAGAAAGAGTTGTCTACCACCCTCTCGCTCATCGCCGGGACACCGAATCATGATCCGGATAGATACTGTTCCATTCGGACCAGGCATGCTTGCGTAGCCTGGCTCAACAAAGTCTTGGGCCCATTTGCCACTTCTTTCGTTGAATAGGTACAGATCTTTCTTCAAGCCAGCAGCCTTGGCAATCGAGGCGAGGATGTTGGTGAAGTAGACAAGATAAGGGTTCCCGTTGTCCTGGCTGGCGAGGACTTGTTCGACCTTTTGGAGATGATGGTGCGTGAGCACGGGTGCGACACGTAGCATGACCGTGTCAGATGACTTGGTATCTCCGACTTGAACGGTGAAGCGAACAGTGACACGTCCATCCCAAACGTCGGGACGTCTGGTATCACGAGCATCAATGCCAAGGTCAAGACCAGCCTGCAGCTCCTGTTGAGAGAAAGTATGGTTGTTGTCGATGTAAACCCAGTCCTTGCCCTGCTTCTGGAAGATACGTACGAACTTTCGCTGTGCCGCATCGGGAACTGTAACGGTACCGTTTGCGTTTTCGAAGAGGGTTGTGATGGGGACGGTCTTGAGGGGTGCGAGATATTCGGGGGATCTCTGGGTGTTGTCAGAAGCATCGTTGCAATCGTCAAGCTCCTCGTTGCTGACAGCCTGAACCGCGAGGGCCTGCTTGGAGCAGCGTCGATCCGTATCGCCGATGTTGGGGAGGAAAATGGCACCGGACTTTTCAGTCCATCGCGTCTTGCCATTCGCGTCCGAAAGCCCGTCGAGGTCGACTTGTCCGTCGCGGTTGGTATCAGCACGTATGTCGGCTTTGATACGAGGGTCCGAAGGGCAAGATAAAGCTAATGGAAAGCCTGAGGAGCAGGTGGTCAGAGATGGGGTCTGCAGATTTATTCGGTGGGATTCATACCGCAAAGGGCCAGAAGGTGAAGACAGCGCATTGCTGTAGTGGAGGGGATGTGCACGCGAGGTGAGAGTAGAAATAAATAACTGATAAAGCTTGTAGCGTTTGAGCAAGAGGGATGATGTTGATGTTGTTGATGATGATGATGATGTTCAGGTTAGAAATGACAGTCGAACAGTCGCAGTTGTTTTGTGTTTATCGGAAGGTCATTGCTTGGTTGGCAACAGCTCCTGCTTCGGGAACCGTCCTCGTTCTGTACGGAGGAAGAGGAAGTGGAATATGGTTGCTCTTGCTTCAACGGTCTTGAATGCCCCGCCCCGCAAAAGAAATCATCTCTAACCAGCACGATTCGACCAAGTTCGATGCTGGGGTCACGAATCACTAATGAATGCTTAGCTAGTTGGTTTGTTAAGTATAGATTACGATTTGTCCTCGTAATATCGGACTAGAAGCCTCGTTTTTACGAGCACATTAGATAGGGATGGCTTCATCAATGCCATCCTCTGTCTCCGTCAAATGACCTGATGATGCTCAACTCTCGCCACGTGGTTCTCAAGAGTGAGGTATCTTCAGACCTTCAATCACTCTCTCCTCTGCTGCACTTGGTCATGATCCCTGTCAAGCTGTCAGACCTGTGGGGTGAAATGGTAGACATGATATGATTGGATTATCTAATCACCAGCTTCGCCACTCTGATCCATCTGTTTCAAGAACCAGCTGACTGCAGCCTATTTTTCAAATACCCCTCAAATATTATTGAACACTATTTCCGCGGTTATCTTACACGTCACGGCTCAAAGATGGCTGAGGCCGTTGGTTTGGCCGCTAGTATCGCTGGTCTTGTGCAACTTACAGGGTCCGTCTTTAAACAAGTGACCAAGTTCTGCAAGGAAGCCAAAGATGCTCCGTCAAAAGCCCAAGAACTTGCCACCCAGACAAGAGATCTCGCTGGAATTTTTGAAAACCTGAGATTGTTGGCTTCGGCATTGGAAGACCGAGACTCGAATTCGGCGCTCAAACCACAGCATCTTGAGTCGTGTGAGAAGACGTTGAAGGAGATCAATAGCAAGCTTCACAAAGCACTGTCTGACTTTGATGGTGGCAAGTCAGCGAGACGTTTTGTTCGAAGGTTAAAATGGCCATTCTCACTACAGGAAACGAAAGATTTGGTGGCTGATCTCGCGAATCATCGCGCCAATCTTCACTTGGCACTCTCCGCAGACAGTATGGACGCTTTGATGAAGAGTCTGGCTAAGCAGGATGAAATCCATAACATGATCGAAAGGAGGATCAGTTTTGAGACTCGAGTTGAGCTTAACAAGAGACGCAAAGAGGTCATGAACTTCTTTCTACGCGTGAATCCTCAGGACTATCTCGATGTTAGCCGCGAGCTGCGACATGAAGCTACTGGGTCTTGGCTTACTAGCGACGATTCTACGTTTGAAAGGTGGAAGAATGGATCAAACTCGAAATTGTGGCTTAGCGGCATTCCAGGTAAGTTGCAATGTTTTATCAGGTTGTAGGTTTACTAACCTCCTTCCAGGCAGCGGAAAGACTGTTCTGTGTGGACTTGTCATTGAGACTGTTCTTGAGCAGAGTGACGATCTTACAGCAGTCTGCTTTGCGTTCTGCGACTACAAGAACCCAGACTCTTGCCTGCCTGAAAACATTCTGGCAGCCCTTGCAGTCCAGCTTGGTCTCCAAGGTGAAGAAGCCTTTGATCTACTCGAAGAATACTTCGACATGCTCCATCCGGATGACAAGCTCCCCACACAGCCAAGGCTGGACGATCTTGTTGAACTTGTAGGATGCATATCCGAAATCTATGAGAAAGTCTTTATTGTAGTCGATGGGATAGACGAATGCGGCGATCAGGTAGCTCGTATGACCCGGTCACTGAGGGCTGTAGTGGAAGGATCTGAGACCATCAGCTCTGCATTGTTCAGCCGCAAAGAGGAGGAGATTCGCGAGCAACTTTCCGAAGAGTTTGAACACATTGAGGTCTCAGCTCATGTGAAAGACCTGAAAGACTACACGCTTGCAGAAGTCAGTAGGCGTAAAGTCCTGAAAAGCATCGAAAGAACGAATCCGGATCTCTACAAGGATATACTCCATGCTTTGGTCCACGGAGCTCAAGGAATGTGAGTCGCTTTCATGAATTCAGAAGTCCGGGGAGCTGATAAGTCGTTTCCTAGGTTTCGATGGGTCGCTTGTCAGATTGATCATATTTGCAACCTTCCCAATAATAAAGCCCGAAGAAAGGCTCTCAGCGAACTACCCCCAACTCTGAACGAGACATATGATCGAGTTCTTCAGAGAGTCATGCAATGCCCGCCTCAAACACAAGACTGTATTCGAAGAGCTCTCCAGTGGACAGCACTAGGATCACCGAAGATGAATATCGCCAGCTTATGCGAAGCAGTCTCGTTTCAGGAGGGTATGGATGTCTTTGAAGCCGACGATATTATCGAACCAGAAATCATCTCCCGTAACTGTGGCTGCCTGCTACGCAAGTCTCTGGATGGTAACTACTTTGAGTTTGCCCACTTTACCGTCTTGGAATACTTGGAACGGACTGAAGTTGGTGATTTTCAGTACTCTGAAGTCACTGCTTATCAATCATTCGTGCAAGCTTCAATTGGCTATCTGTTGCTTCCGCACTTCGATCGGGTGCCGACTATCATTGATACAGTCGAGGAAGCCTACGCTAAAGAGAGGAATCAAAAGCACCCGTTCTACAAGTTCGCCACGTATACGCCTCTCGGAGTACAAAGAAGCACAAGTACCTATCCCATGCACTTAAAGGTCATGGAAGAAGAACCCGTTCTGGAACTTCTCAAGCGCCTCTTCGATATCCACAAGACCGGCAACTTTAGAGCATGGGCTCATACAGTGCTGTCTGGGGGACAGAACGAACTGTCGACTATGCATCAACTTTCCAACGGCCCCCTTCACTTCGCGGTGTTAATACTAAGCCCCAAGTTGTGTCAGTTCCTTATTGACAGTGGCGTTGACGTAAATGTCGTGCGAGATAACTCTACCCCATTGGCCATGACTATCGCTCTGAAAGATGAAGGGTTTCTCGGTAGAAAGATGAAAGATCCTCAGGTTATCGACTGTATGATTCGCACAATTAATGTTCTACTGGATAACGGCGCTGATACTGCATTTCCCATCATGGGCCATAGCTGCATGGCTTATGCCATTGATTCATTGGACAGTCATTATCTTCTTCAATTCATCCGTCCAACGTCTGCCGTACCGGAGGATGCAGTCACGGCATTTTCAAATTTCGAGTGGAAAGATGAATCTGATGACTTGGTGCTCAAGGCTATTCTTAAGTTGTTGGAGAAGAAGCTTGTACTCAGTGGCAACCGCTGGCATCGACTGCGCTATCTTTCTCTCGTGGACGTGGGCTCAAGTTGCCGAGTATGGCTCCCAGGTCTACGTCTTACAATTATAGCGACCTGGAGTACCGGCAAGCACTTGAGATTGCTTCCAGATTTGGACTGGTCGAAGAACTGTCGACACTCATCTCAGATCCACGTTATGGCGGCGCTGTTGTTAAGCCGACCGATTTCGAGCTGCTGAGCGCCGCAACAAGAAGCACATCAGCCAACAACGGCAAGATAATCGAGATGCTTCTTGATTCTGGCATTGATCCAAATGTCTGTAGTACTGCTGGACAGAATTGTCTGCACATCAGTTGTGAGTCAAACAGTGCAGATGTAGCCTCAGTTCTTCTTTCTCGAGGAGTGAATCCCGGATCTAAAGACGAAAATGGCCAGACCTCGTGGCACGCGGCCTGCTATAATGGACACGAAGAGGTCATAACCTTACTTCAGAAAGAAGATGGAAACGTCTTGGAGAATCTCGCCACTTTAGACAAGGATGGTCGAACACCCTTCTCTGCTGCCCTTTACGAAGGTCATGTCAAGCCAGCGCTGGCGTTATTGGAGATCCTACCAGGCGAGTCCAATTACTACGTGTCAAAGAGCCCAACAATGCAGGATGTAGCAATCACTGGTTCCTTAGAGCTTTTGACTGCATTGCGAGATAAGAAAATTGCAGACTTCGAGATTTCCAACTCAGAATCGACGCCTATGCACCACCTGCATGCTACATGCACTCCAGAGTTTGCTCGATGTTTAACCGAACTCTACGATCCCTTTTGCGTTGACAGTGCAGGGAAGTTCCCATTCCAACTGTTCTTCGAGCGCTGGCTCGCCCACAACGTTCCTGAAAATTTGGACAAGACGATACCCTTGGATCCCGAAATGCTGAAGATTCTCATCCCAAAGGACCATGAGTTTTCAAACGCTGGGGAAGTGAAGCACGCCTGGCAACTTGTTTGTGCTGGCCTGGAGGTGGAGGAGATCTGCTGCACAGTAGATATCTTTGTCCCCGGTGAATGCTATTATTATTTCTCTAGAGATCTGGCAACACTCTTCAATCACGGTGTTCTTTCTTCGTATGAGAGTACAAGGAAGATATCTGGCTTAGTTCCACTATTCGGATCCCTGAAGTATTGGACAAGATATCATTTCTGCTCAACATCGATTCTCACTCTTTTATCCCAAGTCATGGACTCTTCAAAATTTAATATTTCGCTTCAGGCTGTCGACGATAGCTACCGTTTCTTCAACTTAGCTATGTCGAGGGCCAGTCCAGAAGTTATAGTTAAGCTCATTGATCTCGGTGTTGACGTTCATCGACGGGTCCCTGAGGATATGTCAAGCAGCCCAACGTCACTATTTGAGACAGCGTGTGGAGAAGCAAATATCGAAACATTCAAGGCCATTCTGGAGAATGTTACTTCTCAAAGTATCAACGCTATTGGCCTGACTGGCCAAAGCCCACTCGAGCTGGTTGTCAAAGGTTCAAGCCTAGATAAGACATCCCTGATCAAAGCACTAGACGAAAAGGGACTAGTTCACTCATCTATCACCCCTGCAATACCGTTGATCATTGAGGCTGCAAAACAAAACGACTTATCACTGGTAAAGTGCCTATCGGATATTGGACACGACCCCTTTGCGGTTGACCCTCATGGCTGGGGAATCCCCCAATGGGCCATCGCCAACCGCCAGCTTGATATACTCAAGTGGATAGTCGAAAAGTCTTCTAGTCCTTCCCAATGGCAGCTTGCTCCATGTGCCACATGGACAAGCACGGACGAGGCAAAGACAAGGAAACAGATACTTGACCACGAAGTCAGTTTACTACACTTTTCAGCTGACTTACCGGACTTCCTATCATACTTCTTCGACAATCACTTCTTTGATATCAATATCAGCACTCCCTACGGAAGAACTGCGCTTCACTATGCAGCGATGAGGGGGTCTATGGCTTGCTGTCTGATGTTGTTAGATCAGGGGATAAACCTCTCTGCTCAAGATCATGAAGGGAAGCTCGCAGTCGATTATGCGCTCGAGACTGGTTTCAACGAGCTTGCCTCGTTGTTACTAGCGTCAGGCTCTCCCCTTCCCCGAGGCCAGGTTGCAGCCACAGGAGATATGATAAAGGATTTGACATTCAATGAAGGACTAAAGCTTGCCCGAAGACGAGGATTTGAAGATTCCATTATGAATGGCAATCTTGAGCAGTGCAAAATTGCTGTCAGTCAAGGGTGTTTGATTAACCATCCTTTGCCAAGTTGTCACTCCTGTCCCCCTATCTTCACCGCTATAAGAGCTCAGAAACCCGTAATCGTCAATTGGCTACTCGACGAGGGTGCAAGCACAAACAGCTGTTTCTGCAAACGCCACACGACTCAGCACCTATTCTCTCATGCCGTCATTGCCATGGATTCATCATCCTTTATTGAGAAATTGCTATCAGCTGCTTTGAAGTCACGATCAATCACGCGCGTACAGCTTGTTGACGCCATTTACCAGACCATTGTCAAAAACAACTTGAATGTCCTGAAGCTCATACTGAGTCAGTTCAGAGAGAATATCAACGAATATTAGTAAGTCGCGCCTGTTCAGGTATGATCAAAGTGTAGTAACATAGCCAGCAACGCATGGAAGGGTGGACTTAATTCCGCCCTTGGCGGTGATACAGCCGAACAGTTCAAATCAGCTCTCATCAATTACCACAATCCAGTCGCATTTGCAAATAGAACACCACTTCAAGCTGCTGCATCAGTTGGAAATGCCGAGATGGTAAAGTTCTTGATAAATCAAGGCGCTAATGTGAATGCTTTTGATAAGCGTAACGATACACCTTTGATCATCGCCGCCGCCAATAACCATGTCCTTGTTGTGAGAGAGCTACTTCGACACAATGCCTTTGTTGAAACTAGGAACATGTATGGTAACACTGCCATGTCGTTGGCTGTTTTCATGGGCCATTTGGACACAGTAAAAGTCCTGGCAGAAGAGCGACCATCTTCGCTACAGTATAGGAGCATAGAGGGGTCGAATTTGCTTTGTACGGCAGCGCAATGTTCATCACTGGCGACTTTCAAGTACCTTCTGTCAAAAGGGCTTAATATCCACCATGAGAGCGATGACGGAATACCTATGCTTGCTTTCCCTTTGCTTCAAGGCAAATATGTCGACTATCTATCTCAATCCCGGTGGCTCGATGGACCTTTACCTGCTCATCCATCAAATCCAGACAGCATTCTCAACGGCGCCATCATATTCTGCACAACGAGCCAGATCAAGCGTTTATATAAGTCTTTACCACCCCAGGACGCGGGTGTTCTGTTAAACATGAGGGGCAGATACCGAGGGTCACCGCTTTGTTTAGCGGTATGCAGATTCGATGCGAAGACGACCAGTCTCTTGGTAGACCTTGGAGCAGACGTAAATAGGGTGGGCTCATGGTTTGGAACACCACTTATGTGTGCCATTTCTATCAGGAATCTTGAACTGGTCAAGTTGCTTGTCCGACGAGGCGCCTGTCTGGAATACACTGATGAGAATGGGGACATGGTCAGTGGAGTAAAAAGTAGTCTGCCTTATCCGGAAATCACTTGGTGGCTACTGGTTGGGAGGTTTCAAGACCAGAAGAAGCTGAGAGACCATGCTTTTAATGGCGAGTGCGTTATAAGGCCATGGAGTGGCAAAAGGCAGTACTCGACAATACTGAAAGGCTCTTATGGCCGTCGGTGGGAAGAGTCGACTCTTGATTACTGTATCAGGCTTGCGGGGTTGAGAAGGATGATGAGAGGCGAAGCAGTCTTTGCCGCTTTCGTATAAAACTAGAATTGTTTATTTTGAAAGTTACTACCTTGTCACGGATTTGGAAGAAGTTGTAACTTGTTTGCTAGACAAATATCTCTAGGCCTGTTCTAGCTGGCTCACCTCCACCTCTCGCTTCATCTCAGCCTTCTCATCCCTCGCCAAGATGGCTTCATTATCAGGCGCCAGCTTGTTTCCATAGCGACCAATCTTGTACCAAGGCAGAGAGAACAGTTCATCAGTACTCTCAAGTGATCGTCCAGCCATCTCGGGAACAAATGCCCAGACCCAGATGAGCCCGAGGATACAAACAGCAGCGCAGAAAAAGAAGAATCCACTGCTTGTCATGTGAAGCAGCATGAGTGGAACAGCCTTGGTGTTACCGTACTGATTCGCAAAGTGGAGACACATGGTGATGGAACTACCCAGGGCACGAAGGCGGAGGGGCCAGATCTCAGCGTTGACGAGGTATTGGAACGAGTTCCATCCCATGGTCCAGCCAACACCTGAGATGTACAGCATTGCGATTGCACCAACACCAGCATGCTTCTGGGTGCTGGTCAAGGTTCCATCTTCGAGTGTCTTGGTACCAACGATGGCGAGGAAGATGGCGATGTACAAGACTGAGATAGTCTGAAGAGTAATGCCAGCATATAGCGATCGACGTCGGCCGATGAAGTCGACCAGGAAGAAAGCGCATGCATAGGCAGAGACCAGCTTGACAACACCGAGAATGCAAGTAGCGAAGAGCTTCTCAGACTGGCCAGACTTCCCGAGGACACCAAAGAACTCAGCGGCATAGATAGTGATAGCGCTAGCTCCTGACCATTGACCAAGGAGCTGGGCCATGAAACCAAGCATAAAGCGGTATCGGTTGGCAGGGATTGTAAGGAGCTCTCGAATCTTACCCCAACGGGAGACACCGAGGATTGCCTCTTGCTCACGCTCGAGTTGCTCGCGGATGCCGTACAACTCGGCTTGAACGAAAGGATGGTCTTCTGGGAGTTGTCGAAGTTTGCAGAGAGCCTTTGTACTCTCTTCATTTCGGCCCTTCATGGTAAGCCAGCGAGGGGTCTCGGGGACGGTGAACGATAGGATCAGAAGTAGTCTGTCAAAGGTTAGTCGCTGAACTTAATATTGAGGGAAGTATACATGCCCTGAGAAACCAATGTGGCATGTTTGGGGGGCAACCCATTGGTAACGAGATGAGTCAGGCATGTTGATTGAAGCGCCCCAGTTGCTGAAGTACGCAACCATGACACCGAGGTAAACAGAGCCAGCAAAGATATTGGTGAGCATACCACGCACAGCTCGCGGCGCCGTCTCAGCAAGGTATGTCGGACCAACAACGACAGTCATGCCAATACCCAGGCCGGCAATAAAGCGTCCAGCCAGGACCTGTCCCACGCTTCCATGGCTGGTAACAACGATGATGAACCCGACAAGCCAAAGCAAGCAAAGGAACTGGAGCGACCGAACACGACCGATCTTATCGCAGAGGAAGAATGCAAGGAGAGAACCGGCGATGGAACCGATTTGAACCATGCTGGTGATATTGGACTCGACTTGGGCTTGATGTTCTTCTGATCCGTGATCGAGGCCGAATTCTTCCTGGAAGCTTTTTAGCGTGACCATGCCTCCGACGAGACCTTCGTCAAGACCACGACTGGCACCTAAAACACCTTTCAAAGAAGTTAGCAACTGTCGAATGAGTGACTGCGGTGAGATTACGAACCGAATACAAAGGTACTCCAGTATAAACGCCAGTTCATAACCTCGCTAGGCGTATCCGCCATAGCGGCTCTGTTTCCAAGCGTGAATTTCATCTTGACGGTATTCTCAACGATATCCTACTCGACACAAAGGTACAGAACATCAAAACTCGTCAATGAGAAAGAAGCATTGTATTTATGGTTAAGAAATATTGGGGATCGTCTCTACAGCCAGCGGGGAAATACGGAGGCTTCTCCACGGTCTAGTGGTACTCTCCGCACCCTCCATACGGATATTTCGTGCCGGTTGCGGGGAATTCGCCACTTTATTTCTCCTCATTCCAACGGCACCACCGCGGAGATACCTATTTTAGTTGCCCGATGAACTTGCCCGTCCAATGAGGGGCCTGTTGTGACTGCTAGTGTTTCCCCGCATCTTACTGTGAGGACGTGGAGGTTTCCATGATGGCTTCGAGAAGCAACTCGGGACTTGCCATTGCATCTGTTTATAGAGAAGGAGGCTGTGGAAAATGATAATATGCTTAAAATATCATAGATCTCGTATTGAGCATTTTCAACATGGAAGGTAATACAGCTCCTGCTAAATGCCTCTACCCCAAATCATCGTGACCTTTCACGCTTCTTCGCGTGGTCAGCAAAAGATCAACACGGATATCCGGCACATGGAAAGTGGATAGTGGAGTACAAACCGCCCGCAAACCCAAAGGTTCCCTGCTGGAAGAGCGAGATTGAAGGGACAGGCCGATAATTCTAACCAATGGATTGTAATTGATTACTGTCTGCTTCTCGGCGTTACATCTGCTCGTGCGAGAATACTCCGAGTTCACCCTGTGGACACCGTGATGTGGGAAGGAATTCAACCAAGACGTGTAAGCGAGGTTCATGGATGAGTAATGGTCGAGCTATGCTTCTATTTAAGCTTCCCCTGTGTCAAATGTCTGGCCATTATGATGGTTAAGTTGGTTTGTATTGCGGCATTCCTTGTCCGTTTGGAGGTTTACTTGAGCTTCGTGCATGACTTTGTGATTTATAGCTATAGATGTGACCAGTTAGTTAAGAATGACAAAATTTTATTCCGTCGAGAATCATGGACGCGGAGATAGGCTGATTCTTTGGTCGATTCGATAAGTACAGGGTAAGCAACAAACATTGATTGCAGTCGCCAACAACTCGCGCCATCGTGATCTGGGCTCTAGGTCTGTTGAAGAGTATCGAGGACGTTCTTTTTTTACTTGAACAAGAAGTATTTGATGCTTTATGCAAGCTCAAACCAAAGCTATCATTATCCTGCTGAGCGTCAGTGGAGTACGAAGGAGTCAATCCCATATGCAAATGTTAGATTGACAAGTTGATGATTATAACCGCCACATTCTGGCCACAAACTCGCCGGCAAAAGCGCATCCGAAGAACCTCAGACTCCTAGAGTATTGATCTTGGCCCCAAGCCAGTTCGGTTGTTATAAGAACGTGAAGCATCTTCTTTCTCTACCACTTTGCAACAGCTGACAAACCCAACCAAGACTTCAGTTGCCCCACACAGCAATGATGTCAGTGCCCTGAAAACGGATCCCAACTCCCCAACAACCAATCATTGCCTCCACTGAGACAAGCTTTCTCGATTAGGCAATTCAACAGATCAAGGCATGACGATGATCGACACTGTCTCACAAGGCAAAGCCTAAAACAGCAAACCGTATCGTTTGCCGCTGTCACTTATCTCAAAATGGAGTATCAAGACCTCACCCTAGTTTGATCTGCGGCAAGGCAGCGTCAGACAGGGTCTTTGACCTCTAGAGAGACGTAGTATAAAGGCTGGCTCGTGAACCTAAGAAGCTTAATGACCTGGAGAGATTCTTGGCATCATTGGCAAACATGTCTTCTGATAATTCAACCTCGACAAAAGAAAAAGACCCTGAAAGAGGGCTCTTTCGATACTGGAAGCCATCTACGACGAGCCAACCTCCTCCTGAGGGCGGACTGACAGCATGGCTTCAAGTCCTCGGCTCGTTCCTTATAAACCTCAATAACTTCGGTTTAGCAAACAGCTTCGGCGTGTTTCAAACATACTACGAAACGACCCTGCTTCGACAACACTCCTCGTCTGCGATATCATGGATCGGTACACTCCAAGTCTCCTTGATTCTCATCATCGGCGTTATCTCCGGCCCGCTCTTTGATCAAGGATACTTCTATCCCATCCTCGTCGCCTCGAGTCTCATGCTCACCTTTGCACTTATGATGCTGAGTTTATCGACGCAATACTATCAAGTCATGTTGACGTGGGGTGTCCTTGGAGGTATATGTACTGGGCTGTTGTACATTCCAAGCGTTGCCATGATCCCTCTATATTTCACGACGCGGCGCGGTTTGGCACTTGGCTGTGCAACGGCAGGAGGATCTTTTGGTGGTGTCATTTACCCCATTGTAGTTCGCCGTTTGCTGGACTCTGGTGGCTTTGGCTGGGCTTGCAGGGCAATTGGTTTCATAACCCTCTTCACCTTGACATTCGCGGCCATACTCATTAAGCCCAGCACCCAAGCAGCCAAGAAGCCAACACGACAACTCTTCGACAAGTCGATCCTCAAGGACAAAGCCTTCATTTTCTTCACGTTAGCATCCTTCTTTATATGGCTGGGCTTCCTCGTGCCATATATTCTCACTCCCTCTTTTGGTTTATTGGGCCTTGACCATCCCGTCTCAGAGGATCTCTCATATTACATGTTGTCCGTTCTCAACGCCGCCCAGGCTCTAGGTCGAATCATACCTGCGGCCATAGTGGATAAGAAAATCCTGGGAGCGGAGTCTATTCTCATGTTCAACGTCGTGGTATCTGGTATCCTTGCTCTGTGCTGGATTGCAGTCCATAACTTGGGCGGCTTCACTGTCTTCCTCGTCCTGTATGGCTTCTTTTCTGGTGCAGTCACGACCTTGCCTGCTTTTATCATCCCATACCTATGTCCCTCACTGGCTGTCATTGGTACTCGAATGGGAATCGTCTATGGTGCGGCAGGATTTGGAGCATTGATCGGGCCTCCAATTGCGCTGGCAGCTGATGAGGCTCACGGTGGTCAGAATAACCGTGCATTTCTGGGTGCGCAGATTTGGAATGGTGTGACCATTCTTTTCGCGTCATGTCTTTGCGTGTATCCTCTTTGGGAGGCTAGGAAGCGACGGCACATGAAGGAGATGGCGGATGCTAAGGCAAAGGAGGATAGTAGCGGTGTTTAGGGCGCAGTATAGAAAGAAATGCCTCTGCATTGCCTGGATATGTTAGCGGTGGTGCCTCAATTTCACGGACCCTTATCAGTCTTGCTATCATTAGGGTCTGTCTTTTTAACACAATTACAACAAAGTTACGTCACTGAGGACTCATGATTGCTGCCAGCAGATGGATATGTATATGCCAAGGAACGTAAGCTGCATGCCAGAGGTAGTAAGACACATCGCTTAAATCAGGCTGCGCATACTCATTGTATTATTGGTTCACGAAGCAGGCAGCCACGAACACGAGCGATCAGATCATATCAATTCCTTGCCTCTTCAACTTCTACGATGTAAAATTGTCTTCCATCATGCATGTTCTGCAGCGTGGCGGTATTTCATAGGCTGTCGGACCTATTACTTGTATGGCAAGATGGATAAGTGGCATGACAACTCAAAACCCCATGCGTGTGAGGCTCTATGTCAGTACTTACAAGTTGCCAAAAGTCTATAAAGGTGGCACAAGAGGTTGCTGCATCGTCTGATGATGCTATTGACTAAGAAACACCTGCACAAACCCTCAAATTATTACAAGTTATCCAGCTTCCACCATGTGTTCTTACTGGGTTTCTACTCGTACCTACTCATGCGGTCACCAAACGACGTCTTATGAAGCACACCCATGCTATCGTGGTTGTGCCAGGCCATGGCCGAATGTACCAGTTGGCGCGAGTTTCCCGATAGGCCCCTGTAGCAACTGCCCAAGGGAGTAAGATGAACTGTAGGTAAGGATCCCTTTTGTCGATGCACACCCAAGGTTCTGACTCTGTTGTAGTAAGCCTGTTGGAAAGACAAGGATTAGAAGGTGAAAGCGACAACAGTTTGGAAAGGAAGGGTTCAGATGAAGCTATAGGGACGGTATAGCAGACAGTTGTATTTGCTAGGGCTGAAGAGACAATGTATGGACATTTCATTATAATAAAGCTCGACCACCAGAGGCGCCTGGTCCGAAAGCTTCTATATTGCCGATTGGAGTCTGTTTCCCCAGTCGCATGCGCAAATGTATTGCGTCACATGGCATAAAGGTGTCCAGTCAGCAGTCCTATTGAGAGGGATTGTAAGGCATAGCGAAAAATCAGGCTGTGCATTTCAACGTCATGATTGGTTATTGGGGCGCCAAGGCATACAACAAGGCACCTGAGCCCCTCATCTCATTTCCGCCCTTCGATTATTTTGAATGAACAACTTTGCCGTTTCATTGCTAACTTGATTCGACATTAACTAGGTTGACCGCCATGGACCCTCTGTCTATCATCGCCAGTATTGCAGGTATCGCAACTGCAGGCACGTCGCTCTCAAAGGCGATATACCATTTCATCTCCTCGACGCGTGGTGCATCTCGTGAGATGGTAGAGATTGCCCGCAACATTTCTGATCTGTCCTGCATACTTTCCGAGCTCCGTCACGTACTCCAAGAGAGCGCCGATCTCTGCAGTCGCAAACTTCTGCGCCGTATCAAGTCAGCAATGCGCCGAATTTCAGCGATTCATGATGATATATATGCACTAATGGATAGCAGAAAAGGATTTCAGACCTTTCGTTGGAGTCTCAAGCGGTCGGAAGTGCAGTACAAGCTCACATTAGTCGAGAGCCATAAAACTGCTATTCACTTGATGCTCAACATTCTGATTCTCGCGGCGACAACAAGAAAGGAAGCACAGTTAGTAGTCTCCCAGCTCTTATTATAATACTATGATAACCAATATTCTTTCGCAGATCCCAAGTCACTCAGACAACTTCGACCAGTGAAGGCAAGCAGAAAGAACCAGAGTCAGAGGTTCCTCTCCTTCGCCAGCAGTCAGAGAACCTCGCATACGCAGCCTCTCATTGTCTCGTTGATCTCTCAGAGAACCAGGAATTTGAGATTAGCCAATCATCAAGCCAACCAAAGACCGATTCCGGTAGTGAGAATGATGACGCTACGGGGCAGGTCCAGATCCGTGGCTATGGGTCATCTGACGGGACAGGCCGATGGCTTTTGGAACTTGTTTTCGAAAACTATTCTAGATCGGGTCAAGGTTCAGAGCCTCAAGACCAGAATATCGGAAAAGAACATGGAGTTCCAGCTTCCGACAGAACGGCCATCGTAGTCCGAACTCCAGCAGAACTACAAATAGCCATTTACGAACCCGGAGCAGGTCAACTTCTTATCGACACACTTCTAGCGGAATGGACATGTCTTCCCAAAGACGAGATTACCGGAACCTTCGTGCGCAAACCTGAAACAGGACAAGTGAAGCCCAGCAGTCCCGTTCCCACACAAAAAGATGTCGTGGGCATCCGCTTCAAAGACGCCGTTGGCCGCAAGTTCACGTTCCCATACCACCTTGTTCAGAAATGGGAGGCAAGTCGTATCGTGCTGTCTTGATAGCCTTTTAATACTAACCCGCTGCAGGGCATGGAAGAGCTGATCAAACAAGCGTTCATATGTGTCGATGTGGTCGGTCCACATGTCCTTGCAGGCCACTATGATCTCACTGGTCCAGACGGCGACATAATACCCATACAAAAATGGGAAAGCACCGTAGAGCCAGGAATGCAAGTTGGAATGTTCATGTGGCCTGCCGATGATACTCGAACACCAAGGGTTAATCTTGAAAGGATGATGCAAAATGACCGAGGGACAAAACAAGTAAAGAAGAGGCCGAAAAAAAAAGGGGCCAAACTTCATTAGACCGATATTTGTTTGGCTCATGGAATTAGACACTCGGTGGTTGAAGTTCATGATATTCGAATCTTCCACGAGGTAAATCATATCAACGAACTGAACATTGATACAAACTCTTTGTAAATGTTGCAAATCTTTCAGTGCCCTTTAATAGCCCCATGCCTGAGTCCGTCATGCTCCTGTAATATGATCTGAACTAATGCATTGTCACATTTCAACCCCACTCAAGGTGACTCTCAACAACATAGGTGATTTGATCTCTTCTGCTCTGGCCAGAAGCTCTTGCGCATCCCAATTTGCCCAGACGAACTTTCCTCTCAGGAATCCAGCTTCTGCAGAAGCAAGCCAAACCATAAAGTGAGCTGGCAACTCTACTGATTTCTCTTAGTTTTGGAAATAATATTCATAGTAGAACTAGTAAACAAACCTGTATCAAACCCGACACTAAGATCAGGATTTATTCCCGTCGCAATGATCCCAGGTTGGATGCTGACGACATGGATGTGAGGGTTCTCGAACGCGAAGTAGTCTACCATCTTCAAAGCTGCTGCTTTGGCCGCAGCATAGCTGAACACTCCGGGCACTGCAGCCATCGGCGCCCAGTGACCTATACCAGACCCAGTGTAGATGACCTTTGCGCTTGGGGCTGCAAGGGGGAGGAATACTTGGAGTGAGTTGAAGGTGCCAATGACGTTTATTTCGAAACATTGACGGAGTTGAGCCTCATCATACCCGTAGACTGGGCCAGCCTTCGGTAACATGCCGGCGTTGGTGATGAAAATGTCGATTTTGCCGACTTCCTCAACGATGTTCTTGAGCGCGGTGCCAATGGACTCAAGTTTAGTGACATCTCCGCTTTCGAACAGAACATGGGTTGAGGAGTTTGCAGCCTGAATTGCCTTTGCAGAAGTTTCAAGGCATTCGAGCCTTCGACCGACGATGGCGACGGATTTGGCATCAGCTTGTGCAAAGGCGATGCCAGTAGCTTGACCGATTCCGGTACCGCCACCGGTGATGACAACATTCTTCCCAGCAGCAGAGAGCTCTGGTCTCGTGGGTGAGATGAAGGGATATGGCTCAGCGTGCCATGATTTGGTGAAGGATGAGAAGCCGGGTAAGGGGAGGGGAGCCATTCTGAATAAAAAGGAAAAGGAAAAGATACTGCAATGAACAGCTTGATCATGGGTAGGGCACTTCATATTAGCTCCTGAATGCGAGAATTATATAGGTACTGCAACCACGTATTGGGTGGATACTGATAAAGCAGAACCATTATTTTCTTTTCATTCATAAGCATGCTGTCTTTTTGCTCTTCCGCGGAACATCTTCAACGTTGTGTCTGTAACATGATTCAGCTGGCTGTTCCGCGGAGGATGGGGTTGGTATCACGGCAACATGTACTTAAAAGACATCACAATTTAGACACTCGAGACACGAACCAGGAGCAAGCATCGCATCAGTTTCAACATTTTCTCCATGTTGTACCTCCTCAAATCCCCTATCCTGATATCCTTTGGATCCTCAGCTACATGTGGCGTCGAGCCAATCCACGTTCTGTACAGCATTCCGAAATGACATTTCGCGGGAATTCCCCAGAAGCTCATCCCACGAATGACGTAAACGCTGCAGCTGCGGAAGCGGCGCTTGCAGAATCATATCATCCAGAAAGCTGAATGCGGGGTTAATCAACAGATCATCCGTCTCAGCCTTTGTGTGCCAAGGGTTGAATAGGCTGTTGGCCGTTAGGCATACCGCCGCAGAGATATAAGTACACGCAGTCATCCTAGAACCTCAAAGTCAGCAAAACGACTAAGGAGTCGAAATAGATGGACTTACCAGATAAATGCAGGATCTTTGTGATCAATTGCTATAAAGAGTTCGATGTACCCGCGAGACTCATGAACAAGTTTATGCCAACCCACTGGCAATCGTGGAGCAGTGACTACCCCTTGCTCGGCTGCCTTTCTTCCGAAGTCTTGAAGGCTTGGTATCCATTGTGCTTCCATTGCATGAGCCTTGCAGACGACACTTCGACAAGTGAGATGGCTTGAGTACAAAACACCAAAAGCCCTCTGTAGGTTTGCGTTCCCGCTTTGAGTGATGGCACAGGGAGAAAACTCAAAAGGTATACGGGCAAGCCAATTATCTAGCATCTGGTGTATTCGAGTCACGTTGTCGAGACGAACGTAGACATCTGATGCAGTGGGGGACATGGACAGCATTGCTTCATAAACTTCGCCTTGGATATGCGCAAGCTGCACACGTGACAGAAAGAAGTTGAAGCTAGACGAATTATCAGCTGTGTATAGCATACCGGCCCCGTCAGCAGGTGTAGCTGATGGCCAATCAATACTGATGTCATTTTGACTCTGAATAGGAGGGAGTTTTGTGCGCATCGATATGTCTCGATCGAGGATGTAAGCAATCCAGAAGACTCGATCTCGCTCCAAGGTTTCGGACGCACTTAGATGCTCCGAATTAGATCTTGTATGCAGTCTCAGTCCATGAGCAAGACGCAAAGCAATGGGTATCAGAGCCGAAGCCGGTTTCAAGTCTGATGTCGCTTGTAACAACACAACCATTCCGACAATGGTTTGGACGTCCAGGAGATTTGAATCACCCAACATGATGTCGTTGAGCACTGATTGAGCCATGTTCATGAAATACAGAGTACTGTACTTGGGCGGCTTCTCCTCGTCTGGGATATGACGGTAGGCCAGAGAAAGAACGACGTTGATGGCAGCCCAAGTCGAGGTATCTCGTTGGTGAGGTCGCTCGTACCATGTATTGACCCGAGATAGAAGTCGCTGTGGATCAAAGAGGGGCAGAATGGTGTTGAAGGTTGTAAGGAACTTGTTGACTCCCGATAAGACTTCGTGTTGAGGCGGTAACTCATGGCCTAGTTCAAGAGAACCCTTTCCAGAATAGCTGACGTCATAATCTTTGACCTGTGCCCGATTAACCTGCCAACTGCTCTTCTGCGACAACCGCTCCTCAAGCTCCTTTATCCTCTGCTGTGCTTCATCAAGGCTCGACTCGAGTGAATGAACCTGAGACTGCAAAGCCGCCGCGGTACCATTGGACCGTTTTCTTGTTGCAGCTTTACGGCTTGTAGCTTGAAACGTGCAGTCAGATTTGTAGAGAACGCAATGAGAGCACCGGGGCTTTTGTCCGTCGCAGCGGATTCGCTTGCGATAGCAGACATCGCATGCCTGTTACACGCCGTCAGCACTGTATCTACCTCGGTAAGGGAGCTATGACAACAACCTTTCTGGTAATTTGAGATGACGGCATTTTTGATGATATGGATTTTGATGGCAGGCAAAAAGGTGATTGATTGAAAGAAGTGATGCTGACATGCTTATCTTGACTTCCGCGGAAGCAGTGCTGACAAATTGACCTCTGTCCTGATTGGATGCGCGGTGAGTCTAACTTGCAAGCCGTGACTGCTGGCGAATGATAACCTCTATTTCAGCTCCATCTATTACAACTCCGTACTTTAAAACAACTCCATCTAAAAGCAACTCCATCCTGATCACCTAATACACTATAATACATCCACTAGCGACTCAATACATATACAGAAACTGTCACAACGCCAGCTCAACAATGTCACCCGTCTCTTTCCTCAAACATCAGCTCCTTGTTTACATAGTCCACCCGTCAAGAGCCTCAACATCAGTATAAGCAGCGAGATTGATGTAGTGAACCTGTCGCGTTCCACCACGACCAAACTGCTCAGCCGTGCTGTTCAGCAAGAAAGCCGAGGTAGAAGAATTCAAGTTGAGCAAACCGGGAAACTGCTTGCTGAACTTGTCGAAGATGACCTGAGGTGTGAAGTGATCAAGACCCTTTGCCTCAATCTCCTTCTGCCAATACTTCAGATAAGTGCGTGTATGATCAACATCGATTGAGCAACCAAACTTCTTATTCGACAGACTGTGCCCGGGAATAACGACGTTGGGCTTGAGATAGTCGATTAAATCGAGGGTTGAAAGCCAGGATTCCGTGAGGGCCTTGGTCAGAGAGTCGGCGAGCCAGAGATGCATGTCGTGCCCGTACACGGAGTCGCCAGCTATCAAGGTCTTGATGGAGGGGATCCAGAAGAGTGTTTCATCGACGGTGTCGCCGGTGAGAGGGTTCAAGAAGTGAATCGGCGTGGCTTCGTCACCGGGCAGGGTGAAGAATGAGAAGTCGTATGGCGTAGGAAGGTGAACCTTGTTGACGATGGACTTTTCACCAAGAACACCCTTCATCAGCTTGATCTATTCAATGTTAGTAACCATTATTGTTACAGTGTCTTCTTGTATACCTTGTGAGCTGCTTCCTTCTTAATCTCGGCCGCCGCCTTAGAATTGGCATAGTACTTCGCCTCCGGAAATCGCGACAACAGTGCACCACCACTGAGGTAGTGATCAGGATGGAAGTGAGTGGTGAAAGCAGCGACAAGTGGCTTATCGGTCGTGTTGCGAACCCAATCAGCTAGTGCCTCTGCGCCTTCGATCGCCATGGGCAGGTCGATCAGGACGGCGGCTTGAGAGCCGATGATCAGGGAGGAGACCATGTCGAAAGAAGAGCCATGGTTGATGAAAGTTTCAACACGGAGGTTATGGTGAGTTATCGCTCGTGCACTGATGAGTCCGATGGACTGAAGGGCCAGAGAAATAGTTGTAAGACGCATGATTGGGATAGTAATTGAGAATGTTTGTAAGTTGAGTTGAAGATCTCTGCTGTGATTGTTTGATTGATTGCTGTGAGAATGCTGATTTTGATTGCGACATGGCAGTTCTATATATAATAATTCGTGATGCCTCTTAATTTACTGATGGCTGGTGAGCTTGGACATCTCATCAATGCCACTTAGAAGCAAAGTGGGAGAGCATCGCTAGTTGGTGGGTCCATTTCTAATACGGAACTCCACATCTCCCCACAGCGGCATTCGACTGGAATACCGAGATCAATCTACCGACTCATAGCGCAATTCAAAATTTCCAACTTGCTCAAATGCCGGGTCAAGGGTGCTTGGATAGAGTGACGTACTAAGGCTGGATCTCAGGGCAGCAGCTATGTGCAAATGGCGATAGACTCTTCGCCATAGCCAGTCACGATTTTGGTAATCCAGATGGTTCGCCGCAAGGCTTTACTCTACAGGCTTGGCCACTCCGCAGCTACAATAACACAAATTTGAATCGTGTGTTGACGGTATTTTTATTAAAAGTTCCGGCAGCTGCCTTACACCTTTGAACGTTCAATTGCTATTACTCTGCATGGCATATCTCGGAGTCAAGCCGCCGGAATGGGAAAAGTCGGATGTACAGAATCCGAAGAGTCTAAGCGAGATTAAGGGCTCTAATGACGAGCGACGGCAACCGTTACCGAAAATGTCTTTGTCGAGCCTGTTGGAAATACGTAAATTAGGCTTTGCCGGTCGGGCGTTAGCGCCTGTCAGGGGCGGCCGCCAGAGAACAAGACCCTGCATCAAAATTGACTGGTTTGTAAAACACCGAGTGGGATAGCTTCATCGGATTTCCGACCCTCTCAAAATGGTTATAGTAATCTAATGCATAAGCATTTTTCATGAGTCGTTCTCTTTTACTTTTTTACAGAAAATCCTATTCGGCTCCAGCTCATGACTACTTCAAGCTGCCACGTTCAAGGCTGTACCGTCTACCATGTTTTCGGTTGGTATGGCTGAATGGAGTTAGTTCTCTAGCCCATTTATCAATCATGAAGACTTACCAGGCGCTTGGGAGGAGCATCTATCCAAGCCGACATTTGGTACTGCTGATTATCTGCAGGCGTCCAGGAAAGATCATATTTGACTGGCTGCATATACTGTGTAAAGTTCATGGGGTATCCAGGATTGTAAGGAGATGCTTCGTGAATCTCGTCGATTTCCTCTTTCGTAAGCTTGATCTTCAAGGCTTCGGGCATAGCCTTGATATGCTCTACGGTATTGACTCCCACGATGGGCAATACGTATGTGGATTGGTGGAATAAGTATGCCAGTGCCTAACTGCATTAGATCCTTGCGTGATGTAGATGGTGAAGCCGAAACTCACAATAGCCTGTAGTGTTGTTCCCTTTCGGCCGGCGATTCTTTCCAAGGCCTCACTAGTCTTTAGCGCAACCTCTGAGATCTGAGGCCTCGGTGCATCTGGATCAGCTTCCCTTTCTTTTCGTTGCTGGGCTGTAAGCAGCGAACCAGTTCCCAATGACCCCCAAGACACAATCGCCATATCTTGGTCTTCGCACATGGGGATCACATCGCCTTCCATGTCGCGGAAGGCCGCATTCCAGTTGCCCTGATAGATGGAGAAGGGAGTCAAGCCATGCTGTTTCGCGTCTGTCCAGATCAGCACCATTGTTGATCGGCAGGGTGACGGGACTTACAGGCATTGGCTTTCACAACAATCCAAGATGGAGTATTGCTAATACCTAGGTAAAGAACTTTTCCCTGCATAACGAGAACATGGAGACCTCTCATCACCTCCTCAACTGGCGTCGCATAGTCCCACCAGTGAACATACAAAATGTCGATGTAGTCTGTCCTCAGCTTCTTCAAGCTGTCGCGCACCGAAATATGCATGCTCTTGGCAGAATTGCCGGTGAAGTTCGACTGCAAAGGTTCAGGCTTGTCGCCGAATGCACGATAACCCGCGGTGTACTTCGTCGCAATCACCATTTGGTCTCTAACGCCACGCTCTTCCATCCACTGGCCCATGAGTGTTTCTGACATCTGGTTGTTGTAGTTACTCGCGGTGTCGATGAAATTGCCGCCTAATTCGTAGAAGGCATCTAGGAGTCTGAATGGTTCCTCATTCTTGCCGGTGTAAAACTTCCATTCGTGGCCGATGCTTATGCCGCCAAGACAGATTGGCGATACCTTGACTCCAGCAGTCGGGGAGAGGATGCGATGGAAGCCAAGTGGGGTCTTGGGCTTCGGTGCAGTTGGGAAACCCATGGTATGTGAGAAGATCCGATGCGCAGGGTATAAGAAGATTGAAACAACGAAGAAGGGGGATTCCTCAAACACTCTGTATTAAAGAAGAGTTTATATCAGTTATCGTATTAAGTGAGTTCACTTTGTCGCGTCATAAACAGCATGACATTTACGCTAATGCAGCTTGCTTACGCGCTATTACAACTGTAACACCTTGCGCTAATGCAAGTTGCTGACGCTAAAATGGGGCTTCTAATTACTGAGTTACAGTGCTTCCATAGCCGGCTGGCCACTCCCGTCTGCCAAAGAGTCCCGATTTCGAATGGAGGATGGTAGTGATTTGTCTAAAAAGCGGAAAACTTCTGCATAGATATGGTAAATCAGGAAGCGATTATGGCGCTGAAGGACTAGGTTTTAGGCAAAAATATAAGTGTTTTTTATTTCTACTGGCGAAATAAACGTAATAACCGCAAGAGTTAAGGTTTTTGCATTGAGCATCGAACCTGAAGAAGTGAAAAGAAGCCACGAAAAATGAGTCGGCGCCACGAGTGAGAATACTAAATATTCAGTTAATTTAGTTCTTAAATGAGGTTCTCTTGGAAGAACTCGCTGAGCTTGGAGAAAGGAATGATCTCAGTTCGATCATAAAGATCAACATGGCCAGCTCCACGCACCCAGTAAAGCTCCTTAGGTTGACCAGCCTCACGATAAGCATTCTCGCTAAACTCCCTAGAGTGTGACTGATCGCCAGAAATAATGAGAAGAGGACGAGGTGAAATGGTTTCGATATCGTTGAAGGGGTAAAAGTTGAGGAAGTTGACATTGGTAACGAGCGAAGGTTGAGTAGTCTGGTTGCGCTGCCAGTCCTCAGGGGTAAACTCGCCCCGAACGGTGCGGTAAAAGTCGAAGAACTCACGAGAGACAGCATCAGTTTGGCTGGTGAGTTCATTTGGAGTGCCGCCGGTGTATCCAGTTGGTGCTCCGTCGACTTCAGCCCATCGCCGCTGTGACGCATTGGCGATGACTGCTCTGCGCTGCTCAACCGATACAGCTCGACGAAGCCCCTGGCGATTGACGGTGCCCATGTCATACATGGATACAGTAGCAATGGCCTGAATGCGATCGTCAATCTTGGCCGCATTGATGACAAAGCTGCCGCTGCCACAAATCCCAAGCGCGCCGATACGATCCCGATCAACAAAGTTATAAGTCCCCAGGTGATCGACCGCAGCCCTGTAAGCCTCGGTGTAAAAATCAGGCGACACGAGATTCTGCGGGCCGTCACTTCTGCCCCAGAAGGGGAGGTCGAGGGTCAGGGTGACGAAGCCCTGTTCGGCCAACTTGCTAGCGTACAGGTTGGCGGATTGTTCCTTGACTGCGCCCATGGGATGGCCGACAACGATGGCGGGGGAGTTGGTGTTGCGGCTAGCATTTCTGGAAGTGAAGAGATTGCCGACGATGGTAGTGTTGTAAACGGTGTTGAAGTGGATGGGCTGGATTGCGACGGATTCGCTGCGGTAGAAGTTATCGGCGCCGTAGGAGAGGTTCTGCGCGGAAGCTGGCATTACAGCTGCGAAGGCCATGACGCCTTGGGCAGCGTAGTTGAGGATGGACTTCATGGTGATGGTTTCAGTGCGTTTGCTAGACGATAGGTGTGGTGATGGATATCTCTATTTCAGGCGGAAGTTAATGGTTATATATACCACGTCTCCTGTATCTGCATGCTCCAATTTTTGAAGATCCGTCATAACAGTAGATGAACGAAATCAGGCCGCGTGCTTCACTATCGTAAACCTCGAGGCTTAGTTATGCCAAGATTTTCCAATCCATATGTTTTGCCGAGTGTCTGTCCGATGCATAGTCTTTGTCTCATGGCCTTCATGAGTAAAGCAGCTTGAGCAGGCAGAGAGAAGAACTGTGTTGCAGCCGGAAGCGGGTCCTAAAATGTCAGCAACCTGCATTAGCGCCGGACCTTAAACTCTTGGCGAGGGGACAGAAGCTTCCAAAACACGTCATTACGTGGCTTGACGTCAAACCTTAATCAAGTACTTTAAACAAACGCCCGAGGGCTTTGTAATGAGTGTTAGTAAATAATGTTACACATTGTTAAGTGTCTTTAACCTTCATGACTAAGCTCTACTCCCTGTCAACAGACCATCGCTCTGACCCGGCGTGTTCACCAGCGGAAAATACTCCAACCCACTATCCTGGCTCGGCATAGATGGCGGCACGGGATCATCTACCTGTCCAACACCAGAGCATCTCTCACACGGAGCCGAATCCCGATGCTTCTTACTGAGATAGAATTCAGCGGAAAGCTTGTAAAGTTGCCATACAGCTTGAAGCAGCACAAGATCAGCTACGATGATAGCAACAATGAGACTCCCCGCTGGCTTGAGCCGCGGGACCTGACAGATGTACGTCGTAGCGATGACAGAAGGCGTGATACCTAAGCGGCCCGTCGTTTTCTTTAATGCGCTGTAACTGTCGTTCGCAGGACCTGATCTCAGATTTGCCATGCGCGCTGTGGAGAAGTTGGCCGTGTAGCGCGTCAGCAACTTGGTGTCGGTGAGGATATTGGATTTGGGGGCTGCTTCCTGGCCGAGATCAACGAGTATTGTCGAATACGCCGCTTTTGCCAGCGAGTCTGCTTTTATCCATATGTTCGGATAAGTGTCGCTCTCATCTAGGACCTTTGCCGTTAAGGGAAGCGGTAAGCCGGGACAGCAGGCTACCTCGTTGATTCTGCTACCGTAGAAACGATAATCGAGGCTGAAAAAGCGCAAGTCTTCAATATTAGGGTTCGTATCATTGATCATGAAAGAAACAGTGCCCTTGTTGAGTTCTATTTTGTCATCGTCGTCTTTGTAAGCCCCCCGCTGGTCCTGGAGCATCAGCGTGACTTCTCCCCAGAATGTCGACATCAAGGATTCGCCCCACCAGAGGCTAGCTTGCGTTGTCTTGTTGCGACCAAGGAACCCGGTACCAAGAAACTTGCCGAGACTATCGAAGGATGTGGTATCAGGAACATAGTCGTAAGTCTGCGTCAAGTTGAAGAAGACTTCTCCGGCCGGGGTGTCGATCTTGCACGATATGTACGGCCGCAGCACAGCGCCCCATTCGCAAAAGCCAATCTGTTTTCCGGCCCTGTCTAATGAATCAAAGTCGATTTCCACAGAGTGGACAGAGCAGTCCTGCAGGATGTTTCCATGATATGTGAGAGCGGGCGAAATGACCCGCTGGCCATCATTTCCTCTCTCCCAGACGCTTGTCAACGTGTAGGTTAGAGCGGTATTGTTGGTGAAGAAATCGCTGTTTACTGGTAACGTGGCAGGCTGACATTTGGGTCGCACTTTGGTGGTCAGAAAAGATGGGTAGCGATGCAGCAAGCCACGCCTAGAAACAGTCGCATTTGGATCCAGTGAGTTCTGGACGATGAGTTCATAGCTACTCGAGGCAAAGTTCATCAAAGTGAAGAGCGCGATGAACATGATACCGCCTATGACAGCAACTGGGGTGAACCATCGAAAGGGAAAGGGTTGGGTAATGGGGTAACTGAAAAATGACTTGTGCTCCATGGTCGCTGGTAATTAAACCAAAAGGGCACGATCAAGCTTGAGGCATTGTTGTTTATGTACTGCAGACCAAAATCAGGCTGTGAGTAAGTCCTAGATAACGGCTTTTCCAGCTGTATCTTACAACCAATCAGCTGCTGGCATTTCAGACTTGTTTGGGGACCTTACATATTTCTATAAATATCGTTTCAGCTGGCGACTCTAAAATTATCGCACACGATAAATAGCTCTGTGCCATAACTCATATGCAATCGATCCGTCAAAAACATGACAGGGCGGCTCAGTGATATCAGCAGACTAATCCGAGCTCAGAAGACCTTATATGCAAAGTGAGTCTCCCATCTATTACCTTAAATGGAACCATTTATCAACTGCCCCTTCATCCTCCAAAGCCTCACCATTCATCAGGCCATTGACGAAAGACTCCCCCAAGAACAAATACTCTTCATCGCCAGCACCTCTCACTGGACGCAGAACAAAAGGAGTGTGGCCACCATACAAAACGCAAACGTGATCCCCTGGCCGCTTTGACTTCGGCCCAATACCAAGATATCCATCCTCCGTGATGAAGAACATGCGATCCTCTTTCACTGAATCATTGAAGCTGTTATCATTTCTGTGTGGTCTAATGCGTAGAAGTTTTATTAGCTCCAAAGCGGAGTCGATCTCATCTTCGTTGTCGTAGATTTCTACAAGCACAGCTCTTAGCGCCTGTTTGTGTTGTTCTTCGAGTATCGACTCCCATTCCAGCGGTGGGGGGCTTGCTTGCGCTAAAAGACGAAGAAGTTTGATAAGGAGTTTTATCTCGTTGTTCTTGTTGGGCATCAACATGAAGCGGGCGATAGCTAATGCCAAATACTCCCAGAAATCGGTCAACATTGATGTCGGAACCGAGCAAGCCGTCACAGAATTGAGGAGCCATGTTATCAAGTCCCCGTCGTTTTGGCAAGAAATTACCGGCTTGTGTTCATCCACCATCTTGAACACGTTGAGAATCCAAATCGTAGGTCCCCAACCCTGTAAATCCAGCAGCATTCTATCAGGGAGACTTGGGTCTACCTGCCGGAATCTCTGCTTGGCGCTCTCCCATAATTCTTGGATTAGTGTTTCGGGCATTACTATTACAGCAACATTATCCACGCTTACCCCTCGCAAGGACAGTGTATCGTGGCCATAAGAAGTAGCCACAATGGCTTTGGTGTCTTCTGATGCGTTTTGTGTTCTGGAGAAATAGATCGGCTCTTTGGCTACCTTCTGAAAATCCGGAACCCACAAAGGTACCTTCTCCGCGTCGAGGTCTTGAACCGTACTGTATTGAAGTATATCAAGCTTCTTAGTTACAGAAATCATCTTGACGGCAAAGTCGCGATAGACCTCGAGAACAGGCATGCTGTAATCGGCCACGATGTCGTACCCTGTTTGATCCGCAAGTCCGATAAGGGCATATATCGTATCGCGAGGATCTGTCGCCTCATAATCCATGAATCTGACGGCTAAGTGGTACCAGTCTTTCGCTACATGATTCCCAAAGAGAAGCATGGCAGCATTCTTAAACGCGAGAATTGCATCAGGCAACTTTAAGGCACTGTGCGCCAGTAGCCAGCCAGGAGTAGAGTGGTAAAGGATATGCCCCGGGATGGTGATCTCGCCCCAGAGGATCCGATAAGATTTAGCAACGGCGATCTCTTGTATGATCCAGACTCGGGAAAAATATGCAAGGCCCAGCATGTTGGAGAGAGCCATGTATGTCGGAGAGTTTTGTGGTGGTAGGCCGAGACTCTGTAGCTCTTCATCGTCAAGGGGTTCGTCGATTCTCATAGTTCGGGGCCAAGAACCTGCTGCCATGGTGGAAATCATGTCTACGACACGAGCAGACTCAGGTGAGTCTGTGACGCCCAACCAAGCATTGACGAGCTCAGCTTGGCTGTATATATCTCTCATGATACTGACTTGCTGAGATCGTTCCTGGAGATCATGTTGGTTGATGCAGATTTGGTCGATCCAGATGAGGCGACAGTCGCTGATTGCTCTCAAACAATGCAAAACTTCGTAAAGATTGTTGGTGACGAAGAAGTTGTGGCCATTGCATTGCATTGAATCGATTTACTGTTGGCCGTTAGTGCAGGTCCCCATACGTAGCTCAGGGCTTGATATGAAGGTGCGGTCGCAAGAGAATATGGCTTCAAAGTACAACTGATGGTGCTATGGGTCGGGCCATTTTCAATCTCCAGAAGCCGAAATGAGTGGTGATCGCGTAATACTTCGTAAGGAAAATTCCCGTTGATTGTCATGCTTTCCTTATCGCTAGGGTTGTCCTAGTTGTTTGTTGACTAGATGGGTTTTTGGCTGACAGGAATGGAAAAATAAACAGATCGGAGCAAATGGTAGACTGATAAGTCTAGGTGGCTCAACAGCTTCGTTGGTACCGGTGCTTGATTCGTTGAGGCAGCCTGAAAGGCGTTCTGAAGGAGGGGTTTACATTTACTCACTTTCACAAGTATTGACAGGCGTTGTACAAGGCATTATCATTCAAAAGTCCACATAATTGAGTCAAAATAACATTTCTAGTTGTTAGCTCTATTGTTTTTCTACACTTCCTATTGAGTTCCCCAATGGAGCTGATAGATCGAGCTTGACACCTTGTACTCGCGCAACGCATTGATAGCCCCGACAGCGGTCTCAGCCACGGCGAGAAGACCTTTGTTCCCGGGCTTTACGAACCCTTCTTCGGCAGCCTTATCCAACCAGCTAACAATGCCGTTCCAATAGCCATCAACATTGAGAAGCACGATGCCCCTGCTGTGAATCCCAAGCTGAATCCACGTCGTTGTCTCGAAGATCTCTTCCATGGTTCCAAATCCACCGCTAAGACCGATGAAACCGCTACCGGGACCACCTGCAAAGACTTCCTCTGCCATCAGCTTCTTTCGCGTGTGCATATCTTTGACAAGGGTGGTTCGACCAAAAACTGCTTCATCGGGCATGTTCTGGGCCTGGCGCGAACCGGCTCGTTCGTGCTTGACGAGGGCCTCGGGAATAATGCCATGAACAGATTGAGGCCCGTTGATCGAGACCAGAGTCTTGGCGATCTCTCCCATGAGGCCAACAGTCCCACCGCCGTAAACTGCCAAGTTTTAGTAAAAAGTGCTTAAGAAAGCCATTTGAGTAATCGACTGTTCCTAGTATCACTCACCAAGGTCGATATTATTTGCGGCCATCGCACGGGCGAGCGCCCGGGCAGCTTCCATATGAGCGGGACTGGCACCGGTGCCTGCTCCACAGTACACACATATCTTGGTGCGAGCTAGATGAGACATAGCGTCTTGAGCCATGGCTGTGGCGTTGCTGATGATGGAGATGATGTAGGGTAGTCCAGGCGTTCGCTGATAATTCGGTACGTCGCAGTTAATGGCGATGATGATATAAAAGAAGAAAGATTGTAATAAAGAATAGTCTAGAAACAAATTTGAGTTGGGAATAAGGAATGACGGTATTTATGAGGAAATCTGTTCAGTCAATATCTCACCATGTCCAAGAAAATCCCAATCGACTTGTGTGCCTCATCTCGGCCGAGTTTTGCACAGCAGGCCAATTTAAATCATCCAGGGCGTGAAACCAAACCTTTATCATTAAAACATAACCCAGAAACTTTTCAGTGACCTACTGGTCGACCAATTATGCAATCCTGACCGCAATGCTAAAATCCTTAACAGATTACATCTGATGTTGCTGCAGGTGGTGATAGCCGGGGCTTAGCCGGACAATGATGTAGACCAGATCCATTCACAAATCTCGGCCGTGTTGCAAATGTCTCACCCGCACAACTGTGCAAAACACGGCCGACCGGGAATAATTACACATGCCAAATCCGAGATCAGTCCGAAGCAGTCAGCGGTCTGTTCTCGCTTGCACTAATTGCTCTCGCCGCAAGATCAAGTGCTCCAAGACTATTCCCTGCACAGCATGCGTGCGCCAGAGTAATGCTGCACAATGTCAGCGAGAGCCCGTCGCTGTTGTTTCGAGGCGCTCGGTAGGGCGCTCCAAGGCCTCGACAGCACTGGATGACCCGCCACCTGTACCTGTCCCAGAAGCGGCCAGCGTCGCGACAGTGTCGTCAGCTTCGATCGAGGAGGTACCTACTACTGTTAACCCTGCAGCTGGAAGCACTGCTACAAGCATCAATGATTCCCTACCGCAGATTGATGAGCGAATGATTGAACACCTTTTGACTTCCCTATCCACGCCCGACACAAGGTTGACCAACGAAGCTGCTGCCATGCTGGAGTTTCTTACCCACGGTCGGCGCAATATTCTCAACCAATTTATTGGACGAGAGTCTATTTACACCTCCATGACGCAGCCTGTTCAAAAGTGGAATACATTCCTGCCTGTTGAGGATGCTCGCTCACTGCTGGCGATTCATGAGAAGCATTTGACTTGGATGCATAACACGGTACATATGCCAACGTTTCTGCGCGAGTTTGATGAGAATATTCTCAAGATTGCATGTGACAGTAATTGGATAGCTCTCTATTACGCTCTTCTCTCCGTAAGATGCGCGCCCTGCTGCTCAACTGGCAAATCTGACACTTCACAAGCAAACGCTCTACCATCTCGACAACGACTACCTGTCGTCTCTACCCCAGCCAATAACAGGTGAGCTGCCCGGAAATCTCTATTCTACAACTGACTGACGTTTCGCCATGCAAGTTGACAGTAAAGCGTCGCGTACTTTGTTTGACAAGAGCAGAGAGATGCTGCATAAAGCCGAGTTCATGGATAAGCATAAGCTGACCTCGGTTCAAACAATCTGCTTGCTGGTTCAGGTTGCTCATAACTTTGACAAGTCGGACTTAACTTGTGTTCTCGTATCCGCTGCTATTCGCATCGCTCAATGTCTGAACCTGCACCGATTGGGACACGATGATCATAATGTTGTCTGCCACAGTGATACCCATAGTGTCATTGACCGTGAGGTACGAAAAAGAGTTTGGTGGTTTCTCGTGCGGTACGACTGGCTGCAGATCTCGTTCCAGAATACTTGCCAGATCCATTATTCGCAGTTCAACACCCAAATGCCCGCTAATTGCCATGATGATGAAGAGCGCATGATTAAAGATGGCAGAGTTGATGTGCATCCGGCTGAGATCAGCACCATTACTACCTGGACGAATTGCCTTGCCCAAAGTAAGGCCAGTCACTTCGACCTAGCATGATAAAGGCTGACAGCAATCTCACAGTGTCTGTCGTTATGTGGAGACATCATGATCACATGTTACGGAAAGGAAGTACAGAGACTGATGATATTGATGGACGATATGATGAAGTCATCCGAGCCGATGAGGAGATCAAGAGCCTGTATCTCTCATGGTCTGGTACGCTACGAGATGTCAATACTACGCCAAGCGACAATCCAGCAAGCGATGGTCTGCCTACGGGCCTAATGCCAGCGATGCTTTTGATGAGTATCGCCCAGAAGGTCTGTGACAAGTAATGATCCATGATGTTTACAGCTGACGAGGATATTAGATCTTTACCGTTCATCGCCAATTCCAACTGTCGTGTTTCCGTGACAGGCGATACGCGTTTTCTCAGGTAACTGCCCTCGATCAACTCTGGTATAACCACTGATCCGCTGCAGCTGTCGTGTGTGACGATAGCGAAACGAAGCATCGAAGCATTCCAGCGATGGCCCGATTGTCTCGAGGCACGCATCTGCCGCAGAATGTGGACTACGCTGTCCTACATGATCAGCTGCTCAATCACTCTCCTTTTTGCTTTGCTTTTCAAGGCCCAGAATGCCCTCACGCATGACTGGGATAGGCTACGCGGTTATGTCGAGTTTGGGAAAGACATCCTTGGTAAAGAAGCACAGGCGAGCTCAATCGCCAGGAGAGGAGTTCAATTGCTCAGCGCGTTGATGGAGCTCGAGCGCACATCGGGGTTCTCATCGGACATTGAAGCGGATATTGGAGATACTATACGCCGCGTTGCGTTAGCTGATGATGACGTCGTTGAAGCGAATCCCGGTGAGGGGTACCAGATGGTCTTTCCGTATGGGCAAGATCTTTGGGAAAGCCTGATGAGGGATCCTACTGAAGGTGAACTGATATGATGTCTCAAGTGAACTGAATTTGAAATGATCATCATAAGTCTATTACTGCCGTGATATCCTGGCGCTGGTCTTCTCAAAGCTAAAGTTCCACGTAACCTTGCGAGTCCCCCCAACATCCGAGGATCCCATCCTTCCAACATGCTGCAGTACACTTGGCGTGATAGCGTACTTCTTTAGGTGACGACCATCGGCGAAATATTCTATGAGTGAGTCGCCAGCAATAGCATCGGACGCGGTGTTCAGGGCGGCGCCAAGCGTGTCAAGATGTTGCCTAGGGATCACTAGGCCCTGTGCGCAACACCCGTAATTTGGCATCTCATGAACGCCAGTTGGATACGGATTGACTGCGAGACGACCGGCGAGGAAGTATAAGAGGATGAAGGACGCTGTCCAGAATGTCAGATGTGGCAGGGCCCAGATGGTAGACTTTGGGTGAAAGGTCTGAGATCTCCGTCGTGTGTCTATAGCCACTACCAGGAGGTAGAGCGCCAAGACGATACAGTATACCGATATCGAATTGACGAGATAGGTCGGCCATTCCTCCGCGTTCCAGCCCATGTATGTTTCAGAATAGAACAGTCGCAGGTATAGCCAGTTCTTTGCGTCTTCGTCTCGTTCGAGTTTGGCCAAGGCAGTAGATAGTCGCCCTAGCCAGTTGTGCGCAGCAATGATATCGTCCTCTACCAAAGCAAAATACTCTGCTCTTTGTTCCCGACAAGCAGTCATCAATGTAGCGTAATCGCGGTGGACTCGGTCGTTTCGGGAGAGCTCATGGCTGTGATCCGACGCGACGCTGCGGTATCGATCGGAAGCATCGGTTGTCGAAGAGTTTCCGTACAGGAGGACTTCATCAACCAGGCGGTCTAGCCATCGTTTCCCAAAGGCGGGATGGGATGTTGGATCATCGTCTGCTAGTAGTACGACGATGTGTATCGCCTGTCTCTGCTCGAGACTGAGACCTTGGACAAGCGAGGCCACTGCTCTGGGTAGGAACTGCTCTCGTTCTCGCGTGACGCTCGGTATGCCGACGCAGATACGCTTCTCTGAGTCTCGTGGTATTGTATTGGCTATGTTGTTGAAAAGGGGGAGTTTCGCTAGCTCTTCTTCTGGGAAGTGTTCGGCAATGTCGAGTAGTTCATTGGCTTGGCGTTGGCGAATATCACTGTATCGCGTCTCGTAGGCTCGGCCCGAGTCATAAAAGAAGGAAGATGGATCCGAGAACGTGTAGAGTCTGCAGATCTGGAACAAAAAGACCCATAAACTAGCCAAGGAGGCGTACACGATCAGTAATCGTCGATTATGTCCTATCAGCATTGTAACCAAGAGTTAAGATAGCCAAAATGCTACACTGGTCAATTATTGCTTTGTGCATCCTCACAATATTCTTATTGAAAGCTTGAGACATTCTTAACTGCCGATTTGGTATGACCCATGCGTCTAGCGGCGGCCGCGCTGTGGACTTGTTGGTCACGATCGACCATTGAAGACCAATCTTCAGCCTTTTGACATGCCCGAACGATAAAATACGAGCTTTGTTAGGCCAGAATTCGTCACTGGTGTTTCAACATATCGTATGGTGTTGTGTGATGTGCATGGGTTGTGATCCTTTGGAGCTACTCGGTGGATTCACATGAAGACGAGGCTGAGATGGAGAAGTTCCTCCAAAAGGAGTAACGCTCTTTGTTCTGTATCTCAGGTGGTCTTTCAACAGCTTGTCGCTAGTCCACTAGATGCTCACATATCGACTTGACTAACTAGTCCATTTCTACTAGGCATTCGGGAATGTCATCCTTAACAAAGATCATTCGTCCCAAGTATTGTCCGAGCCCATTTAATCTCTCGTCCTGACCATTAGAGTGCTATTACTAATTGCTAGCCTCAAAAGATGAAGAATCAAGCTACAGAGCAAAGCCACAAACCACGTGGATTTGTTTCACACTACCTAAAAATATTCGAAGGATCCGGGTCTAAAACGCGGTATTTAGCTATACGATGTCTAGATGACGTTTGCTTCGGTGCCGTTGTGGCAGTGCAGCGGCCGCTTCTGACCGGTAGTTTGCGGGACGGACTTGCTGAGTAACCAGTTCGGCCCGGTATCACCAGCAAACTCGGGCCGAGTCAAAGGGACTGGTTCACGAGCATTATTCCCGTGAAACGGGAGGCGCAGTCAATATGGCTCATTCATGAGAATCGGCAGATTTAAGGCCATAAAAGAAGGCTGTTGAGAAACAACAGAGCGCGCAGATCTCAATATCGGGCCCCACTACGCATGCCCTTCAAGGCTGCCACGGTCATCGCGTTGACCTTCTTGGGGCGATTCTCAGTTTTGATGATAAAGTCAACAAAGCGTTTACTAGCTAGAAATAAGCATATTTATCACACATAAGCACACATGCTACTGCTTGATTCGTGGGCATGCTAGTAATGCTCTTGAGATTGAGTTTACGTCCAAGATTGGCACCATCGACGACATCGCGACAGCTAGGCCTCGAGACACGAACCTGATCCAGTCTACTATGAGATAAACCGATCCCCCAACGTTGGAAAATGAGAGCAGAATGACACCACTTTCCTCGTGAAGAATTTCTCAAACTGTCGATCACGAGGCTGTGTTCAAGCTCGTCCAGTCTCGTCGCTCCGAGAGGCGGCCGACCCGATTGCCAACAAGTTTCGATTCTTCTGGCCGTTTATTCCTCGCGATTTCCTTGAACCCGCTGCGCATGAGTACTATACTCAGGAACTCTTGTTGTGATTGCTCGAGATCAAACGCGGTTTCTGCTTCATACTTGTCGTCTATACTCTGGATACGGTACCTCAGTTCTCCTGTTCGAGTTCTGAATGGCTTGATCAGTCGGATTGTGACCGCTTGCAGAAGAACCCATCCGCGTGCTAACTGACCAAAGACGATATTTCCCTTGAGCTCGAAGTAAACATCAAGGCACTTCACTGAAGACATAGGTATAGGATACAAGTAGTCAAAGGACCGCTGGCGAGGAAAAATGACGGCGCCAAAAAGAGAGACCTAAGACCACGATGGTGCAATATAGCCCCCAGAAGCTCGCGCTGGCGCCCCCCTCACGACGCGCCAGCAGAGTACATAACCGATATCCTCCCACCACATCCCTGCGCAGTACTGACCACCTCGAGACCTGGTCACATTTGATGCTAGGCCGGATGATGCCAGAAGTCGATTTGAATCAAGGACAGTCTCCGTCTTCAGTAGTCGCGAACAATATCATACTACTTTTGGGCCTTTTTGTAAGACTTTAGAGGGCTCGGTAAGCTGGGTGACTGTGTACCAGTATATTCGACGATTGGTCGTCTTGGATTCAAGCTCTTCATACCTCATTTGCTGACATGTCCAAGTGGTCCGGTAGTTGCTGAACCGCAGCATTCGCTTCGAAAGATACTGCTCTTGCAAAGTCCGACCTCGTGTGCCCAGAGGCGCAAGTTGCGGCGTTATATACCGGTCACCCTGAGGGCGCAAATACACATGCGTACTTTTCCCAGCTGAAGAAACACTTGAAGCTCCCAAAGGGAAAGCTTTCTTTGCGTCAAAAACCCTCTCGATTGTCCGAGGCGGTGGTTGCTCTGACGGTCAAACATGCACCGTGGTATACATCAGCCATCAGTGATGCTTCCCTATCCCAGTCTGTACGAGCCACCTCGGATAATGCAGAGAGAGTCGATCAATAAATAGCGTACCCTGAACTTTCGAGTAACCTCGATAGTATCTCGACATATCTTTGGAATATCTGGAGTTAAAAGAAACCCCTTTCTTCATCTATCCCATTGTAGTCTGAGTGGTTACGAAGGCGTTGGACTGCCCCAGCAGTGACTAAGAGCGACATATTCGACCTTCTCGCGTGGTTCCATCAACTTCACAACGTCCGTGTCTTTGATGCCTACATCAAGAAATCTCGTTGATAAGAACTCGGTGTCTTGTTGCTGACATGTTCCATGGTTATCGATGCATTCCTTGATCCATGCTGTTATGCGAGCTATAGCAATGGATCCCAAAGTATCTGGGAATACAGCAACTTGGGGATCTCTGATGCTATTCGAGGGATCTAGAAGGACGTCACTCAGCGTCTAGGTTTATATTCCAAAGCCCTATTGTTTTTACCTGGAAGGGTAGTAACGTCTAATGAGTTCGGACTGCAGCTGAAGAAACATCAGCCCTCGCAAGGCTCTTGCCCCTTTGCCATGTCCTGTACAAGTCTCTGACTAGAGAAAATAGACAAAAACATTCCTCTGCCGTATCTGCAGCTCCAATTTCTTCCAATCTTTTGTCAAAGTCTTTAACTCATATTCTGCGTAGATAGAGGCTGAGGAACTCTGGGCAGAGCTTGTCGTGAGAAGATTGCAGAAGTAGCACAGTGGCATATCCATGTTGGGCATTTTTCAAGGAACACATAAGGTAGATAAAGTATTATGCTGGTGTGGTTGACAATTTTGGAGCTTCTGGTTGTATCATGGATGATTTGATGTTTTGTTTTGGGTACCCATTGGTGCCACGACATCTTCGGACCCACTTCTAGATACTTCGTACCTTTACGTGTGAAGTTGATGACTTTGAGCTTTATATTACAATCTGCGCTGAAGCAAACTGAAGAAAAGTCATATTCGGAGAGGCTTATGATATGAGTCACGATTGGACTCCATCCGCCTCTCTAACCCTTGAGCGTGTAAACGAATTTACGATCTGTATCCTTTCAAAACCCGTTTGGGCATGCCAGTCCGTAAAAGATTCATCGAAAATTTGGAGAGACTGGGCCTTTATTAGTCTCACAAGTGAATACGTTTCTGTTCGATGCGTAGTGGGGAGCAATATTGTTGTCGAAACAGGTGATCGACAGGAGAAAATACTGTCAATTGAGTAACAACCGTGTAAAGAGCAATCTCATTTGCAATAACTCTCTTTAAGCCAGAAAATTTCCAAAGCCAGAACATACTAAGCAAGAAAAAGCGAACATAGGTATGGAGGAAAGCTCCGAACAGCATCCTGGAAATAAGTGTATATATGCTCCAGGTAGGCGCTGTCAAAAGTGCAACTAAATCATTAGTGTCCAAATATCGAAGGAAAATTAAGGAAATAACCGAGATATAAATACATAGCCAATGGTGAAATGAAGGAAAAGAAGACTAATTCTGACAACAGAAGGTTGAACAAGTCACATCGAAAGCCGAGCAGGCTTTGGAGCACCCTGAACAAGCAACGACACTTTGGTAAGAACAGTACTAGCCAATTCGGCCAGCTTGTCCTTGATCCAAACAAGAACTTCCCAGATCTTATCCCAAATCTGCCAAAGCTTTTCTCGAAGGAGATCCCAAACGCGATCCCAGGGAATAAAGTAAACCATACCATAAGCGGCGACTGCTGAGCCAGTTCCAGCAGCACCAACCGCTCCGAAACCACCTACTGTAGCATACCCGGCGGCCAGATAGAGTCCGTAAGGGCCTTTTACCATGACCCCCCCAGCACTCATCCAGAAGCCGCTGGCCATGCCAGCTGCACCCGCGCCAGCTGCCATAACTGTGGCTAGAAGGCCCTTCCACTTCTGGAACCAAGTTTCTGTGCCATCAGCGCAGCTATTAGATGGGTCTCTAGCGTTCTCACTGACTTCTGTGTCCCTCAGCTCTTGGAATTTCTGCATGACGTTGTATTTCTCATCATGCGAAAGATCGCCAGCTTCTCTGGGCTGCTGAAGAAGGCGAATGGCTTCCTGTGAACAGTCACTGATGTCAAAGTTGCAGCCCTCAAGGTGGGTCAACTCCTTGTTACTCTGCTGGAGATGATAAGGGCGGGCGTCCCATGCGTAGGTTTTGAAACCACAGTAAGTTGAGGAGCTTCCGATCCGAAGTGCATCTGGCCGCCCGCCAGCTCCGCAAGGCCTGATGAAGACTTGGTCGACAAAACCTTCGATGTTGTATGTCAACTGAGCGACCGTAGAGCTCACAAGGAGATGTAAAGTCTTGAAGGCTTTCTTGGAGGCGATGCTGTTAGTCATAGCGCTTCCGAGATGCTCTTGGAGTTGATCTTGGGTAGTGACTATGACGGACGATCCTTGAGTCCAGTCAGAAACATCGTTCATTATATCATAGTTGTGGCCAAGCTATCGTTCCGGGTGGGATAAAGACAGAGTCGCAGATGTTGGTACCAGGACAAATATCATAAAACGACTTACGAATCTTTTTCTTCTTAACCTTATCATCAATAAGCTTTTTCATAGCCTTTCGCTGCTCTGGTGCTACAAGAGCAAGGACGAGTGCGCTAGGATTCCCTTCTGTGGACTTGACATCTTGCCACAAAAAGGCATTCTCTTGGTGGTAGATGTCTTGTTCAGAAGCCTTGACAACGCTGTTGCTAGGCTTGCTTGTGGCCTTAGAGGAGCGCTTGTGAGACGAGGATGAAGACGAGGAGGATTTTCCGTGCTTTCCTCGATGGGTAGAGGAGCGGGAGGAGCTGGAGGGCATTGTGTAGGGGAAGGTCGGCTGCTAAGCAACGATTGATGAGGAGCTCTTGTAAAGGTTGGAAGAAGAAGAAAGAGGTTCAAGTTGGAAAGGTGGCAGACCTCGAATTTATAGAAGATTTGTTCAACTCGTGTACCTCTCTGGTGTCGAGCGTCAGATTTTGACCTTGTAATCATTATGCATATGCTTTCTCTCTTGTTATTGGGTTTGAGCGGTTGATATCAACAGCCTCTCGCACATGCAACAATTGAGTAATAGAGGCATTATTGAATAAGTGACGGCTGATGTTAATCTTAGCAGTGTTTACTCCCCACAAGCCTTAACAGAGTTACTTGACTATCCCTGAGCATCGCTGAAACAGTGCTGCCAATAAGACGTGCCAACATCAAATCGATCAGCCAATCAACCAAGGTCGTCTCCACTGACCACTTAGTGAACTCCAATGATGTTTCTGGATCAGGCACCCTTATTTCCTGTAGAGGTTGGTCAGCTGGTCAAGTCATGCATTATCTCCGCTCCTGTGCGACAACCTTGCTTATGGCTGTTGTCCGTACATCAAGGCGATATTCCCCAACTTCCCGTCGAAGGCTGCCGTCTCTCATGTTGACTCTACTTGATTTCGAGTCATCCTATTGAGGAAAGTCAAAGCCTTCAGTACAAATCGCTGAGGAACAGCCATACAAGCTAAATACAACCCAAAATGGCACAGAATCGCCCAGGAGTATCAGTATATTCCCGACAGCAATGGCAGGCTATACACCCAATCTTTCGCAACATATACATGGATCGGGGTTATAGCTTGGAGAAGACGTTGATGGTACTGGAGTTGATCAACAATTTTAAAGCAACGTAAGTGGCTTTTCAAATGCAAGTAGTTGAGAAAGGATGAATTGTGACATTACTTTGCAGCAAAGACGCATTCCAATGCCAGATAAAGAGAAATTGGCGGGATTGTGCAAAGAACAACGGAGTAGCCCGCGGAAATCGAACAAGAGCAAAACGTGTCATGGCATTGTTTCCTAACTTGCCAGACTATATAGCTGGCTTAGCTGTTGGTGCGGTTCCTCGTTCACTGTCCTTTCAACGCTTCGAAACCCATTTTCAGGTGTTTCTGTCACTAGACAAGTACACAAAAGGCTTCTTTGACACCCCGCCGTCACAAGTAGCGCAACAAGACAATAATAATGCACAAGATGAAATCAATGAAGAAAAAGAAAAAGAACAGAAGCCAGCTATTGGTGGCAGATGGTACCGTGCTTTGAGCCTTTGCCAAGAGATCTCAATACTGCCTCAAAAGAAAAGGGATTTCATTGTTTTGAGCAACCGCGCAAGAGGCAAAGTTAGTAAAAAGGTTTTCAAGCAGGAGGGCATAAAGGAAATGAAGGACATCATCACCAGGATCCTCAACGAGAAGGTCTTTACACGGCTAGGAGTCAATGAGAAAGAGTCTACCCCCAAGGACTTACCTGCACTATGGAGTGTTTGTCGTGTCTTACGTGGGCTTTCATCTCAGCTCGGCTATCCCGAAGACTCTCAGGCTTTGTTGATGAAACTCTTTCTTGACGAATTACGGGAGTCGTTCACTCAGATAACCCAAGGTTCCAACACCGAGATGGGCCGCGTACTGGAACTTGTCCGGGACATCCCGCTAGCGGATCTCAAAGATATTGCCGCTATAAGCTGCCTCTGTTCGGCTAGAGCGCTATCAAGCAGGCTTGAGGCTCATGATCCGGTTGTCTTAGAAGCCTGGGCAGACTACTACCAATACCATGACAGGAGCAAATTGAAGAAAGACGTGTTCCTTGCTCACTACAAGAGAGCTTATGAAGAAGCAAAAGCTCAGCGCCAGACTGCGGAAGATAGGCTATACGATGAAAGAACACTCCTTATCCTCATCCACTACAGCTATGCCGCTCACTACATTTGTCACGAAAAGACTTTAGCAGACCAGCTTTCGTCAGAACTCTGGGATCAGACTGGTGCTTTGCTCGCTGAGAAAGATCCACCAGAATTCTGGTCAGTTAAAGTCCAAGGAATGGCTGAGGCAGCCAAGATACAAGCTTTGCTTTGCTATGAAACGCATGAGGATAACCACAAAAGCTACGAGGGTCTCCGGAAAAACATACACAAGTACAATCTCGCCAACACACATGCCCAACACCAGTATCACGATGAGGTTCTCCAAGAAAGTCAAAAGCGGCATGGGGTAGTCCGCTTGCCCCCATATGACCTGGAGGCCCAATTTGCATTTGGAATACAACAAATAGTTCAAGGGCTGATCTTGAGTCCTGACTTAGGCTTTCAACTCTTGGCAGCAGAACTGTGCAACCTCTTCAAGACGTTGATAGACACCGAAACTTTGACAACGGAAATATTGAGAGTAGCCGCAACGAAGCTAGACGCTAGCAATGACCAGGACTGTCAACTGCTGGCAGCAGGACTTTACGGACAGCTGGACTCCGTCTTATCTGCCTGTCGCAAAGATTTAAATAGTATTATTAGGTCTGTCGAGGTCCTATTTAGGAAAGCAGTAGATTCACCGCTCACGGAGATGGGAGAGTCTAACCTAAAAAGGTACTTGGAGATGAAAAGGCAACATAAAAGAGTCCAAGGGAAAGAATGCCGCCATAGAGCAAGAAGACTGAGACAATTGGTTGTTGATTTTGAGAACTTGGTCGAGATTTGAGAGTTTATTTTCTGAGGCGGCTTCCTGATGTATAGGAAACGTCAGTTTATTTCTACGCTCCATGATGTAACAAAGCATTGGCCATAGTGTTATACTTGTGATTACAAATCTAGTTTCAACCTTCCAGCTCATGTCGTTGTGTGTGTCCGGTAACTCAGCAGCACCCTGACTACTTTCCAACTCTTGCAACCTATTATGCTTCAGACTCTCGGCCGAAAGCTCAGCTTTGCCCCATTGCTTCATGGCTCCTCCGTCGCTGTTTTCTGGAAGATATTTACTGGCCTTTCTCTTCCGATGAGGCGTCCATAGCCAAACAACGACAAGAGCCACTAGAGCAACAACTCCGCCGACTACACCACCTGTGATAGCTCCATCATCGGCCTCGAAGGCGTACAAGTGGTGGTCTCCAGCTGCTGAGGTATTCTTGTAGGATCCTTAACCGCCCCACGAGTAGACCATTGATCGTTCCTTATCAACCCAAAGAGCCGGTTGTTTCAGATATGGCAATGGAACTTTCTCACTCTTAATGAAAGAGATTGTATTGTTTGTACAGGATCCATCTAGCGGTATTGGAAGGGTAAGGCTGACTGGGTAGTATTAGTATTGCCCGACAACAGTTGTTGGCGCTGATCTACCAGCTGTTGGCCGAGAGTCATCCAGTTCGGAACTAACCTCTCCGCCCTCGATATAAACGTAGTCCCCAAGGACTGCAACTCGATGTTCAGGAGGTTAGTCGCATTCTCAAAGCCCTTTTCCAATACGTTTCATACCTGAAGATGGCGATCAGCGTATGAAGTCATCGTTAGCTGGTAAATGTGCTGGCCCCTTGGAGCTCTATCGCGTTTCAAGTTCAGCCGCACAGCAAAGGGAAGTGAGGTAAGAGACAACGGTCAGTCTGCCAGTAGGCCACCTCATTGTGATCAGATGCGTAAGGCTGAATCGTCACTCTGTCAAGACATACGTGCAAGTCTCCAACTGAGTTGTAAGGATGAAGTTTATGACAGAATCATAGGCGGAATCAAAAGCCAGTCAGTGTTTTGAAGTGGGCTACTGGATGCCTCGTAGCCGGAAGGGAAATTAAAGGATGATCTTTGGGGGCCGTTTTTGACGCCAGGTTTTTGTTGGACAAACTTGGATCATTTTGCAAAACACTACCTACCACGTCATAGTTCACATGCGGGGTGAATACTTTCATCACAGAACGATAGATAACGATAATGGAGTTTAACTCTTAAAAGGAATTCCTTCGTATCCCGTTCACAGTTTTTGTAGTTTCGTAAACCGGAGGCGACCCCGGATTATTTCTCTACTCGTATATTTGACTCGACTAGGCTCGACGGTGCGTATCCGAGCATAAGCGCCGGTTTGAAGTTTCAATCCTGTTGAGCTGGCCAATCTGCACACTGCCTTGCTGCATGGCAAGCACTGAGGTCTTGGCTCTGAACAAAACACAGCAATACATTTAAAATCTTCAACTAAGTATGTTCTCTCCCGTTCACATGACATCATGAACAGAACATAGAGTAACATCCTGTCAAATCTTGCTGCATGCCTCTCGAAACCTCCAATAAACGGTAGTGAGTTGATCAAGTCCCAGAGACATCAAACCTGTAGCAACCCATGCATTTTCCCCGGGTATAAGATTTTCTTCCCGTCCTGACCCTACCATCACGTCAAATACAGAAATCCCCTCCGCAGCCTAGAAGAATGTTGTCCATTCGACGATTCAATGCGCTTTCCGGTAACCATTCCCCATGGATCATGGTGTAGGAGCAACCAGAGCCGTTTGAGCACAAGCAGCAGAACAGACTCCAAATGCACTATTGCAAGCTGCAATCGTCGCTGGGGCCGTGGCTCCAGCAGTGGCTCCCCATGTAGCGCCGCCTGCAGCGTAGCAAGCCATCACGACGGAGGCGCATCCTGCTTGACAGACGCCGTATGCGATCGGGCCTGCGCGTGCGGTCGTTGAGAAGCCAGCGATGGTTGCGAGAAAGCTTATCGCCTTCATGTCAATGTTGGGTTTCTTAAGAGGTGCTATGTGACTATTGATGCTGTTGAAGTAGATGGTGACGAGGAATGTATAGGTTGAGCTATCGATTAATAGTGGAGAAGACCATCCAAGTCAGTCTGTCAAACCAGAAGGCTGATAGATTGCTTTTATTGGGGCAGATAGGATGGCCTAGAAGCTGTCAAGGAAATGAGAAACCGTCTTTCAAGGCCCCTTATTTATGCGTGGAATCGAGGGGTTACGACAACTGTCGGCCTCCCGCATCAAGCTACGTCATGGAGCATCTCAGCTGAGGCCGCAAGAATTAAAGAGTTACTACTTAACAAAGGAAATATTTTCTACTGTTTGAGTCCAAGTGAGATTTTGGCCCTAAAAGTTTGTAGCTGATCGCGTGGATTTCAGATGATGGTGATCATGAGTGGAGCATCTCACATAGAAGCACTATCCGTAGCGTCGCATATGTCCAATGCTTAAATTGCGAGAGATTTGGAAGTATCCTAGTCGCCTTTCGGGACTCCCTATCAAGAGATTATTCGGTGCGAAGTACATTAAACCGTGACTCGTCGTCCTGTGCACTGAGATTACTGTGAAGACACTGACTGAGCTAAAGCGAGAAAAGCAAGAAAGCCTAGCCTAATTTTGACTATTTTCCCCATTCATGCGACTTTCAGCTTCGTTTGATCACGCCACAATCTGTTCTAGATGTCGGAAATCTCATCAGGGGTCTCGGATAAGAAAGGTTCATAACTCTTGGGAATCTGTTGTGCCACTGTGATCGCTCCAGTTGGCTAACTTTGTATGGCGAGCCTGCTCTCACTCCGCTTAACGGTAGATTGTCTCGCCCCCCTTGCTCGTGGCTGCCTGATATGTTTCACTTCCATTTCCTGCTTGCAAGAATCTACTTATGGAAGCTAGCTTCTGGGCATGGGTCAAGCTGCGCGGCCCGGCCCGACCTAGCTCTTGCTTAGTAAACGGCTTCGTAATGATGCTGGGTTTAATATGAAGCTTCTTCTCGAATTTTAGCCCATTACTCAACTAATTTCTTGTGATGAAAGCCAAGTCAAAGATGAAAGAAGGGCCTGATTCCGGTGCAATGCCCCTATGAAAGGTGAAATAGAAACTGGTCTAGACCTGGTATCACATTCCGCTAGCGACGCCACGCCCAGTGATGGCTGACAGGAAGCCAGCTGAAGATGATACCGACTCGGCTCTTCGGAGCTAGCTAAGTATGAGCTAAAATGTTTAAAGCCCTGGGTTTTCTCCTTTGATGTCTAATTGTTTAATTCTCACTCTTTACTCATTAGCCATCATGCCTCCTGTCGAGAAAGATCCTAACGCTAATGGTAAACCGTCAGACGACGAGGCAGTCATTGACAAAGCCAAGAAAGAATACAACAAGCTCAGAAGCAGATTCAACTTGGGCAGAATCATTCCCAACGTTATCCTCCCTGCCCTTGTTGGCGCAGCTGTTTGGGCACGCCAACCTTCAGACAATCAGTTCACAGCACCGCCCGCCGCTCTGCGAAAGTGCCTGGACAGCGTCTGTGCCGGAGCTGATAACTGTGTCAGGTACCCAGCCAGTGGAGAAAACCGCGAGTACTTCCAGTGGGCGTCGCCCTTTAATTTGGGACGCATTGTTCTACCTGCTGCTGTGGTGAGACCCAGTACTGATGAGCAGGTTTCGGGCTTCGTTCGGTGCGCTGCTGATAGCAACGTCAAGGTTCAGGCCAGATCTGGCGGTCACTCATATGCGTAAGTTCGACTTCCATCCTACTTGCTCTATACTAACACTTGTCTAGGAACTATGGTATATCACTCAGCACAATTCCTTGCTTCGGAAGAACATAACTGACTTAGCTTAGGTGCTGGAGGGTATAATGGCTCTCTCTCTGTTGATCTGATCAACTATCGCTATGTTACACTCAACAAGACGACTTGGCTCACCACTATTGGTGGTGGCAGTCTACTTGGTGATATTGATGATCTACTCGACAATCAGAAGGGCAACCGCGCGTTTCCTCACGGTATTTGCCCTGGAGTCGGCATCGGCGGACACGCGACCATTGTGAGTCACAGCTGAAGTTCTGACAAGCCCCGGGCCGTACTTATAAGCTTGCAGGGTGGCCTTGGTCCTTCGTCGCGCATGTGGGGAGCCACTCTTGACCATGTCGTTGAGGCAAAAGTTGTTACTGCCAACGGAACTATCGTAACCGCAAGCGAGGCCAAGTATCCCGATCTGTTCTTTGTGGGTATCAGATTCCACTTACAAAGTGTCTTCTAACCGCCATCAACAGGCCATTCGCGGAGCAGCGGCCGGTTTTGGAATCGTCACCCAATTCGTCATCAAGACTGTTGAGAAGCCGAAAAAGACGTTACACTTCACGCATCGCACCCCGTACACCAACTCAGAAGGCATTGTGGAGCAGTTCAAGAGATGGAGAGAAATGGTAGCCGATAAAAAGCTTGACCACCGCATTGGAACAGAATTTACCCTTGACCCCGAGGGCTCAAAGATCACAGCGACTTGGTTCGGAACCAGGCAAGCCTTTGACCAGTCCGGCATCGCAGAAAGGCTTGGTCTTAAACTCACCCCGGTCGAATCCAGTTGGGTCAATACGAAGCGCTGGCAATACGAGAATGCAGTGTTGACACTTTCCGACATCCCAACTGAGTTCTTTTCTCGAAGTCTCGGCTTCACCGCAGACGATGCGACGTCGTTTAATGCCACGGAAAGGCTTGTGCAGCTCATCGCTGCGAATAAGAGTCAATCCAAACTCAAGTGGTTCTGCATCTTCGACGCTACAGGTGGCAAGGTCGCTGAGCCAGCCATGGATTCAACAGCATATGCCCACCGAGACAAGGTCATGTTCTACCAGTCTTACCTGTACAACATATGGGCACCATTGACCGCTGAGGAGAAAGGGCTCCTCAATGGTATTCACGAGACCATCGTAGGCGGTATTCCAACTAGGTCACCCAGCACATATCCCGGTTACATTGACCCGCTTCTCGAGAATCCGCAGGAGGCTTACTGGGGTCCAAACCTTGATCGGCTTGAAACGATCAAAAGAGAGTGGGATCCCGAGGATGTCTTTCACAATCCGCAGAGTGTTCGACCTGCAAAGCTTAAACTGTAGGTGGAAGCACGTTTAGAGGTAGACGTGGTGGGGAGAAATGGTATCTATCCCGAATGTACACCAGGGTGACTTATCGTAGCATGCATAAGTAGTCTTCCTTTGTCATTATCTCATCAGTAGTAGCCTGTTCTCCGTCTAGACATGAACTAAGACGATTCCAGAGGTTTTCTCCCATAGACAAAATAGCTGGCGGCAATGTTAGCATATTATGACGAGACTCGCTTCATCAGCACTTACATCGGCCAATACGCATGAATTTTGGGATTCTGCAAATCCTTTCTCACATGCGCACAAAACACCCTCGTCTCCTCAGTCGACCACCCAAGCCCCCTCGTAAAATATGCCAACGACAGCCCATCCAACCCACCAGCGATATTCGCACAAGCCCAAGCCCCCAGCTCCTTGAACTTCCTATCCCTCGGCCACGGATTCGTCGGCCACTTCTGCTGCACCTCGACAATATCGACAAACCCAGCAGCAGCGAGATAATTCTTATACTCTGTTGTGGGGAATACAGGACGACCGAGGTTCTGACCGGCTTCGAAGCAGGATCTGCACCATTTGGAGAGGTAGCTTTCTGGGTGGAGGGTTCCGTCGTCGGAGCGCGCTGGAAGGGACATGTCTTGGAGTTCGAGGTAGCCGCCGGGTTCGAGGTTGTCGAAGGCGACTTTTATGATTTGGGGGAGGTCGGTGAAGCAGCCGAGCACCATGCGGGCAAAGATGAAGTCGAATTTCTGGGTCCAGGTCCATTCTTTTTCGAGGTCATCTATTTCGAAGCTCACATTTGGTGGGACGCTGCGACGCGATGTTAGTAAAAAAAACTGTAAGAGGAGAAAGTTCGCGTACAGAGCTGGCTGAATTGGGCTTAGATCAACACCAATCACCTGTAAAGTTAGCGACTGTATGCTCTGTGAGCGACTTATCTACCTGGGCTTGAGGGTTTGCATCAGCTAGACATATGTTGGCGAGAGATGGTCAAATATCGCAGATGAATAACGAACCGTAGTCAATGGCCCATGAGCCAGTGCCGGTTCCCATATCAAGAACACGTTTCGCGCCTTTCGCTTTGGGACATACAGCGAGGTCTCCGTCGAGCGTTCGAACATAGAGCTCGTGTTGTAAGTCTAGTCATGTCAGCATTGCTCTCAAAATTACAAGTCACGACATACCCAGTCTTTCATTCTCTTCCTTTCATTCAGTCAGTAACATTCAATATGCAAAATACCCGATCCGGTATTGGGTCTGTTGATCAAACCTACTTCGTCATTCGGCAGGACATATTCTATGACTTGTCAGTTTTTTGCTACGGATCGGCACGAGATTATTTTACTCCCGCTACTCAAGGCATGATAGCTGCGACCATTCTCCTGTCGATACGCTAAAATACTCGACGAAATTGAAACAACCGATGGCTCTATTTCCTATACATCATCACAATACGTCATTTTGAGGCTCCGTCAAAGCGTAACGGTGACCCATAACAAAAAGCGAGTCATTGAAACATACCTCGCCAATCGAAGAATCGGCATCGTCGTCGTCACCTGCAGCCTATGCATGTCAAATCAGACCCCGCTCATGCACGAAAATAGAGGGGTAAATAGTTATCTCACGATAGCATCTTGGATTTGGATAACAGGCTCTGGGGGCGGAGTGTTACCCTCCTGCTGGGAATCTTGAAGTGCCATCGTCGATGGGGCCAGAGTGATTGAGCTGTGGATCACGAAGGATTGATTGAAAGTAACGCCCCCCTCTTTCTTTATTTTTTTTTGTGCCGGGCCGTTCCTTGTGTAGCGTGATGGGTTCTTCTGGATCGGAACGTGGCTTTACTGATGTTTCGCCAATTGATTTGGGCGCGGATGGGTTCCGAAATGCGCCATCAACGCGCGGGATCATATCATTTAGGGGTCTTGGTCCGCTGTTTGCGGTACAACTCCACTATCTGACTGCTGTACTGAAAAAGCAGGGACGTGTTAGAGGGGCTGTAGTGCATGATATGAGTGGTTTTTATCAACGTCAGGTTCGGTAGCGTTCATGCGCCCTCAAATACACATGATCTGACTGGACAAAGTCCTGTGAGGAGCTGCGCCGTTACAGGGTTATCTTAATCTTCAACGGCTTCGTCGGCTGATTAGTCAATTGCTCCTGAATGAAATGGTTTCTCTTCCTTCGCCTGTTCACTGTGGCTTGATACACTGCTCAAAGACTGTTCAAGATGACTCTTGAAGGCGATCCCTCTGCAGGCTTTTTGCGCGATGTTTTGCAGAGCGTTACCGACCATCCTCGAGCCGTTATCGCTACCGCGGTTCTTGGGCTAGTGGTTCTCTTCGTAGCTGACACGTTGCGCACATGGTACCGGCTATCACATGTTCCCGGTCCATTCTGGGCGGGGTTCTCCAAAGCTTGGATGGTGAGACAATCCTTCAAAGGGATTCAACCTTATGCGATTCAACAAGCCAATGAGAAATACGGTACAAGACTAAATGTCGCTTTTAAAAAGACTAGCTAACACTATTTTCAGGATCTCTCGTGCGCATTGGGCCCAATGAGCTAGCAACTGATGATCCCAAGCTGCTCAAGCGGATGATGTCAAGTCGCTCTGCTTATACAAGAGGACCTTGTAAGCTCTTGTTATCCTCAGTTGATGGGTAGATGTAATGATGAGCTGACTGCTGAGAATAGGGTACAATGCTCTTCGTTTCGAGCCTGGAAAAGATAACCTTTTCTCCATGAGAGATGATGACGCCCATGCAAAGCTGCGCAACAAGATGGCCGCTGGCGTAAGCCCTCCAAGATGATAAGCACCGTGATACAAAGCTTAACTGTTGATATAGTACTCCGGCAAAGAAAACGAGTCCCTCGAGCGCACCATTGACGAACACATTGCCAAACTCATCAACCTCCTGGAAACAAAGTATCTCTCAACAGACAAAGACTACCGCCCAGTGGACTTTGCTCAAAAGATCCAGTTCTTCACTCTAGATGTCATCAGCGATCTTGCATTTGGTCAAGCATTTGGGTACATGGAGCAAGATGATGATGTCTTTGACTTTATCAAGATCACAAAGTCTTACTTCCCTGTCACGTTGATCATGGCAAATATCCCATCGCTCGTGTCTCTGCTGCACTCAAAGCTATTTAGTGGCGCGTTGCCGAAGGAGAGTGATAAGCTTGGCTTTGGGGCTTTCATCGGGTAAGTTCCCTTGGATGAATAAATTATAGAAGGCTGACGTTTGTAGCGTTGCCAACAAGAAGGTCGCAGAACGATTTGCGCCAGGTGCTCAATCTCATCCAGACATGCTGGGATCTTTCATCCGTCACGGTCTAACCCAGGAACAAGCTTCGCGAGAGTCCCTTCTCAACGTTGTCGCTGGAAGTGATACCTCAGCAACTACAATCCGCCTCATCATGCTCAGTCTCCTAAGCAATCCCATCATGTACCTCAAACTTCGAAACGAAATCGACGACGCAATCAAGGCCGGAAGTATCTCATCACCCATCACCGACGCCGAAGCGAGAAAGCTTCCTTATCTTCAAGCTGTTATCCAAGAAGGTCTTCGCATTAAAGCCCCTGCAGCTGGCCCACTGTTCAAGCAAGTTCCACCTCAGGGCGATGAGATCGATGGCAAGTTCATACCAGGTGGAACACAGATCGGACAATCGCCATTTGCTGTTTATCACTCCAAAGAGATCTTCGGTCAAGACGCGAGTCTCTTTTCGCCTGAGCGATGGATTAATGCGGACCCAGCGAAGTATGAGGCCATGGCTGAGGTTGTGAGTCTGGTTTTCTCCACTGGAAAGTATCAGTGCCTGGGTAAACCTGTTGCGTTTATTGAGTTGAACAAGATCTTTGTCGAGGCAAGTTCCATCGCTGTTATCGATACAATAGAGACTAACCAGGCCGAACAGCTGTTGCGACGCTTTGACTTTTGTATGGCTCGCCCTGAGAGACCACTTCATATAATGAATGCTGTGAGTTACCTGTCCATGATCGACGTTGCAGCGGCTAACTGGTGAACTAGGGAATTTGGCTAATTGAAGATTTCCCCGTCCGCGTTACACGACGCGAGATCTAAGGACAGGAATCCACGTATCAGTAATTAATATGGACCTACTCATTTTTCGGAAACCAAAAGATCCAACGAAAAATACCAGGAGAGCAAAGTTAAAGTAGTTTGCGGGTTTCTGGTGAATAATGCCGATATGATAATCAAGTTATTTACCCTGAAGACCAAGTCTATTTTCAGCGTCATTCTTTTTCGCTTAAATCGCTTCATCGGAACCATGATTGGCTCGAGGTTCGTAGCGTTCTAGACCGTTGTGAAGGATTCATCGATAAGATTTAACTTGGGGGCTAGTACCTGGGCTATTGATCCAGCTGAGGCTGATCGTCGATAGCGTCAAGCCTCACCCAGCCAGCCGACACTTAGAGACCCTAACGAAACGTAAATAAAAACGTGAAATCTCCCCTACGCATTTGCAAGATTCCCTTTGATCTCTAGTCTCTCTTTCAATCCAACTCTTGTCACTCTTTATCGTTATGAAAATGCGTTTTAGTGATTTATTCGCGTTTGGTCTTGTGACTAATGTTGCTATTGCCAGCGTATGCAAGCCTCGAGCTTCCGACAGCTCCAATGAGTCCCTTATATACATGTACTTGTGGACCACGTCTGACTGACAACAGGTGCTTCTTCTGTCGAGAGTGTGACATTGAGCCTTTCTGCCACCGCTTCAACGACGACTGTCGCCGCTGAAACAACAACCGCTACTTCTGCCGATCTGTCGACTCCCTTCGCCTCTACTGTTGGCGATGAGACTACCACAGAGGCTATAGGGGCGGCTACCACCACTGAAACATCAGTGACTGTCAATTTCTCAACTACCATTGAGACAACTGGCACTGCAGAGACCGCCACCACTGACGCTATAACCACCGACGCTATAACTACTGCCGCGACTACGACTGCAGAGACAACGACAGCCGATGCCACCACCACAACCGCAGATACCTTCGTCCCAATCCCAACATTCGACGTCCTCGCTATCGGCGCTCAAGTCGACGGCCAAAAGCTCCGCGGTCACGTAACAACAGACTACGAAATGGGATGGAATCTCGACCGTACACCCCCAATCCTCGCCTTCTCCATTGACCCCGACACAAACCAAGTCAAGGAAGTCAATGGAAACCACCTCTGTCTTCAATACGGCGATCCTAACGAAGACTATCCCAACTTTCTTAAATTTTGCGACCCCGGCAGTGTCACCAACATCGATATTGGACTTGGTATGGTCACTTGTGAGCAGACTCATGATCGCAGGCTTGAGTGCTCGGCCCCAGCTGCGCAGTGTGTGGAGGATGATATGACCAGGATGGTGACTTGTTCGGCGCTCCCCGGGACATTTACGGGCTTTTATACAAATTCCGGTATGTCGCAGGGTATCACTCTTGTGATGGGGCCGGAGAGTAATGGCCCTACTGGCACTGCGTACCAGTCTGTTGACTTGGGAATTGAACCTGCTTCTCAGTAATGATAGCAACTGGGATTGGAATAATTAGTCTTTTCCTGATTATCTAATTTGAGTTGATATTATGTTTATTTTTACTTTAAAACCCTAACTTTTAAAGAATCCTTTGACTGCCCTTTTAGTATAGTCTAGCGCTTTTGACTTGTAAACCTCGTTACGGCGTGCTGTTAGCCTCTGATCTATTGCAATAGCCGTGCCTCGAAGAGTCGATAGTGCCAAGCCCTCAGCTACCAGTTCCATAAAGTATTCAAAAACTGTTTTTTTTTTCTTCTCTAAAACTATTATTTTTTTCCAACTTTCACCACTCATTCATCATTGCGACATGCGTTTCAGCCATGTTTGTTCTATCGCCCTTGTGGCAAATGCTGCCATGGCGAGTGTTTGCAAGCCTCGGTCGAGGGCCACGAGTAAGTTATCGCCAACAAAAGATCGCAGTGTCAGAAATCCTATTTAATTCTTAGGCATCGCATTGGCGGAATCTCGCGCGACAATGATCTTTACTGAGACTCACACCGTCGATACTACCAATACTGCGACTGTCGATGTCTCTGCCAACACAGCCACGTCTACTGTTGGTGACAGCGCGACAGCGGATACGACAAAAATCGATTGATACACGTCAGACATGCTGTCTGCTGCAACTACATCAACGATCGATGCAACCGATATTACCACCAAAGCTGATGCCACGACAGCTGAGTCAACTATAACATCAGACCTTACTGCAAGCGTATCAGCACCCGAGCCCTTCGAGACATTCGACGTCCTTGCTATCGGCGGCTCCATCAATGGACAATACATGAAGGGCGTAGCAAATGAGGGCTCAATGATGGGATGGGATCTCATAGGTACCGGGACAGGCCACATGCCTCCGTTCACCATTTGAGCCCGGCACAAACTATGCCAAAGTGCTGCGCAACGATCTTTACCTATGCTTGGATACGGAGACGGTAGCGAGCCCAACTTCGTCGCGTCATGCGAGCTTTTTACCAGCGCCGACACTTCCACCGGGTTCCTTACATGCGAGCAGACCACCGATCGAAAGCTCAAGTGTTTTGTGCCAGGCATTCAATGTGTCTTCGAGCCGGATACGGTGTGCACGCTGACTGGTGGAGACTTTGATCACTTTTACTCTTATTCTGGCAGAACGGATGGGCTATGGCTTGCTATTGATTCGGGTAGTAAATCCGACTTCTGGTAGCCCTTTTCAGCCCATCGAGCTTGGAATTACGCCAGATGAGTCCAAGTAGAGGCTTTGGTGTAAAGTATTGGAGAAATTAATGTAGCATAGATGGGAGATTTCGCTAACGCATCTTGGGCTAGGGTAAGGTTGTTAATGATTGTGTGTTAATAATTAATATGAACTTAGAAACACTATTAATAACCTTTTTGGCTTCTATCTACTTAGATCAGGTTTATGAGAAACCAGCTCACTCCCAAAATCACTCCCTTTGACTGAATCGGCAATAATACAGCGCTCGTCACTGTCCCGACTTGCTTCTGTTTGTGGTCCACCGATAGAAACAATTTGTTCAGATCTAGATGCGTCGCTCTTCCAAAGACCTGGACGAGGGCTTCGAGCAGCTATATCTGACAAGTTGTAGCCCTTTGCGGGTCCACCTGGCCCTGTGTAGTATAAGGAACTCTTCTTGGTCGATCCGAAGATGCGAGGGAAGAGTTTACCCATGGGCTGTCGTAGTACCGGCAGACATGCAGCGATGATGCCGAGGTTAGCTTCGATAAGGGTCCATACTCCGCGATCGATGAAGTTCCACGTCATGTCTTTCTTGTTCTTGAGGGAATTTGACACAGAAGTCACTCGGAGGATCGATGTAATAGTGACACTGTGACGCTGGTAAGTTCTTGTTTGAGGACATTGGAAATTGGTACTTACAATCCACCTAGGAGAAAGATGCAGCAGAGCAGTAGTTTCTCCCGTCTACTCATCTGAAGCCGCATGATCGGCATAATAGGAAGAGCCAAGACCATAACGTCGGTCAAGATGTTGAGAACTGCATAGGCAACCCAGAACTTGTTTGAGTCGATACACTTGGCATCGACAGACTTGTCCCATGCGCCTTTGATAGGGACGCATTGCCAGATCGTCGCTGCGATACCACCAATACTGTATCCCACCACGACGCCTAACACCACAAAAGACCAAACACGAAATGATTTCGTGACAAATAGTCGGAGATACAGCAAAATCGCGGCGACTTTGTTGAGGCAGACGGTTGCTTTGTATGGTGTCTGGGCGATGAAGAACATTTTCAACGCCACTCGAAGATCGGGCTTTTCGAGGTCGTCTTTGTGCATTCCGTAGCCATGGTGAATCGCAAGCTGTATGTACGTCGACAGAAGAACAGACGATATCTTGGATATTAAGTTATGGTACTCTTTGGGGTAGTAAATAACTTACCAGCGAAACAATAATGGCAACGTCGTCAGATCCTAGTTTGTGTATTGAGTACCGCGCAATACATCTCGCAACAACAAACAGACCTGATGAAATGATCATTACCAAGGATGTGATGTATAATTTCCAGCCATGATTGTCGATGCCATCGGCGGGAAATCCCATGCCTCTGTCAATCATCTTTGCGGCTGCATCCTAGACGGGCGGGCTAGAGTGGCACTTCGAGAGGGGCCAAGGAGGACCCCCAGTATATAAAGTTGCGCAGACATCGGTTCCAACTGCGCGGCACAGCCAATGGTGCAATAGACCTATGTCACTCGGCACATAATGATATGATGCGAACCGGTACTGCTACATGCAGTGCCGGGCCATCGTAAGCTGCTTCCAAAGTCTCGAAGACTTGCTTCCGGAGATAACGGAAGTGTACCGCATTGTCGGCTCAATACAGTAGGTACAGAGTCACGACAGGGCCAACGAAGAATTCGTAGCGACCATCCTGTCTTGGTAGTGAGGGAATAGAATCAATCTCCGAAGAAGAAAGGATGAACGGTCCTTTTGCCTGCGATCCGGGGTGAACCAACAGTTGGTGGTGTCATTTCATGCAGGGGTGAGGCACGGCCTACTGTTTCCCGGAGGCTGGATAATAAAGACTGGTAATGAACCATTGAGGTATGGAAAACACAGAAATAACAGTGACAACTACATCTGCGATTAAAATGCTCCCACGGTCGAATGGCAAGAAACACGATTCTAGGAGTTGACTTGTAGCTTCATTCTTCATCCCATCGTTTGCGGGGCGTGCCCCTGTCAAACCGTTGATCCGGAGAGGTCGGCCGCTAAGTTCATCCTGACCTGGTCACATCCTTTGTGGATTCCTATTCAGGGCACTGCTCCGATGCGCGTCCCAATGGTTAAATAAAGTTCCCAAATCTCCCCAGCCCAACTTGAGACAGTGACTTTGCTTTCTGTCACCCCTGCGCTACTGCACCTCAACATGTACGCGGTCAATTGGGCTTTTGCATTCGCCTTTTGGGCAGGCCTGGCTGCTGCAACACCGAAATGCAACCCATCCAAGTACATCACCGTCGAGACAGCGAATGGACCGATTACTGGCCATGTCGCGGATAATTCGCCGTGTGTCGTGGAGTATCTGGGTATCCCCTATGCGAAACCGCCGGTGGACAAGTTGAGGTTTGCGGCTCCTCAACGAATCACGTCTTACTCAAAGAAGCCATTCAAGGCGGAGAGTTTTGGATACGATTGTCCATTGACGGCGAGTAAGAAGGTCGATTATCCTGATATGACGCCTCAGGCTCAGCAGATCATTTCATACTTTGCAAGCGCAGCGGGAACTCCTCAGAGTGAGGATTGTTTGACACTTAATATTTGGTCAAAGGCGACGCCTAACTCAGCAAGGGCAAACAAGCCCGTATTGGTCTTTTTCTATGGTGGTCGTAAGTTATCAGGAGATCCTCTTTGTGCTTTGAAGCTAACCTAATGGTACAGGATTCGCTATTGGAAACACCGACAGTCCTTTCTACAATGGCAAATACTTCGCTGACGCAGAGGATATCGTCGTCATCACCGTCAACTACCGCATCAACATCTTTGGCTTCCCCGGTGCACCCGGAGAGACTCAAAATCTAGGTCTGCGCGATCAACGAGCTGCTGTTGAGTGGGTTCGCGACAACATCTGGAGGTTCGGCGGCAACCCTTCAAAGATCACAATCGCTGGCCAATCTTCTGGTGGCGTAGCTGTTGACTACTGGACATATGCCTACAAGAAGGATCCGATTGTCAATGGAATCATCGCTCCATCGGGCAACGCTTTTAGTTTCCCTGTCAACTCCGCTGCCGTCCAGGAGAAGAATTGGGATTCAGTTGTGTCAACTGTCGGATGTAACACTACCAGTGATGTAATGACTTGCATGCGCAAGGTTGACTGGGAGGATATAAAGAAGGCAGCTGCTAGTATCAAGCCTGCTGCTAGCTCCAGCGTCCTCCGATCCATCCCTCCATTCTACCCCAAGCCAGATGACGAGATTGTCTTCTCAGACTACGTTAGTCGAACCAAGAGTGGAAACTTTGTTAAAGTTCCCATCCTGTTTGGCAATAACAATAACGAAGACGGATACTACCGTATTCCCGCCTACGGAAATGGAGTTGTTCCTACCGACGCCCAAGTCAAATCATTCCTTCTCGAATCCTTTACCTGTCCCGTATCCTACCAGGCCGAGGCGCGACGAGATCACAATGTGCCATCATGGGCGTACCGATATCTGGCAGACTGGGATAATACGAGATTGTTCCCTACGAGTGGCGCGTACCATGGTGTTGACCTGCACATGATCTTCGGCGCATCTGGCGATGTCAGTGGTATTGAGCCATCGGCAGACCAGAAGAGACTCACCAAGATCATGCAGCATGCTTGGTTCTCTTTTAGCGACGATCCTTCATCTGGTCTGAGTAAGCTTGGTTGGCCCAAGTTTGACCCGAACCGTAATACATTAATTGAGCTGGGTAAGGGTACGAAGCCCCGTGTCGACTTTGTGAAGCCTTCTGTTTACGACGCTGCTTGCTCAACAGTCACGATGGGGGCGCTTTCGACTTCTTCATAGGATAGAATACTTTTGTCATACTTTGATGTTCAGTTTGGAAATTTGAAAGCAGTACATAGTCCAAGCAGCCCTCGAGCTGCTCCTCCATAATGGTATTAAGCGATGAATTCCAAGTCCAAAGTAGGCTCCTCTACCGACAAGAATTTTTTGCGGCTTGTCGCTAGGCTCATACCATATCATAAGACAACACATGGCGGACAATCTTATGTCCCCCCAGGGAGCAAAAAAACCTCTGACATGAAATTAAGGTATCGACAATATCTAATCTAAGCTCCACTAAATCCACAATAAATTTACCTTAGTCTTTTTGTCATTTAGGATATGCCCGAGGCAAGAAAACTTAAACTCTCCATCCTAAAAGAATAAAAGACTTAGGCAAGTTTAGTATAGATTTAGTAGAGCTTAGATTATTAAGCTTAGTTACATAAGATTGAGCTCCCATCAGTTCACACTCCAAACCAGAGCAAAGGCTTGCTTATCCCCACACATAGTCCTTGGCGCAGACACATTAAGCGTGATCTTGGTCTCTCTGTCGTCAGCAGGAATACCGCTCCAAACAACCTGCTCGACATTATTAACATCATCAGGTCTATCACCCAAGTTTCCGAATCTGCTCGGCGCGTCGCCAACAGCAACCTGAAGATTGATGTTGTTCTGCAGAGCAGCGCCAGGAAGATCGGAGTACACCATTGTGACCTTCAACGTAACAGCCTCCGAGTCTGGTCCATCAGGCATAAGAAGATCTCCAAGGGTTAGTGTCTTGACGAATTCATCTTGGTCATCCTCGTCGAGAAGTTCCCCCTCCAGGTAGCCCTTGTTAGTAGTGATGCCCTTCAGGATGACAGAGTTTGCGAGATCGACACGGCCGAAACCCTGGGCTTCAACCTTTTTGCCCGTACTCACAGCGCCGTTGACAAGCAACGCTTTGAGCAACGCGGCACTTGGGGAGGCGACTCCATCCTTCTGCAGTGTCTCTCGAAGAACGGCAACACAACCTGCGACAAGCGGAGTAGCCATGCTGGTGCCGGAACTAAATGCCCACGCTGGGTCAGTCGAGCGACCGAACTGGTCACTTGGCTTCGCGTCTCTTGACTTTGCCGAAAGAATCATGGTACCTGGCGCAACAACATCAGGCTTGATGCGACGCTCAAGCGTAGGCCCACGGCTACTAAACCAAGATATGTTATTGGGGTCACCTTCAACAACTCCATCGGCCTTGAAGGCGTCGAATCGGTTGTTCTTAGCTTTGCGACGGTTATCGCTTGATCCAACCGCGATGCAGTTCTTGGCCGCTGCTTGTGCACCAATGTGGCCAAGGTCAGTCTCCTCACCACCGTCGTTACCAGCAGCGAAGCAAACTGTCATCTCTTGATGAGTGGAAACGAAGTTGTCAAGATCTGTACTCGCGTTGTTGTAGGTAAGCTGTTCTGTCCACACAGGACCCCACGAGTTGGTATGAATGAAAGACTGGTGATCCAGGGCCTCTCTGAGTAGATCGCCAAGGGTCTTCTCAGATCGACCGAACAAGCCACCGCGACTATCCAGCAGAGATTGGACAATGAGAGTCGCTTCTGGTGCAGTGCCCTGGATTGGACCTCCCATCTTTTCAGAGTGCCCATCGCCGAGAACAGAACCGCAGACATGTGTACCGTGTCCATCGGGGTCGTTGGTCTTGGAGGATCTGCCGATGGGGATGAGCTTTTGAACACGACCAGTGAAAGCTTCGTGGGTCTTGTTCTTATCACCAGTGTCAAACCCAGTGTCAGCAACGGTGACTATCTGATTTGCACCTTTGAAGATGGTGGTGTTGGGGGAGGATCCAGTGACATCAGCATGGAGGATCTCACGAGCCACGTTGTTGAAGAACGTGAGCTTGTGAACCTGCTGGATAGAGCCAACGCTGTCGATCTTGGCGATCTCTTGCAACTTATCATTATTGCCTGTCAGACGAATGATAGAGTTACCATCTCTGATGGTGATATCCTCAGGCGAGATGCCAAGAGAATCTTGGATACGCTGGGAGATATCCTCAGCAGAGTCGTCTGCACGACTCTGGAGGACAATGTCAACGGTGCGAGCTGCACCATCAGAAGACTTGAGGGCAGGTTCAAGTTTGAGCTCTGGATGCAAGGGCTTTGCATCTTTGACAAAAGCAAGGTCACGAAGGGACTTGATGTCCGTGGGTTCATAGCGACAGAGCCACGTGTTGCCACCGAGGTACTCCTGCAGATCGACATGTAGATCTTTGAGGGTATGTTTCTCAGGCCTCTTGAGAGGGTCTTGGGTTTCGAGGACAATGTAGTTGGTGTTCTCTGGCAGATGATTGAGTCTGTTCTCGCCAGACCTCTGCTGACTCTGAGGGTCATCTGGGAGGGACGAGACGGAGAACGGGTTGCCGTTGATAGTTGGGGCAGACATGATGGAGGATTGGGGGAAGAAGACTTTTGGGTGATAAAAGTTGTTGTCAGATCAAGGTGTCACAATGAAGAGCGATATGATTGAGCATAGGGTGAGAGGGGGTCTTATAGCGATATTAACAGGCAGCGGCAACAGTTCTGACGCCCCTCCTTCAGAAAACGGACGAACCACTCTCAAGTGAGACAGATCCTATATGCCAGCGAGGGAAGTAAGAAAACCTAGGACCTTTATCCTAAGTTACGAAAAGACTTAGGTGAGCTTAGTGTATTTTAGTAGATCTTTAGACCACTTTATTCTGGCACCCTGCTTCAACGTCAGCAATTTTATTACCCTCCGAGGACCAGGTCTTAAGGTGCGGCTGAAAGCAAGAATCGGTCAGCTGGCAACCCTCTCAGCCCTACTAGCATCGGGTAATTGATACATTGCTATGTTTACTGCCCGTGATCGCAGCACTACTCAAAGTCCTGTTGGCAATGAAGGTGGCAAAGGGGGGCAAAATGAGTTGAGACCTCCATTCCAAGTGATAAAAATACTTTGGCCAACTTAGTATAATTTAGTATAAATTTAGTAGATCTTAGATCAGATATTTTTGGCACCCTGATTTTATGTAGGGAGTTTTCTTGCTCCTAAGGGGGTGGTCAACTGAGCCATTCATATGTGACAGTTTTATACACTCTTGCATGAAGAGGCTTGCGGCTGAAGTGAATGGGGCATGATTCCCGGATCGGGGTAGACGCACTTCATATCCCGCCCGTGGCTGGCTGAAGTCTAAAAGATGGTGGCGAGGGGACCGAATCACAGTGAGATACGCCAACGGAGCACCAGGCCCCGGCACCCCTCACGTCAAGTCCTAGACTTGTCTAGATCGATATGGCTTATGCAGGTTGTACCAAAACAAGCGTAAATTAAGCTTAAATGGTGAAACTAACCATGTCGGTAGGTAAGGAATGTGATAGACGTAGCCGGTAGTCCTGTACTCCCGTTTTTCAACGGACATCAACTTGAGACATGTTGATGACTAGATCCGATCTCTCGCTTCAAATCGGCGATCGACTACTTGCTGTATTATTTGCTCTTTCATTATTTCTGTTTGGTGAAACCTGACCATGCCAATTAGGTATTATGCAATGCGATATGTCTTTACGCTGTTATCCGAGGCCGTGGGCAAGGGACCAAGGGGAGGCAAGAAAAACTTAGGACCTCTATAGCTTGCTTTGTTTCTATTGGGGCTTATGTCGGTTTATAGAGACTGGAATATTGTTACTTGTTGGACTAATGCAACCTCTCCAGCCGAAATATGAAGAGGGTGGCATTGCTTTTGATGTTGACTCAAAAAAGGTAATCTCATGTCTATCCGTAGCGAAGACTATTATGACCAAAATGTCCTTTAATCATTGCTTGTGGAGTGCACAGAGTGCTTGGTGGGTCTGAGCCCGGTACCGGAGTCAGATAAGGCCGATTGGCTTGATGAATCATGCCCATCAAGCTAGTAAAGGCACTTGAGGAGATTAGTTTGGCAGCAAAAAGTCACGGTGAACAACGCCGCAATGAACGATATCAACCTCATTACTGGCAACGCCAATAAGATAGCCGACATCAAGGCTACTCTCGCTCCAGCTGGAATTACCGTTCACAGTCAATCTCTCGACCTACCTGAGATACAAGGATCGATCGAAGAAATCACAATCGCCAAATGTCGCAGAGCGGCAGAAATGGTACGACTTTTGTCAAATTCCATCATCTGGATCTGGGCTAACGAGTTGACAGGTTGGCGGTCCGGTTGTCGTAGATGATACAGCGCTCTGCTTCAATGCGATGGATGGCATGCCAGGACCCTACATAAAATCCTTCCTCGAAGCTATGGGTCCTGAAAAGCTACATCTCCTGCTAGCTGGCTTCTCAGACAAGACCGCCCAAGCTGTTGCGACTATCGGGTATTGCCAGGGTCCTGGTCACGAACCCATCCTTTTCCAAGGACGGATTGACGGGACGATTGTGCCTGCAAGAGGTGTGATGCGATATGGATGGCAGACATGCTTTCAACCTGATGGGATGGTTTTGACATTGGCGGAGATGCCAGATGAAGAGAAACATAAAATGTCGCATCTTGGGATAGCTTTGCAAAAGTTTACTGCGTGGCTGAAGGGGGATCAGCATCCTGCTGATGCCGTGGGCTCCGCTCCATGACGAGAACAGAGACGTAGAACACCTGCTGAAGTTGGGCGAGGGGAACTATCCCTAGAATGACGATCACGCATACGAACTCTCGGTCTCCTATTAATTATTTCGATACTCACAAGGCTTGGGCAATGATACCTGTTCCTACTTAGCATGGTCCCACTGGGTTGTGATAAGACTTTACTAGCCTGTCCAAAACGGACTTCTTAAGATCCTTAGTGATAAGCTGATGTTTGCACTAGCATGTATACTGTGCACGTTTTTACGCTTGCATAAATCTTTTTCTATCACGATTCTTGAATATATGGAAAATTCCATTTTGATAAATCTCACCGTTGACGTTGTCGCTGTATCGAAACCCGAGTTATTTTTCATTTATCGAATGACGGGCTTTTCTGTACAACATGACGGCTCTTTGAGATGTATCCTTATTTTCATCATGACTTTACTTCAAATTGCCTTATCGATCTAAGAAAAGCTCAGATCTACCCTGAAGCAAGCATCTTAATGGGTTCGGACCCCACGTCAGCCCCGGTTTAATCACAGCCCAGTGGGTATTTCTCCATCGGCGCTTACTATGAATCTCATGCCCGCTTGCTCCCATTTCATCAACGCTTATATTCATCACGATGGATTTACAGCCTAATTTCATGAAGGTTTCACTGGCTAGTAACTCAGAGACTGCTCAAGACTCTTCAAACACGACGAAAAAGAACGTACATTAAACGGGGGAACGAGCATGAGATCATGATAGAAACAATGAATCGGATAATTCAATCTCAGCTACATACAAATTGCCAGCCTCTGTCAGCCGTGGCAGAGACATTTTACCTGGATTTTGCTCCTGTCGAGCTCCTCACGAAAAGCAATTTCCATCCTTCAAAGCGACCAAGGTGTTTTCCACAGCCAGTCACGACCCGTTCTCATTTAATCCCGCTGATCAGAGTTATATCCCCCACCGCACAAACCACCACACGACCAAAGTACCTCCATACATGAAACCTAGAGCTGACATTTTTTCATCCGCCATCATAAACAAGGCTGGTTTCACCAAAAACGCCTCACAGCCCCCAAACAGCATCACGAGCATTCCTTCCAGAATAATACTAGCCAAATCCTCCATGTTTCAAGGAAAAGCTTACCCCCGAGATTAAAATAGGTCCGTCAGCCATTTAATTGGTCAGATCTGTGATCGTTGTGGCTAAGCAGATAAGATCCGCTAAGCTTAAAATTAAGGCACAGGTGCGAAATTCGTGTGATTGGTCTGAGCTGGTGCTGCGCCTTGGCGGTTTGGGCGTTTAGTTGGAACGAGCTGAACTGGTGCATGAAATTTATGTATGCAGTGAGATCATCGAAATAGATTTGGTTTCATTTATTGGCTGAGGTGGTGAATCCTACTCGTATAGTGAATCCTTCATGGTCCGTTTCATTTTTGGAAGATGAGACGAGAAATGGCTGTTCGATGTCATGACGAGCTTCAACTTGGGCGGAGACATTCTGAGCTAGGCTTATCTGTGATAAGGTTGAGAGGTTAAAAGAGGCTCTCAACTTTATCATCGATCATGTATATAAGAAGCTTCGTCTGCCTTCATAGAATCTCATCATCACTCCATCAATTCACCACTCTCCCCCCTCTTCTTCTTGACTTCAATATTCCGTTCTCTTTTCAACTTCATTTTCACTTCACCATCATGCACGCCTTCACAATCGCAACCGTCCTTGCCGGTGCTCTCAGCGTCGAAGCTGGACCCCTCAAGCACGCCAAGCGAGTTCTCATGGGCCGTCTCGACGATGGAGCTCACGAGATCGAGCACAAGTTCCAACCTGCCACCGATTTCGACAAGGATGGCTGCTACTACACTTCCGCCATCGACAAGGATGGTAACACCAACCGCGGTCTCAGCCAGAAGGACGTTTACTTCAAGGGCCCTGCTGATGATTGCCGTGAGCCAAACCGCCTGGAGAACAACAATGTTTATAGCCGAAAGCGCTGTAACAATGGTTGGTGTGCTATTATGTATGAGTACTACTTTGAGAAGGACCAGTCTTCGTAAGTTCGATCCACCATTTTTTTAACATCATTGACTCACCAAGTTTTAGTTGGGGTACTATCAACGCTGCCGGCGGCGGTAACGGTCACACTCACGACTGGGAGAACATCGTCGTGTTTGTTCAAGGCGAAGAGGTCAAGCGCGTCGCTCCCTCATGCCACGGCGGCTACGAACACGCCACCAACACTCCCCGTCTCGACGGCCAGCGCGCCAAGGTCGTCTATCACAAAGACGGTGGCTTCACTCACTGCTGGCGCATGGCCAACGAAGCCGACGACGACGTTGAGAACTACACCGGTCAGTGGTTCATCGGTAACCTTGTTGGCTGGGACAATTGGCCTGTTGTCAACGGTCGATCTCTGCGAGACTACCTCTTTGATGCTTGGAACGGTGGTGTTGGTCCTAAGTTCTGGGATAAGGATGATAGCTTTACTAAGAAGCTTGGTGAGGCTGCTGGTGATCAGTGCCCTGGTTTTGATCCCGCCAAGGACGAGTAGGGCCATATTTCCGGCGTCGACATGTAGACTTTAGGGCATATTCCTTTTCTTCAATTGTTTATAGACATTCACATTCCGGTTTTCACATAGTTCAGGTACTTTTAAATGCAAAGTTGAGGCTTCGAAATATTTGATCATTCATTGGTATTCATTCAACCTAAGCTTTTTTAACGCCGAATCCGTTTTAACATAAGCTTCCTAAAAGGAACTCATTCACCTACCAGGTGAACTGAGGTATGTAGATTTCAAGTAGTAAAAAGTGTGTCATCTTGGGGCGGAAGACTGTTTCCAGCCGGCTGACATCTTATCTCATGTGTTTTACTTGTCCACGTCGAAATCATACGAGGGCTAACGCAGGATAGTACGGAGAACTCAAGATATTACAGTTACTAGCACTCAGCAGAAACTCTCTAGTGTCACACCTATCAAGCTTCGGCCTTCTCCTATTCTAAGAGAAGGACAGCTTACTACTAATCAGAGATTACAGAAGATTATAATGAAAAGGGGTTTCGTTGACGTAGTAAGCTTGCACCCAGAGTATGCAATATCCAAGAAAATCATCGGATTGATCGAGAGCTTGCTGTGCAGCCTGTTGGTAAAGGCATTCCAGCCTTGCTCGTTGAGGAAGTCGTTGATCTGGTCAAGATATCCAGGAACATCGTTCGAACAAGCTCGAAGGCGATTATCTAGCCGCTTTTGCAGTCCTTGAGCTTGGCGGACACGATCCGCATCTGTAAGATTCATGTCAGGAATTTGAAAGGCCTCCTGCATAGTATCACCGATTGCCGAGCAGTAAGTTTCGATATCGGTGATGTAAGTTCTCAGGCCATCCTTGCGAATTTGAAGCAGACTATCAGACGTTGACTCGAGAGGTCGGTGATAGATGCCTATATCTGCTTCACTTCCGTCAGTACATTGGCAATATCCTGTCTGACCCTTTCTGTGTCGGTGCCACCAGTCACAGCTGCCAGGCCCTCTTGGAAGACCCAGCCGCCAGCCTTGCCCGCTAGGCCAGTACCAAACTTTACCAGAAGGGTAGACGCTGCAGATGCAATGAGAGATGCGATGTTGATTGAGAAACAGAATTGGAAAAGGATAAGGTCGGATGCTCTGTGCGATGCGAATGCTATCAACCGCCCCAGTAAAGAGGGGGTAGGCTTTTATATGACGAGGGTCAAGATCAGTTTTACTGGTCCTCACATTGTGGAAGACTTGCCGAGAATTATCAGACGATCTGTTCTTGAGCATTATTCATGCCAGTAACTTCACATAAAGTTTTATTTTCACCTGGGAAGCCAAAATGACACCAGCTCCATGGAATCAGGAATGTCCCTGGACGCCACTCGAAACGTTTTACTGACCCCTGAATATAGACTATTGTTAATGGTTCATGGATTTTGGAGGGGGAAATGGTGTTAGTTTTGACGCGCGCCTTGGTCCTCTCGCTCGGTTATCAATGAGGTTGACCCAAACTGATATCAGTTTTCCTTCCCTTGTCCTCAACTCACTCACCACGACAATTCGCGGGCTATTATAGCAAGTGAAATCTGTTTCCTGGTGAGTTTTATTTTAAACAATTGGCATGCTCGCTTCACTTCACGAACGGTGCTACTCCTTACGGTAACCTTCTTTGATCTGATGTTTCTAGCCTTCTATCACCAGCTATTTCCAATGCCGGAAGCACTCCATGATCTTGAATAGTCATGCGATATTATCAGCAGTAGTACAGCTGTCATTGGCTACGCCGAATTACCGAAGGTTCCAAAGAATAGTCGTCACTATCAATTGGAAGGTCAGGCATCTCTAAGTTTTAGTGTCACGAAGCGTTTCACTGATAGCTCAAACGTTGCGAATAATATCAAATCAATTGCAAGTTCCTTGTCATAAGCTCATGACAAGACTAAAAGAGTGCTACATAGTTTCTAAAGTAACAAGAAGCCATGCGGATGATTGGCAGTCTGAAAAGAACAAATCACACGAATCTCAATCCCGAACCAAAGAAGCACTGATCCCAAAATTGGCATCAGTCAACTTAGTGCCAGCACTTACCCCAAGCATCGTCCTTGTTGCCGCCAAAGTTGATGTCCCAGGCCTGCTTGCAAGTAGTCTCCCAGGGAGCACCGTCAATGCCGCGGCCGTAGCCCTTGTCGACGCACTGCATAATCAGCTTCCATGCTCTGTGGGCTTGTGTCTGAGTACTTACAGAGTAGCCGTCCCAGTGGGTGTGGGGCTGGTTGGAGCCCCAGAGGGCGCAGGCAGCCTGGGCAAGATCCTGCCTGTATGAGCCGCGGACGGTGCAGCCACAGTTGTGGTGAATACCGGCCATGGCGCTGGGAGGTCAGACTTGGTGTTGAGGTGGAGGATATTTGACTTACGCGCCGAAGAAGAGGACGATGAGGCTGAGAGAGTTCATTTTGGGTGAAGGGTTTGAGTCTTGAGGACTGGGAGTTGTAGAAGTTGTTATACTGTTGCTGATGCTGGTGAAGATGAGAGTGGTGAGTAGCAAATGGAGTTGGGAAAGCTGATCCTTTTATATTTCAGGATTCTCTTGGAGAGACCTGCTTTCACCAACAAATCTGCCTCATGATCCGGCTTGAAGAGCCGTCTGGTGAGGCAACTGGTCAACCTCGTCCGATGGATATCGATTCGGCTCATGAAAGTCAGTCATTATCCGACCTCATCATGACTGAAGCAATTGCCGAACTGAACATCTCGCATCCGGCTCATCGGCATCATAAGTTCCACCTTCCAAACATGGAAAATCGTGAAGCCTTTCCTATCTCAGCCTATGAACATGAAATAAATTCAGGGCATTGTTCTCCGAGACATACGATACTCTATACGCGGATAATAGAGTTCAATGAAGATAGTCTTTTCTATCCCTTGACATAGCGTGATGAACTCAGGTTCGTGTTGAAATGCGAGCCTCTCATTGGTTGTGATGTAAGCGGAAGTTATGTCGAGGCCTCAATCATGAGCAGTGGGGGACAGATTCGCCTATTGCAGGCAATGACATCCTACAAACCTTCTTCGCATTAGAAAAAGCTTATTCTTCATAGTGTTTCCAGGGACTGTTGTATTACCGACAGGGCTAGCGCAACGTGCCATCGCTGACAGCGGCCCGCAAAGCATACCAAGATGAAGCCCACGTGGGGGTTTCGGTGTGAGGCTATTTGCCCAATCGAACACCGAGCACGACCTTCAGAACTGACCTATAGCAACATTTCAATTACATGCACAGACTATTTAGACGGGTGGGTCGGAATCAAAGCGGATCTAATAATATGCAATATTCCAAAAAGGAACAGGAGAACATCAGACTATACTCAGTTAATCGACTCATTTAATACCGGCAGATGATGTGAGAGTCAACCCCCCAATCTATCGCGGATGAGGATAGGAGCGACGAGGATCAACTCGTGTTCTGTTTGTGGCTTGAGAGATATCATGGGTTGCTTCGAGTCGGCCGGTCGTGAACTGCCGAGAGTCGAGACCGACGATGAGTGAATTCGTGTCTGTCGAGATGAAGATGGGAAGGTCATCAAGTTGCGAGAGACTCGTCGGTAGTTGAGGAATTATTGAGTACCAAGTTCGGCGTCGAAGTTAAGGGCATCGTGAACGACAGGAACTACTTAAGACGGCATTCATGTCCACATTGTCAACTCACTCAACCATCACAGCATCTTCATTGACTCTCAAGCTCACTTCTCTACTCTCAACAAAGCCCCTTACAATGGCTCGCTTCATCCTCATCCTCGCCGCCCTGGCCACCGCTGCCTTCGCCAGCACTACCGCCAACAAGGCCCTCGAAAAGACCCCCGTCAAGGTCACCGAGGTCAACTACAAAGTCGGCGAGGTCTCCAAGTGCATCACCCTCTCTCATCTCCAAGCCCTCGGCCAAACCTTCACCAACCTCAACGCCACCGGCGACTACAAGCTCCCCGAGATCCCAACCACCTACATCAACGATCCCACCGCTTGCATCCCCGAGTCCCTCTTCGACCAGTACTTTGAGCCCATCGTCGCCATCTCCAAGGAGCAGAACCTTCTTGAGTCCTTCGACGCTGAGAAGGTTCACGGCCGTGATCTTGAGGTTCGCGCTCGCAACTGTCCTCAGATCAAGGATGCTGCTCTTGGCCGTGTTCACTCTTGGAGCTGTGATAGTGCGCCTCACCCTAGCTCTTGCCGATCTTGCGCAAACTTTTCTTCTATCAACTTTGTGGCTGCTTGTGTTGCTTGTGCGGCTAAGGCTAATCAGGAGAGCATCTTTTGCTGTGCTGCTGCGGCTACTACCTTTGCTACCTACTACTCTCAGGTCTGCCTTGAGAAGTAGGCCTGCCGGTTCTGTCTGTGGAATGAAAGGGGGAGAGGGGATGTCTTACTGTAGTCGCTCATTTGGTTGAGGATGGGTGATGTTTGTCTGATGTTAGTTTGCTGCGGCTGTGGGGATTAGATGAGTCTCTTCTCTATTCCCGTTCACTCCTTAGGTATAGCTTTCTAGTGGTATCGCCATGTTGTCTCCCAGACAACTGGTGCTTTGAATTAAATTACTTGTTTTCCGAATATGCCGATGGCATGCATCGCGACTTGTTCCAGATCTACACATCAATAATGAGAGACCCTAAAACCTTGGCCAAATACATAAAGAGTAACAGATCACTTGGGCAACCTTAGCCATCTTACCCCAAAAGGATTATTGCCAAGATGATCAGCATTCACATCTCTGTCAGTCAGTCTGTCAGCCTCTCGGATACGTGACCACTCGCGTTAAGACACAGTCCAGCTTTTATGTATGGCGCACTTCTGGGTCAAACTTCCCCTCTTCCAACTCACATATTCTCAACGCCCATTACTCGCGCTGGTTCTCGTAACCTACAGCTCTGGGCGACAAGTCCTAGGCTCGAGAATTATGTCGGATCCAAAACGGCCATCTTTTAGAGCCTTTATCAGGCGCCCCAACCCTGGAAAAGGAAACGAATCAAGCAGTGACTCTATGGGCACTCCTGCAAGCACGCCACCCGTTTCTCAAGGTTTGTGCCAGCCCGCCCAGGATCTATATCAATACCACGACAGGGCACATCACTGATGCCTCATCACAGACAGATTACCGGCTGATTTGCCGTCTGCATCAGCATCGTCGATGTCCGTACCTTCAGTGAATGTCGCAGTTACCAAAAATCCTCTACCAGAAAATGTCTCGGTTGGATGTTCAGCCTTGATGGCTGAACATGGCGATACCATATCGACAACTGATTATGAATGCAAAGATCAGCAAGTACGGTTCCAGCAACTTTGGAAGGAGGCAATTGATAATGCCAAAGCATCGAAAGACGGTGGAAAGTTGTCAGAAGTCATTCGAGTTCAGGAACAAGCTTCGGTAGAGGATGCTGAAATTACCCTGCCAGCCTTGATAAAAAGACTGGAGACTGAAATGAAGCGCTTTGACACACGGAAAAGGTTGGCTGAAGCGATGGAAAGGATTGTCCCGCATCTCAATCGATTCGCTGTTGTTGGTGATATCGCTGTTAGCACGAATCCCAACCCCGCTGCCCTCCCATGGGCCGCTGTACGCTTCCTTCTTCTGGTACATCATCCCCTCATTAGTGCCTGTACTATGAAGCCAAGCTAATTTTACTCAGAATCTTACTGCTGGGGAAGAGATCAGAGGCAAGGTTGTTGAAGGCATCGCCGAAATCACTGTTCAAGTCTTTGAATGCAGCGTTTACCACGAGCTTTACCTAGCTTCGCCGGCTTCCACAGACCTTCCTATCAATACAACCCTACGTCAGACAATTATCGATGCGCTGTCTCACTGTGTAAGGTTTCTTAGATTTGCTCTCCGTCGCCAACAAGCAGCAGCAAAGGCTTTCACAGATGTCTTTCGCCTAGAGGATTTTACTGGATATTTGAAAGACCTCCTTGTTTCGAAAGACAGGCTACATGATGCTAGTTCACTATGTGAAATGCATCATAGCTCCCAAAGCCGAGATCAACTCAGGTCTTTGCATGATTTAATGGTCGATATGAGGCTAGAGTCCAGGTATGAAGCAGGAGCGCTGTGTGCTGCTATAGTCTAACACGCTTCTAGTGAAAGGGAGGAAGAAAAGGTCCAGTCGCAGCTGAGAGATCTTCTTATCGATCCCAAAGATTGCTTCGATCATATTTATCATCAACACGACTCTTTCTGTCTTGAGGGAACGCGAGTACAGGTTCTTGATGACATAGAACAATGGGCTCACAATCCCTCAAGTCCGACCATCTGTTGGCTTCCAGGTCTTGCTGGTACAGGCAAGAGCACAATTTCTCGTACTATTTCTCGAAACCTAAAAACCAAAAGCCTCGGCGCCAGCTTTTTCTTCAAGAAAGGTGCAGGCAATCGAGGAAATGGCCGACATTTGTTCTCTATACTGGCATATCAACTCGCCTTACACCTCCCTCCCATCCTTCCCCATATCTTGGATGCTGTGAAGGAGGATCATTCGCTAACCATGGCACCTATTCAAATCCAGTGGCAGAAGCTCATCCTAAACCCACTTGTCAAATTGCAAGACGAGGGGCTTACCAAACCTATTGTTTTCGTTCTTGATGCGTTAGATGAATGTGACGAACAAGACCGCGGAGAGATCTTTCGTTTGCTACTGGCGACATGCCCGGGGATACTGAGAGTCTTTCTCACCAGCTGACCAGAGCTTGATATTATGGGTCACTTTGCCAATGAACCGCTTCACAGAGAAGTCGTGCTTCATAAACTCCAGGTTGGAACTATAGAAAGCGACTTCCGTGTTTACCTCCGCCAGGCTATGGAGAGTTTCGTGGTGGAATACAATCGCACTCATCACCAGAAGCATCTGCAGTTATCTTCAGATTGGCCGGGAGAGGAACGATTCCAGTTACTGCTTCACAAAGCCCTACCATTATTCATCGCAGCTGCGACTTTTGTGCGCATGATCTGTGATAGACACTGGGCAAAGAGTCCTGATTATAAAATTGACTTAATCATCGATAAGTCATCGAGAGTCAATTCTGCGTATGAGACTCTGTACAAGCCTGTCCTGAGCCTCATATTGAGCGGTGCACCTGATGAAGACCAGGATGAAGTTAAAAAGCGTTTTGTGGATATCATTGGCTCTCTTGTCTTGCTCGCGAATCCTCTGTCGATATTTCCACTAGCTAAGCTTCTGGGTGTTGATACATGGTCTATATCCAGCCAGGTCGACCCACTGCGTTCTGTGATCGATGTTCCTGAAGACGATAGCCCTCTCCAGCTACATCATCTTTCGTTCCGAGACTACATCCTTAGTCAATCTGCTGGGAATCTACAGGTGAGCGAAACGGAGACACAGGCCAGACTCGCAAGTAGATGTCTGGGCCTTATGCGAGGAACATTGAAGGTTGATATCTGTGGACTTTTGTCACCTGGGAAGAGTCACTCAGACATTGAACCATCTACTGTCGATGAGCATTTGTCCGTAGAGATCCAGTATGCATGTTTGTATTGGGTTCACCATTTAAAATCAACCGGTAGGCGTATTCATGACGACGATGATGCGTATAGCTTCCTTCAAAGTTTCTTTACGAACTGGCTTGAGGTTCTATGTCTCCTCAGAAGGGTTGACGACTCTCTCCGGATGCTCCAAGAGTTGCAGAGTGTGGTTGATGTAAGTAGCATCCGTAGACCCCATTTAACACCGACGCTCACGATTGCAACAGGAGGCTTCTGGACCACAAGTACTGCAATACATCCAAGATGCAATACAGTTCATTCGCTATTTCCGCGCCGGCATAGAAGAAACTCCTCTCCAGATATACCACTCCGAAACCATCTTCAGCCCAAGAGCAAGTATTGCTCCCACTCCACTCGAAGACCGTCACTACCCGGACTATATCATGCAGCCCTCCAACATAGATCCCAACTGGCCGCAAAGCCAAACTCTCCAGGTTCTTGATGAAAGACTCTCACAGATGGCCTTTCTGCCCGATAACAAGCTAGCCTCAATTAGGCACTTGGGAGAACTTAGAATTTGGGACCAGAGGTCATGTTCTCGTCTGCACAGCCTAAGCCACGGGTTTAAGCGGGGCGTTATAACGATTCTGGCGTGGTACAACAGCAGAATAATAGCAGTCGGATGGCCTGACATGATCAAGATTTGGAATCTTGACAGTGGTGCATGCGTTAGGAGTTTCCCCCTAACGCGTTGTTCTGGTACTGAAACTATCGCATTCTCTGATGATCGCAAGTTTATTTGCTCGATCTGCACGCGTGATCTTGAATGTATAGCGTTTATCCATAGTCTCGACACAGGGAAATGTGTTTCTGAATTTGAGATACCAGACAAACCCAGTCCTATACTCTTGTCACCGAAAGGTCAGTGGATAGCAGCTATTGCACAGAAATCTATGCTTCTTTCAGAGTGGAGTCATTCCACAAAGCTGTCCTGGACTGTCCTCGGACCTCAACAGGAGCATGATGTAGTAAGCTTCTCAAGCGACGGCACATTGGTCGCTTCACTATTATCGACATCGAAAATGGTCAAGGTATGGAGCACAGAGTCATACGAATGTCTTCACATGCTGAATTTTGAGACACCGATCGTCCATGACCAACTGGCTCTCAATCAAGACTGGTTGGTAATCAGTCTTGATAACTATCGGACTCTCGTCCTTGACATGAAGACAGGGGCCGTTTCCAAGACCGTGTGCAGTTACTTCAAGGCTGGACCTGTTATTTCAGACGACGGGACCTTACTCGCGGGCCAGTCGCTGGAAGGAGCCGTCAGGGTATGGGATCTTACATCAAGAACTTTGACGGACAGCACAGCCACCGAACAACCCATGGGGGTAGAATTGGTGACCCCTTGTAAGGATGATAACACCATACTCTCTCTTAGCTGGGGAAAAGTCAAGATCTGGGGTATGGAGAGTGCAATCTGCAAAGAAGAACTAGAACCAGAAGTCCACTTGGAGACCCAGACATTCATAGCAGCTGCGAGTGGTGCACCGGTATTTGCCATATTGAAAGACACAGCGGTTGAGATTTGGGACACCAACCCTCTACGTCATGTCAACACCTTCGAACGGACGTTCAGTTGTCTTGGAGAGCGTTATTACTGCCTGGCCATTTCTGCCAACGGTGAACGACTGGCTGTTGGGTCGTCAGAGCCAGGTACAGTTGAGATCTGGGATGTGAAAAATGCAGTTCTTCGGCAAACACTTGAAGTTCCGTTGGCAAACTTTCCTTGTATCGCTTTTTCACCGGACGCTGCCAAAATTGCCTACACTCTCTGGGAAACCATCGAGGTTCGCTGTCTCCCTGGACTCGAAACACTGACTGTTGAATCTGAGATTTATCGCGGAGTGTCATTCTTACGCACTCTGACTTTTCGTGGTGGACGACTTATAGGAGTATATATGAACACCCATGTGCAGGTCTGGGATGCATCTACAGGGGAAAGTATATTTCTTTTGCAGCCATCTCCGGAGCTCCCGCTATCCAACTTGGCGACCAGTTTTCTCAACACTGATGCGATTGTTCAAGGTGGTCGGGCTGGCGACGACGTACTGGGAACATATTACATTCATCAGGACCCTGCTTGGGTTATGAGGAAAGGTGAGAGGATCCTCTGGCTGCCACCAGATTACAGACCCGGGTCCGTATACATGTCAGGAACGGCGATGGTCCTGGGAACTTTTTCTGGGCATGTATTATTCCTGTACCTGAAGGAATAGGATCACAGCGTAATGAGTCCATACTTAAGATTACTACTCCTAATATTGGACATTGGCGGATGAATAACCCCTGATGTGCGATTGGCCTTGGCTACGAATAAAGTTGTTCCAAGACCAAGCGAGACGTCTGAATTTACCCACGAATAAGAATTACTCGTTAAAGAAGTTCCCGCCAGGTGCCGTTTTCTAAAACAAGCTAACTAACGCAGGGGCAATAACTTACCCCCTGTTGAAATTCCCGACTAAGCCCAGACCGGGACTTGTTTGCGAATTACAGACCCGTACAATTTCCCATCGGTTATAGACGATATTGAAACATATTACCGACTAAAACACCGATTACCGAGGCTCTTTGTTATCATCCACCCCAAATATGTCGATGTGGATGGGGATTGATGAGTTTGGTCATCGGAATTAGAGACGAGTTGAATGGCTCCCTCTTTGCATGGCGAAGGGGTTCTGGTCGCGAACGCTCCTTTTCGTGTCAGACCGCGCTGTGGCGGTATTAGGTGATATCAGAAATTAGACCCATGTCATCACACTGCATTCCATGAGAATGTTAGCGCTAGCCCGGGCTGTCGAGACCCGCGGACTTAATGTGATGCCAAATACGAAAATTCACCAAAATGCGGCACGAGAACTGAATTGACTAATCTTCGTAGAAGACCAATATTTATTCGTAGAGATGATACAAGCTTTTGTCTCTGTTACGCGGTACTCGTCTCTTAGTAGCTAAACATCTGCAAACTAGGGGCATTAGAGATTCGGTATTCGAACAGCATCAGCTGCCGGCAGATATTCACCAATAATTGGTCCAGGAGTTCAGCCAGGAAGATTATATTTACAAGAAGCTTATCTAGTTTACAATGAAAGCTGAAGCAAAGTGTCTTTCTTATCAAGTCCAGAATACCATTTTTCCTCCAAGACGCCAGCGTATGACATGACTTCAAAACACCACGCCCAGCGTGCATCATGTCAAATTACTGACATCTAATCATTTTCTCACTGCACACACTTAGAAACGGTGAGCAGCGAAGTGGCGAGCGTGGCGGCGGGCCTTGGAAGAACCAGAAGAGCATCCGTTGCTGGCACCGTTACCGGCAGAGGGGAGAGGAGTGGTCTCAGCGGCAACAGGGGTAGGCTGGGGAGTGGTCTCAGCAGAGTCGGGAACGTCAGGGACAACGGGAGCCTGAGAAGACTCGGGAGCAGAGGTAGGAGCGGAAGAAGGAGCAGCGGAACCCTCGGTGGGAGAAGCATCAGAGCCAGAGTCAGAGCCAGAGTCGGAACCAGAGTCAGCACCGCCCTCAACAGTCTTGGTGACATCGCCACCAGCACCATCAGCGCTACCGCGGATAGTACCACCGGGGATAACATCGGGACCAGGCATGACATCATAAGAGGTAGAGCTTCCCCAGAGACTGAAGTTGACAGCAGCGTCGTCCTGCTTGTAGACACCGGGGATAGAGACAGAAGTACCAGGGATGGTGGTGGCGCTGTTACCAGAGACCTCAACCTGAGCACAGGCATAGTAGAACTCAGCCTGGCCATCGTGAGCACCGTGAAGAGCAATGTGCTCACCACGGATGAGGTACTGTCCATCAGGAAGAGTGGAAGGAATCTTGAAGTGGACAGAGTCCTCATCCCAAGAGCACCAAGCAGTTGAGCGGAGAGACTCAGCGTTGCCAGACTTGCAGATCAAAGCCTGGTGAATCTTGTACCACTTCAGGTCATAAGGGCTGTCACTAGTAGCGTCCTTGACAGGAGCAGCGTAGACCTGGATAGGACCGGGGTGCTGCATTCCAGTACCGCCGAAAGCCTGCTTAAGACCAATCTCATCACCGGCCTTGACCTTGAAGACGTTGGCAGAGGGGGTAGAGCCCTTGTTGCAAGTGAAGTCCTTGTCGGTGGGAGAGATGGAACCATCGGGAATGCCCTTGAACTTGGTGGGCATGTAGCCGTTCTGGTGCTTGCGGATGTACTCGTTATCAGTGCCCTGTTGGACGCCAGCGAGGGTGAGCTTGTCGAAGGTGTAGTGAGCGCTGACGGCGGAGGCCAGGCTGAGAAGAGCGGAAACGTAAGTGGTGGTCTTCATGGTGAAATGATTGGAATAGTAAAGTCGCAAGCGAACTTGGTATAATGAAAGTGAAATTTAAAGAATGAGAAGAGAGACTAGCTCTTTGAAACGAATGGAATGGACTGATTGGAAAAAGATGCTGCTTCTCAGCCTGGAGGGTTAGTTGAAGATGTTTATATACCAGCTCATCATCTTCGTGTTGTGGGAGTCGTCGTTCGGGACAAGGATTTGTTCAAGGTTTGGCGCCAGCTTGCTTTACCATTTACGCTTAACTCTGTCTCAAGTTGTTAAAAACACACAAGGTTCATGGCGGCCTGTTTGCCATGTCCCGTCTTGGCTTGAACCGTGGAATTTTTCCATCTGTTTCCACCTGTTGCCGTGTTTCAATGATGGACCTTCAATTTTACTCCAGACGTTTAGTTTCTCGGCGGATCAACGTGATTTGCTGAGGTCCCTCGTTCTTAGTTTCGTCTTGTTTCGATGACAGGGGAGGTTTTGCTGACTTGGGAATTAGTAATTGGGTTTGGCCAATGAGATGCGTCAGTGAGATATGGTCTTATCGTTATCGTGCGGCTCCGTGAATGGAGGTGCTAGACAGAAGCTAATATGTTGTACCTGCAGTGTGATTGATATCTAATGTTATTTAGGGTTTATACCTGAGAATAACCATACAGGTGTGCTAACCTCAACACATGTCGTCATTCGTCGTAGAGACTCACTAACAGGTCCCCTCTGTTTCACGTATATTAATCTTATTATGATAAACTGTGAGGTACCATCCCCCACCACTTCAGACATTTCAACCATTCTAATATCGGCTAGTCAGCGTAGCTGTGGCTTGCCTCCTGACACTAATCCAAATTGAGCTTAATTTCTGTTTGACATCTTTCAAGGTCCCGACTCATTGGAACGATGTCTGTTCTCAAGACAAGGATTATCGGATCAGGCCATTGCTTTCTTGTCGCACCTCTTCAGGTAGGCAGTTCGTATTGACATGAAGCCCCTTGAGCATTGCTTCAGCTTCCGGTGGCATGAAGGGAAGAACAAACAGCTTTGCAAAGCTGACGCAGATCATAATGTCACTATAATGGGAGCATGTTCGCATGCAGTCCAAGCAAGCGAATTCTTGTAGTGATGTACTCAACAAGGTTCTCTCAGCTTATGGTTTACGATAAGCGCGTCCCTCATAGGTTGAACCACGATCAGAGCACAGAGCAGCCATCATACTCTTCATCCGGCATAGCTCACGTACAGTGGTCATATCAGAGACCATTCACGGGGGAATCACGGAGCCGCCATGACCAGTGCAGATGCAGCTAAGCGCTCCCGTAGATGAAAGCCGCCAATCAAGCCACTAGTATTGAAGGTTCAAGATGCGTATGGGCTACGGAAGGATGTGCGGGCAAATTGAGGGGAGCAGCATCTCATTACACAAAGCATGGGTATGCAGTCGAGGCAAGACATGACGCGCAGAATACACTTTCGCATACCTATCAGACAGGCTTGGCATTACGACTGATTACGTGGCATAGGAATCAGGAGTGAGAGATAGGGGGAGAGTTTGGAGGTACTGCATCGATGCAAAGTGGATAATCCGGTGAGGGAAATGTGTTATTTGCAGTTGAGACCTGTGGCTGAGAGCTTACGATCACCACACAGAACTCTGTGGATAATCCGACATCACTGGCTATCGATGTGACTGCCACTACGAATTTCCAGGAGCATGTCTGTTGCCTATGCATCCAGGTACTTACAGTGCGTTTGAGTTTCTTGAACTCTAGCTATAGAGTTTGACTACGACTTTACAGACGGGCGCAAGTGACTTTTTCTCTGACATGATGTCAACTTTGGGATGAGACTGTTGCAGACAATTCCTCACTTCGCTGAGTACGCTTTTTAGACATGCATGTTCTCACTGTTCTTCTGGTGCGATATCAGGAGTTGAAGTCTTGCATCACAGCCTCTCTCTGACTATTGAAGTGCTATGGTGAAGACGTTGGTGTAGTTTTGCTGAAGCTGGAAGGTGGATATGAAAGCTGATTGACGGCTTGGTGAAGTCAAAACAGTGTTCTGTCTATAGAGTCGAAATGCTGCGTCTTATGGTTGGAGAATGATTTCTGTAGCTGGAGGTTAAGGGGCAGTTCTGGAGAAGGAAGAGAGTCGGACTCTTGGTATTTATACTCCCGTCATTCCCGCGGCAGTGGAAGTCATCGATAATAAAGTGTGTTCGGTTCTGGTGGGGCATGACATAAAATAGAGCAGAGGTGAAGCATCGCTCAATATCTTACCCTACATTCCAACAGAAAAATCTTTATTACAGCAATGCTTTATCGGCAATTGGTTAGTTCAATTGATCTTCTTCACTCTAATATTGATTTATCTACAATCCCTCTGTGAGTCTTACAAATCCTATCACCGATGGAAAAGACTACGTGTCAAGCTGTAAATAAGGTGAAAGATGACAAGTCCTTGAACATCGCATCACAAATCTCATAGGCGCGGTAATCGTAGAGGCGCAGTGAATGATGACATTACTGAATTCATCCACCAGCATATTGAGCATAGTCCTTCAATGCGACGTTGATGCACTCATTCTTCTCTCTTTGGAGGAAGATTAATCTTGACATGACTATCATGCAACGTCTATTCAGCCTTGAAAGATCACGAGATATCATGAATAGAAGATCCGGTAATATTCACTTCACCCGGTGAACCCCAGCTGATGCGCGCCTGTCAAACCCGTAGCTGAATGCCGCTCAGACAATCATCATTACAACCTACTATAAAGATGAAACCAGAATCGAGCAAGTTATCCAACTCTCCGTGCCGGTATCCGTTTACCCAGCCCTCGCGATTGGTGGCTTTACGCGGAGAAATATTACCCCAAGATGATTCTCGATTCGGCAGAAATCTAGAATATCACCACCACCCCATACATGAAACACGACCCACGTGTTTCCCGTGGGAACGAGTTCAGGAACGAGGAGTATCTGGCTCGTGCACATTTAGCTGATACGGGATTGGTCTCACTTCTCATGGGGCCTATTCAGCCGAAATGAGACCCCTGCCAGCCCTGCTAGCACTGTCGTTGTGGGGCGTTTGTAAGAACTGACACATACTAGCTCCCTTCAGCTTTGACATTTGAGTTTTTGTTCGAGTTTCACCTGAAGTTGAAGAAAACAAGTACGCCAAGTAAACAGAATATCGTCTCAACTCTGTCGATCTCCTGGCTATGGACAGAGTGACACGAAACAAAACGTACCATTTAGTCGTACATCAAGATGACGGTGAGTTCAAAGTAAAGGCCCGAATTACGGGTCGTGAATATGCACCCCAGAAACAATGCAATGCAAAAATCAAGGCATGCCAAAAGTTCCGTTAATTTGGAGATTATCCAGGAGATAGAGCCGCCTCGACTCGGGCACCCCTGTCTCGGCATAACTCTTTCCAACGACAATCTATCTCGAAACAGCCCTAGGTACTCGGAGCACCGTCCGAATACTGAGAAGGGGCTAGCTCAATCGGACAAACCAATCCCGGGCATTGACTCTTTCGAGAAAACTATCGTACTGCTATAGGACAAGGGACTGACATGATCAAGATGTATAAGATGATCTAGCCCACCCTCTCTTGGCACTTGGCATTCCCATCACTCAAACAACTACATTCATTACAACACCTTCACAGCTTCATTCACCGTTTGCAGGTCAATCAAACGTCTTATCTTTCTTTGTCACATATCTCTACATCAAGAACTTCTTCCAAAATGAAGCTGTCTTCCTTCCTCTACACCGCCTCGCTGGTCGCGGCCATTCCCACCGCCATCGAGCCCCGCCAGGCCTCCGACAGCATCAACAAGCTGATCAAGAACAAGGGCAAGCTCTACTACGGAACCATCACCGACCCCAACCTGCTCGGCGTCGCAAAGGACACCGCCATCATCAAGGCCGACTTTGGCGCCGTCACCCCCGAGAACTCGGGCAAGTGGGATGCCACCGAGCCCAGCCAGGGCAAGTTCAACTTCGGCAGCTTCGACCAGGTCGTCAACTTTGCTCAGCAGAATGGCCTCAAGGTCCGAGGTCACACTCTGGTCTGGCACTCCCAGCTCCCTCAGTGGGTTAAGAACATCAACGACAAGGCTACTTTGACCAAGGTTATTGAGAACCACGTCACCAACGTCGTTGGACGCTACAAGGGCAAGATCTACGCCTGGGTATGCTTTCTTCACTCGGACTTCTTATAAATGGCTTTGCTAACATGTTCAGGACGTCGTCAACGAGATCTTCGACTGGGACGGTACCCTCCGAAAGGACTCTCACTTCAACAACGTCTTCGGCAACGACGACTACGTTGGCATTGCCTTCCGCGCTGCCCGCAAGGCTGACCCCAATGCCAAGCTGTACATCAACGACTACAGCCTCGACTCCGGCAGCGCCTCCAAGGTCACCAAGGGCATGGTTCCCTCCGTCAAGAAGTGGCTCAGCCAGGGCGTCCCCGTCGACGGTATTGGTTCTCAGACTCACCTTGACCCCGGTGCCGCTGGCCAAATCCAGGGTGCTCTCACTGCCCTCGCCAACTCTGGTGTCAAGGAGGTTGCCATCACCGAGCTCGACATCCGCACTGCCCCCGCCAACGACTACGCCACCGTCACCAAGGCCTGCCTCAACGTCCCCAAGTGCATTGGTATCACCGTCTGGGGCGTATCTGACAAGAACTCTTGGCGCAAGGAGCACGACAGCCTTCTGTTCGATGCTAACTACAACCCCAAGGCTGCTTACACTGCTGTTGTCAACGCTCTCCGCTAAATGTGGCTTGCGTGACAGGATCAGATCTCTGGTCTTGAAGGGGAGCATCGTTGCAGTTGCTTTTGGTCATCACCGTATTCTTCTTTTATAACTCTGTATATAGTTGTTTGTTTGTACAAAATCTCGACAAATGGTAACTGCTTAGTCGGTTGTTGGAAGATAGCTGGGCTAGTAGTCAATACATACCCTTACCATTAAAACATCTGTTCTCTGTGATTCACCTGCCCTCGATGTCTTGATTAATGTAGTATAATGCACTTTCGGCAAGACTAATGAGTGAGATAAAAGTAGCATGTGTGAAAATAGTCCTTCAGATGAGAGTGTTGTTACTAACGGTGCCCAGGTGCAGTGACGTTCAAGACTCAGCCGTAATCAAAAGACATCCGATTCAGGCTGCTGTAACGCCGGTAGTTGAAGATGGCTTGGCCCGTCCGCCAAGATCTTGTCGTGATAGCGGACGAGAAAGTTCCGGCAGACATTGTCTGTTTCTGGATCGCGGTAGCCAACCGGCAAGTATTCGACAATCTGCCCCGGAGCTGCAGTGCCACCACGATCCGGAAGCTAGATGAAGAGCCGGAAACATGATGATCTGATCTAATGGGGAAGACTGCATACTTGGCGTTTCTGGGCATTTGCGGGGATATGCATCCTCATATGGGCCAGCGAGTCTGGGCGTTGGGGTTTCCAGACTAGAGCGAAACGACTGGCTTGTCCACAGTGACGACCGGTATGCATCGCTCGTATATCCCTCTCTGCACTCGTTAGACCAAACTCAGATTGACCCTCTATCTCGCTCCTTTTCGTTATCTCTTCTAGCCACTTCAGCCACAAACTATATTTTCTCAAATACGACCTATCACTACCGACATATCTCGAGAAACTTGATAGGCAGCGACGCCAACACGGGAAATAATTCGCTCAAGACAATGACGATATTCTCGCCAAGACATCTTCAACACTGATTTCGCCCAAACACCTTCCAAGAAAGCCTTAGCTTGCACATTTAAGCATGATTTTAAGCGTCTTTACCCCGCCTGCCAAGATGATCTTGGCGTGGAGGAGGAGGGGATTAAAGTTCTTCGAGAAAAACGCCATCCAATGGATTTTTCGTATTAGGGATCCCCGCATTGCTTTACGGGCGCATGGCTGATGAGATACGGTATTTTGCGGATTGACGTCAACGAGTGAGATGCAATGGAACTTGATGTTGGGGAGGATTGTAACTGCATGATGGAATGGCAGCATTGTGATCGCTGGGTGGGGCTGTGTATAAAGAGGGAGATCGCCCTCGCATTGTATGGCGGTCATCTGCTAACTCAATACAACAAAAACAACAACAACATGGATGCTCGTCACTCTTTGGACAAACGAGACAAAGACCCCGGGGCTCTCGATGAGGTCGAGGAGGTCCTCAAGACAGCCCCTCAAGCACGCGATTATTCAGGCGCACATGAGAAGACTGACCCCCGTGAGATCGCCCTCGTGCGAAAGCTCGACTGGTGGATCATGCCTATTCTCTGGCTGATGTATTGGCTCAACTACCTCGTTAGTTTCTCCATCAAGTATCTTTTCGTGAATGCTGACCTTCCAGGACCGAAATGCCATCGCTCTCGCTCGACTCAACACCATCGAAAAAGACCTGAACCTCACCGGTTCCCAATATCAGACTTGCGTGTCGATCCTCTTTGCAGGTTATGTCATTGTTGGTATTCCAGCGAACATGGTGGTTACTCGCGTTCGACCGAGCATCTGGATGGCGTCATGTATGACGGTCTGGGCTATTATCAGTGGCTTGACGGCGTTGAGTCGTAACTATACCGGTTTGCTGCTCACGCGCTTCTTCTTGGGCATTACTGAGGCGCCATATTATCCTGGTGCACTGTATATCCTTGCGAGATTCTACACTCGTAAGGAACTTGCAACTCGTATCTCGATTCTGTACACCGGAAATATTCTTGCCACAGCGTTTGCAGGATTGATCGCCCTTGGCATCTTTGAGATGGATGGGATGGTACGTCGTCAACCCCATCACTCCACGTCCACTAACATACCAGGCTAATCTTGCTGGCTGGCAATGGCTCTTCATCATCCAAGGCGCCGTAACCCTCGTCATCGCAATACTCGGTTTCTTCATCCTCCCCGATGAGCCCCTCACAACACACTGGTTGACCGAACAGGAACGCCAACTAGCCCATGAGCGAACCCAGCGCGACACCGTAGGGAATGCCGGCGAGTCAACAAGCTTCTCTGGCATTCGTGAAGCAGCGAAAGATCCCAAGGTTTGGCTTTTCGTCGTCATGCAGCATTGTCATCTCGGTGCGAATGGGTTCAAGAATTTCTTCCCGACTGCTGTGAAGACGCTGGGGTTCAATCAGACTATTACCCTGGTTTTGACGTGTCCGCCGTATTTGATTGCGGGGGCAATTTCGATTGCTTGGTCTTGGTCTTCTGGAAGGTTTAATGAGAGGACATGGTGAGTTTGCTTGGCTTGAGGATTGTGTTGGTGCTGACTGTTTAGGCATATTACCATCGCCAAGGCTGTCGCAGTCTTTGGCTTCATTCTTGGTTGTGCGACGCTCAACACTGGTGCTCGATACTGTAAGTTCCCAAGTATCTCAAAGTGAAAGCATCGACACTAACGAGTGTAGTCGCAATGTGCGTCTTTTCGATCGGTACCTACGCAGTCAACAGTATCATCCTCGGCTGGGTCTCTGCTACTTGCTCCCAAACTAAAGAGAAGAAAGCTTGTTCCCTGGCCATTGTTAACTGTATCGCTGTCGCATCGTTCATCTGGACTCCATACATGTGGCCTTCTTCCGATGAACCTCGTTACACCATGGCCATGTCTTCAAGCGCTGCGTTGAGTGTCGCAACTGCAATTGGTGCGTGGGGTATGAGGCTCTGGCTCATGCAGGAGAATAAGAAGATCAGGCAGTCTGAGAATGAGTCAACGCTATACTACGCGTACTAAGGAGTGGTTGAAATTTGGAAGTCAAACCGAGGCTCTGAGCCTGCATGGGATGGCAAGGAAGGTTGTTCAAAGTTCTCCTTCAGTACATGCAGCCTTGTACTGTGGTATAAGGCAGCTTCATGAAGTGAACTCTGTCCAAATCCCCATGGCTAGAAGTGTGTCTCTCCTGAATGAAGGCAACATATCCGAAAGTGTACCGAATCTTGTCCTTGATAAACGCGAATGACTCCCTGTACGCGTAGCCCCTCCTCAAAAAGGTAAAAGCAAATTGGCAAGTGTATGCCAGTTTGGCAATAAAATCCGATATCTTGCATGTTCAGTCTTCGATGTGGATCATCCGTCTGGTATGCTGCCTGAGGTGTGACTTTGAGTTGATAGACCTCGGCAGCTGATTCTTGCCTCGCCTACCTTACCTCGTGGATCACCCATCATTTTACCCAACACCGTAGTCTAATGGCCCCTGTGCACCGTGCTCAGTACCCTCAGGCCGGCATTGTCGGCATGCACAGATATGTGAGGTTATCACGTTCGTGGACATGTATAGCAAATGTTGTACATTCCGTCCAAAACTGTAAAACTATGAATAAAACAGTAGCAAATTTGTCGTCCTTGATGATGGCATTCTATCCGATGTTGTACGCGATCCTTGTCGTAATAAAAGAAATAACCCCAGCGCACGTATCTCCCGGGTCCAAATCCACGATGTGCCGATAAATCCACCGAAAATAAACGCAATTCGCCATGGAACGCCACCCAAAAAGAAGCAGAAAAGCCCTTGCAGTCGTCAACCGTGCACCGTGCTTGATGGATCATCCACTGCCCCGAAATCGGTAAGTCAATATTCCACCGTGCACCGTGCATCATGCCATACTTGGACGTCTAAGCGAAGAAATTTTCGAATTCGTCATCAATTTCCTGTTGATCTGTCTTCCAGGTGACCTCCATATTTGGTTCCCCGGGCTTTCTGACGCCATGGCAGTAGACAGAAGGCTGAGCTCTGATACAGAGCTGCTCGAGACGGGGAAGCAAGCTGGACATGTTGCCGACGAGCTTGGAGTACCACTCAGACATTCCATCTGGATTCGCCCATGGTGCAGTGGACCATGGGTTCCATTCGCCAGGTTCATTACAATATTTGCGCGTTCCGAGTGTGTCCTCAGAGAGCACGAAAGCAAACCGGGTCAGTTTCGGCATTGACTTGAGGGCCATGATTACCTTCATGATCATGGTGTTCTGTACGTGGGTGTCAGTTGTGAGCGTTCAGGATATATCAAGCACGGTGCAGAATACTCACTAGGTCCACCTTATCCGTGGCTTTTCGGAATTGATGCTGTCCCCATGTAAACTTGGGGTTGAGAAACTCGCCCAGAACTGAACACTCAAGCTTCTTGAAGTTGATGCCGACATTGTTCAGGAACCTGGTCGCCAGTCTTGGGTTGGGTCCGGTTTCTGGCATCCTGCGGAGATCGACAAACGCAAGTCTCTTGATATGAGGAGCTTGTGCCTCCAACACCTTGTAGAAGTCATAGGTAGTCACTGTGACCTTCTGGAGGCTGGTCGCCTTGCGACAGAATCTACCCACAAGCCTATGGATTCGAAGAGACGGCGTGATCATTTGAGATGGCTCTGGCTTGAAGAAGACATGTCTGCGAGTCATTCTGTTAGCGAGAACGAACCAAAGTTGGACATGAAGGCACTTACTTGACGTGTTGGGACATGGGCCCAGATGGAGAATGAGGATGATCCTTCAAGAGCGACACCAGTCTTGAGGTCATCTGGGGCACATTCCCGGTAACTGTGACTCTGGAAGCAGTCTGGGGAAGGAAGACCAGCCGAAGTCTCTTGCAGACGAGAGTCAGAGTCTTCAGAGTCTCGCGGTCCATGTCCTCCGTGGTGATCAGCAGGAGCTCTATCGGAATACGATCAAGAGCAGCATTGGGGTGACGGTTCGCCATGATTCAAATGCGAAGGGATAATTGTTCTGGATGAGCTTTGGATTTGGAATGATGCTGAATGCTAGTGATTGGAGGAGGATATTGTGAGGTTCAGTGTAGTTGGATGAAGGATGTAAAGTCAAAGTTGGTGTGAATGGGGAGTGCGAGAAGGAGGAGTGATGAGGATGAAGAGATAAAAGAAGGATGACTTAAAAGGGAGGATTATTGAATGAGGATAAAGCGAAAAAGATGATGATGAGGGAGATAAATTCAAGATGAGAAGGTCGAATAAAACAATTACTCTAAATCTTGATGAGCAGCGGCACCATAGAGAAGTGAGTGAGTGAATCACCATCAAACAGCAGCTCACTACTTTCGCGGCACTACACAGACCCGATGCAAAAGACTACTCAGTGAGCCAGACTCAAGTTGCGAAGCAAGTGGGGTAGTCATCGTGTTACACTTATGATGTTCTGTGCATATATCATGATCCAGAGCACAAATCAATTCAGGAGAATGAAGAGTTTGCTTGTCATTCTAAACCCGTATAGCATGTGACCAAGTCTTGTCCAGGTTTGTGATCTTGCAGTAGTGAATAGCTCAATATACTCAACGGCATCTTTGTGATTGCCCTTGTTTTCCCTGTGTCGATGATCGAACATCCTGTCATCCAGCAGCTCACAATGTCACTCCGCTAGCCACATGACGAGTCTATCAGTCTTTAATTGACATAGATTTGATTCCAAATAAGAGAGACATATACCGTTCTTGATCAATGGAATAATGCTGCAGCTGAATTCATCATGCGCTTCCAGACCAATTTCACCACTCAGCCGTGATGATGCAGATTCTGTCGAGAGGCGAGAAACACTGGCTAAAAAAAGCCCCGACATCTGCCCCCATACTTTACAAGACCCTGGTGAGCTTGTATTCTTGGAATTGAAGGGTTTTACATGTTACTTGGGGACAGCCAACTTAGTTCAACTCCATTGGTATGGTGGCAAGTCAGACGTAGGTTTTTAATGTCGCGATTCGGCAGTAAGCTGAAAATTGCACCGATCCACTCAACGGGTGGGCGTCGGAGCCCAATTGGGGAACCTTGGTTATTCCTCGTAGGCATCATGACTCAATCACAATTGCAGAATTGGAGGAGAGATGGCTTCGACTGAGGAAATATGCAGTCGGTGTCAAGGAAAGAAAAGTCAGAGGGAAGAATTAGGCAACAGAGCACTCCAGCCATGCGATCATGTACCATGTGGATCATTGGTTGTTGGCTCTAATTATTTGAGGCCCGATTACGGCAGCCTGGAAGGTCCCCTTCATCGATTTCGGTAACGCTTTTCGTTTCCTTTTCTGTTCACATACTGACTCGTGGTCCCTTCTGATATCATGGCTACCTCGATCGCATTGCAAGCCCTACCGAGTGAGCTCATCGGTGCCATCTGCAGGCTTCTTCCCAATCGCGACATCAAAAGTCTACGTTTGACCTGCCGATATTGGAGACAGAACTCACTTTTGCGGTTTGACCGCCTCTTTATCTCGGCCAGCCCGCGTAATGTAGAGGTCTTGTTCGCTGTCGCCAATCACGACATCTTTCGACATCGCGCCAAGGAGATCATCTGGGATGATGCTGTCTTGGAGCCTGTTTCAAGTAAGGAAGGCGACGGTCCTTGTGGTTACAGCTCATATGAGACCGATCGGGATGCTGATTCTGAAGAGAAAGGACGAATCTCAAGGCATTTCGTGCGTCTTTGTAGAGACAGTATGTTTGATGGCACGTTGCGTCTGAGGGACAAACCCAAAGAGGTGAGGGAGAAATACATGAAAGGCCAAATGAATGATCTCTTGCCCTCAAGAGAGCCACTGGCCTATTACAGCCGTCTTCTCCAAGAGCAGAGTGACATCCTAGAGTCAGGCGATGACGAAGCTGCGCTTCGGTACGCAGTGCAGAGATTCCCTCGGCTCACAAAGGTTACCGTTACACCAGCGACGGATGGGGTTTTAATCACGCCGCTATATGAAACACCGATGGTTAGAGGTTTCCCTCGCGGTTTTGTGTATCCGATCCCTCGAGGTTGGCCATGTGCTGAAAATGAACATCTGGCTGAGGAAGCTAACCCTTAGGAGGCCGAGGATGAGAAGAGCCAGTGGCGTGGGTTCCGTATCATTACACGGGTCTTGGCCCAGGCTGAGAATTGTCAGATCTCCGAGCTGGTGTTGGACAATAATAAGCTTCCCACTGGACTCAATCACTTTGTGTTTGAGGAGCCAAACGAAGAGTACGATGATCTTTGCAGGACCGTTCAGAGACCCGGCTTTCGACGCATTGTCCTTTCTCTGCTGGTCGGTTATTTCTTCGACTGCGATGCCGAGGACTGGGACTTCTATCGCAACGGGAGAATCTCCAATCTTCTCGCCAAAGCTCCTGATCTCCAAGAGGTCGTGCTACAAACTAATTATCCTGTGGATGCGACCTCATGTAGCGGTAGGATGAAGGATTTTGTCTCCCTAACGAACATTTTCCCTATTGACAAATGGTCAAGCGGTGGTCTAAAGCATTTCGGACTTTCTGAAATGCAAGTAACCTAGGATGATCTTATATGCTTCTTATCAAAGCTTTCATCGACACTTCAATCCATAGAGCTGAGCTTTCTGTCGGTCCTCAACGGGCAAGGAAATCATGCTGGAATTCTAGCCGATATCAGAGATAAGCTGGGCTGGAGACATAGGCCTGTCGATAAGAGGATCAAAATTCGTTTATCTGTGAGGTTGAACCAGCCTGATTTTGGTCAGTATACTTGCTTTGACAATGAAGTGCATGAGTATATTTATGGCGACGAGCCCCCGCCTTTTGGAGTTGATGAGAGAGGCGGAAGTTATGCTATGTTCTCGCTTGGGAAAGGCATTTAGTATGATAAGTTTGATGAGAGCTTTATGATAGTGCTTTGATGGTTTCAACGGGTCCTTGTACTGGTAGACAGGGCATAGACTCAATCCCCCCCCTTCGCGTCCTAGCTGCAATTCCTTTTGAAGTACACTAACCGCCGAGATAACTCAACGAACTTTCTGTCTTATACCACGTCTACTTGTAGAGGCGGCCAGCTCTTTCAGGATCATTCCAGAACTCACACTGCCTTCCCCGACCTCTGTCCTCCTCCACAACAGTAAAGTTCCCAGGATTTACGAGAAGCTGTTTCGCATACCCATTCCCATTTTCGCCCGCCTTATACTGCGGCCACTCCACAGTCCCATCCAATCTCATCTTATTAGGATCACCCGTCAAGACAAAACTGTTGATATACCGATAGTAAATCCGCGCAGTCTCAGGATAAGCAACATGAGGGTCATTCCAGATGTATGCAGCATCAGAGGCGTGAGGAATTCCCTTCCATGACTGCGCAACCAATGGAAAGTCAGGAGTGTTGAAATGAAGACTCCATGTGGGAACTCCTGCCCTTGATGCAGTGACTGCTGTGTGGCGGCTCATGCAGATGTAAGCCATGTCGGACCATGCAGCTGAGATGCGGTTGTACTGAGTGCTATTCGGAGATCCGGCCCATGGGGAGTCGGGGTATGCTACGGGGTCTGGGTATAGCTCGTTGATGAGAGCGAGATCAGTGATGTTGAGACCAGGACTGATTCGATGCCAAAATTGAACAAAGTCGTCGTTGGTTTCCAGGTCACCGGGCGTGTAGTATTTTCCTTCATCAGAGGTATAGGTCGTGATGATGGGAAGATGGTGGAACGTGCCCTCTTCTTCACTCTTAGATCCCGCTTTCTCGATCAATGGACCTCCAATTGACGGCTGCCAAGGCCAGTTCAGTTGATCTTTAGCATCCTCATATGCCTTTGCCGAGTACTCCCTGATCTTTCCTGCAGACGCACTGCGCAGACAACCCATTTGCTCCTTGTCGTCAACGTCGGTGGAGCAGTTGATATACTTCATCAGGCCTGCGAAGTCTTTCTTGTATCTGGGATAGTCGGGACCTGGGAACGATCGAGCTGTCGCTGAACCAGATTGAAGGATCCCGCGCGCGAAAAGAGGCTTGTTCTTATCAGAGCCATAGTTATGGAAGTAGTGGAATGCCGTTGAGTGTGCACCAGCTGATAAGCCTCCAAGTGTGATTTGTCGAGGGTCTCCTCCAAACGAGCTCAAGTGTTTCTGCAGGAACTGCAAGAAGAAGCGCTGGTCTTGCAAGCCAAGATTGAGGAGCCCCTCGCGCTCAAAGAGCTTGCTCGGTAGGAAACCAAACGCATTGAGGCGATAGTTGAACGTAACCACAACAACTGGGTCAGCGGAAGAAGCAACGAAAGAAGCGCCATCAAAGTCTCGTCCTGAGAACGAAGCAAAACCACCACCGTGAATCCAGACCAGCGTTGGTAGTTTCTTGCTGAGCGGCACACCAGGGGTTCGAAAGACATTAAAGTTCAAGCATGCTTCGTCTTGTTCGTCTGGGTTAGGATACATGCGATCCTGCAAGCAAACAGATCGGTATTTTGTAGCGTTCTGTACGCCCTTGAGAGATGGGGGCTGAGACTGGAGAGGACGGAAGCGTCTGTCGCCTACGGGTTGCTCGGCATAGTCAATTCCAAGCCAGGCGTTGACGGGTTGGGGAAGGTTGTCTCCGAGCAAAGTTTTGGATATGTTTGTACCGGCGAAAGATCCATATCCTTGAAGAGTAACTTGTGGTATAGAAGAATTCGCTGCAGCCAGAAATGAGAAGAAAAGAGATCCCAGCAAAACAGCTGGAGACATGAGAGAGTACATTGTATTCGATAATGTCGAATTATCGAGCTGATGCTCCATGATTTGTTGTAAACTCATGGTCTCTTATATACTCAATCTCACTATCGTGAAGGTTGGTATAGTAAAGAGTCGTTTGTAGTGTTTGAGTCGGTTCTGGTCTCGGGCCATGAATCTGGATGCCGAAGCGGAATAAGGTTGAAGCTACCCCGCAGTAGGGTTGACGTTTCGCCTGAACTCGACAAAGCGGGACAAGGCCGTACAGATGGAATAGATAAGATTGCCGAGCTGACCATTCATCTCGAAGACCGTATATCTTGCGTGTTTAAGAACGATGAATAGTTCATGCATGTCTCTCTACAATTTACTGCTTACGGCAATATGATCTGCAAGAACTTGAGTAACCAACCAGGTGGTGCATGTTGATCTCACTATCCGTCTTGAATTGAGAAAGATTAGTTCTTGGCTGAGACAAGAAATGTGTCGACGTATGCCTATAAGCAGTTAGCTTTTGCAAGAGGTTGGTGTGACTTGTAACGGTATTGGCCAGCTAACCGACGGCTGCATCTCACAGCACAGCTACAGTGATGTATCTGAAGTTATTGTCATCATAAAACATTCAGCTATCTCTTCGGCGACCAGAAGTTTCTCCAGTGGCTTGCATTTGCTTCACAATGACTGCACTCGAGAGGAGGCCAGATTGAGAAGCCATATCAATGGTTGAATTTGTCTTGGTGTTGAAGTGTTCTAAAGATCAACAATCGGAAAGCTTCCGGCGGAAGTGTTCTCCGATGGACTCTTGCTGGAAACACGGCCATATGCTGCCAAGGCTCACATTGCTGTCGTCTGGAGGGACTTTCCTTACAGACGACGAGGTAGATATCCCTCGAGTCAAGACAACCCATCTCAAAGTGGGAATGCTAAGAGGATTGTCAAGTCAGTAGCTGACCATGGCCTTGAGATTGCATCTAAGTTAGATAGTGATTCTGAACCCAATACATATCATGTTGACTTAGCACTACATTCTTGCATGGTCAAATTGACTCTCAACTCAACAATGTGCTTGAGTTCGGTGCCGACATTATCCACTAGAACTGCGAGATATACCATCCACACGAGGCGAGGGGATTATGACTATGTTGCCATAAATGTAGCCACAGAAGTCGTCTATACGAACGGTCCCCTGCCTGAGTCTCTCTTCAAGGTCCAGTCGCACTATTTCCAGCAAACTGATAATATGATATGCCTAATAATGATGTCGACGGTGATGGCATACAAAACCATCGATACTAGACAGCTGCAGTGTGTTCAATAACACCTGTAAGAATTAGCTAGCTTTACTTGATATCTTCCCATCAAGGCTCATCCATCCACATCTACGCGCATTGTTTTTCAACCCCCCCCCCTCTCTGGTGAGCTGTCCAGATGCAAGGGGCGAGCACGCGTAAAATCTGCAGTTTTCTTCTCTACTTAAAATAACAATTATTTTACAAGTTCTACGAGACGAGTGCGAACTGTAGCCTTGTTGGGTGGTGACCACCAACAGATCAATTCACGAAATTGGGTAGCACCTGGACACGAACCACCATGCTCATTTAGCCAGCAAGGCTGTTGAGTAAAATCTCGGATAGTTATTCCTTAATGCTAATTATAGATGTACAATATCGCTAGCATGGTCCACAGGCGCTACTCAATTTCATAAAGTAATACGTCTGTTATCCTTGTCTTGAATTAATGAGGTCAGTTAAGTCAGCCCTATCGATATCCCTGTCTTATCGGTATCGATAAGGAAAAGGTACCTTTTACAGAATAAGGAGAGCAACTTTGACGTTGTGGTGCTTTGGTATAGCGTTAGTCGAATGGCGGCCGGCAACCGCATACTTACGGTGTAAAGTCTGGTGTCAGGTCACGATAATGAATTCGACGCCCTTTGTCATGTCTCTAGTGGTCACGCGTGACTGGAAATTGAGCCAACGCTGGGTCGTTATCAGAGGACCCCCGCTTACCCTGTACATTCACTTCAACGTTCATCAGCCCAGTTTTCTACGTCAAGACTGGAGAAAACAGCCATTTCTTTTATCTAGACTATTCTTTCTCAATTTTCTTTTATTATATAATGGCTTGCCTTGTAATATTTCGTCGAGGAAATATCTCAGATGGGTTGGAAGACTTATCACGGTTGATATTTTGATGTCCCATCAATTACCTTGCGACGCCAGCGGGCATCAAGGATCAATGATGTTCCATCCCTAAGGCCGCTTAATTTACCACTTTGGGTATAACTTGAACTCCCCACAGAAGGCCTGCCTCGGCAAAAGAGGTGACGGACCCGGCTACACATGGAGTTTCTGCTACTTTTCCTGATTTGGAATGTGAGCCCGGCAATCAAAGGCGTCAAGATGCGGATTAACGCGGGGATGTCATCGACGCCCTGATTCTTCAAGATATATAAAGCCACTTCATGCTTCAGCATTTATTCCTCTACATTATAGACATAGAACGACATTTACCAACAATATGACACATACAAAGGAAGCAACAGTCCCCCTCGGGGAGTATCTCTTCACGCGTCTCAAGCAACTCAAGATCGGCTCTATTTTCGGCGTTCCCGGCGATTATAACCTCAGATTGCTGGACTACATCAAACCGACTGGTATCAACTGGATCGGAAACTGCAATGAACTTAACGCTGCATACTCTGCAGATGGGTACTCTCGTATTCAAGGCCTCAGCGCTGTGATCACGACTTTCGGCGTAGGCGAACTCTCAGCGATCAATGGCATCGCCGGTGCTTACTCTGAGCGAGCACCAGTCATCCACATCGTCGGTGCACCATCGAGAACCCTCCAGAGTGCAAGGGCCTTGGTGCACCATACGTTCTTGGACGGAGAGTACGGAAGGTTTGCAGAGATGCATCGACATGTTACTGCTGCGCAGACTTGTTTGACGGATGTGCAGACTGCAGCTGATAAGATCGATTGGATTATTGAGCAGGCCATGATCCATCAGAGACCGGTTTATCTGCAGATCCCTGATGATCTGGTTTCAATGCAGGTCTCAACGGCTAATTTTGAGAAGAGGCCTGTTATCCGCCCGGCGCCGTCCACTGCTGAGATCGGCGCGAAAACGGTTGACAAGATCTTGCAGCGTATTTACTCTGCTACCAAGCCTCTCATCTATGTTGACGGCGAGAGTCGCAGTATCGGCGCTATTGACGAGATCAACAAGCTTATCAATACTACTAATTGGCCAACCTGGACAACGGCATTTGGAAAAGGTCTCATCAGCGAGGAGTTGCCCAACGTCCATGGCGTATACCTGGCCGATGACGGAGATAAGGTGTCGCACGACTATTTCAAGTCTTCCGATCTGATCTTGTTCTTCGGTCCACACATGAGTAACATCAACACTGGCATCTTCAAGGCGATTCCGGAGGAGAGTGTGACGGTTTCGTTTTCGCCTGGTCAGATCAAGATTGCTGGTGAGGTCATTCGCGACGTGGACCCTCGACAGTATCTTCAAAAGATCGTCAGCCAGTTTGACTCTTCAAGACTTGCCAAGATTGAAAGTCCTGCCATCGCGACAAAGGCGCCAGCTGAGCCCTCGCCGTCGGACGCTCTCAACCAAGCTCAGTTCTATCACTACGTGAACCCCATGTTCAGTCGCGGCGATATTGTTCTGACCGAAACTGGTACTGCTGCGACTGGCGGAAAGGCCTTCAAGCTTCCCCAAGGCTGTAGCTACTTCACATGCGTGACATGGCTATCGATCGGATACATGCTCCCCGCCACACTCGGTGCAGCGCTAGCCCAACGGGATATGCAAGGTTCTCAGCGAGCAGTTCTGTTTATCGGCGACGGAAGTCTACAAATGACTGCCCAAGAGATCAGCACAATGATCAAGCAAAAGCTCAACGTAATCATCTTCGTCATCAACAACAACGGATACACAATTGAGCGGGCCATTCATGGGAGGAATGCGGATTACAACGACATTTCGCCGTGGAACCACCAACATGCCCTTGGGCTGTTTGGATTGAGCAGAGAAGATGCATCGAAGCGATATTTCTCAGCAAAGACATTCGCGGAATTGAGAACGGCGTTGGACTCGAAAGTGGTACAGGATAGCGAAGGCGTCACGATGATTGAAGTCTTCATGGGCCAAGAAGATTGCACTGGCGAGTTAAAGGAATTGCTGGACAGGCAAATGGCACGAGAAAAGAGCCAGTAGATCAGTGGAGCAGATACGGCCGGAATATATTTTTACTGATTCAACAAGTTCTAGTAAGCTTACTTGTATCAGCTCAGAAAGCCACAACGTGTCTCACCCAATCATGAAGTTTGAGACTTTTACATCCAATCGTCCGTAAACGCTCTCCCGCCGCTGAATTATCCGTCCAGGGGCCGGCAACACCAGATGAAACTCAAAAACGCTAGTCTCGTTCGGATAAGCCGGCAGACCCAATATTCCAGCAAAGTTCTGTAGCTTGGTAGTCTGTAGTGATGATGTCGTAGTGGAGGTGTTGACTACACGACAAGGTTAAATTGCTTGATCTAAATAAAGTAGAAGATCACTGTTTACGAGGGTTAATTTAAAGCATGAAAATCATGAGGCTGACAAGAACCAAGATTTCTCTTTTAACCACAAATCAAGGATGCATAAATCATCAGCTGGGCGCTAAGAATAAGTTCAGCTAGCGCAGGTACAGTACGTTTAGCCTAGCGCAGGGGGAAAGGGGATGAGATGACTCGTCGTATAGCACACGGGATAATCCCTGCCGCTTGTCGCCCGCTTCCTCGGCGAGCCGTATAGCAAGGACCAATGGGGTTGGCGAGGAGTGGCCGAGTTCCGGACCCATTGAGATGGTAAATTACTTGTTCGTATTGAAAACCTGTTGCTGTAAATAAACACGAGCTTTTTGGTGGTTCCTGATCCCCGCAATTTGCTAGACGGGAGTGGACTCTGGGCATCGATCGGTTTCGGCATCGGTAGTAACGTTCACCTCAGCTGAGGCGAAGACAGCTTTATAAACCCCCATCCCCTACTGACTTCTACTCTTCTTTTTTCTCATCCCATCCACGACAAAACACTCTCGTTTACAGTCCAACTTTTTCGTGCTCTCAAAACACTTACACTCGCTTAAGCTTATACCAGCACCAAAATCGTTCAAAATGGGTTTCATCAAGTCCGCCTCCATCGCCAGCGTCCTCATCGGCGCTGCCACCGCCTCTCCCCACTATGCTCCTCCCTCCAACGAGACCGTCCACTACACCACTGAGGTCGTCACTCACCTGACCACCTACTGCCCCGGTGCCACCACCCTCACCTACGGCGACAAGACCTACACCGTCACCGAGGCCACCACCCTCACCATCGAGGACTGCTCTTGCACCGTCACCAAGCCCGTTGCTACCGGCACCGGCTATGCTGCTCCTCCCAAGCCCACTCACGCCAAGGACTGCGCTGAGATGTGCTCTGACAAGTACGATGACTGCCGTGTCGCCCCCAACGCCAACATGGCTACCTGCGCTGCTGAGTACGCTGCCTGCCTGAACTACAACCCCTGGGAGAGCGGCAAGTTCGTCAAGCCTACCTCTTGCCACGCTGGTGGAAAGCCCACTGCTGTCTACACCACTGAGGTTGTCACCGCTGTCACCACCTACTGCCCTGAGGCCACCACCCTCACCTACGGCAACAAGACCATCCCCGTCACTGCTCCCGGCACCGTCACCGTCCCTGACTGCCACTTCACCACCACCAAGCCTATTGTTCCTACTGGCTATGCTCCCCCCAAGCCCTCTTCTCCCGCCGAGAACAAGGACTGTGCTGAGAAGTGCTCCGACGCCTACAACAAGTGCCGCACTGGTGCTGACGCTAACATGTCTTACTGCGCTGCTACCTACTCTGAGTGCCTTGGCTACTCTCCCTTCAACGGTGAGGGTTCTCTCGTCACCCCCACTGCTTGCTCTGTTGCTCCCGTTGCTACCAAGCCTGCTACCGCCCCCGCCTACAACCCCCCTGCCGGTACCCAGCCCGCTGGTGCTCCTCCTGCTACCACCCCTACTCACGTCGTCACTGCTGGTGCCGCCCAGGTTGTCCCTGCCGGTATCATTGCCGTCGTTGGTGCTCTTGCCATGCTCTAAATGGTTTAATGGTGTGATTGTTTGAAGGGAGGAGGTGGATGGTGGACTTTTTTACTTCACCCATATGTAATTTGTGCTAGATCTATCGCATATACTTATAGACAACTGAAATACGATTTGGTACTTTAAATGCTTCTATTCCCCAGTGATGTCCTCAACTCAAGTCTTACAGTCCCATATCCATTTGAGCTCTCGAAACTTCTGAGTCACGACAGTAATCCTAATTAGCTGCACTTCAACCGTAACGAGACTTTGCCCGTGAATTGCTGGCCGGGCATCGAGGTTCATGAGGATGTGAAGGTGACGATTGCACCATCGATGTCGGTGCTCGCAACTCCACAACCAATACAGATCTGTGAGATCAGCTACATCCGCCTCGTCCCAACTCCACAGCAAGCTTGTGAACTCTGGTGAGACTTTGTCCACCAATCAAAACTGGTGGCTTCCGTAGCTCAGTTGGTTAGAGCGTCGTACTAATACTTCAATCCGAGTGTTCGGTAATGCGAAGGTCTCAGGTTCAAGCCCTGGCGGGAGCAATCCCAACGCCATCCAGTTCTTCTTTTTGCCATTTGTGATGTCTGGCATTGATGTTCTGTTGAGAGATGGATGAACCAGAGTTGTTGGAGTTGAGGTTTTGGTGCTGTTATGTGATTGGATCAATGGAGAGAAAGGTGGGGCTTTTCTTTTGTGCAGATTCAATGTGAACTGACAAACGCTGATAGACAGCATCTAACTGGAACGAATGAATAATAAATAGTACCATGTGCTTGGAGACACAGTCAATTGACGTAAGTAGCTGAAGATAGGATTGCATGCAGGTGATTTGTCTTGCCAAAGTCACTGCTGTCATGAACATGCACTAAATGTATACACTTCACTTCCGTGGTGTCCAGTGCCTAAATCTATTCTTGTGCATGACTGATGGTGCAATAACACGATTACTCGTCGGACTTGATTTATGCTGTTATGCATCATCAACTTCCACGTCAATGACCTCCCGACTAAGCTTTGAACAGAACCGCGCAACACCGACGTATTTCGTATGCAACGCATACCCTTAAAGCGACATATGATTTATCCATTCTTTAGGCTATCTAGACAATGCCATATAGAATAACGCCCAGCGCCGTTGTGAGGAAACGCTTAGCTCGATGGCTTGCGTGTGGTATGCCCAGAACCACTGACACTCAAATCTCACGACGTAATCCACCATCTGTACTCCCTGAGTACGTTACAAGTTCGGCTGAATACAGTATGTGCTTCGAAGGAATCAAAATATCCATGCCATCGGATCCGAAACTCCATCATCAAGAAAATCGTCAACCATCTGTCAATGTCAGCAATGATTGAACATCTCGGGCAACGCACTCACCAGAGAATCCCAGTCATCCATAAAGCTAAGATCAATTTCCTGTAAACCTTGAATCTCTGTACCTTCAGGTTGTAATTGAGCTAGAAGCGATTCAAACACTACCAATGCGTCTTGCATCGCCTCTTCACCATCTTTCACTATGGACTCAACGATCTCAGTTTCGTATAAGTGTCGCATGATGCCCTTGATTTGTGCCATCAAGATCGACAGCATGAGATATCCTTTAACATTGGTCTCGCCCGCTTCAATGGTTCGCAAGTTCCATGATTTCGAGTCCTCCATGACGTTCAACAAGTCTGGTCGAACTGGTGCCAAGGAAAAGCCGTCGTCCTCTTGGACCGTACTCCTCAGTTCAAGGACGAGTAAAGTACCGGACTGCCATGCTGAGAGCCGAAAGAACCCGGAGCTGCATGTGACGAGACGCGCGAATTGTTGCTTGTCTGGAGAGGTTGCCCCGCCGGCACTATCTGAGGATACAGTGGACCACATTCTGAAAGCTGACTCGACCGTCATCTTCCGTGAGAAGGCATAGCTCGGTTCTTGTAAAGAGAGTCCATAGTAAGGAAAGTGAAGTGCGCAGAGATACCGACGCATGATGAAGTCACCTACAGAAAGCTCAAACTCCGTTGGTGAGTTTTGGCCCTTCTTACAGTCCTTCAACACCCGATTGGCTTCCTTGTATGAAGCTTTCAGTTCTGCATCAAGACGCAATGTCTCTTGGTATGATTCGCCAGACCTGAGGTCATTGAGTAGCTTGACAACTTTGAGACGAGACGCAAATGTCATTCGCAATGCCCTTGGCGTCGAAACTTGAGTAAAGACACTGTCAGGTCTAGGGGTTGCACTGTCGATAATGATCTGGTCATCGTCAAAATTCCCAGGCGGCTCAGTATCGAATTCTCCTTCTGTGATCATTGGTGGTCCACCAGACGAGAGACTTGACTGAAGGCAGAGTTCCAGTATCGTGTTCCAGAGTCTTCGTCGCATCTCACAAGCCATTGTCGTAGTTTTCAATAACAGTGCGGGATCTCTGTGCAGGCCCATCGACACGGCGGTCCTGAGGAGTGAACCGCATGCGATCCAGGACGATTCCCCTCCCACGGAGACCATCTCCCGGGCAAGAACAAGCAGAATATTTGTCTGAAGAAATTGAACACCAAGTCTTGATTTGAACTCTGGCTCTGATATCCACGTCTGAACTTCGTATATCCATTGAACGGCCGAGGCCCGTAACGAGAAATTGTCATCGTAGGTCGTCGCGCCCAGCGCAAGCACCAATTTGAGCTGAGCCACAAAATCCCTATCTGACTCAACATCAGAGGTCCACAGAGCATCATACTTGTTCCTAAATGTCGGTATGTGAAGTATACGATACACCTTCTCTATACCTTTCAGGTAACACTCGACGAGACTGTCGCAAACTGCTTTGGATGCCAATTCAGTGGTGAGTGGTGTCGGCCATGCTGGCGCACGTAGTGCTTTGATGCGCTTTGCCATAGTCTTGCACTTCTGAACTGCGACAACAAGACCTGAGGTCTCAGTTGCGTACTGGTCAATTGCTTCTATAATGTCTCTGAGCTATTCTTTGTTAGCATCTGCGAATGCGAATTGAAGTATCGCGCCTTACCAATGGTAATCCACAGACAAAATGGCTTCGCCCGAAGAACCGCGACTTGTGAGAGATGGCTCGAGGCGTTGCTAATGCGCCAACATGTTGTCCTTGAGAGTGCAGGTGAAACGTTCCGCCCAATCTTGATGATGAGGTTTCAAGTGTTGAAGCTGGCGTTGAGACATGCGATTGCGATGGTACTGCAGTGGTTGATGATAATTGGCCCTCAAGTTGACGCACTCTGTTTCGCAGGATGTCGAGTTCCTGAACAGACGATTGACTGACTGGTGTCGGCGCACCTGTTGAAGAGCTTGCTGCTCCTGTGCTCACACCAGGTAATCCAGAGTTTGCGCTTGCGACAAGATCTTCAGGTGTTGGTAATGAGAGAAATGCATTGAAGTCTCCCCCAATATCGGCGACATGATCTTGACCTGTTGTGCTTCTTTCAGCTGGAGGGGGATTCTCGTAGACGCAATCGCCTTTTCTTGCCCGCATGCAATTGCTACACGGCGATCCTCGGTTGCAGCGCATCTTGCGCTTCCGGCAAAGATTGCAGGACCTGAGAGAACATTAGCCATGCCTTGATACAATGAAATAGAGTCAGGTACACAGCTGGTCTTCGTCGTCGACGCACAGTTTCCATTTTGGCGGTCTCTGATAATGTTGATTTGCGAGAAGGCCTTGGGATGCGGAGAATTGTGTAATTGAAGTGGTGAGAAATGCGTTTCTGGTGCTAATGGTTGTCCATTTGCCGGTTCCAGGCCTAACTCCGAGTGCGATCCCGACTCCGTTAGATCGTCATTGGCCAATCCTCATATACGCATGATAGGAGCTAGTAGGCGACTTGGCTCCTTGGCCGTCCTGTTCAACATAAAAGGAGTATGGGAACTGGAAATATGAATAAGGAATATTTCATGTCACAGAGATCTTCGATTGAAGAATCTCTTACTAAGACACTACTTCGGCATCATTTTCGCTGTCCCTTATCATGACCAATAAGGACGACACCAAGAGGCTTCAGGACCGACCACTTTCTGATTTTGGCAACAATATGGACCAAGCGGAGAAGATAGTAGCTAGCGGCCCTCTTGATCTTTCACATGCGCCAGATGGCGGTCTCCAAGCGTGGCTGGTCGCAGCTGGATCAGCTTGCATATTCTTCTCATGCCTCGGTTTCGCCAATTCTTTCGGTGTTCTCCAAGAATACTACATGACTCACCAACTTCGAGGACACTCAGAGGATGCAATCGCTTGGATCGGTTCAATTTCGACATTCATACAATTCGCTGTTGGGGCTTTGAGTGGCCCCATGTTTGATCGTTATGGTTCTTGGGTACGTTTTCAAACGCATCATGAGATGATTCAGGCTAATTGTTTCTTAGGTCCTTCGCCCAGCCGCTGTTGCGTATGTCTTTGCGACCATGATGACGAGTTTATGCACCGAATATTGGCATTTCATGCTTGCTCAAGGTATTCTCATGGGCACTGCAATGGCATTCCTCCAGATCCCCGCTTTCGCTGCCGTTTCCCAATACTTTGACAAGAAAAGAGCTGCAGCTCTCGGAATAGCCGTTTCAGGCTCCTCTATCGGCGGAGTTGTCTTTCCGATCGCATTGTCAAAGATGTTGAACGATTCGTCTCTTGGTTTTGGCTGGTCCATTCGCATCATGGGCTTTGTCATGATACCTCTCATGTCCTTTTCATGCATCGCGATCAGACCCCGTTTGCCAAGTATAAAGACCTCGTTCTTCTTAATTGCACCTTTCAAGGACCCTTTGTATTTGCTTGTGATCGGGTCACTGTTCTTTCTCTTCATCGGCATGTTTGCTCCGCTCTTCTTCATCCCGACTTACGCAGTCTCACGAGGCGTCAACCCCACGCTGGCATCATATCTACTTGCAATCACGAACGCGGCGTCAACCTTTGGCCGCATAATTCTTGGAGTACTGGCAGACAAATATGGTCGTCTAAACATGTACTCTCTTGGAGGACTGTGCACGGGGGTTGTCATTCTCTGCATGAACGAAGCAAAGACCACAGCAGCCTTGGTGGTTTATGCTCTGGTATTTGGCTTTTGTTCCGGAACAATCATCTCTGGCGTGTCAGCAGCCTTCACACTCGTGTCAAAGGATCCGAGAAATAACGGGACTTATATGGGAATGGGACTGGCTGTGAGCTCTCTTGCAGCTTTGATCGGTCCGCCTGTCAACGGTGTTCTTGTCAGCAAGTATGGAGGTTTCTTTCAGGTCTCTGTTTTCAGTGGTGTCATGTGCTTGTTTGGTGGATGTCTTGCTACTGTGGCCAAGATGTGGACAGAAAAGGGGATATTTGGTCGGATCTGAGCCAGCTCTGGTATCACTATGGTATGATCATTGAAGCATACCCGCGGTACTTCACAAACTGTATTATATTCTACAAAACATGTCTTCTGGTATGTCCGGAAAATACTTGCCATGATGTCCTTGTAGCTGTTCGTCTTTCTCGGTAGTTTAATCACATGGCCCTACCAGCAACGTATCTTAACCGATTAGTAGCTTCTCGGCTTGTTCAGAGTCCCTACTTAGATGGGAAATACAACCTAATTTTGCCGTTAACATCTGTAACACTCTCCTCTACTCTATATAGGAGGATGATCTCAACTGTTTATGTAGCAACCTCTCTGGTAACATGTATTAAAGCCAAGACGACCTGCGTGCAGTGTGTGTCCGACTCATGCTATACCATTAAGAGTAAAATCATCCTGTAAAAAGTGAATCTGGGCCCAGATCATGGGTTTCCGCGACACCGATGCAAAGCGAGATGCCCAACGCTAACTTGCTGTCTGGAATGGGGAGATACACCTTTCAGGTCAACTATAAATGCAAGTTTAGTGAATGCTGAATGTGGAAATACACGAGACAATGGACTTACATAAAATGACAAATTCGCTGTAGAATACAGCAGTCTCAGCGTAGATTCCGTTGGGAATAGGAGAATGAATAGTACATGTCTGCTCCCCCAGATGTAGAGCCTTAATGCATCTCAAAGTTATATCAATTAGCGTTCTGATCTGAAATCACTCCCGCATTATGGCAGACGATACTCGTAGGTCGGTATGTGTCGAGGAGCCCCCAGGTTGTGGTGAGATCCATCCTCGAGATGGAGATCATCATGAAGACAGCCCAGAAGCCTTTTTCGGGATCGGCTACATCTCCTTGAACACCCTGGTGCAGTCATACCTTCCAGCATCAGGCCTACTGAAGCTGACACATGCCGACTATTACCTGAGACTGAGTGGTAATAACGCCGAATAACCTCGGCACCTGCAGCGTGGCGTGGACGCAGTGCTGTGGGTAGGATTGTCGACCATGGAGATAGTGTTGAAGAACGTGATGTGAGTTGTGACAAGTACGCTTCCTACATATCCTATCATGTGCGCTGGGAGGCTCCAACATGCGTCCTGTAAGATTCGCTGAGGTGATCGAGAAGTTGGCGAGTTGTGTAGTAAGACTTAGCATTTCTGTCACATCTACTTCGTCTCGGCTCTCATTTGTAGTTGCAGACTGGTCTCGATAATCTCCAGAATAGGTTGTGACAGTAGTTACATCACCCACGATGATATCCGAAGACTGCTCTGAATGATGGTCGACAGACATTTTTATAAATCAGAGAAGAAGTCTGGAAACAATGCGTCTTTGTTGTGGATTTTGTCGAGATGCACTTATTCCGTGTTCTTCTTGCAAGATTTATCGAAAGAAAATATAGCATGAACGAAAGACGAGATTCAAACTTTATATAACTTGGTTTATCTTTCGTAGGGAATCAGTACAAACCCTGGACTTTTCAGTAACTTTTGAAACATTTCTACTTTTGTAAGCTCACGAGATGAACGATCTACGAGAACCAGGACCAAGTCTCTGCAGTGTTGTGATGTTTTCACCCGGAATGGACATAAGAAAGTCAAGAGTATCGCCTATACTTCTGATGAAGGGTAAAAAGAAAACTAATTCCAGCTCAAGTCATGGACGCACGAGATGGGCCTCGTACACTTTCACAAGTCAAAATCTAATTTGGGGCTGGGAGGCGGCATTACTTCTTGTAACGACGGATAGTACGGCGAATTGTTCCGATAGAACCGATCCCCATACCTCATACATAGAAAGTGTTCGTTCCTAGGTTGCCGGCGATACAGAGAGAGACCGGCGAGTAGAGTCATTGAGTCAAGCGCGTTATGACTCTCCAAATCGGTCTGTGACAAAGTGCGTTAATCGTCAGCGCCGGACGGGACCATCTCGCCACGAATACGCCTGTTTCTACTACTAGCAACTTTACATGTATTTCTAAATGATAGAAGTCTCATGATCAGCGTCTAAAAACGTTCCAGAAATTCTCAAAGATACCCGTCGACTGGTAAAGGAAAAGTCGGAGGCGGATTGAGCATATGACGAGATGGCACAGAGAGGATTCGGCTTCGCTAGCTCGATAGCCGAAACTAATCAAGGCCGATAACAATATCCCAGGGCTTCATTCATTCTACCCTCTCACTAACAGAGCAATAAACTCTTCTTCCAGTCTTTGTCTCCAGTTCTGTGTAGTTTTGTGTCAAGCAGTTCGATGCACAACTTTAGGTCCGAATCTCACAAAGACCATGCTTTAGTTGGCCAAAGCTTACACAAACGAGGTCTTGCGGAGTTAAGGGCACCGTGTCAAACTGTTCTTGTGAGCGAAGAGAGTTGCTGAGCCACCGCAACGAAACTTCAGAATGGTACTGCAATACCGAGGCGGAAAAAGGCTGCGAACTCTGTTGCAAAGCTGATATCAAAGCTCAACATCATCCAAGACTTATACTAATCTCCTTATAGCTAGTTATCTTTCTTAGTGGTTTCTACACTCAACTTTGCATAGCATGCTCGTGAAAGGCGACTATATCCATCTTGATTTAACAGGCTTTTTTTATCTGATGACGACCTGCTTTTGTGCCACCCAGGAGGACTATGGCTCTAGCAGGTCAATCCTTTCATGGAACGTGTTAGGTGGCCATGGTATTGGAGCCTTGGCCAAATCACTGTCACTTTAAAGCCACTTATGTCGTTCATGCCCCTGCCTTGAAAGCCACTCATGCTGTTCATACGCTATAGAAAAGAATTGGACGGATCTGCGGTGATAATTGAACCACAACGTGTGGTGGCGTGTGAGACGGAGATGTGAGCACTTCTAACCTCGAGGCTATCTCCTGAAGGTCCGAACAGCAGGAAGGTTGCTGAGTATATGTGCGGAGCACAACTGAAGAGGCCTCTCGGTGATTGGGCATATGGATATAATGTCATAAATGTCAATATGAGCTGAATCTAGAATAAAGGCTACCTCCCATTAGTACAGTGATTATTGGGCCAACCAAAGGCATTGACCAAAAACTGACCCTAAAAGAACCAAGGATTCAACAGGAATATTGACGCCCAAGGGTCCTCAACTTCCCGTAGTAGTGCCAGAATGGTAATGCGGTTGGAGGGAGAGGTCGTTGTTCACTTCCTTTAGTAAGTGCTTGACTTTTATTAACGTCCTTTGGGACTCGGGAAGATGTTGGTTCTCCTTACTGTCACCGTCATCTTCGAATCAAGTAAGTCGTGTTATGGATTGTGATTGTGTTTGTGGCTATTGCAGCTTGACCATCAGGACGTTCATGACGAATGGGAAAAAGATTTAACAGCGGCTGGAAATACCTCAGCTCCCACTAGATCTTGGCCAGAAGCAAGATTGCCTTCGCTGTATAAGTAGATGACAGAGGTGTTATGTATCAGCTCTGCGACGGTAGACGTGTCATGCCACAATGGTTCCACAAATCAAGATGATGCAAGGTTGTTTCTTGTACAGAAGTATGGGTCGTTTGCATGTTTGCAAAGCCCGGTCTTCACGTGTCGTTGCTCTTCAACCATAGCCTCCTACGGGGGTTGGGACGGGCTGCCTCGATGAAGCTGCTTTTCGCGCTCTGAGACATGTCATCATTCCTGTGCTCGGCGTCTCAATCCTTCTGAAGCAACAATAGAACGGTCGGCTTAGACGATCGTTGAATTGATGGAGAAAAGAGCATGTCCTTCTCAAAGTGCCGAATAGAGACCCTTCCACGAGGCTGGTGAGCTTCACAAGTGACCGGAGTCGCTTGTAAGCTGGAGAGATCGCTCGGCCCACAGCACCTTTGGAACGAAAGAATGAATAGAGTGAGCTTTGAAAATCGTGTTAAGCCGAGACTGGTAAGACATGACCAGAAGCATATGTTGGCGTCATACGGAGTCCCACGCTACGTCTCTTCGACCCCTCTCATTTCCTAGTTGAAGAAGCATCGCTATGATGCATGAGATGTCAGTCACTGTCTGCCTAGTGCAAAGCGGAAACGCGTGAAACAATCATGCTACTTTTGAGGTAGGATTGTAGTCACCAAGGCGCAAGTCTCTGACATCACCTACCAGCAATTGCAAGAAACTAATGGCTTGGGTATGAGCAGGTTTTGTTGCATGCATAGTTGGTATGTTGCCTGGATGGTGTTTTTGAGGAGTGGTCGAGATTCAGTCGGGCTGACAGTTGATGCTTGCATCGAGCGGCTGATCTCGAAGAAGACCAAGACGTTTGTCAAGCTGCATTAGCGAGCCCGGGTCCCGCATCGATGTCTTTGTAAAATGTCTTGAGTGTGCATTTCTCGGTGCTGATTTAAACTCTCAACCACAAGTCCCAACTGCAAATAACACATCCGGCTAATAACTTAGACAACTAGGCAAAGAAGAATCCTGGAGGGTTATGGCGAGTTCGAATCTGATGCACAAAGCGGCGATGGGCGTAGGTTGCGGCGCCTTGGGACGGAAGCAATGATATCTGGAGGGCTCCATTGAACGACCGACAGCGAGTGGAATGACAGAAAGCATGGCAGGGGTGTGAAGGTGAATGAGGTCTCAGGTTGCTGTGATATCTCAGTATAGCGCAGTTGATGGACAGATCCTGGCGTTCTGGTAAGCCGTATAATCGTCGCCTCTTCACTTGATCAATGTCTTGATGCGCCTAAGATTTACCTCAATTTCGTCGAAGCTTTTTCGTTTGTTAACCCAGTATTGTTATGATTCTCGTGGTGACGTAGGACCGTTGTTGTGGTAGGTAAAATTGACGAACAAGCGCTGTGAAAGGGTGCCTCGAAACATCTTGAGGAGATGCTGTTCACGACTCGAGTAGAGATGTCATATGCGCGTGTTGATTTCAGTGACCGTGCCAGCTATGAGAAGCATCGGATTCAAAGGTACTTGTTGCTTCGCTATCTTCAGACGTAGTTGTATGCTTGGTCAAAGGACTCGATGGATTCAATGGATTCGATGGGCTGAAGCATCGGGATCCTATGGTGTTGTGTGCTCAGACTCCTTGGGCGTTAATTCGATTTGACAGACCAGAAAGATGATGCTTGCATCGCGCCCATTGAATCATGTTCATTGTGCGAAAATATCTAATTATTTCGCAGAGACTACCCTCTTATTGATTATGCTTGGCCGGTTATGTCCTAGCACGACGAGGGCGGCGGCTGAAGGGACCTGTATCAAAGAGACAGCCATCGCAACGATCGGTTGGCTTTTGGGAGAGAAGTGGAGCGATGGACAAGAAATGTTAATGTTTTGTGTATCACGGGAGTTCGTTCGTTGGCCGGGACGGAGAGTCTGCTGAGGGGTGACTTTGAGGACCGATATTGACGGCTCGTATCGTGTTCTCTCGATGTATCAGATTTGACAATACTCGCCGAGGGCACGCAAGTGGTCAAGCATCGCTTCATGTTCAGAATCGGCAATTGGAGACATCGCGAGGATTGAAGACACACGAGGTTCTCACAGTGCTGACACAGGGTCTAGGCGAGTAAACTGAATGTTAGCACCTTGCTTCAACACATAACTAGGGATTATGGAACACCCACAAATGATGACAGTGGTAATGCAGTCGATCATAGTCAAGCCCAAACTCACCCATAGCCACAAGGCGCTTCTGACCCGATGCTAGGGCCTCTGTCACCAAAGAAGTCAAGTCTCTGATGAGTTTACCAGTCTTTGTTGGGCAAGGGGGGTGCTCTTCCGAGAGGTGGACGGCTTCAACATAGCTTGACGTTCTGGAAGAGCTGCGGAGGCAAGTGGGTCGCAATCGGTTCAGCTTCAGTGCTTGATGCGGCCCTGAAAATCGGCATCATGTATTATTTGACGCTCTGGGAAGATTAATTTCCACTCGTACCGTCAGTGCTTACCAGAAGGTGATCGCGATTGAAGACATTGGGGCCACTGGTGAACTTGAGACACAAATTCCACTCATCCCAACTAGCTAGGAGTCGTTGTCATGCCTCTGATCAGCAAACACTCAACCTCTCCCAGATGCTTATCCAATCTTCCCCGAATGGTAAGTCATCCAGAGTAGTTTGCTCAAGTCTTGCTTAATTTGTTGAGGCGCACAATTGGCATCGGCACTCAGCCGGATTGTTTTCTATTGCAACGGGTGCGAACGTGAAGGCACAAAGATGGCTACCTTGCCTTTGGGCATTGCCGTGGAGCCCGCGATGGGTATTGGCGCTCGACCGAATTGTTTGGGCGCTTTGGGGATGCTTGAAAATGGCGTTTTGATGAGGCGCGTTGTTGAACAAGAGTTGTTGATGGGGCAAAGGAAAGGCAAGTGTGGATGAAGGAGAGAAATGAATGAAGTCGTGATCAAGGTAGCCGAAGCTCGTTTGGGTCAGTGAGTCAGGAACGCGCTGGACTTGCTGACTGGCAGTGACAGGCACCTTAGCACTGTGCAAGAACGGGCCATTTGTTCCGCCACGTCTACCACTCCATCTACGGAAAAGTTATGCTGAAGCTCGCCTAAACTTAGGAGTGACTTTAGAGGGGCTTAGGCCTAAGCTTTGCAAAATTTATGCCTTTCTCATCTAACAACCAGCCTAAACTGCCCGGGTCTGTGAAAGAGTGCCTCTGCCAGCTGTGTTCTGTGGTATGAAAGGACTCGTCTCCATCCTCTAGAATCCCGTACAGCTGCATGCTCACCACCTTATGGTTCTATGGTCTTCTGGTGTTCAGAGCGGGTTGCCCGAGGATTCTTTTCTTGCCAACCTTGAATGTAGTTTGATCCGGCGAGGGCCTCGTATTGGTGGAGATGTAGCTAGTGCATCAGAAGCTCGCAAGATTACAGATGGATCTGCCCCCCTTGGAAGCAGAATCACCAAATAATGTCCATCATTTTCTGGTTGTCTTTAGTAAATAAACTGATCATAGCCCAAGCGGTCAACTCAGTCTCCTTTCTGCCAATGCAGTGAATTATCTACGGATATTTTCCTTTATGAGCTTTTGGGAAGCTACTCATGCGCCTGGAAACATTGGGAACATACTCCGTATCGTATTGCGCTGCCCTTCTTTCGAGGGCTTGACATGACAGGACCTCTGACTCGGTAATGTCTGGAGTATTCCGATTGGGGGCCATAATGCTCTTACACTGGTGCTGTGAGAAGCAGGTAATAGGAAGAATCACGCACAGTAAGCTCATGTGGGTGTCGTAGATCAATAGCGAGGTTTACAACACGTTGGACCACGTTTTATGACTTGATTAATCCATCTTGGGCATCATTATGGATGCAATTCTATTGACTTTCATCGAGTGGTCCTCCCTATCTTTCCCTTCATGTCGTAATAGTGAAAGTATGGACCAGATATTACCGGGTCTCTAAGCTGGAGGTTCTCGCCGTCTCCAAACCAAATGAAACTTTCTTCTTTCACGAGATCGTGTGACACATGCGTGAGTAACACAATTTACTTCTTCTGCTAGGTCACCAAATGCGGCATCTGTGAGCGCTCAACTTTACTGTCGTGAGAAAATGGAGGGTAGTGGACGCTGGCTGTCCCGCTTCACAATAATGTTGAGAAGTTCTTCCGGAGCGAGGTGCTGGCCCTCATGCCAACGACGGAAGACACTCTTGGACGTAATACTGTGTAGCAATTGGTTAGTCATTATGGTATAATGTCTGAGTTGTTAGCTAGATGTGTTATTTGCAGTTGAGGCTTCTGGCTGAGAGCTTAAATCAGCAGAGAGAACTTAGGACGTAATACTGGTCAGCTTGCTGCCTGTTAGCATGTCGAGTAGACTAATAAACCAAGCTAAAGGCCTGGCGCATCCATAGAAGAAATTAAGTTGCACGTATTCGTGATCGGAATCAAGGGATACTGGATTATCGCCAGTTGGAACTTTTATGATCTCCGTTCCATAAACCATGCTTGTCGATGAGTAGAAGGTGAGATGCGACTGGTGGGTTATTCTCATGGTCCAATATGATTCTGATTAGAAATTGCAAGGACGGATGATAGTCTTCAGTGCAGTAATCTGGGGCGAAGCTCTCGATCATCAAGTTCCAGGAGGGATCAAACTCGAGGGCAATCCTGCCCTGGGCATTGCTATAGCAGCGGTCCCATGGCACTTTTATATGTAGTTGAGATTTAATGGTTATTGCACCAACTCTGCGGTAGCAAAACCTTGAATTATAAAGGCGCGAGCGTCTGATATGTGAGGGTTAAACTTAACAAAGTCATCTTGCGACCCACGACTTTAGCTTTAGATCTTGCACCTTGTTGACAAGCCAACGAAACATTGGTAGAATGAGATCATGTGAACAAACCACCGAAAATGGATACCCTCGAGTATCTTGCTCAGGTCTTGTTGATTGCTTACGCAAGTTATACCAACTCTGCTACCATCATCTGTACGTTGAGATCCAGGTCCGCCATGCGCTTTGGTATGGACCGGTGACGCTATTTACGGATCATTGGAACTTGTTTGTCCCGTCTCAGAACTGGTATAAAGAAGTCAGTATCGAGGAGGTGAGCCCTGCTATGCCACTTGCGAGCCTCATTTAATTTCCTCATGAACAAGTAACTGAGATCATCAGCAAAGTAGTCCATAGGGCTGCTCCGAAGAGGGATATGTGTACTGGAGCTCAGAAGTGATCCCAGTTCCACGTACTCCTGGCCGGAATCGAAGATCCTACCTCCACCATGCCCTTCAGTGTCATATGATTGCCATTCAGATACATCGTCGATCAACATAACCTTTGATTGGCCAGGAAAATCGTCGGGCGCAACCTCAAAAAGTAGCCTGATCATGAAAGCCAGTGAGGGAGAGAAGTCACGGAGAACAGTGGCGAAGCAGGCATTCTCCAGTTCTTCGTCCCAAGATGGGTCAAACTTGACACCAATGTTCCGAGATTTCTTCATTGGCTTTCGACCTCGAGCATCTTCGGTATGAAGATATATCGGTTTCCAAGGTCTCAGAAGAGACTCCCATGAATCGGTGGTGACGAAGCATATGTCCTCAGTGAGATCTATAACTTGGTCCCGGGGCAAAGAATCGCTTTTCTGGGGGGAAACTACCCTCATGCAACGCCGCGGGCGTGGAAACCCGAGGTAAAGATCTTCGAACTTTCTTACAGCATCATGAGACTCCCTACAAGCTGTCCATAGCCCTACATGCCATATATAGGAATGCCATGTGTAGCCAGATCTGTTGCTTGGATCGTCGGTCTTCCAATCGTAGTCCCGAGGCCAGATGTTTCTATTTTCGTCCATATACAGATAGTGAATATTCCTGCGCCTCTCTCTCGGTCTCAGCTGCAAGCAGGCATCTTGCCAGATTTGCTCGTGCAGCTCAAAAGGTAGTCGGAGAAATGAGTGGAATGTGGTGGTGTCCATGATGAGCTTCAGGCGTCGGCTGTTACTGGCGGCTTAAGTGTTGGTTGACGGATAAAGAAAAAGGAGAGAGTCGGACTAGAGGTGCTTGTTTCCAGACAGTTACGACTCTGAGATTTTATACGCGAGACTCTCCGGAGCGAGTCAGTGTCCCAAAGAAGCTTTCTTGGATATTGTAAATCATTGGATGGGCACGTGCGTGATGCATCTATTCGTTTTCGCCTGAACCTTAAAGTCAAAGTTGATCGGATAATGGTGGCACCTTGAACTGTAAAATTTCCAAAGTGTCATTCACCAAAAGCGAGATGATAGAAATACCCTTCAGAGTTCCTACATTGAGAGTAATTTGCAGATACCACATACAGAAGCTTTTACCTATGAACCTTGAATCTCCCAACACTTTACAAGACCAGTACTGTCTTCTAATCCCCAAATCAGCTTTCCATCACATATCCCATGGAGACAATGTCTCAACAAAGTCCAAGCAGAATCCTGCCGCTTAAGCCCAAGATACAAAAACTGTGCAAAACACCACATCCAATCTAAACCACTGTCTCTATCGTACAGCCAGTTTTTCCCTTACGGGTTTCCCATTTGACGAAGTTACCGAGGCAGGCTATTTCATCTTGGGCGGAACAGCATTGCCTCTTGTAGTCTTGGGCACCACCTCGTTATCACGCCTGACCAAGACCCGCACCAACTTCCGCACAGACAGCCCATCAGGCGGAAGCCCGTAATCACCCAAGCCCAAGGGGTTGTCTTTCGTTTCCAGGTCAATCTGTGTTTAAGAAGTCGATTAACCTGGTCCAAGAACCTGAGCATAGGGGCGCTTCGGGCAAGACGATTCGTGGCTAGAGGATTGCTTGGGTCGATCTGGATATACTGGTGTTTGCAGTCGTAATACACCGAGGGTTCCTCAGCGTTGCTAACACTTTTCCAGCCAGAGTATCTGTCGATTAGATGGATGACCGACGGTAGACTTCTTTGCTGAGTTGCTATTTCGCAAAAGACTTTGATGGCGAAGGCTAAAGTGGGTGATAAGCGGTCCGTCAGTCGATATTTGTCGAGACCGGCCAGTTCAGAGGTCCAATCCGTGTCAAACTCGATAGCATATTCATAAATATAAATATCGCTGCGCCTCGTGAAGAGTTTGAACCGAGCTAGGAGGCTATGATTGCCCGGAGTAATGCAGAACATATCCCTGGGGGACGTAGCCATGAGCCAGGGCTCATATGCTTCTAGTTTTCGACCCCACCCATTCCAAATCACATCTACTCCCTCTTCAATGCCATAAAACCATTTCCTCAGACCGGCGTTCACCTGCTTGTCCACATCGTCCGGATATCCTTTGGAGCAGGGGTCTTTGAACAAGCGTTTTCGCATGACCTCACGAGACTCTTTGCAAGCCATCCACAAACCGGCGTGCCAGAGGAAGACAGACCGGTTGGTGGGGTGAGGTTTATTCCAACTGCAGTCTACAGGAATAAAATCGCCCTTATTGTCAAGGCTTACTAGTTTTTGCCGTATGTGTGCTTCTCTTGGGCCTCTGGCTTTGGATTTGCTGCGCCAAGACCAACCCAGTTCCATGTTGAAGAGTCGTAAAAGTACGTTGTCCATTTTCGGATTGCTGACTCCCAGATTTGTAGTCGGAGCTCACACGGGAGCTGCGAGAAGAGATGGAAAGTTTGGGGGGGCATTATCCGAAGCTTGTCGGTCTTGATGGAGTACGCTTCGGAGTTCAGTTAAGAATTAACAAGCTCTAATCCATAATAAACACATCAGTAATGCAAAACCTTGTTGTAAAAGCATATAAGCAATTCACCCAAGAAACGCACTATTCATCAAAAAGCTTTCCCAGGAATATCGATCTTGAACCATCCTATTCGGTTTCTGTGACTTCTCGACCAAAGACCCTGTTCCACCCAAGTCTCTGAGGCGAGCCACTACACAAGTACCAGAAGCCGCCTTTCAGTACAACATGTTTGTTCTCTCCCCGTCGAAGATTGTGCCCGAATGGCCGAAGTTGTCATAGACACTCTCCGAAGTGCGGTTGACACCTCACTCCTTTGCAGCTCCGGCTTCATTTTGCCGCAAAGTTATGATAGAAAAATAGTCCCTTAAAACGAATTTTGGCATATGGTAGAGATGAGAAGAGCTCAAATTCTGGAGCTTGCTCAGCTTGTCCTCTAGCAGTCTGTCCAGATGGTCGAAGAATTCGAGAACAGGGCTATGACAAAGGATCTGTGCAGAAGATGAGCCAGGTTTCATGCTAATCTCTACATATTTGTGATCACGGTCATAAAATGTGTCAAGACCAAGTTGTGTCGTGTCATCGTTTATCCATCGAGCATTCCTGTCGATAAGCCTGATGGTTGGCGTGGTGAAATGCCTGGTATGTGCTGCCTCGAAGACCAGCCTGAGCATAAAAGCCAGCGAAGGAAGGAACTTTTTTATGGGGTAGTAGTTGTCATGCTGTGATAGCTGGATGTTCCAAGAAGGCTTGAATTCGAAGGCGAGTCTTTTGAATTTTCGGAGTGGGTAATAGTTCCCACAGCACGCAGCTCGCCCTGCCCTGTTTAATGCGACACAGAAAATATCTTGCGAGGGATAGATGACCATTTTCTGTTCCTGTCCTTCATCAATAGGAGGAATTATTGATACAGGCTCTCTCCCCGCGTACGATTCGCGGCCCCTCAAGGCGAACTCCAAAGTGGTAGGGTTAAGTACATCAGAGTAGCTAGATTCGGCGTCTTGCTGCAGCTGATGCTTCATTGCAGCTGCTCGGGAGTCCCAGCACGCCGTCCAGAGACCTTGTTCCAATTCGTAACCTGACCTTGCTCTCTGGAATTCGTCTTTGGCGGTTTTATCCAGTGGAACCGGAAATCCGCCATGGTCAAGGCCGATGTAGTGCAGACCACCGGGAATGGCTTTGGGTGAGCGAAATGAGGATTCCCATACCTGCAGCTGGATTTCGGGGGGCAGTTCTGGGAATTTATGAAAGGTTGAGGGTGCCATTGTATGTCGACTTTGGGTAGATAAAAGAAGGTGAGATTTCACCATGCTTGGTAGAATGCCTTTATTTGTGGGAGGGTTCACAACAAGGGCTTTGTTTGTGGAAAAATTTAACTTTTGACGGTCATTGGCACGCGATGCTGGTATCATGAGCCAGAACCTTGATACTTTCTGCGGCCTCATTTGTCCGGTCGATTAACTCAAAATAACACTTTCATAAGCCCAGTTCAGGCAGTGTAGACTAACAGCTACACTCACAATTTCCCGCGGCATCATTTCTTGCTGGGGATGGCTACTACTCTGTAATTACTTGACAAAAGGGCGACTAGACTAATCGTTGTACGTTCAATAACTACCAAAAAGGGAATGCGAGTGAGCGAACGTAAAGCGGCCAATGACTCATCCGGCACCCGACTCGGGAATAGCGTCAAAGATGGCTGGGCACTGAAGAGCCTCATCCGACTACAAAAGCATTGCATCACCAGTAGCCAATCCATCAGTCAATTACATCAACCACTATATCACATCATTGCACGCACTCTTCAAATACATCAATTATCATGGATTACTCAACAAAAGACATCGTCAATGCTTACCAGTCAAAGCGACTCGAGTACATCCGAGCCGACAAGACCGATGAGAACCTTAAAAAGATCGCTCTCACCATCCTTCAAGATCCTGTCATCCAGGCCCTCTCAGCACCCACCATGCTCTTGCCAAAGGGGCCAAAGGAGGTCGACTCGTATATAGACTCGGTTGTCAATTCTTTGCTCGGTGTCGCGATATATCTCAGAGATGATGCCGACAACGACAAGACAGAAGACAAAGACAAGAAGCCTCGAACCATCATTGGCGTCATGTGCATCGGCTGGGGAGGCATCTCACCCACAGTTGCCCATCATCGAACTGCCGAGATTGGTATCTCTCTTGTTAAAGAGCATCAAGGCAAGGGCTACGGAAGAGAAGCCATCAACTGGATGGTAGACTGGGGCTTCCGACACGCTGGTCTGCATACAATTGGTATTACTACTACCGATTACAATCCTCGAGGAGTATATCTTTACGAGAGTATTGGTTTCAAGCTGGAAGGCAGAAGACGGCAGACTGTTTGGATGAATCGCAAGTGGTACGATCTGATCGAGTTTGGAATGACGGAAGACGAATGGGAATCACTTCGGGGTCTTGATACGAAACAAAAATAGTGTATTTGATCAATACTCAATTGCAATATGTTTGAAGAATGGAATGGTCCCATGGTAAAGTTCTGTGAGAGGAAACTGACGTAAAAGAGGAAGGCCTATGCTAATTTTCATCCAGGTTGGTGACAGTTGAAGGCGAAATCATGCTCGTGCAGGCAGAGTAGTTCGCAGTGCGTCAGCTCATGCTTTCAGTAGGCCTGGTGGTTGCATTGAGGAGCAGACGATCTGCTCGTACCGAAACGCATCGAGGCGGTCGTGATGATTCAGAAAGTTGGAGTCAAAAGACAGGCCAGTGTCACCAGTCCAACTTTCTCGAGTAGTGTAGCGGAGCAGGCGCTGTCATGTCGTGTACAGACACTGATGCCAGGCAAAGAAGATGGCGGAAACGGCAAGGACAACAGCCCTGAGCGCCAGCTTGTTGCTACTTCTTCCTCTTCCTCTTCCTCTTTGCATCTGGCACAGCCTCGAAAGGCTGGAAATTGTGAAATGACGTTGCGAAACACACAGCATCAGCGGCATCTACCCGTCGACAGCCCGGTTTTGCCCTCAAAAGTGCCTAATATGTCGCTTTTGGCTGACAAGTTAACTGTCCCGATAGCTGTCTCCAATACCATACATGTGAAGGGGGGCCCACCGCTCTTGTGCTAAGAAGTTGGGTTGGTTGTCTTGACGGCAGAGCAGCAAACCCTCTCGTACGGTAATGAAAACAGTCATCAAGACGTCCGGCTTTTCAGCCAAAAGCTACATCGTAGACATCAGTGAGGGCAAGCTGGGCTGTGTAAAGGACAGAGAAAAGAACATATAACAGTCGACAGCCCACTGCCAAAGCGAAGCGCCCTTCCCACGACGATACAATGCCATGTGGTGGGATTGTTGACCATGTAGAGATGTGTAAAGCATGTAGCTGCATTGGAGATTTGTCGTTCGTGTTGCGCGAGAATCGTCGATGTCGTAACTTGCTCGTATCGCAGTTGGTCATTGTGTGTTGGAATTAACATCGTAGGCGGTCATAGGTGAGTCGTCGTTGTGCTTCGTCGTCGTTCATCGTCGTCGTCGGTCGCTCGTTCGTGAGGGTACTTGCATCATCTGTGCCAGCTTGCTTGGGCGTCGTTTATCGTCTCGTTTATCGTTCGGAACTCGTCGGTCGTTATCGGGTCTTCGTCGTATGCGCATCATGTCTGGTGATTGTAGACTGGTAGTGACGGGTCAGTGCTTGACGCGGGTAGATAGAATAGGCAGTATTGACAGTTGTTGGTGTCGGGAACGCTTGAAGAGTGATGACTGCCGTGGGGTCCGTTGGCCTTGGGAGGCTGACGAGGACATGGCTGAACGCGCGCGATAAGTGCATCTGCAGAGCTTTCGTCGTTGTTCTCATATCCGCAGCAGGATGGATTATCGCGTCAACCTTCTGTCGCAACGCGAGCGACGCGTTTGACAATCGCGTCATCCTGTCTTCTTCGACACCGCAAGGAAAGTTCGTGACGGAGGCAACGGCAGTCAACCAGTATTACCGGTAGATCTTTCTCGCATTTACTCCAAAGCTCTGGCACGTGGACCATCGCAGCTCGGAGCCCAAATGCTATCCTCTGGGGGACGCTGAAACGGGGAGTCAAAGCGAGAGGCCATTTCTTGCACACGTCTGGTCTGCGCCTATGCCGAAGCGTAGGATACTCAGCAGTGATCAACACTGTATGCGCTGTTGCCCCCTCCCTTGCACCCAGCCGAATATGAACGTGGGCAACATTCACGCTTTGCAGGGAGCTGCACGCAGCCTCATTTGAACTCGCGTTCAGCGCTCACAGTTCAAGAGACCATGACGTCTTGGACACTTGGGTCCGACGATGAAGGGCCCAACATCCAAAGATCCTTGGTGAGATCCGACTGCCATCGCGAGACCCGATCCTTGTCTTGCTTGGGGGTTATTGGACTCAACGCAACATGGTCAGAAACTTTGGCATCGGGGGAAAATGCAATCAAGGACCGGTTATCCGAATCTGCTATCACTGAGCTTTTGTATGGGCGACAGATCGCGCTATCGACGTGCCGCGTCGCTGATGCCCTCTGCTGGCCACGGTTGTCTGGCGGTCATGAGGAGCTTCTCCCGCATGAGAAGTGAAACAAACGGGCACTGACAGCAAACCTCGACGACCTTACCTCGCGAGATCAATGCTCGCATTCAGAAGTTGGTCACCCAAGAACGAGAATGAAGGGACCAAGATGTCCTCTGAACATTGCATGGTGAAGGGGTCGGGTCGCATGTCTACGTCCTTCACCATCGCAGTCGGTCGCTCAAGGCTGAATACAGACCGCCGACCTGATCGCAGCCTCCACTGGCCTGTACACGATGATATTGTTTCTTTGCGTCCTCTGAGCGACAATCTGTTCATGCTAACGGCCGCACGAATGTGGTTCGAGAAACGATTGAGGGACACGCCATCTGGCCGTGCTTGCTAAATGCAGTTGTTGTCGCACACGATTTCCTGTCGGTCCAGTGCGAGGGATAAGGGATCGTACTGCCTGCAAATGCCGTGGTGGATTGACTCTGAACAGAATAACCGAACGCCTTGCCATAGGTGGGCAAGAATCTGGTGAAGCCAAGTCATGAACCACGAGAGGGATGTGCCCAAGTTCCTGAAGAGATACCGGCTTCTTCTTCGGTACGAGGACCTAATTAGTATCCCCCATCGGAATTTTTATTGTGAGAAGATCGGGTTGTAAAGAAACAGACCGGAGCGTCCGTCGTGGCGAATGAAATATCCCCATCTTGGGGTACGCGACGAATGCGAGTCGGACAGCTCATCAAGAACCAGCCACCCTCGTGGAAGATTACCTCCAGGCGGCGGTGTCAATCTGTAGCAAAATGACAATCAAATACGGAGGTGCCTGAAGCCTTTGGCACAAACCAGCGCATTGCGGCAATGTGTATGGCACCTGTCTCGGGATCAGCACTTCCTTGGTAGCATAGCTTGGCGGAGATGATGCTGATGACGGTGTCATGAGCGCTGCCATCGAAATGTGATCTGTGTGGACGAAGAAAACGGGCAGCAATGACCATGTCGCCGCGGCATGTTCAGCTCAGAAAACAGCTAATATCCAACGTCCAAAATTGTTTGTTCATTCCTGTCTACTGGCTTCGCTGAAAATCCGGCGAGGTGCTCTCCTTGTCCTGACTGGTTGCGAGCTACAAAACACTGGTATAAAGATGGTGTTAGGCTCATGACACACGTCAACGCCTGGTCATTTTTTATGGAATTGAGGAGCAGGAGAGGACGGTCAAAGGGTGCGTCAAGGTAAGTTCAGGATGCCTGACAACGATGCGAGTGAGAATTGTTCCGGTCCGACTGGTCGCAGGCAGCACTCATGGCTGGGTGGCTGGGTCCAAGTGCTTTTGCAAGATCCAAATAGTGGGAGACACTATCAAGCACGGTGGAATCATTCCGGGGACTGGTCGACGACGAGAAGAGCCGACCGAATGTCAGTGATACTGATTCCGAAGGGAAGTATTCCTCGCGGCATGAGTCTCAACAGTCATGTAGCTGTCTGGCAGCCTCTAGCCATCTTCAACCAACAACACTCGATAACTTGTGCAAGATTGCAGATTCGCCACATGCAGAGGTCTTTGCCGTGGCGTTTCGCATCCGAGTCTTCAGCGACGAGGAACTCTCCAGTGCTTCAAGTAGACACTGATGCTTTGCTGGCTTGGTCCAAGTCAATTGACAGTAGCAAGCGGGCGACATACCCGTCGTCTCTTGATGTCATCGACCGGAGGTGACAACGCCGCAAACACCTCGAGGCGGTCGCTTCAAATACAGGTTTCGGTATCTGGCCTGGAGACGGCGTCGGTGCCCGTATGGTTGAGGCATCTTGGACCAAGGATCGATGACAAGTCGCTGGCTTGCATTCCAGGCCGATATCAGACATTACAGGCAGAATGACGCCCTGAGTGTCGAGAAAGGCTTGACGGGATGTTGGAGGCGCCTCGGATGGCTTTGCCCACGGCGACCGGCTCGGGGAGTGTAAATCACAACAGCATGGCGTTGGGGTTGAAGCAGGCCACTTCTCGCGACGACATCCACAACGAGACGAGCATAGGATGAATCAAGAGGACGCAGGTGATGATTTCGAGGTCGAAATGTGGTTCGTCTCTTTGGCTTCGTGAGAGGTGAGCTGGTCCGCATATTGTAGCCAGCCACAAACTGTGCAGCGACTGGAAACAAATCAGCTAGGCGACAACGAAGGTGTGTAAATTCTCGAGCTCCAGCGCTATAGACACAGCTTTCAGGGCTTTGTGCCTGCAATACAGCTTGCAAATATGCAAGCAGTATTGACGGCAATGGCAAGAGTCGAGTTACCGCATGAAGCCAAGTCGCGAAACGACTTGGTGCCGCCCAGTGTCGGCCGCAGCGATAATAGGTCCGGTCGGGTCACGGAGGCGAAATGGGGGTGTTGCATCTTCGTTCATGTTGACGGTCATGGCTTCGATTCGGTCGGCAGCAATGAGGTGCTGGTGGAAACACCACAGTCTCGTCTGTAACTTCGAATTGTTCGCCGGCTGGAGATTTCGTGTTGCGCTCCTGACCATCGTTCTGTTCATATGCGGAAAGCTTTTTGCCCTTCTCAATCAAGAGCCGGCCGGGTTGCGCAGCGGTGTTCAGGTGGCCTCTTCTCATTGCAATTGTCGTGACCATGACAGGTCTAGGCGATGTGCCTCGCGAGCGGCTCTTCGGAAGAGCGCAGGCCTCTGGGGGGCCACAAGGGCTGCGAATACACGTGGACTACAGTCGAGGAATGCAGCGGGAGCTCTTGATCTTGCTTGAAAGCACGAAGACCGTGTGCGCTACGCTGGGTAAATCGGGAGGGGGGATTCCCAAGATAGGATATGTATTCTGTGGCGTCATTTCATAATGGGCCAGCTCGAATGGCTCGGATAGCCACGGTCGGCTGTGGGCACGGTTGCGGAGCTACGGAAGCTGCTCGTTTTGCGACGGGATTGTACGATCATATTGAAGTCTGGAATCGAGGAAACAGTGTTTGTCGGAGCGTAGGAAGCAGTGCGTTCGCACAGGCAATGAAAGATTGACGCTGGCCGAGACACAAAGGTTGTCTGGCGCCGATGATTGTACACAAGAGGGAGAACTTGGACGTTCGGAAAAGCAGCATCAAGGCTGTAAATGACGTTCGATTGATTCGAGGACAAAATGTGCTGTGTTCACGGCGTTGCAAGCGATAAAAAGGTCATGCATAGCTGGCAAGGCGTCGGCGCTGGGACAAGCCAGGTCGAGTTGCCTGATCACGGAGGTGCGAGAAAGGAGACGAGTTGCAGATACAGGAATCGAGCGTAGTTCATTTTGATGCGAAATAATGATTGCGGCTATTTGTGCGGCTCTGAGCCTTGGTGTGTTGATTGACAGTTGCAAGTTGGAAAGAAGAGGTTGCTTCAGCGGTGCTGGTGGCAGAAATCTTGGCCTCGCGACCGTTAGTCATCAACGATAACCAATGATTGCAGGGTATGTAGTAGAATTCTGCTGAAACAATCGCGTTTGAGGGTAGAATCCTGAAATATTGTAATTTCAGTAATAACGATACAGGCGAGGATGTCCGTCAGCCATGAGTAAAGATGTGACGTCGGGTAGAAATCATTTTGCGCTTCAGGTGTGCTCCCAAATTGTGGGTGGGGTTGGGCGACCATGTCTGCTCATGAGCGTCACGGCCGAACACGTGAAGAGCGCTCAACGCAAATGAATTATATTCAATGCAAACTGCTTCTGGTATCTGGAAATACAAGTCTATTGACATTGATTCCAGCCATGAAAAATTATACTCCTTGAGACTGGTACTTGAACCCTCCCGTTGTGCCTTAAATATCGCGGGCTTCAAGCAATTGCTTGCTTACCCTGGATCTACGCTTTCCACGGAGTTCGTGTCAATCACATCCAAATCCTCACGACTAGCATCCAAAGTAAGAATATACCTCTTGTGAGGAGTTTGTAAGCTATAATTATGCTCGTTTTACTTTCTGTCAGTCAATCAGGGACCAAACGGAGCGCTCGAGTGGAAGTTAATTACTTGTCATAATGTGCCTGTTGGTATGCTAAACTACGAAGTAGACTATCATTGATCTAAATATCGGAGAGGGTATCGTGGCTAGAAACGTCGTTCATTGAAACTACCTCCCGGGAATCTAGTATATGATCCTCGAAGGTTCACTTCCCGTTGTACTTTGCCCATCCACTCCCCTTGCTTCTGGTGTAGCAGTCCACATATCAGGAATAGGAGCTCGAGCATTAGCATTAGGGTCCATTCTGGTATCTCTAGGCTCTCTTCTGTCGACCTGGTAGCTTCTGCTAACCTGAGGATATCCATGATCCCTGCCAACTTCAGATTGCACATCTCTCAAAAACCTACGCTCGTTTTCCCGCCGTTGTTCGTTCGCTCTCCTCGAGTAGTGCTGCTGGTTAGTACCTGGTTCAACTTGCCCGTATCTTTCACCGGGAACATGTTCCCACTGCGGACTTTCATCAGGGTTTCGTCTTATTTGAGGTTCAACTCTTGGGGATTCTTCAAGTGGTTGGGGTAACCTCCGCGCAACACGGTATCCATCAGAAACTACAAAAGGATCAACATCCCACTCGCGAAAAGGAGTAAGAGGGGGGTTCAGGGGAAGTAGGCGATAGCCATGGCGTTGGGTTATACATTGGCCCGACCATCCTTCGCGTCTTGGGTTCCCAGTTTGAGTTTGGATTTCGGGCTCGGTAGCGTCTCATGTAATCCTCGTAAGCAGCATCATTGTTGGCCTGGCTGTCAGATGCGAGCGGTGTTCGGTCATGATCGTCCTGTCGGTAAGCCATAATGAAAGTTCTTGGTATATTGGTTAGGGAACGAGCAAGAGGCGAAGGAGGAGTAGTATTTATACTTGATATCAACAGCTCATAAGTGTAGCGTTTAGAGCTTTGATCTTTTGATAAGTGATGGACAGCTTCCGGGTTCATTGAGTGTCTGCCACCGTAAGGCAATAAAGCTGTGAATGTATTCATGTAATTGCTAGTCCTTCGACACCTCACCCCATCAGATCATCCTCAATTTTCGCGTCCTCCCCTTCTTGTACGTTTACCTGCTGGCTTTTTGGCTGCTGGCCCATCCCCTGTTGCCGTAGATTTGTCCATCTTTTAACAATCAGATTGAAAGATGCTTTGCCATTGAATGCAATCATGTTGTTGATAAGTTACCAAAAACACTCAATTTGTTATCCAATCACAAGGCAAGATGGCCGAGCGGTCTAAGGCGCTGTGTTCAGGTTCGATTCGAACTAGTAACGATTCGCAGTCTCGAAAGGGGCCTGGGTTCGAATCCCAGTCTTGTCAGTTATTTTTGTCTGTGTCGCAACATGCCAATCGACTCTGATCTTTCTTTTGCCTCATTGAATGCCTTCAATTCTTAGCCATCCTAGACGGTTTGTTTCAAGTCAGTAGTTAGCTTAGCTCAAAAGGCATCGCACGAGTGCGAATCGGAAGAGGCTGGCATGTCTTCACTCCCGTGTGACTCTCCCTCTCCACTCGCCCCCAAATCAATTGGTGCGCTTCAATCGGGGATGACGGAGCCGGAGTCGACTCGCCAAGTTCAAAGCGATTTGTCGATCTTTATCGAGTTTGAGAATTTCCCCGCAGACTCCCCGGAACCATTGATGCTCGTTCCTTGCCTCTACCCCGGATTTTATCAATGAGTTTATTCACGAACTCTCTCGAGTCATGCCTAATTTTCGCAAACGACCGCCAACCCTCGGCTACGGCACCGACCGATTTGTCGGCCGGTTAGCTAGAAACAGCTAACGCGGAAACGTGAGTCCATTCTGGGATCGTCATCTATAAAAGAGGTTTTGACCTCGCACGAGATATTCTCTCCTCTCTTGAGTCTCTCATTGATGCTTGTTCCCATCCATTGGGTCGTTCAACTTTACCCAAAGACATCTACACAAGGTCAACACCATGTCTGAGAAGCGTGACGAGCTTGAGAAGACCGATGTACTCCATCGCGATCTGACCAATGACTTGCCGCCAGAGGCACTTGCTACTGAGATTGCGCATGAAGTCGAGAACAACAAATTCTCACCATGGACGCCGTCTATGTTTCAGCTCTACGCTGTGCTGTTCGTGGCGTATTGCTGTGGCTGTCTCAATGGTTATGATGGCAGTTTGATGGGTGGATTGAACGGAATGAAGTCATATCAACGAACTTTTGACATGTATGTTCATACCCTCCTTGCGCGGAGTGACACTTGACTGACATGTTACAGGAAATCTGATGGTTCTGCTACTGGCATTGTTTTCATGATCTACAATGTTGGCAGCATTGCTGCAGCCCCAACTGTCCCTTTCACTACCGATCGTTTTGGACGACGCGCGGGAATGTTCACTGGCGCTCTCATCATCATCATCGGCACTTGTGTTCAGTGAGTAATTGCCTCAAAACTCCGCAGACAGCGCTAACAAGATGAAGAGCAACTGCGAAAGCCATGCCTCAGTTCATGGGCGGTCGATTCCTCCTCGGCTTTGGTGTCTCGTACTGCTGTATCGCTGCACCAACTTACGTCAGCGAGCTTGCTCACCCCAAGGTACGTGACATTGCCAAGTGTACGAAAGCATCGCTGACAAGACTGTAGTGGAGAGGTACACTTACTGGTCTCTACAACTGCATGTGGCCTGTTGGAGCTATCATCGCTGGCTGGGCAACCTATGGCAGCGCTTACATCAAAGGCAATAATGGCTGGAGAGTCCCGGTCTGGATTCAGCTTGTCACCTCTGGTATTGTCGCAATCTTTGCATTCTTCCTCCCAGAATCTGTAAGTATCTTTATCAATATCAGCGCCGCTCACTTACTGACCAAGTAACAGCCCCGATGGTTGATTGCCAATGATAAGCACGACGAAGCTGCCGCCATCCTCGCCAAGTATCACGGCGAGGGGTCAGTCGACCATCCTATTGTCCAACTTCAGATGAAGGAGATGATGGCCCAGATCTCGACTGAGGCTTCAGACAAGAGGTGGTGGGATTACCGTGAGCTTTGGAACTCGCACAGCAACAAGCGACGTCTTATCTGTGTTCTTGGTATGGCTATCATGGGTCAAGCATCTGGTAACTCGCTTTCCAGCTACTATCTCGTCGCTATGATGAACACGGCTGGTATCAAGGACGAAAAGCTGGTTCTCGCTCTCAACGCCACCAACAGCGTTCTTGGACTGATCGGTTCGGTCATCGGAGCCCGTTTGACCGATCGTGTCGGACGTCGACCTCTTCTCATTTACAGTATCCTCTTCTGTTCAGTCATCTTCGCCGTCATTACCGGAACGTCCAAGATGGCCGTTGACGATGCTAGCAACAAGAACGCAGCCAATACCACCATCGCCTTTGTCTTTCTCTTCGGTGTCGTCTTTTCACTTGGTTGGACCGCCCAGCAAAGCATGTACATCGCAGAGACACTCACAACCTCGACACGAGCCAAGGGAACAGCACTGGGCAACTGGGCCTCCAGCTTTATTTCTCTCATCCTAGCCTACTCTTCTGGCCCAGCCTTCGAGAAGATCGGTTACTACTTCTATCTTGTTTTCGTGTTTTGGGATTTGGTGGAGGCTGCGTTTATCTTCTTCTTCTTCCCGGAGACAAAGGACCGAACGTTGGAGGAGCTCAATGAGGTCTTTGATGCCCCTGATCCTGTTAAGAAGTCGCTGGAGCCTAGGACTGCTGAGACGGTTCGGGCGACTATGAACCAGAACGAGGCCAAGGTTATTGATGTTTAGATAACTGTGAGCTGTATGGTATAGAAAGTCCATAGGTCGATATGCATAGATCTCAAAGGTTCTTGTTAATTTGCATATTGAACTTTGCAATTCAATCGTTCGTGCTTAATAAAACTATGTAGTACCGTGAAGATGAGAGGCCAAGAGATGGCCTACGCTTTCTGAGAGAACGTATCAGTGCCTCATTCCATGCCGATAGCTTATATTCATGCATCTTCGTTAGGCTAATGATTCCTCTTACCGTCCATGTATAATTTTGAGTATCTGGTTGAAGGAGTATGTTTGACTGCAGGTTGCCAAGACCTCGACTGACCCCTGCCATCTGTCAGGCTCGATTCATGGTATTTCATGTGAGCTCAGGCGATGATCGCAGCATGCCATTGCTCCGTCGATGGTCCGATGCAACATGTACCACGAGGTTGCAAATTTCTTGGCTCAAGTAACGTTGGAACAAGGATATGTTCTTCACGGCTCCGATATCCCCGGACCATCACTCGATGTCCCCCTGTCGATTACCCCAGCCCGTTCACTTCTTGTTTACGTCGGCCCCGCATATGGGCCGGCAGATCATGTGAAGTACTTACAAAGGAAGGTTCCTATGATTGAGCCAAGGTCTTCAAATTGGTGCGCATATGGAAGAACCTGATGGAGAAAATTGCAATGTCGATCACATAACCTTAAACTTGTTTTTAAGTACCGAATACCCGAGTAGAGCAAAGCAGAAGCCGAATGTGAAGTAACGGTGACTTACCCCAGAAAAGATATTCTTCACATCGGGCCATGTCTCGCCGGCGTCCGAGCATACCGTAAAGAGAATTGAGCCGGGGCGAAGTATAATAAGAACATCGAATCATCCTCAAAGTTGGTCCTGATCAAGCTCCAAGAACTGCAGCTGGGTCCTACAAAAGGGTTCCTTACCAGATCGTGTGATGCCTCGTTTCCTCTCGACTCTTCTCGCTGTGCTTGCAGCCAGCACGGTTCAGGCCTCTCTTGACATTGTCTCGGGAGCAACATGGACAGCTGTAAGTCTATCCAAAACTTGGTACATGAATACCTTGTTGACCGGACTTTGACCAGACGAACACTGGTGAGCATGTCCAAGCTCACGGGCATGGGTTGATGTAAGTGTCACATTCTATCATTGTGGACAAACATCTGACCTTTACAGTGAGGTTGATGGAACCTACTACATGATCGGCGAGGACAAGACAGACGGAACATACTTCCAGAACGTCAACTGCTACTCCTCCACCAATCTCGTCGAATGGACATATCGAGGTGCGCTCCTCTCTCGCACTAGCGAAGCAGGGGACCTCGGCCCCAACCGGATTGTTGAAAGACCCAAGGTCATTTACAATGACCAGACAAAGAAGTATGTTCTTTACATGCACATCGACAGCCCAGATTACAAGGATGCGCGGGTTGGTATCGCCACTGGTGATAGTGTATGCGGCAAGTATACCTATCATCGAAGCTTCAGGCCTCTTGGTAAGCAGAGTCGCGATATGGGACTTTTCAAGGACGATGATGGATCTGCATATCTCCTGACTGAAGACGTAAGCTTTTCACTGTGCGCTTTGGTAGAGGACAGGAACTGACCAAGTTGCAGCGCGAGTATGGAACGCGAATCATGGCATTGTCAGACGACTACCTCAACGTCACGGAGATCACGTACGAATGGCAGTACTTTGCCGAGTCCCCAGCTATGTTGAAGCAGAACGGATACTACTTCATATTTGGCTCTCATCTGACCGGCTGGAATGCCAATGATAATGTAAGCGGCCTTCCTCACCTTTGGCCATATCCCAAGTTTATTAACGCAAGACACCAACAGATCTACAGTTACGCCAAGTCACTGTCTGGCCCATGGTCCAACTGGACCGAGTTTGCACCTATTGGATCAAAGACCTATCAAAGCCAGGTCAGCTACATTCAGCCTCTTGGCAACGGCAATGCCATCTACATCGGTGATCGCTGGGTTTCTACAAACCTCGCCGCTAGCACCTACGTCTGGCTTCCGCTCAAGGTTGATGGCACCAAGGTTACACTCAGCTGGTACGACTCTTGGTCGCCGAACCTTTCAAAAGGAACGTGGTCCGAGACCAAAATGACAAAGATTGAGGGAGAGACTGCGACAATGGGCAATGATGCCAGAGTCATCTCATGCAGCGAATGCAGTGGCGGTCAAGCTGTCGGCTACATCGGAGGCGATAAGAAAGGTACTCTTACCTTCAAGAACATCAAGAGCTCTGGAGGTACAGCTACTATTAACGTCAAGTACCGAAATGGCGACACCGGATCACGATATGCCACCGTCAATGTCAACGGCGAATCTCAGAAGCTTGCGTTCTTGTCTACCAGCCATCTTTCTCAGACGGGGCTCAGTCGGGGTTTCTTTGATCTGAAGGAGGGATCGGATAACATGATCACTATTTCCAACGATGATGGATGGGGTCCGGATGTGGATGCGCTGATGCCACCGGCGGCATAAACGAAGGCTGTTGAACTTGGGCAGGAAGACGATGCTGATGGTATATGAGGTGTTATATCGGGAGCAATTCTGGCACCCTCTCGGAGCCATAGTGTCAGCCATGGCTGCTGGGCACGTTTCTTTGTAGAACATCAGTCAGTTATTGGATACTGTTTGTCTTAGTCGAAGACCCGTTAGTGACAATCGTGAGGCAAGAGTTTGCGAGCATGGCTGTTGGCCCATGCGGGGTAGCAGCAAGCCAGCTTTGTGCTGCATGCCGGCTTTCGTATCCCAAATAGGCCATAATTATATGATAAGTAATCAGGCTCTTATGATATGTGTGCCGTAGTGGATCTTTTTGCTTGTCTTGGAGCAAATGTATCGACGACGCGACGTCTGTTGCGCTTGAGATCGCAAACTATTTCCTTCGGTCATCTGTGTACACGGATCTCGGCAATTCACCTCCACCAACTATCGTCATGAAGCATCCATAATCATGGAGTCTCGAAAGACGAGTACTTTGACCATGTATAAATAAGCCCCCCAGCATCAAGATGGAAAGATATCATAGCGTGCCAACTCAATCTTGTGTCCCCAACCTGCAATTAAAGTCTTGCTCTGCCCATCATGGACCAAACTGTCAAAGTCGGCGCTGTACAGGCAGAGCCCGTATGGCTTGACCTCGAAGGGAGCGTTGACAAAACCATCGCCCTGATCGAGAAAGCTGCCACCGATGGAGTCCAAGTACTTGGGTTTCCCGAAGTTTGGATCCCCGGTTATCCATGGTATGATCGAAATCTGTCAGCCAGAAAGGTTTCATCTGCTCTGTACACATGATGCTAACAGGGCTATGCAGGCAAATGTGGACGTCGCCAGTCATTAACAATGGGGGTTGGATACACGAATACATGGCCAATTCTATGCGCAGAGACTCACGTCAGATGAAACGAATCCAACAAGCCGTCAAGAAGGCAGGTATGCTCGTCGTTCTTGGGTACAGTGAGCGAGATGGAGCAAGCCTGTATATGGGACAGTCATTCATCGATACAAATGGCGAAATCATCCATCATCGACGAAAGATCAAGCCAACCCACGTGGAGCGAACGATCTGGGGTGAAGGACAAGCCGAATCGCTCAAGGTCGTTGTTGATTCCAAGTTTGGAAAGGTTGGCGCCTTGAACTGCTGGGAGCATTTGCAGCCATTGCTTCGATACAACGAATATGCGCAGGGTGTGCAGATTCATATTGCTAGTTGGCCAGCTGAGTTTGAGATGCCAGACCCTCAGAAGATCGCTTGGTTGTACCACGAAACTGGCGAGGCCAGCTATCGCGCAAGTCAGTTCATGGCCATTGAAGGAGCAACTTTTGTCGCTGTTGCCTCGCAGGTTCTCACCGAAAAGAACTTGGAAAGAAATGGACTTACAGGCAATCCTGTGACCAAAACAGTAAGGGAAGGCCCCTTGAAGATGGACAGACTGCTGACTGTTGATGTAGCCGGGTGGTGGATTCTCGATGATCTTTGGGCCTGATGGCAAGCCACTTGCAGAGCCTATCGGTGACGGTGAAGAGGGCATCATCACGGCTGTGGTCAATCTGAGAGATATCGATAAGCCCAAGGCTTTCATTGACGTCGTTGGACATTACACGCGGCCTGACCTGCTGAGTCTCAAGGTCAACGAGAAGGTTGCAAAGCATGTCGTCGTGGATTAGTGGCGAGGCGAGATCTCGAAATGGTGGTTTTTCTTTCAGCCGTATCCAAGGGTCATATTATCATTGCCCAGGAGATTTTACTCTCTCTGGAGGTTTGATTCATGCGCGGGTTCGTTTTTATGATAGCGCTCGTAGTTACTCATCTTCTCAGATATCCAATGGCACAAACTGTCAATTGCCTTTAGATTCGAATGTTTTAGAGTATAGGTGTTCTCATGCATTCAGTCAGTCTGTTTCCAGCTTATGTTGCACCAACCTTCAACTTATCGGGCACTATGAACTGCTGGGTCGAATTGCCTTTTTGGGTTCGGTTCAGTTACGAATATGGTGATTATTGGCGGCTGACACATCATCCTCTAGACCCCGCTGAGTTCCATTACACATTGAGCCATGAAGTGGCAAGACACCGAAACAAACTGTCAATTCATCCGAGGTCTTGATATTAACATCATCAAAACTAGAGGTTATCAGATTCAGTCAATGTCAAATAGCAAGGCGAAGATGCTGCCCAAACAAAGTTGTTGGACCTGCAAAAGTAAGATAGCATGCCCAGTATTGATCATCAAGCTGACAAGCGTAGGGCGCAAGATCGGCTGTGATAGGGCAACTCCAAGTTGTAATAATTGCATTCGGACACAAAGAAAATGTCTTGGGTATGGCCTTCAACTTCTCTGGCCAGATCGTCATGATGGGCGCCGGAGAAAACGTGACCCTGCTGAGCATCGACCCCCAACAACACTTTCAAAATCGGTTCACTATGGCAAATACTTCTTGAACACATCCTTAACAGATGTTGATATTGCTGTCTCCAAGAGTGATGGCCATATACTTGTGGATCTCTTCCAACAACGACCTCGATGCAGTCTCACACTTCATGGCCCCTTTCTCGATCATGAAGGGATGCTTCTCGGTTATTGTGTGTAAGATGCGGACAGTTCTATCTTTCTTTGGCTAATGATGCCAGACGAGAACATTATATCTTCCATGATCTCCACAACGCAAGTTCAAAACGGCTTCTGTTCGACATTACTCCCCATGGCATTGTCAAGCCAAGACACTTCGGCTCTTGCATTGCTCAATGCAATGATGGCCGTAGCAATGATCCATTACTCGAACTCAATATCTGATGCAATCTCGTTCAAACTAAAAGCTATCCAGAACTTATCACAGTCACTCAGGACCGGTAGGAGGTCAATATGCACATCGACCAGTCAAGTTCAGCTTGCAGCAGTAATGATGCTTTGTGTTTACGATGTCTGTATGACCAGACATTTGGTCGTTACCGTGACTGATGTTTCACAGGTCTTTGATAGAGAAGAGCACAATTGGCACATCCATTTGAACGGAGCGAAGGAGATCATAAGGCGAGAGCGCTTCACAGATACGCCCGGTTCAAGCTCAGATTTCCTTCTTACCTGGTGGTTATACCACGATGTTTTGGCTGCTTTCAACTATCCATCATGCCGACTTAAGGAAAGCCCTGGTTCCGTCTCAACATCCGCTCTTTACGCTTTCAGTGGTGATAAATCTCTCGTAAGTGCCCCCATCCTTACGTCCAGTCTTCTGACTCTAGCCCAGATCGTGGGATCCTTGGGCTGTTCTGTTGAAGTGCTTGAGATTATTGATAAGATCAACATGATGCGACTACACTCCGCACATGATTTTCTGAGCACCTCAACGCTGCGAAGGTGCGATTTGGCAATGAAGCTTTACAACATCCGACAGTTACTTGCTCCCATTGAGAGTTCTTATAGTTTGAGAGCACATCGTATTTTGGCTATCGCTGAGTTGTATCGCCTAGCGACACTGCTCTATCTCCAACGCGTGCATCCCATCGCGGAGGACGATTTCACGCGGCCGGTTTACGTACAACAAGCCCTGGGAGTCTTGAAAAGCCTGGGTGTTGCAACCAGTCCATGGCCAGTGTTTGTCATCGCATGTGAAGTCGATGAGCAAGACCGCGTCAGCATTCTTCATACCCTTGACAGAATGGACAGTGTGAGAAGCATTGGCAACATCAAGGTTCTACGCGATGTTATTGAGAGTATCTGGAAACAGCAGGATCTTCGGAGTATTGGAAAAGCTGGCCAGCGTGTCGATTGGTTGCAGTTTGTCGAGTGCGATGTTCCGGTCCCATGGTTTATCTAGGTCACGTCTAGCTCTTGTTCTGTCACATAGACATAGCAATCACGTTACTGATACTCAATCTATAACCGCTTCTATCCTGTAGCACATGCTATACTGAACCACCCCACTGCTAAGCAAGCTTCTGGACTAAAGATAAGTGCCTGGCGGTCACAATACACTATCACATAGTTCGGGATGCAATGTCTTGTCCACGTGAGTTCCACAAGTGATTGCTATCTACTTCCGAAGGAAGACAGATCGTAACAGTCCAGATGCACAAGTCTCTGTTTGTTTGCCTCATGTTGTATCATTTATTACTAGCAGCCGCCCAGATGGGAACTTCACCCTCATTGTAGAGCACAGGGTTACCATCATTCTGAATAATGAGATACGTTGAGTCATTTCCCTTGCCCGCAGAAGTATTGGTATGCCAAGTGGCATGTCCAGTCCAGGGTTGTCGCTGAGAGTGTTGGTAAGTCATGGCTCGTTTAAGTGTTGAGGTAGACTCTGAGATTGTATAAGGATAACGGTTGAGTCAAGACAGGTTCGAAAAGGTGGAAGTGGCTTTATACCGAGAAAGCTGTCTGCGTCGGTAACCGTCCTCGAACTACCAGAAAGGGACATCATGCGTTGTGACATGTAACTGAATCCCTCGCCAAGTTGACGAAATGGCGTCCATACAGAAACACAGCTGCCATTTTCGGTTTCCAGTGCACATCTGTGAGACGCGGCAGAGGAGATGAGCAAAAGTCGGCCATAATTTCATTGAGCCGTGGACCAGGTTGACTCAAGTGAATCCCAATGTGACGCTAACACAATCCCGCGACTACCCATCACCCTAATCCTCGGGGTTATGCAAAGGCCAAGCTGAATGCCGTGAAGCACAAGTTGCGGCGGTAACCCTGTCACGAAAGCAGGACATTTGACCGCTTCATGTCTCTATCTATGCTATTGTTAAAGATTTGCACGGTACTTGAGTTGCCCGGGTCAGCTCGTTGCCTTTCGGTTGGACAAGAGGCTCCGATGGTGTTTCACGATAACGGCGTGTCCATCATGATGTCTTGGCTCATGGACCAGTAGGGCAGACTACTTGCGACACTATTGGCGGCCCCTTTTAGCTTTGCGGGGGATCAGGATTTGATCTTCAGGTAGACAGCTGAAAATGATCGGCATGAGGGGCAACCACAATGAGACAATGTCCCAAGCTTCCAGAACCCAAGGAGCTATGACCTCTTGAACAGAGCTGTATGTCTCAGTCTCCTCAGCAACGACCTCCCGATCAGCTAGCCAGAAAGCCCTACGGACAATGATCGTTGAGGCTTCGAGGCATTACATCACTGGCCCCATGATGTGCTGATCCGCGTCGTCATGTTACTGACGGACCTTACAGAGCAGAGAGTAATATGAGCTTATGAGTAGGAGTGACGCAGGCAGTAACATGAAAGTTGATATCACCAACACGAAAGATAAAGTCTCTCGCAGACAAAGGACTTGAGAGTCTGCCAAGTGAGCGCGTCCCGGGCTGTGAACCCTTTGGTGTCATGAGCATTATCTGCACTACCTCTAATGGCACTAAAAGCGATGGAGATACTAAATGGTGACGGTCGACAAGTGTTATAAGAAGAAGTGCGTAATCAATCACACAGTGACAACGAGTGTCTATGTTCAGTCACGCGTGCCAGATGCCGAAGAGGACTTGACATGATATAACGCGACGCGATGGGGCACATCCAGGTGCTCGCGTTCTGAGTGACATTGCGCGTCCCCTAACAATAGCGGGGCCATCAAATCGCTGTCGAATTGACCAGCCACAGATTGGTACTTCCGATAAGGCAGCTTATCAGTGCGATAACACTCTGGACCATCTTGTGATGGCCCTTGCATTTGCGACCAAGCGCTTGCTACGGCGGCGCTCAAGAGCCATCAACGCAAAAGGTACATTTCCTTCTCCTGTCAACACAGCGTCCCACAAGGTCACTGCAGGTGACAGAGCCAGCACCTGAGCAATCGAATGGCTTCAAGTAGTGAGCTCTGTTGCCAGCACCATTTCTCGGAGCTTCATTTCTCGTTACCGCCTTTCATATCTTGATCTGGTCTTCTACCTATCACTGAATCATCGCACTGCATTCACTCACTGTATGTATGTCCGGTTCATTGTCCCTCACACCGCCCTGTTGGATGCTTTCAGCTATAACATCCGCGCGACCAACAATCAGCCAGCGATCCAAAATTTGCTCAGCATAGTCAAGCCGTGCAATTGCCAGCAACCAAAAAGATATACATGTCAGAGACACAACGCGCAAAAACATACAACAGCGGGGATTCGCTGGTCGTCACCGACCCAACTACTAATCCGCCGGTTAGTGGCTTGACTATGGGAGAGCGGACGGGATCCCGTATTTTCCACTACCTTTGGTCGTATGTGCAAGACAGAGGTTGTCTTTTGGTCTATATCGATAACATGACAGTGATCTCTCTGATATCTCGCAGTACTGTTGCTTTTAGTTCTGCCTTGTTTACTACCAGTTACAGAAGGTCAGATAACTTCTTGGCAATGGAATAACAGTGGGCCAATGCAATTTGCTAGACGTGTAAGCGTGAGTTGACATCCCACTCCAACTGATTGTTAGCCACATGGTTGACGTACACTGTACTCCGTATAATAGTACTCACATTGATCATTTCACCAACAAAACCTGCTTGTTACCACAATACCACCTGTCGAAAATTGAGCAATGTAAATAATTAACATGCCAGCATTGTATCGGCTTTGATACAGAGAGGACTTTATTGTCCCAGGGAAGATGTGCCAATTGACTTTCTCTGCATTCATCAAAGCTTACCCTTGAGCTTGAACTCAAACGGTGACACCACGCCAGGTGGCGGCAAGACAAACCAACATCAACCGATCGCGCCAATAAACCAGCAAGCTCTGGTTGGCTATACTACTCAATTGTCATTGGAACTCCCCTCGTTATCAATCAAGGACTCGATTCAACAGACTCGACAGAATCAGTGCACGCTACTAAGCTCAAGCGTCCGTGGTTCGTCGCCAGGAGTCGTCTATGTTGCCAGTCAGATGTCGGCAAAGCAACAAGCGGGTTTAGCTCAGTTGGGAGAGCGTCAGACTGAAGTCCAACTTCAATCACTATCATTCGATATCTGAAGGTCGTGTGTTCGATCCACACAAACCGCATGTTCTCTTTTTGCTCCTCTCGCTAGTTGCTTGTGGGTCTGCTTGGCTAGAAAGTGTCTAGCGTTGAAGAACCAGATGAATGGGGAACATCAGGAACTCCGTGACGGGGTTCAAGGTCCTGGCCAAGCTTGTCAGTAGACTCCAAAGCAATGACGAGTTTACAGGAGGGATCGAGTCTTAATTTTTAGTGTTGAGAAAGTACTCGTCGTTGATTGAGTTGCAGGCTGGCCTTTGCGCGAGCAGACTGAATGACGTAAGCTCTTTACGCCCAGTATACCGGGGCAATACCTGTCTACTGAGGCGCGTCTTGGAACAACAGTGCGATACTGTCCCTGCCATCTATCCAGAGCTGTCCATGATCGATCAGCTCTGCCCCCAGAAGCTCAATTCTTGTACAGCAATTCTTTCGCTCTCCGCCAACGAATTGAGTGGGCATCCCAACCCACTCAAAGCACTGTCGGTGTGGCTCAGTTGGTTAGAGCGTTGGTCTCATAGCACAAAGCGTGATTTGGTCACAGATCAGAGTAATCCAAAGGTCGAGAGTTCGAGCCTCTCCACCGACAAGAACTTGTCTTTTTGACCATATTTCTCTTTTTGTTCTTCCACGTTGGCAATTGCGTTGACAGTTGGCTCAAAGACAGCTAACTCAAGTTCACATTTTGCCTGTCAAATTGCCGAAATGCCCCAGCCACGGGTACTGACCAGCAAAATCTACACCAACGTCACAGCGAATTGCAACTAGCTGGGATCAATACGACAGATTATTAATTGAATGCGAACCGAAACTCCAGTCATAAGTCGATCGTTCTTCCTACTCGGTTATATCGGCACTATGTAAGGCTGTTCCTAGCATGTCAGCATGAGCCATGACGCATTTGGCCCAACATGTAAGCACGGCTCATGAACATCGCATACTCGCTTGTCCGAATACAGTATCTCATTCGAGATCATTCTCAGCCTCATGATAATTACATCGTTTGGGAAGTATTCAGAATAGAGATTCATGGAAGTGAAGGCTTAAACAAGTAACCCATTCGAGCATGTCTAACATCACGACGTCGTTGTGCAGGAAGAGGCCGCCGAGATGGATGACATTTAAGAAGTCATGATGCTGGGGAACCAGTCTTCTTTTCCATTGACAAGAAACCAACTCATATCATTTGATAACTTTCGCATTCAATACTATCGTCATCTTATTCAGGATGCTCTCCTTCCCTTGCATCATAGCATGGGGTACTCTCCTTGCAGCGGTATTCCTCCCTGACGTAGCCTCTAATTTTAACTTATGCTGACAGACAAATAGGTCACCAACGCTCACGAGACCGAAGCATATCCACCAAATGTCACCATTTCCAACACCACCACGTCCATGTTCCAGCTCAGCAACGACACCGAGTTCTCATTCATCCTCAGCGAATATCTTTCCCTAGCCAACGAAGGTGGTAGCGCCACTGGGGAAGTCCTCCGAGCAGCTGCTGTGATCGAGCCAAACAATCCTGAGAGTTGGTATCACGAATTCAAATTTCTTGCAGACAAGATCCGTGAACAGGCTGTTGCTGCCGAGAAGAAGAAGGACTGGGTCTCTGCTCGCTCAGCCTACTTCCGATCATCATCTTACTACCGAGGCGCCGACTTCTTCCTGCACGGTAACCAGTCTGATCCTCGCATCAATACCCTGTGGCAGAAGCAGAATGCAAGTTTCACAAAGGCTGTAAACCTTCTCCCCAAGCCCCCGACCTTTGTGGAGTTGAGGGCAACCAAATTCACTGTTCCAGCGTACTTCTACCCAGGAGACTCTCAACTCCCTGCTGGGAAGCGCCTTGGCTACAGCAAGAAGATCCCAACAGTCATCGTTGGAACCGGGTACGATGGATCTCAAGAAGCTCTCTACCATAGCAACTGTCGCGAGATCATTCAGCGCGGCTGGAACTGCATCACATACGAAGGCCCAGGACAAGCGACAGTGCGTCGACAGCAGAATCTCGGCTTCATGCCTGAGTGGTGGGAGGCTGTTATCCCCGTTGTCGATTATGTTCGCAGTCGGAATGATGTTGACCCTGACCGAGTTGCTCTAATTGGTATGTCGTTTGGTGGACTTCTTGCGCCGTTGGCTGCGACACATGAACATAGATTGGCAGCTGTTCTTGCGATCGACGGAATGCTTAACCTTCAACGCTCCATCCTTGAGCAATTCCCTCCCGCTTTGACCAAGCTTTTCCTTTCAGGTAACAGCACTGCATTTGATGATGAGATCTACAGTCTTCTCAAGAACCCCAAACTCCCTACCGCTCTTAGCTGGCCGATCAACCAAGGAATGTGGGCATGGAACACCAAGAGCCCCTTCAAGTGGTTGACCATGGTGGGAGAGTTCAATCTTGATAAGCAGACCCTCTCCAAGATCAACTGTCCCGTATTTGTTGCCTCGGGACAAGATGACACGACGGCTCCGGAACAGCCAGAGGAAATGGCGAGGGCTTCTGGAAAGCAGGCGCACTACTTTTTGTTCAAGACGGAGCTGGGATCTGGGGTTCATTGTGCAATTGGGGCGGAGAATCAGCTTGCCCAGGAGACATTGGGCTGGCTTGAGGGTGTCTTTGACAAAGTCTCCAAGTAAGCATCACAAGGAGAACTTGTGATCCATGCGGCGACATCATAGCCTTGGCCTTGTGAGAGGATTATCCAGTGAAGGGAGTACACGCACTTTGGCTAGAATTGTCTTAGGCTATTTATACTTTAGTCATTTGAGTGTCATCGGAGAAGCATTGATGTCATCTATTTAAAGTTATTATATCTAAAATTAGAACCTGGATCTATTATTTCATTTATAGCATGCCTCTTTTTAGCTCCGCCTCAATCACTCTCTGCTTCACTCTGTGTCGATTCCATCTCTGCCTTTAGCCTCTGATAAAACTTACTTCGTTGTCGAATGGTATTCCCGTATCGAATGAAGATGAACGGGATAGCACACATAAAGACGCTCACGACCCCAAGAAGCGTTGAAGCCCATCCAACACCAAGTTTGGTGTACATCGGCGCCGCAGCGATACATAGTCCCGCACCTGCAAGATTTCGTAGGCACGTTCCCGCCGCCATGGCCGATGCTGAGTACACTCCGTAGCAATCGCCCAGGTAAGTCGTTAGAGCGATACTGATGAGAAGCTGAGCAGCTCCGAACGGAATTCCTGCTACCATGGGCGACACCCACGAGATACTGGACCGTGCGGTCCAGCCAGCCCAGAAGAGTGAGATTGCCAGAAGAGGCCCGCCCATGCATGCTAGAGGCAACCTGCTGTACTCATTCTTCTGTGCCCAGGTTCGACCGGCCTTTTTGCAGCGTCTGTAGTAGGCATCCCATAGAAAGAATATCACCAGACCAAGGCAGATTCCCCCTGCAATGGGCAAGTACATGAAGCCGCTTTTCTTGTTTGACATCCCGTAGGTGCCCTTGAAGACGATGGGGTATGTTTGAAAGAACATGTAGTAGACGCTGTAAGCTAGCGCGATGTATGTAGCCGTTGCAGCAACGATCAGCTCGGTGAAGAGCATATGTAGAGGACGAATTAATACGACACTCATAAGGTTGCGCCAGCCTTTGGCTTCGAGCTCGATGGCGGCATACGTCTCAACATTGCCCTGGCCAGTCTTTACTGCAGATCGCCGAATCCTTTTCGCTCGCCGAGCAAGAATTGTAGGGCCAAAGGTCTCTGGCAGGAATGCCAACGGAATGATTGTCACACCGGCAAATATGAGACTGAACCAGTAAGCCCATCGCCAAGAGATCGGGGCCAAGTAGGCAGCTATTGTTGGAGCTATCAATGGCGCGCAGATACTGGCTGTGTAGTAGTATGTGAGCGCCCTGCCTCGCTGGGTCAAGTCGCTGTGTATGTCTGCGATGATACCGCCGCCAAGTGTACTCGGTGAGCTGCCAACAATGCCTGACATGAGGCGGAAGACCAGCATTGACGGCCAGTTTGGTGCTAGAGCGCAGGCAAGAGTGAACAGGATGTAGACGAGGAAGGCTGCCTGAAGTACGTATTTGCGGCCTTGAAGCTCTGAAAGAGGCCCAAAGAGGAGAGGTCCGAAGACATATCCTACGAGGAAAAGTGATATGGGAAGTGCCAACTGTGGGTTTCCTCGTCTATCGTCAATACCGAACTCAGAGGCCATCGGTGACATGGCATTGGCTGGGAGGGAAGAAGAGAGCGTGCTGTTGAACAATGTCAAGGTGAGAGTAAATACTACAAATCTCTTCTTGGCCTAACAGCTGTCAGTACTTGGAGTCCTTTGTTGATACGAGAACCGCATACCTCCGACCAGTTGTTGGGGTTCTCTGGATCATTGCTGTCAAATGTGATGATGACCCTTGTTGTTTGTTGCGACTCGAACGATGTCTTCTTCTCAAGCATCAACGATCCTGGTTCGGGATCCGATATCGCTTTTGAGACCTCCATGACGATATAAATTGACTGTTGTCCTAGGTGTAAGATTGTGGCGTCTGACGAATCGGGATTACAAATGCAATTATTATCACCACAGATAGTATATTGGAGGACTTGGTAGTGTCACACGAACAGGAATCAGGTGTGCATTGCTCGAAATGGGAGGATATTCTCCGACTTAAACAATCCTTCTCTTGGCTAGAAGCTCGTTCAGCATTTCCGCTTGGGGACGCTAAAAGCGACAAGCCATTGTGGGGATCATGCATTTCGCCATCAATATTTGTTGTTAGTTGACCTCGGGTTTACTCAATCAATTCAGCCCAGTAGAAATGCTGCTCGTATTAGAGACTTTCGGCAATGCCTCGGTCCTGCCACTTTTCTTGTACTTCAATTGACAATTCGTCGACTATCACAATGCTCATGAGGGGCGTAAACACGGTAATAGCCCGGACACAGAGGGGTTCGTCCTGATATTGAGCTCAAGAACGCTAATGTGGGCTTCCATAGGATTTCGCTTCATTCCCTATGTACGTGTACTTGGCAGATCTCGAGTGTTTTGTCGGGTTTCCCTCTGGTTACAATGTCAGGGAGCGATATCGCACCAAATGAACGAAGCCTAGAGAGAGCAGATGTGATTGGCCGTGCACTTCGCGAATGACCAAGCCACTTTCTACGTTTTCACCACGACAACCATGGAATTGATTCAAGATGGATGAGTCTGTGTAGTAGTAGTTATGTGGTGATGCACCCTTCAGCCTTGCGGCTCATCGCAAGATATCACACGGCAAAGAAGAGAATTGTGCCGGCAGTTTACAATATGCATAAGTCGATGGGCCTTTGCCTAATCGGGTCTAGAACACCAATCAACTTGCATGTCCTCCCCGCTCGTTCGAACTCTACCAATGCGGTAATTCTATACGGAATTTCGTCATTACCAACCTCTCAGGCTCTTCAGTTTGTTTGGTAGTAAGGAAACGTCGCGACACATTGCCACGGCTCGTTCGTTTCCGCCAATTCCGATCACAAATGCCCTATTAAGTCTTGATGGACAGAGCAATGTCTGGTCGTGTTATACGACGGCGAAACGTCAAGACTCGCAACCGGAATGGCTGCGTCACGTGCCGAGCTCGGCGGCTGAAATGTGACGAGACAAAGCCAGAATGCAATAACGTAGGTCGATGCCAATGACTCGTATGTCATCTGCATAGGGCTGAGTTACTGATTCGTGGTATCCACAGTGCATACGGTTGTGCATGCCATGTGGTGGTTATGCAAACCAGATTATCTTCAAAGATCAGAACAAGCTGTTCAGACATGACTCTCCGCGCCGGACACGGTCAGGCCAAGCGATAGGCGAGTCTTCAGACAGGCGAGGTAGTGTTGACGATGCACCACAAGCTGAAGAAGCACAGAGTCTGGCACATGAGTATTATTCTTCATATGCAACTCCAGCACCAGAGTTGGAGAATGATACCATCGCGACTCAAACTCCCATCTACAATGCTGGCCAGGCAAACAATAGCTCCGATGTAACTGCCGCAATTTCATCTTCTGATACACCTGCGGCTTGGGACTCTGGATTCATACCTGATACCGATGTTGACGCGCCGGCACCAGCTGGAAATATTCGTGGTGGATTACCATACACCGTGTCACCAGTTGCTACATCGGACCAAAGTCCCCAAACGTCGTTCCCATTCTTCGGTCCATTAAGCGTCTCATCTCCCCAGCTAGCTCCAAAAACACAGGTTCCAACCCCGAGAAGTAGTCAATTCTTCAATGGACTTCACACTGCTCCGATCATCCCTCAAGGGCTACTTGAGAGCACGAAGTTTCCCGAGGATATGCTCTACTACCATCACCTTCGGGATACATCGCCATACGGCGTCCTCACGCTGTTGTATCTTAACGATGTTATGGATGCCGGATTTCTCAGTGCATCATTTTATCATGCTGCTTTAGCCTTGTCAGCTCTCAAAGTCTCCAAGTCCAACATGGGACAGCAACTACGGAGTCAGGCAGCGATACACGCACTAGAACACTTTGTCATAGCTCTTGGAGACGTTGGGAACATCCCGATAGAGGATATGAACCCAGACATGCCGACACCAGGAAACGAACACGGCCCTGGAAGACGAGAGAAGATTGTGTCTTGGTTAAGTACAGTCTTGTTACTGGCACACTTTGAACTAAGACGAGCACAGATGAGATTATGGTGCGTACATGGTCGCGCAGCGGTCGAGTTCCTGTCGACTCATCTGAGCCTTGTGAGGGAGACAACTATCGGAGAATCCCTGGTCTCTGCTTTCTCAAGGATAGCAGCCCTATTGGAGATCTACGAGGGCACACATTCGATCCAGGAACAAGTTGTATCATCTGAGGCATCACGGTCTCTTGTCCAATATCTCGCTGGCTCGACGCTGCCATACGATAGGCTGCTCTACATCATGCCCAGAGTGAATGAGTTGGAGGAGAAATGGAGGTCCAATCTTCGACCAGACGCTGAGTGGGATCAGCGTGTTGACAACCTTAGACTTGAGCTAGAACAATGGCGAGCTAGCCTATTGCCGGAAGATATCCCTGACTTCGACGGCGAGGGGTCAGAGGCAGACATCAATATGAAGCCACTAACGCTTCTTTCCGCCCCAGAACCAGTCAGGCCGGCAACGAGTTTTACGCACTACCTCGTATCTACGCTTCGACTTGACTTGATGTACTCGCCAGAATCGGGCCCCAAACTTTCTCCCTCTGAACGCTCGGCCATATTACGCAAGATCTGTCGCCTTGCAGCCGGCCTACCATATGACCTCTCCGTCATAGTGAACAACTATGGATACGGAATGCTTCCTGCGATGCTCAACGCCTACCATATGTCCGATGCTGTGATAGCAAATTGGATCAAGGGATGGGTTGCATCAAGACCTGACACAAGAGAGGGCATATGGGACATAGAGCGCGTGCAGAGACTGATAGCGTATCTGGATAGAGAATATAACAACGAGGGATCAAGATCGGGGTGGACTGTCATTAAGACTCGGATGGTGGATGCGGAGGAGAACAGGGATGACGCGCAGCCAAGTACGAGAGAAGAGGAATCTCGAAGTTTTTGCGTAGAGATATTCTGCAAGGGAAAACGTGGTTGGAGCATTGACTTTGTCGAGATAGAATGACTTAATAATGCGGTGGTGACAAAGCCCAATACATTGATGTCGCAAAAAAAAAAAAAAGGAATAAGCTTCCATCGCGTGATCCATTGCGTTGTGACAAAAGCATTCGCTGTTGTCAGAAAAAACGTCATTGCGAATATCGGATTACCAATGCGAGAATGACAAGTTAATTGCTGAAAATCTTTGTAGGGCGTAGTGGACGACAAGCTCGTATGACTCAGAATGGTCACTACACAATGAAGGGCGCAATTGTCAAGTTGACATCCAAGCAGAGATGACAAATGACCTAAAGATTTTGACAATAGCGCATGCCACAGGGTGCAGCCACCAAATTGACATCGGGCCGGTGTCCAATCATAAGCAGGGAAAATTGCGTCGCTCGTTTGTCCAAGCCCGAAATGGAATTGTTGAACGAGGACATGTCAAACAGGAATTTTACAAGGAGATAATTCGAGATAATTCTATAGAGTCATATGTTGGGTGAGAGAGCATGTCGAACACGTTATAAGAGCGTGCGATTTCCTGGCAGATTATGTCTTTCATTCTACTCATCATCAAGCAACTCATTGGATAAACATCAATTCAAGAGCATCTTCAGTTCCGATAACAACATTTTAAACCAGATCAACAAGTTCAATCACAACATCTATACACTATCTCCACTCTGCAACTATATCTTGCATACTGCAGCCCTATAAAACCACTACTATATACAACTCACTATCTCTGGGAAAGCACTACACATTCCGAACACAATGGAATCCACCAAGAACAACGCCCGACGAGTCTGGTCCTCAATTGTCCGCCATGCCAAAGAGCACCATGAGTCGGTCAACGCGGCTGTAGTTGCATACTACCCCCAGCCATCACCTGCCTTCACACCTGGCAGCAAGTCTGCGGCATCCTCTGTCCTGTCATCCCCACGATACTCGTTCGAGAAGCCTCAGTAGAAGCTTTGAGGGGAGTTGGTATAATACACGAAGCGGATGATTAATGTGTTGGCTAGGATAAACTATGGGCTGAGAGTTATTGCTTATTGCTGGTCTATTTTAAAGGATTTGAAAGGAGTATATATATGAGTTAAATGATTAATAATAATTAGACATTAAATACAAAATAAATAGTTATATAAGAGCCACGCACTGTGATCTAAGTTTATGGATTAGTTATATACCCGAGCCAACTTTCCACGTCTCGTGCGGACTTCTACAGTCTGTCTCGGACCAGTTATATAATTATATATTTGAAACACGTTGTGAACAGGGACAGTGATTACTGAACAACTCCGTCTTCTTGCGGAGTTGCGGAGTTATAGTTGCGATAACCTCGATAAAAGAACCGAGATATCCATCAACATCCGTTAAATAGAACGCGCAGCAGCACATAGCTGTAATTGAAAGCCACATTGGTAAGGACTTGGAGAAAAAGGTTGAAGCCAGTATTGGGAAACTCTTTACGTCTCTTAAACACATGTGAGGGTTCCTCAACATCACCTCCAGTCTACCGATACGTACGTTCAGTTGCGAAACATGGCTACCGAGCAGTCCCACAAAGCCGAAAAGTTCTTCCCACGAGCAGGACTTGCACAAGATGGATGGTCTACCAAAGAGGAAGCGACAGCGACATGCTACTGTGGTGCGGTTCAGCTGGTCTTGGTGAGGCCCCTATGAAAGACCCGAAGACACTGACTCATGGTCATTAGCCTATAACCAAGCCTGGATTTGTTTTCTCCTTCGTCTGTCACTGTAGCGACTGTCGCAAGATCACAGCTTCGATGTTCACGACTGGTATCGTTGTTCTCGACACACACCTGAAGCATATCCGTGGTGAAGAGAACCTCAAGAAGTTCAGCCAGTCAGACACGATTGGGACAGATGGAAGCGCGATGACCAATTTCTTCTGTAGTACATGCGGTTCGCTGATGTACCGAAGGTCTTCTGCTTATGCAGGGGTTAGTGTCCTGAGAGGGGGCACGGTTGATGATTTCAGGCTCGTGGAAACGGTGCTGAAACCAGATATTGAGCAATTCTGTAGACATAGAGTAGGCTGGTTGACGGGTATAGAGGGTTTAAGGCAAAGTCTAGGACAAGCTAAGATATAAAACTTTAATATTAATAGGATATTATTTTAGTAAGATAAATACTTATATTTAATTTAAATTTTATATTAATTTATTTATAATAATAAGGGTTTTTAAATAAGTAAATTAATTTATATTAGGTTTATATATATATATATATATATATTAAAGTTAAAATACTTATTTAATAATATATAAAGTAAAGCTAAAGGTATTAAAGTAAGATAATAAAATAAGGTATTTATTTTTAATATAATATAATATAAGGTATTATATATTATACTAAAAAAATATAATAACCTTAATATTAAGTCTTAATAGATTATATAGTTATTACCTTAAACCTTAAGGTTTAATTAAATATATAGCCTTAATTTATAAGTATAAAAAAGATATTTTCCTTATCCTTAGAAGGCTAAATACCTTTTTTATTATTACCTTATTAAGGTAATTACTATTAAGGCTTTAATACTAAAAGGCTATATTAAAATTAGCTAAGAACTTTAACTTTTATTATAAGATATATTATTATATAATTATTATTAATAATAATTAACCTAGTTATAGCTATTTAATCTTAGTAATTAATAATTATATAACTAATCCCCTAATAGCTATTAATAGGCTTAAGTTTAAATATATTTTTATTTTATATTTCTTTTTATAATATTATAAAATTATAA